TCTGTTTAATTACGCCAGAAGCGTTCCACCTCAACCTTCGCCAGCCAGATACTAAGCTCTTTACCACTAGCTTGTACGAGCTAGATCGGTTGATTGAGGATAAGCGTTATTAAGAAGCACGGCCAGGGCTAGAGATTATGGAATTGGAGCCGTTAGTGCCGGCCACGTACTAGCAATTCGCCCGAGCCTTCTCTAGAGAGGACTCCAACACACTGCCTCCGCCTCGGTCGTACGACCACAAGATCGCTCTTGAGAAGGATGAATCTGAGCTTTAGTTCACACTTCTGTACAAGATGGGTGCCGCAGAGCTAGCAGTCACTAAGTAATACTTAATAGACAACTTGTCTAAAGGCTTTATTGAACCTAGTCAAGCCCCCTTTGCTGCACCTGTCCTCTTTGTTAAGAAAGCCAATAGTGGTCTACGCTTTTGCATCGATTTTCGGAAGCTAAATGCTATAACTCGCAAAGACCGGTATCCATTGCCTTTAATCGACGAGACCCTGGCTCGAATCGCTTCTGCTAAGATCTACACGAAGCTAGATATACGCCAAGCTTTCCACCGGATCCGAATGCACCCTAATTCGGAGGAATTAACTACTTTTCGTACTCGCTATGGAGCCTATAAGTGCAAAGTCTTGCCTTTCGGACTTACTAATGGACCTGCCACGTACTAGCGATATATGAATGATATATTGTTTGAGTATTTGGACGATTTTTGTACTGCGTACCTCGATGATATCCTTATTTACTCAGACAACCCCCTCGAGTACGAAGAGCACGTGAAAAAAGTACTACAACGACTTCAAGATGCCGGCTTACAAGCTAATCTCAAGAAGTGCGAATTTAATGTGACTCGTACAAAGTATCTAGGTTTCATTATTAGTACAGAAGGCATTTCTGTAGACCCAGAGAAGACGAAAGTTATTGAGGAATAGAAGCGCCCTAGTACGGTTAAAGGCGTACAGTCATTCTTAGGCTTCTGCAACTTCTACCGCCGATTTATTAGGGAATATGGAAGGATTGTAGCTCCCTTGACTCAGCTTACGAAAGCGAACGTCCCCTTCCACTTTAATAGCGATTGTGAAGCTGCATTCGAAAAGCTTAAGCTACGGCTTATCACGGCACCGATTCTACAACACTACGACCCCGCTCTCGAGTGTATGATAGAAACAGACGCCTTAGATAGTGTAGTTGTAGGAATCCTCAACCAGAAGCACGGCGAACAATAGTTACCCGTTGCTTATTTCTCTAAGACTATGGCCCTTGCTGAGCTAAATTATGAGATCCATGACAAGGAAATGCTGGCTATTGTGAAGAGTGTAAAGGAATGGAGAGCTGAGCTAGCCTCCACCCCTGCACTTATCAAGGTTTACACCGATCACAAAGCCCTGGAGTACTTTATGTCATCCAAGAAGCTAACAGCCAGACAGGCCCGCTGGGCAGAGCTGTTAGCAGACTTCCATTTCATCATTCTGTACCGCTCTGGCAAAGACAACTTAAAAGCTGATGCTTTAACACGCCGAAGCGACGAAACAGACTCGCAAGATGCAGTCAAAGAGGCTTCTCGTACTTAAACATTCCTCACAGCTGATAGGCTAGATCCTCAGATTTATAGTGAGTTACGCACATCCTTAGTGGAACTGGCTCCTGTGGATAGAGCTGCTGTAGAGCACTCCTTCGATTTGGTCGACCGCATTTTACAGGCCAATCGAGAGACAGAATCGTTAGCTGCCCTTAGGCTGCAGGCCGAGCGTTCGGATGATGAGGACTTCTCGTTACATAAGGGACTGCTCTTGTACCAGGATAGGTTGGTTGTACCCGACCAGGACTATCTGCGAGTGCACTTAATCCGAGAAGCTCATAATCAGATGTTAACGGCCCACCCTGGAAGGGACAAGACGTACTAGATCCTCCGTCAAAGGTACTACTGGCCTCACATGCTTCGAGATGTAGCCTAGTACGTACGCAACTGCCACGCTTGTGCTAGAGCCTCTCCACCACGTGACAAGACTCCTGGTCTCCTGCAACCTCTGCCGATCCCAGAACGTCCTTGGCAACAGCTCTCGATGGACTTTTGCTCCTTTCCCCCTGACAAGCACGGTTACGATAGCGTCTGTGTAATCATCGACCGCCTTACTAAGCAAGCTGTCTCTATACCTTGCTACAAGACAATTAATGTAGAACAGCTAGCTCGCCTATTCCTCACGAATATCTTCCGGTACTACGGACGTCCCTTGGAGATCGTTAGTGACCGTGGCCCTCAATTCATCTCTGAGTTCTGGCAAGAGCTCTGTCGCATTATAGGCACTAAGATCACGCTTTCGACCGGCTATCACCCACAGACAGACGGCTAAACAGAAAACTATAATCAAGTCCTCTAAGCTAGACTAAAGCCGTTTGTTTCGTACTACCAAGACGACTGGTCGGACATGCTACCGATAATGGACTACGCTTAGCTGTGCCTCCCGCAAGCAAGCATAGGGATGTCACCCTACGAAGTGCTGTACGGCACTGCTCCCGTACTTCATTTCGACTAGAATACTCGTCCCGACAGCGATAATACTCCTAGCGCCAAGCTAAATAGAGAGAAAGCTCTAGTATTGGCCAGGAGGATGGACGAGGCTATTGCCATAGCCAGAAAGAACATGGAACAAGCTCAAAGCCGCATGAAGCGCTCGCAAGACGCTAGACGAAGAGTAGTTGACTAGAAAGTAGGTGACAGAGCCTACGTTACGATTACCCAGTATAATACTCAGCGCCCTAGCCGCAAGCTCGATAATGTACGCGCTGGTCCCTTCTTGATTCTTGAAAAGAAGGGCCACTCGTACAAGCTCGATTTGCCAGCTTCTATAAAGGTTTACCCCGTGTTTTTAGCCGATAAGTTGAGAAAGGACCCTGCGGATCCACTACTTGGGCAAGAGGAAGAGCCTCTGCCAGAGGTAAATATAACTGGTGATATCGAATGGGAAGTAGACGAGATCTTAGCCTCCAGACTAAGACGAAAGCAGCTGCAGTACCGAGTGAAGTGGCTGAACATGGACGAAGACCTAGAATGGTACCCGGCGTCCGACTTCAAATACGCTCCTAACAAGCTAATAGCGTATCACATGACCAATCCAAGCAAGCCTAGTCCCCTAGAGGCCCTTCTAGCTTGGAAGAAACAATTTGACGATGGAATTGACAATTATGATCACTTGGACAATGATAATTGGATGGATACAACGACGAGGACGTCGTTCTTCGGAAGGGGGGGATAATGTCACGGTTCTGGAGTCACGTGCCAGCTAAGGAATACTCACGTGACCGCTCGCCTGTATATATACCCTGCCTTTCGGCGCTTCCTTCCTTTCTTTCCTCTTTACCTTTAGATCCTAAGAGATAGCCTAATCGATTCCTCGTCTATGTACTTGAGTCCAACCGTGCTGTCACACCCGTGACAATTATTATATATATAAATTTTTAAAATCGTAAAATTGTGACAGCATAGTTGGACTCAAGTACGTAGACGAGGAATCGATTAGGCTATCTCTTAGAATCTAAAGGTAAAGAGGAAAGAAAGGAAGGAAGCGCCGGAAGGCAGGGCATATATATAGGCGAGCGGTCACGTGAGTATTTCGTATCGGGCACGTGACTCCATAACCGTGACAGAACGTAATTAATTATTTATAAAATATTTTTATAATTAAATTTTTTAATAATTAATTTAAATTTATCGGAAGTATAGGCTAGGCGCCACCCTATTGGCTAAGACCGGGCCGGAAGATCAGACAGGATTAGCGGGACTAGCCGTTTCGTATGGAAGCACGTGATATAAGCAGATTTATGCAGTAGCTAGTATATAACTCGTACGACGTAGTACGAGTTAAAGGGTAGACGCAATACCACGATTAGTACAGCACCTGCTGCTTGTTGCGGCCGCGTCTCACAGCACATGCAAATATCACGTGATTTACAGCTGAATACTGTGCTTCCAACAAAAAGTTTTGGATTTGGACGCGTTTTAGAGAAATGAGGCCGGAAAGATTAAGGCTCGGAACTTTGTCGTCGGGGAAGCTGTTAAAAGAGCCTCTATCGTTGAGTCGTTGTCGGCGCGCTGGAGGGGAGTTGTCCTCACTTTAACTATCTTGTTCCTTATCCTGGACGTCTTCCCTAGCAGCCCCACGGGTAGGTTGACGAGTACGAGATTGAGCAGTAGTAGCTCGGGCGGCAACCTTATTATAGCGCATAGTTTTGGCGCGTTTTTTATTACTAATTTTTTGCGTAGCTAAGCGTAGAGCCATAATAATAGCAATGAACGAAAAAACAAAAAGTAACGTTTTTCCGTGGATGAGGAATTGATGAAGAGATGAAGTCTTGGAAATACTTTTTTGTGGGCTGTATTTACGCTATAGCCGAAGTATTGCCTAGACTGATACTCTCGCTTATCCTCATACCCCACATAAAAACCTTACATTTATTCGGCATAGTGGACCTTTGACCGAGTAACGTCGCGATACATGGCACCTGCTATGTACCACATATCCTTGCGTGACTCCCAGACTGGCATAAATACGCAGATGACGAATGAAGCCCATATCCAAAGGAACGCTATCACGATGAACCCAGTAAAGAAATGCTCCGAGAAGTCATAGCCTATTCCGTAGAGTGAAAAGGGTATGACCTGGTTCGAAGCCAGCCGGAGTAGGGCGATATGTCCGAGGAAGTAGACTTACGATCATAAATATGAGGGTGCCAATAATAAGAGACAGCCACGCCATCCGTTTCTGGGACTTAACCTCGTCCAGAGTTAATGCCTCTTCAGGAACGTATTCTTCTCCTTCGATGGGTTTTAGATCTTGGGCTGCGACGTTCTCTTCGACAACTCTGCCTATCTTGTGGTCCGGCGATGCCTCCGAATCAACTGGCAGATCCGTTTTCTCGGCACGAGCTCCGCCAGTGGACTCAAGCTCTGGCGTTGCTTCGATGATGGCGAGCTTCTTCTTGTTGGGCACAAGGAATGTGAAGAGGATGACCCTGACACCTCCCATACCCAAAGACACACAGTCTCCCGTTAAAGAGCTCCAAACGTTGGAAGTTGTAGTAATGTTGATGACACCTGACCTCAACTGAGTAGCAACCATCCATGAGGTCAATCCGCAGACCAAGCCAATGATCGGAGACACAATGACAGCAAAAGTCGATGTCCTATCCCATAACAGAACACAAGCCATAGGGATAGTACCACCTCCAAGCAAACAACCAAGGATCTTGATCAGCCAATTCAGGGAGATGCCCACGGAATGGAAGATGCAAGAAATGGCTGCTAGGAAAGCACCATAAATGGCGAGCCCGAACACAGAAACCCAAAACATCGATCGTGTTGTCGCTTTCGGATTGATGTATGCCTTGTAGATATCGAAAGTGATGAGCGAAGAGGCAGCAATGCTCTCAGCAGAGGTACTCGAAGTAGTCGCCATGAAGACCAACACCACCATGAGTCCAGCTCCGACTTTGTTCATAAGCGCTATTGCAGCAGCAAGTCCGACAAGTCCAGCAGAGACTTGTGCAGCACTCAATTTGATAGGTAAGACAGAAGTGCCTGTGAGCGCTGCCGCAACGAGACCAAGTGTTGAGGACATTGCGAATGGAATAGCATACCATGCAAAAGAACCAAGAACATAGCCTTTCACAGCCGTGGCAGGTTGGGAAGCGATCGCTCGTTGCCAGTATGCTTGATCGGTCCAGACTGCGGAGAAGCCACTCAAGAATATAGTAGCCGCAGTGACAAGGCCATCTCTTGAGTCAACAGTCATATATGAGCCCGTTTGAGAAAGTCAATTTCCATCCTCTGGAAAGTCTTGACGCCGTTACACTTATACACTGACTAAGAGTGGCCGACTTACCATTATAAGAGTCTGCCGGCGATGAGACTTCCTTATCTTTGAGCAATTTCCAGAGCTCGGCAGGAGATCCTATGTTGGGATTGATTGAGTATGTCTGAAACCTACTCGCGAATCAGTATGTATTCCACAGATCTATCGTGGAGCCGCAGAGCCTTCTCGAAACAGTGCTCCGAGAAGACTTGGTTCTAATATTGTCCTTCAAAGCAAGAGTGGCTCTCCAATCCATGCAATAAGAGTTGATGGTCCTTTGAGGGAATAGAAGTCATACCACGTGACTTTGGCCAAGTTGAACTGGATTTGTGATTTGACTTACATGAAAGCAAAAATGCAGACGTAGAGAAATATAGTGTGTAAGTAGTCACAGATGCATGGTGAACTATTAGCAAACTGGTTGCCCGGATGGGATCAATACATACAACGTTGCTCTGAGTCCGCCAACAACGATGTACGCTGTGACGATGGCTGGTAATATCCAATATGCGGCCCATATGTTCATACCGGTCAGAGAATAAAACACTGCGGATCCTCCAGCCATTAAAGCACTGCTGTTGATGAGATTGGTAACCAGACCAAAGAAGGTAAACACGCAATGAGCGATGGCTCCATGCTTCTGTAGCACAATTTCTGGGCTGTTGTGAGATCAAGCTTCAGTCTGGACTAATTTGGCTTACCAGGGAATGTATGAGCATTGTTACTTTTCTCTTTGATCTTGAAAGCTGCTACGGCAAAGAACAAAGTCTGAAACGTCCCTACAGCTCCATACCACAACTCACCTCCAACGCCATACGAGTAGGACAACGTGCAGCTCGTGAGCAGCGTTGATCTGCGACGAATCAGCATAGAAACACTAAAATGGAAACCAAAAACTCTGGGAGCTAGGAACTATCTCAAGAGCTTTCATGTTAATGCATTTCGGTTGTAATATGCCCCGGCTCTGCCCTGCTCCCAGCTCCCTCCCAGAGCTCTCATATAAGAGAACAGTAGTTTGGTAAAGAAGTTTGTGCATACGCATGAGTCCAACTCGATAAAATCCCTGCCGCAATCATGCCTGGCTTGACAGATCGTGATGCCGCATTAAATTCCTCTGCCGACTTGAAAGTGTTGTGTTTCCCATATCGATTTTGTATCAAACTGAGTACTATCATGATCAAAGTGAATCCGATGCCGAGACCGATGACTATGCCATATCCCTCTCCTGGAGAGAGGAGTTCGAGATTGGCGACTGCCATGACTGAAAGGCTGAGTTGAAAACCGTACTTTTTAACCAAATAATTTCTGTACTCGGCCCCAGACATTCGGGGCATTGCCCACTTATACCTTTGGCGAAGCATGGCTTTTCTGACTTCACCAGATTCAAGACCGATAGTATGCACATTTCCTATCTCCGGGCCACTTAGCACTATCTGTGAGATATGGTTTCAGTGGAGCACGAAGAAAAGTGTACATGCTCTCCTGAAAATGGGGGTGAGTCGAAGTTAAGTTTGGCAGTGATCGACGACGCACGTAGTGCTCTCTTCGGGTACTTTGCCGAGCTCTCTGAATGTTCCCAGGAACCCAGGATCAATGAGGTTCCGAAAAAGTATAAACCAATGATATGGTTAAGCGCCAAGAAGTGTGAACTATCGAGTCACCAAAAGACGATACACTAACAAAGTTCATCGGCTAGGATGCCGACGGAAATATTTAAGCGAGCAGGTCAAAGATGCATCAATACGTTTCAACAAATCATAGATTTCAGGAAACATGCGGAGCGCCGAGCAACCCAGTGCCGTGACTATGGGTGATATCCTTATCAAGTGCAAGGGTGGGATAGCTCCCCGACGGCCTAGCGTCGAGACTGACGTATGTGAACATAATGCGAGTCAAAACTGCAGAAGAAAAGGGACTTGGGAGCTAACAGACAATTCGCACCACAGAGCAAAATGTCGGAATTTCAAGATCTTGCAGGTAGAGCTCACGCGGATCGGACCTCGAATGATGCTGACTTGGGATGACCAGATAATTACAAGCGCTGTTATGGCAAGAACAAGCTCAAGTTCGGTTCTAAGCCAGTACTTGTGGTAATCGATTGTGTCAAAGCTTACCATGAGCCGTCCTCTCCATTATACGCCCCCGAACGATTCGACATCGCTTTGAAGTCCATTATTCGCTTGATCGAGAAATGCAGAGCCGTGGGAATTCCAGTCGTGTATTCGTCAGTGATTTTCGAGAGCCCCACTGCAGGTGGAAAGTGGTACACAGAGAAATTACCGAATGTTTTGTGTTGCTATGATGCTGGAAATCCCTTTCGGGAATTTGCGGAAGGAGTGAAGCCCAGGAAAGACGAAGTTGTCGTGCTCAAGCAATACTCAAGTAGTTTTTTCGGGACCAGCCTGAGTAGCTTACTTACCAGTCTGGGATGCGATAGCACGATCTTGTGCGGATATTCGACTAGCGGTTGTGTGAGAGCTACAGGTAGGTGCGATAACAATGACGTGCTTCTGAGGCTGACAGCATCAAGCATTGGATTCCATGCAGTATGGCTTTAGCCCATTTGTTGTGCGAGAGGCGTGTGGTGACCGGCACCAAGCTGTCAATGACAGCAATTTGTTCGATATGGACCAGAAATTTGCCGAAGTAGTGTCCGAGGAAGCGATTATGGCAATGATTGATAGTAAATAAGGAAATAAAAAATCTAGGCTGTAGCTCTAGTTCAGGCATTGGCATATGGTGCTGGAGATAATGGGTTCGTTGCTTATGTGTTGAATTCGTGTTGTTTGATGACGAGCTTTTTGTAGAACTCTTGGTCATAGGAAACGCATTCCAGGTACTCATACCAAAGTCTAAACGTCTCTCCACGTCCATTGTCCGCCTGAGACAAATCAGTTACTGTGAAGGGTCACAATGTACAGTACAGAACTAGATATACCTTCTCCAGAGCCTCCAACACTCGCGCCTCTTCAATTTCCTCTGCTTCCGCCTCGGTTATTGGGCGTTGAATTGCAAGATCATCGTCGTCTTCAACAATATCTGGGTCGTAAGCTAGGAGATCCTTCCTGCCCTTCGGCAGCCAACCAATCGCTACTCGTGGCCAGCCATGGACAAGTGCGTTCAAGGCCATCTGCGATTTCGGTGTATGGCGCGTGGCTCTTCCTAAGTATTTTGCCCAGTACTGGTTGACATGTTTTGGGACTTGTGAGATCTCGCTCCCACCAATCAGATCAAGTTCGCGAGGTTCTCGGTAATATCCAAAATATCGGTAACCTCCTTCTGAGTGTTGTATGAATAGGGGAAATTCTCCTAAAGATTCATCGCCGGAACGAGGAATGCACGATATTTGAGCACCATGCTGTCCAGGATGCCTAGGTAGAAGTGGATCATGGTTGGGGTTGAGGGCTTTGAAGGCGATTACATCCGGGAATAGACGGTTCGTGCGTGATTTTGGCGGGACGGCATAACAGCCTTCTGCGCGAGCATGTCCACCAAGGACCCTCTTCAAGAAGGCAAGTGTGAAAGCTTGATTAGGCTGTCTGGAAATTTGGACATTTGGCAACATCTCCAGCTGCTCAATAAATACAGGCATTCGCATACCTTGGTATAAGGTGATGCTTGTCTTTGTGAGCTCCACTAGTTTCTGATCTTCTTCAAAAAGAGCCTCCAGTCGTTGGCCAGCCAATACCTGAATAACTTCTTGCAGATTATGTCTTTGTTCAGGAGTACCACTTTTAGGACACTGTTAGCTTCAGCCACCAGTCTACGAGATCTAGACTCACGTATTGTAGACAGTCAACTCGTCCGTCCCATCTCTTTCGAAATCTTTCTCGAGGCTGACAACGTTCCTCTTGGTAGAGCTTCTGTCAAGAGGAGCGATTTGGCTATTTGTAGCAGTGGACATGCCACTGTCTGGACTAGGCTTGTTTGCATGTCTCACACCAGGAGATCTGGCCAGAGTGAGCCTGACGTCCTCCGGTTGCTCTTCAGCAATTCGCTTCGATATGCTTCGGGTGTGATCGAACTTGTTGTTCTCGAGTATAGTAAAAGCCTTACTTAGATAATCCCTGGCATTGTTGGCATTAGTATTTGATCATCACTTGAAAGGGGCTATACTAACGTCTCTCTCCTCCTGGCTTTGAGATTGCAGGTCGACACCATATCTTCCACGAAATTGGCACTCTGTTGCGGGTCTGAAAATTCCATGTAAAGTTGTCGTGGGTTCAAATTGCGATCTTGGTGATGGCTGTGGGCTATTACCTTGGGATCGCCAATAGTGTAATCGATGGAGGAGAAGGGTGCCGTTAAAATAGCCTGGACATGTTCACCCCGCTCGTCAAATAAGATGAAGAACTTTTGTTCGCTTTCATGTGTCATCGTCCATGTCTTGTTGGCCGAGTTGTCTAACAACATTTTCGCCTCGCCGAAAATCTGGCGTAACTCGTAGGTGTTTGGGCTTATTTTTGCTCTCTTGTGGGGTGATGGTGGAGAAGACATCGTTAGTTGACTTCGCTTCCGATCCGCCATGATACTCGAGATCGTGGTTTCCAGAAATGTAGGATAGTTCTCCTGAGGTCTATATGTTGTTTGCGATGTTTTCCGGACGCTGGGCTTGTCGGAAAGAAAGGCGCGTTGTAAAGTGAACCGGAGAAGTGGTTGGTGGAAGGATGCTTGGAAGTTTGTAGAACTGAATGCGGAAGGAAGCGGTGGAGCGAAAGCTGTGCGTCTCAAACTGGGGGAAAGACCGTACTGTTTCAGAGTCTGTGGGACAATACAATGATATAAGTCCTAGCTACCTTGCAATGTGGGGAATAAAATAGTTAACAACTATCCAGCTTTCCCTTGTATTCTAAGAAATCTTCTTTCTCCAGAATATTGACTTGGAATGATCCTGAATCTCAAGTTAATATATCTTATATACTAGTCTCGGCGAGATTCTAACTTCAGCTCGAACTCGACTGTCATTTACAAAAAAGAAAGGGAATCCGTGACTCCATGGATGCCGAAGGCATGCTATGCCATCCTGCTATGCCATCCCACAGAGTGCTCTCTCCGCCATTTCGACGGTCTGTCGGAACTAGTTGCTTAAATGTATGTCTTCCACACGTGTACCTATACATACTTATATGCGGCTCTCTAGACGGGAATTGAGGTTGACATAAATCTGGAACGATTTTTCCTGGTAATGTGCCAGAATCTGCATGTGTTACTTCGCTTTACAGCTTCAATAGATACAAGAGTACTTGAGATATGGCTCCTGCTTCGAAGTGTCGTAACATCAAGGCATTTGAAGGACTCTGGAATCATGGAACATTGGTAATAGGTACATCCCGTGCCATGAAGGTGAAAGGCACGGGCCACTCCAACGCGTCTTCCCGTGCCAAAATCCGGAGCCGCAAAGACAGTCCACTCCATAATGTCAGTCTCTTCGAAGCACTCACAAAACACATAACCCCGCGATATCCAATGCCAATCTGCATAGAATGTCGTTATCCTGTCAAGGCCCTCTACACCGAGTACTCCGGTGCCGATGATCGCTCCAGCGGCCATGGAGTACGGCTCACTGTCTGCAAGAACTGCGGGAGGTTCTGCGACAAATACGTAGAGCATGACTTTGTGGTTCTATTTATTGATCTAGTTTTGATCAAGCCACAAGTATGTAGAGCTTAAGAAATCTTGCAGATGTTTCTGACAGTCATAGGTCTACAGACATCTTCTACATAACACTTTGATGCGAGAGCAGGACCAATTCGATGTGAGATTCCGCGCTTCATTATATCTAATACTTCTAACCGTCTACCAGCCCTCCATAATCCGCCTTGGTGTCTTACTCCTCCTCTTCGACGTCTACCTAACTTGGGCACGGATCGAGAAGCAAACATCCAGTACCGCCAACTCCTCTAGCGACGATAACTTCCTCTTATTAGCCCAACAACCAATAGTCTTTCAATACGTCTTCTTCCTTATACTCTGCGCCCTCTCAACACTAGCTTTCCACCTCTCGATACGTTTCCTCACCTCGTCTCCCTTCTCACCACTTGTCCTATTCGGGTTTATACCTCGATATCCACGCCCAAATTCTGTGAGCACGGCGTTGCTAGTGTCATCTTCTACGAAGCTGTTTCCTATCTTGATGGTCATCTGGGAATATGATGTGCCAGCAGCAGCTAGGTCACTCGGTTGGGCAGTTGTTGCAAACAATGTGGAAGCTTTGAAGATCTTATTGGATTGTGGGTATGGGACGGCTGGGATTTTGGCGACTGTTGGTGCTATTAGTAGGTGGATGGTAGGCAGAGGGATTCTTTGGGCGGTGGGCCTGGATGGTGTCGATACTGTCGGAGATTCTGGTGTTGCTGATGATGGCAAGGCGCTTTGGGCTCTGGTAGAGTTGGGAAAGGTATGGGGTGGCAGATTGGGTTTAGGATAGCCAAGCCATTCGAAAGCATTATACCATTGGTCTGCAACTTCTCGAGCAGGGCAAAATTCAAGCCATGATAGCAATGTGCCAAGTTGTTCACAAGTCACTTTCCTTCAAGTGTGAAAATCTCATCTGCCAGGTATTGTATGGTATCCATTATGTTTCAGCAATTGCTCTCCGTCATGCAAGCCTAATCTTCCCATTCGATATCAAATACACGGCATGTGAAGCCTGTTCCGAATCCCCAATCTCTTAACGCCAGAAATATACATCCATGCAGCTCTTTCATCGACTCCAATCTTCCTTTTTCAAGCAGGGCGATAGTTCTCGTATACTGCGTGACTTCTGAGGCCGGAGGCTCGAGGCTCGATGAGGGGATGCCATTGTGCTAAGAAGGTAATGACTATGATAATGTCAGCATCTGCATTGGAAGCTAGAAGTCCCTCTCGCGTCTGCGAGTTAAGGGAAGGGTCCATACCCCACATAAGATAGCAACTTGCGAAAGAGAGGATCAGAGAGCTTCGCCAGATTCTGGAACAAAAGTTAGCGGTTTGCCCCAACATCAGTAATGGTATTTACAGCTACATGAAGGCTGCAGAATTGGAGGAGATAGACAGGACATACGTCTGTGTTTCGCCCTTAGGTGAAAGGAACCATCCCGCTGCACAAGCCAGGGCGACTACAACGAAACCGATGAGAATGCTCCAGCTATCATGACGAATTAGCATCAAAGTCTCCCTAGCAAGTTGGTCGAGGTAGGGTAAAGTGTATGGGATGTCTGGAGATTCTGCATACCCGTTCGCCATTTTGTCAAGAAGTCGTTCAGCTTGTAGTGGTAGCTTGATGATGCAGGTTGACCTGCTAGATATCACAGGCAGTCGAATTGACCGGGACGGGAAGCTTGGGCCTGTCGGGTCACGGGATTCCGAATGGGCTTGCTTTTTCCGCGACACAAAAACCTCCCAAGACATCTTGTTTTCATGATTTCAACTTCATAATTAAGGGTTACTTGTATTGTTCATAAGTCTACTTCTCGAATTTCAGACCAGCTTCTTGTCTCACGGCACCATAAATTCCAGCAATATCTCCTTTCTCACCCTTGTGTTTCTTTACTTGCTCCAAGTGTGCATCTGCTACCTCAACATCTCTGAGTCGAGTCCCAGATGCTTTTGCCAAAGCCATAGCATGTCGGGCATCCTTTCGAGCCAAGTCGACTGCAAATAGTGGCTCCTCGCGGTTGTAGTCGCCTGACATCATTCTGTTTGAATAGGCTGTGTATGGTCCTGGAAACATCGTCTCGATGAGCTGATGTAGGTTCTCGCTACCCAAACCGGACTTCTCTGCCAATGTATGTCCTTCTGATAATGCTTCGACCATGTTGAGAACGAACGTGTTACCAATGATCTTCAAGAGGGTGGCTTGTCCGACCCTTTGGCCACCAAAATCGACGAATGCTCTTCCCATGACTCCTTTGGTGTATGGCTTCACTTTTTCGACACTTTCTTTTGGTCCAGCCAACACGCAGACAAGTTGTCCGTTGTCTGCCATCGCTGGTGCTCCAAAGACTGGACATGCAACGAACTCAGCACCAGCACCAGTGACTTTCTTTGCCAACTCGTCCGAGGTCTCAGGATGTACAGTGGAGCAATCGACGAATAGCTTTCCCTTCGCCTCGACCTTCAACGCTTCATTGATTGTTTCATTGATAGCAGTATCGTCACCAACGCAGGTGAAGATAATGTCCGCTTCGGAGACAACATCTTTGATCGAGGTAGCTACTTTCGACTTTCCGGAAGGAAGTAACTTGTTGAGGTCTTCGGAACGCTTCGTTGTACGGTTGTATATGATTAAGGGCTTATCAAGCTGGCCTTTCTCAACCAGATTCTTGCACATGCCCTAAAGAATCGTAAGCTAGTTTTGCAATTCAAACGTTGAAGCTATAAACTACCCTACCCATGTTGCCAAGACCAATCCATGCTAATTGAGGAGCCATTTTGTCAGTTATGTTGAGAGGAAACAAGTTTTTTAGATCCTACGTTTGGAAAGTGGCAGCTTCAAAGACTCCGGTTTTAGCAATTGCAATAACGTCACCCGAGGAGCTCTAATTTTTGGCCGAAGGAGTAAATGCCGGCAGGGGCTTTAAAGTTGCCGACACTTGAAGCTAGGGAAAATGCGGCTCTTGTCCATACTCTTGAACAATTGTACGCGTGTTGCACTAATGTTCATTAGTTCACTTCAAGCCATAAAGCATGTACTTGAGATTGGCTTGCAGGTTCAAGTAATTGAGCACGAACGTGGCGTTGACAATGAGCAGTGAAGCTTATCGATAAGAAAATTAGCTTCCGTTCCGATGCTCGGACGAAAAGATCAGCGAATTCCTTTGCAGCAAGCAAATTACCCCACGTCACGAGCCATGGTGAAATCCAATCCCTCTCCAACTTCATGATCATCTCATTATATTCTCTATTATAGTAGACCCTCAATATGCACAATGATCTTACCAGAAATAGCCTTGAAAAAGGGCAGACAAGTGGTTGGTCATAATGTGAGTCAGTCCTTGTTCTTGCGGTGAACATTCCCCTAATTCGAATAGATACAATCATGGGCGAAACAAAGCAAAGTCTGCAGAGGTAGTCTTGATAGTGATATACGTTGTTATGGCACCGAAAGAGGTCTAGCAACCCAATTAAGGGAGGAGCTTGCTAAGGAGCATGTGAAAGACCTCTCGAAACAGCAGAAGGCAAAGAAGGAAGCCAGAGCCATTGACAAGGTAATCAGCACTGTTCACCTTGACAATAAAGCTGTCCACCTCACTCACTACTGCTAGGATTTTTTCATGTCAGTTTTAGGCTCTTCTGCCACTAAAAGGGAAGCTAGATCATACCTGCAACGATTCACACCATCGAAAGACTCACAACTCAAACCGAAGTTTGTAGATACGAAACCTGTACGAGGAAATGAAGTCAACCTTGGTGGCTTGTATGGGCCTACAGCAGTCGAGCAGAGCCCTCAATTCATACAACAACCAGACCGGATAGCAAAGCTCCCAGTGGAATCACAACTGCATATTGCTTTGGTCAAACTTAGAGCACCACAAACTTTGGACGATGAAACCCTTACAGGGATTGGACGGACATTGTCACAACTAGGTAGACTGGGCTTGATCAGTGTGGTAGTCCTCGACTGTAATGTTGAGGCTACTCCTGTGTCTGGAAGACAAAGCCGTGAACCTGATTGGCGGCAATTGGAAACTGCACAAGCAAACAGACTTGTTGCTGCGATTGATGGCAGTGGAGAGGCCGATGCAAGGCTTGTGGACAATGTCATTGGAATATCTGAAAGTCCAGGGGCTCCAGCTTATGCTCAGACCAAAACGCATATCACCCTTCGAAAACTTCTCATGACTCCTTTGAGACGAGGAATCATACCCGTCATTCCTTCAGTCGGCTATACCGACGTTAGTCAGACAGCCGTCCCCGTTGATGCTTCTGATATCGTCTTGGCTCTTACAAAAGAACTTGCTGGAATTCCTTCTGCTCTTCTTCCAGATGAGGATCCAAACGATACACGAGACCGCCTCCGAGCTCTTCGTGAAGAAGTATCACTCGATCGACTCATCATCCTAGATCCATTAGGCGGTGTCCCTGCATTGGATCGGCCCAATGGTTACCATGTATTTTTGAACATGGAGCAAGAGTTTGAACCTGCCAAGGAACAGCTGCAGAAAGTCTTGCAAGAAAATGAAGAAGAGATGTCCTTGGGATCCGAGTCTATCAAACGGAAGGTTACTGATTTGGCCATGGGAAATCCATTCTCCAAATTTGCGGAGACCGAATTCGGGGTAGCAGGGCGATCAGTTGACGCTGGGTCTCTGCCAGAAATCAGAAGCAAATCCAAGACTGATACTTGGCATCATCTTCAGAATCTTCAACTCGTTCGCTCAGTCCTTGCCATGCTACCTCCCAGCTCGTCAGCATTATTGACAACACCTGAAGAGGCTGCAAACTCGGGCAAAGATGTGCCTTTTCAAGCTGCTCGAGTTGGGACCAGAAGGCAACGGAATCCTCTCATCCATAATCTACTTACAGACAAACCCGTGTTTTCTTCTTCATTGCCGGTCGGTCGCTTGGGCCCTCAAGTAGTAGTCACTGAACCGGTATCACCTGCTGAAAGCATCACACCAACCACGTTTGCAAAACATGGCATATCCGTTACGATCTTTCCAGACCCGAGGATAAGTCCTTGGGAGCCACCAATGCCAGGGAAGTCTCACCTGACGCTGACAGACTCACAAATTGACTTGCCTCGCCTGGTACATCTCATCGAGGACTCGTTTGGAAGAAAGCTTGATGTTGAAGACTATCTCAAACGTGTTGATGGCAGAATAGCTGGAGTAATCATCGCGGGAGAATATGAAGGCGGAGCTTTGTTGACATGGGAAACCCCCCCTGGCGTGGAGGACGATGGATCTCCAGAGAGCAGAGCACGAATGGTGCCATATCTTGATAAATTTGCAGTTTTGAAAAGAGCACAGGGAAGCGGAGGCGTTGCGGATTTGATATTCAAGGCAATGGTCCGGGATTGTTTCCCTGATGGCTGTGTTTGGCGCAGTAGGAGAAACAACCCAGTGAACAAGTGGTACTTTGAGAGATCTCGAGGCACTTGGAAGCTTCCTGGTACTGGATGGGCTATGTTCTGGACGACTCCGGAGTTGAGCATGGATAAGCAGCTCTTCTTGGATTACGAAGGAGTTTGTCGGGGCATAGAACCATCCTGGGCTGACAATAAGGCAGTCTTAGACTAGGTTCGAAAGCAAAATTGTTAACCAATCATATTTGATTGACTGCGCTGCTCGTGATTCTGCATGATATCCATGAAACATAGCCAGCTGTATTTTTGTAACCTCGACCTGAGGACAAGATAACCATGTGCCTTGTTATTAGCCCTAATTTGATCAAGGTGGTCACCCTCACATGAAATGCTCCCCACCCAAGGACTAATAAACAACACAAGACATCAGCCAAAAGAACCAATATCTCTAAGCATTACAACAATCAGGATTTGATATTTGTGTCGTAAGCCAACATAAATCTGCGTGAATCCTCCAAATCAGGACAGTCACTCGCTATCACGTGCAACGGATTACGAGGCTCGCCAATTCCTAAGAGCTCAAACGGCAGCCATCCGTCAACATAACTGCTCACCTCATAAGACCCATATTCATCAGACTACGTCGCATCTCTAATCGTCAAGATGGATAAAGTTTCAGCATTCGGAAAGAACTTCACGTAAGCCTTCCTATCGAGCTGGAATGCTCAAGTCAACACCAACTGCTATCTGGCTGCCTTGAAGCTATACGATGCTAACTATGGTTTCGCAGGGCCTCATTCACACCATTCGCCGCCCGCACACAGCAATATGTGAAGGAACAGCTTGGACAGGCTGAGGATAAGGTTGGAATAGCTTTGTAGCTTTGTGCTGGAGCTATATCTAATCTGCTTGCAGACCCAACTTCCCCCTGATTACATTGAATTGGAGAAGAGAGTCGATGCCTTGAAGCAAGTTCACCAGAAGATGCTACAAGTCACGTAAGTACTCTCTCTCTCTATATCCAGACTACATATCCAGAACGTTCGTAGCTGATGTCGTCTCTCCGCAGATCCCAATACTCCCACGAAGCATACGATTACCCTGCAAACATCAAGGAAAGCTTCGGTGATCTCGGTCGCACAGTCAGCGAGAAAGTCCACCTTCTATCTACTGCCACCTCCCCTGCCGAAGCTCAAGCTGCTCTCACTGCTCCTCCCTCTGCGAAGCCACAACCCAAGACATTCAACCATGCCATCGCGCGTGCCAGTCTGGCAAGCAGTCAACTCCTCCAACAACAAAACTCTGGGACTGGAGAGGATCCCCTTGCTACGGCTTTGGAGAAGTATGCATTGGCTAGTGAGCGTGTAGGTGAGGCTAGACTTGCTCAAGACTCCCAAATCCAGAGCCGTTTCCTTGCTGGTTGGAGCACGACTCTGAATACGAACTTGATGTTCGCAACCCGTGCCAGAAAGAGTGTCGAAAACTCAAGACTGATGCTCGATGCCGCCAAGGCAAAGGCTAAGACTGGCGGGTGGAAGCTTCCAGGGCAGAAGCCTACTGACCATGATGGCGAGGATCCTTCAGAGGAGGCTAGAGTTGAGATTGAGCAGGCTGAGGATGAGTTTGTTGGTCAAACTGAAGAAGCTGTTGGCGTCATGAAGAATGTGAGCAACCCAGTACCCCTTTAAAGTCTTGATACTGATTATCTTAGGTTCTCGATACCCCAGAACCCCTTCGTAACCTTGCTGATCTGATTGCCGCCCAACTCGAATACCATAAGAAGGCATATGAGATCCTCAGCGAGCTCGCGCCCGTTGTCGATGGTCTTCAAGTTGAGCAAGAAGTACGTCGGTCCGAGGCATTCTCCGCTTGATATGGTCGCTGATGAAGCATTTGCAGGCCAGCTACCGAAAGAGTCGTGAAGGAGCGTAGAATTTGCTCTGACTGGGGTGGCAGGAGACACAAGACTCATTCTCGTCAACGAGAAGCAGTGCGCATCTGTTTTGAATCTTTTCGCGGAGGGCTGGTAGCTACAGGCTATCTCGTTACGTTTCGGATCACTTTTTTCTTGGGCGTCGTTTTCCCCTGGTGTACTTCGAGACAATCGATGAGATTCCCCGTCTTCTTACTCTATACCAGTGTTTGTCTCTCAATTCAATAGCTTTTGCCACTAATACCCGCCTCCATATCTCACCATCCATGGGATATTGAAACCTTTGGAGAGAAGCACTCACGGATTGTAATCTGATTGTTTCCCTCTTTCCTATTTTGAGTTGGTGCTTGCAGCTTCCGCTGCACTATGACAAGCTTTCTGGCCACCACGAATCACACAGCTTTGATACATGGATCGTCATAAAACTCATCATCAGGGATTTCCAAAGCGAAGCACAAATCGTGCCATGCACACTAATTGTCTTTATTAATCGCCCTGAAGTTATCTTCCATCTCAATTCACATCCAATATGCTTTAAATTCTCCTTGTCATATTCCTCTCCCACCCCGATATGGCTTCCGCACCTCCAGCCCTTGACCTGTCCTCCGCCCCAGCAGAAGATCCTCCCAATCTCTCTGGTGGAGAAAAAGACGCAGAAGCAACACTGTCAGATCACCCCATAGCACCTGATCAATTCGACCCGAAATGGGAAACCGATAAATGGGAGATATGGAGCTACTATGCGTATTATATTGGGAATAATGGGTTGACGCTTTTTAATTTCGCGCCGACTGCTTTCCAGAATTTGTTGTATCAGGCTGCGGGGGATGGGACGAGTCTGAGGTTTGCGGGCAGGTGAGTGTTCTTGTAGAGGGGAGGGAGGAAAGAAGGTGAGGCTGATGGGATGTGTTAGAGAGAGGACGATTAATAGTATTGTGTTGTTGTCGAATGGGATTAGTTTTGCGCTACAGATCGTGGTATTCTTGTTTCTGGGCAGTTTTGCGGGTGAGTTTGATGTTCCGAGTTGAGGTTAAGTGCTGAAGAGAGTAGATTTCGGAACCTGGAGACCGAACATTCTGATTGTGCTATCTCTGGTTGCTTGGGGTATTGGGTTTGGATGGTTGGGTGTTCATGATGCGTCCAAGTGGGAAATTGCTACTGGGATGTACATCGTTGGGCGTAAGATTCAAACTTAACCACGTGGTGTGGGACTGACTTGATCAGTCATCGCATACCAAACAACCTTGACATTCTGGACTGCTGCGTATGTATCCAGACTGGAGACTTAATTCGAGAAGCTGACAATACGAAGCTTCCCAGGTCTAGCACGAAATACTCCTGAACTTCGCCATAAAGCAGAAGAGTATCAAGCCGGAGAAATTACTCGAGAACAATACGACTATGCAGACAGTCTAAAGAGGTCTGAACTGTCTAATATGGCGTTCTACATTCAGTCTCTCGGGGAGATCATCATCTTAGCAATCATTGTTGGGGTGCTTTTCGGTGTCAACGTCAATGCTTCAACCGCAAACAACAATTGGGGATTGTCGGTCCTTATTGCTTTTGCGACGGGTATGTGGGTCTTGCTAGCTATCCCATGGTTCCTGAAAGAAAAACGAAGAGCTGGTCAAGAGGTATGTACCCTCCATGTCTAACTCAATTCGAATACTGAAAGGAAGAGAAGATTCCACCCGGGATGAACATCATATCGGTGGGATTCTGGCAATTGTATCGAGCTCTCCGTCAAATCTGGCATCTCAAGCAATCCCTAATATACCTCATCGGCTATTTTCTCCTTGGAGACTCACTTAACACAAAGTAACTGTCATCGCTACGCTGCAAAACAGCATTGTAGCCTACAACACCCTTGAACTAACCTACTTGTTCATCGTCGGTATAGCCGCGCAAGCCATCGGCATCTACTCCTTCTGGTGGGCCCAACGCCACTACCGCCTCTCCACCAAAACCATGTTCAACATCGTCGCCTTCGGGATCATCATCCTCGATTTCTGGGGTATGATCGGGATCTGGACTCAAAAATTCGGCTTCCACCACGTCTGGGAAGTCTGGCTCTACCAAGTGTATTACGGGCTCTTCGTCTGTCCTTGGTATTCCTACTCTCAAATCATGATTTCGGAAGTCACGCCCAGAGGAAGGGAATTCTTGTTCTTTAGCCTGTTTAGTATTATTGGGAAGACGAGTAGCTTTATTGGACCCCTCGTTAGCTCGGCGATTATCGATGCGAGTCCGAACGGGAATAATTCTACGCCGTTTTACTTTTTGACGGGGTTGAGTGCTGTTAGTTTCTTGGTGTTGGTGTTGTTTGTGGATTTGGAAAAGAGTCGTAGGGAACAGGAGGCGTTTTTGGAGAAGGAGGAGGAAGCGAGGAGGAAATTGGTGGGTGTTAGTGGAGAGGTTGTGGAAGATGATGTTATGCCTAGTGGAGGAGATGAGGAGAAGAAGGGATGAATAACATGTTGGGCCGATAGACTTACACTTATGACAGTTCATAAATTCCTCAGTGTTCTTACAGCTGGGGGGAGTCCAGTCTCTATGATTGATTCAGACATTGTGCTTATTAAAACTCATGAGACAGTGTCGGCAATCTTGGGAATTTGAAGTATCAAAGCTCTCGCCTACATTATCTCTGCAACAGGTTAAATGTATTTGGAAGGACATTGTATGACTTCTTGCGAAATTAAAGAAAGTAAGACTCGATTGCTATGCAGACATGACTATTACATCACTTCCCTTCTCAAACCCTTTTATTGCCTCCAAGCAGCAGTCTCAACCTTCCTATCCCAGCACCTCAATGCCTCCTCCCTACTCAGTGGGCCCTTCTCCCCCTCACCTGGCAGCCTCCAAACCGTAAACCCGAACCCACTCTGCTTCAAACTTGTTACCATTGGCCCCAATGTCAACCTCACAACCTCAATACCCTGACTTTTCAACTCCTCAATAGCTAACTCAGCAAATCTAGCTAGTACCTCATCCGAAGTACTCCCTGAACTATTGACTAGCAGAACAACTTCCTCTTTTCCGCCTTTGTTGAAAGGGATGAATGCCCGGTCGGAGTCAGATGTGTCTGTTAAGAGCGCAATCATTTCTTTGATCAAAGCTTCCGGGCTGGGAACGGGTGATATTTGGCGGAGACCTGGTTCGCCGTGGCAGCCCAGACCGAGTTCGATGGTTGAGGGAGGGAGGGTCTGGATTTCTGTTATGATGTTGTTCGGGAGTGCTACTCTACATTATATCATCTCAGAATTGTCTTTTTGCAGGGAGAGTAGAACTTACCGATCAAAAGCAACAGCAATAGTGCCCGAATTCCCAGCAATATAGTCCATCACATCACCAACTCTCTCAAGACTCTCTCCTCTGTCAGCCAATGCACACACGATTTTTAATCCTACTACATGACCACTCAATCCTCTCCTCCCTACCTTCCCACCTTTCTTCCTACCGACAGCAACATCGTCTCCGATTGGAATGAAGCGGACTTTATATCCTGCTGCCGTGGCGCGTGTTATGGCTAATCCGGCATTCAGGATATCACCTGTGTAGTTTCCGCAGACGATCAAAGTACCTGGAGAAGAGCCTGGAGTGGGTTGGCAGACCTGGATGGCGCGGAAGATTTGAGCAGCAGTTGGAGAAGCGAATATGTTTCCAGAGACAGAACAGGAGAGGAAGGATGGCCCGACAAAGCCGGAAAACATAGGTTCGCTATGTTAAAAAATTAATGAATGTTCAAAATTTGTTTTTAGAAAATGAGAGTGAAACTGATGGGAAGATTCTGGGTGATTGAGGTGAAGGTGAAAAAGCTTTGTATGCTCGGACATTGACAACAATGGAATTGTACCACAATCTCTCAGAGCTTCAGCATCTGCGAATGTCCTTTCGAATCCCAGAATTTTAAGTCTCCAGAATGTCCAAATAAAAGTTCACACTTACTGTCCACCTCCAGCAAACCCAATTGTTGTTACATGATCTCTCCGAAAGCTCTCCAAATCACTCCGATACACAATCTTATGTGCAACCTCATAAGAAAGGGTTGGATTGTGTTCCGTTAAGCCAATAGCCGCTTCATTAATCGCGTCCGCAGGATCATTGATGAAATGAAAAGTTTCCTTCGTTGGCTGTTTCGTTTGTGTTTCTGTCGCCATTTTCTTTTATGTGAGGGGTCGAGATGTGGGGTTGCGGGGTAGTTCCTCAATCATCAAGTTGAATATTGCGGTTTTGTATGGGAGGGAAATGGATTTTATATGACTATGAAGATGAGGAGAAACAGAGATTGTTGAGGGAAGGTAAAGCGAAAGAAGGGGAGAGAAATTTACATACAAGGAAGGGTCGTATGGGTTCTTGGGAAGCTGTACCCCATATTTCTTGGCAGGATTGCCTGTTTGGGCATTCCGAGGTGGGGAAGCTCTGGCCCTGGATATTTTTAGGGTCGTTGCACGAGAGCAGATGGCATTCTTTCAGACCACATCTTGAGCTTTTCTCTTCTTTTGAGCAGTTTCAAAATTCTCTTTCGCATTGAGAACTCTTTTTACGAACTACAATAATGTCTCTTGTCGTCGACCAAACACTTCCTTACACACACCAGCAACTCCAATTCGATGACCCAAATCGATGGAGTAGACTATTTCCCTTGATGCGACCTTCAGTCAGGGCAATTGATATATCAAACGGGCAAACTGTGGTCATTGATACTTCTCTCGTCAAAAGTAAAGATGTCTTGATTGCAGCTATTGGAAGCTTGGGGGCTTTCTCAAGCAAGATATTGAGCGAGTCTCATCTGGCAACTTTCACTTCCGAGTCAACTGGCAAAACTATTACTTCTGCTGAAGACATCTCAAAAGTTTTGAAGGAGAATGGATTTACCACTGAAAACGGTTTGGTTGTCGTGAGATCTACCTCGAAGAAGCTGGATTTGGAATTTAGAGCAGAGAGCAAAGTCCTGGAAGTTGCTGTTATTGAGGAGTTGGAACTTGATCATATCTTATCCTTATTGTCAGCGACTCAGCCCAAAGTCAAGTAAGTGTACCCTCCTTCTAGATGTGAATGATGCTAATGAATTCAGAGCATCTTTGGAGGAGACAAAAGCCGTGCTCGAGCATTTTATCAAATCTGCCACAAAGACCAATTCAACTTTTCATGAGAAGAAAGCTGGAAACGGTCCCTCAGTTGTTCACACTGTTGGAACTGCAGAATTTAACTCCGCGAAGAAGGCTATAGACAAAGATCTAGCCCATCTCCTGAGTCTCAAACCTTCTCACGCGGAGGATGTTGTCTATTCTGTCCATTTCTCAGACATTAATGGTCTTTCTCGTCTAGAGAACAATATTCTGGCTCATGAAATTTCAGAATACTTTGGTACGAATATAATATTCACCTAAAGAAGAGATATGAGCTAACAATATCTAGCCAAGAAAAACCTGCCACTCCACCTCACTCAATCTAGCATCAGCAATCCTCATCCCCTCGCCCGCGGGTGGTCCATTTCTCTGACCACAATCCCTCTCACATATCTCTCTCCACAGCAAAAGCCTACTTCTCCACTATCAAACACCTCATCCCAACCATCGACTACCAACAATTCCGTCTCAGCCTCCAAATCCCAACCTGGTCTCCAATTTTCGGCTCCCCTCCTCCACAAAATCATCACCGCCGGCTGCGAAAACCTCATTAGAACCGAGCCCCTAATCACCGAATACGACACCATAGTCGGCGACGGCGACTGCGGCTACACTCTCCGGTAAGCCACCAGAGTTCTAATTCTCCATCCTCTTACCTCCCCACCTTCCCCAACCAGATACTAATTCACCCCAGCGACGGCGCCAAACAAGTCCTCGCCTTCATCTCCCTCCCAACCACAAACCTCTCCCACCTCCCCCCAACCCTCTCCTCCCTCGTCGAACTCCTCGAAATCTCCATGGGCGGCACCTCCGGCGCCCTATACTGCATCTTCCTCTCCTCGCTCTCGAACCACCTCTCCGTCTCTCCCGACCTCTCTACCGCCCTATCAGGCGCTTTGACCGATCTCCTGCGGTACACGCGAGCCAGACGGGGCGATAGGACGTGTCTAGATTGTTTGATCCCGTTTGTCGAAACACTGGGAAAGGGAGCAGCAGAAGCGTTGGAGGAGGCGAGGAAGGGAGTCGAGGGCACGAAGAGGATGGAGGCTATGGTTGGGAGGAGTAGTTATCTGGATGAGAGTGCGACGAGGGGAGTTCCGGATCCAGGGGCGTATGGGCTGCTGATGTTGCTGGAGGGGATGGTCAGTGCGTTGTAGGAACGGCCATTTTTGTAATTTAAAGTCTGGTTGTGGTTTCAAACATCGAATCTAAGGAAGGCTCCCGCTCTCGGCACTTTCTTTGAGGTAGATGGATGTCCAACTAAAGAAAGGTCATTCTCATGACTTAAAGTACTGCCGTGATTTGGATCATCGACTTAAAGAAGATTTTCTATTCCTAGTCTCTCTTCTTGGGCTTTGCCTTTCCTTCCGTCCCTGGTATGGAACAGCTTCCTCTGTCTCATCTATTCAATCACGCTCATGGCGGTCTAGACGCTGGGATGGCCAAGAACACCAGCGTGCGTGATGTTCATCTATCGTTCGATCCAATGTGAGAAAGCTCGACCCCGGGCCACTTGGGACATTCATTTCATGGACAAGCTCCAAAGTCGAAAAGCCTGTTGCCATATAAAAGACCGACCAAGGAACAGACAATGTGCTGATACTAAAGCTTGAACTTCAAGCTCGTTAGCCTAGCTATGAAGGGTAGGAGTGGACTTACTATGAACACTACGGACGGGAACTCTTCGCCACGACAGTAGTACACTAAGTTTGAGATAGGAGTTCGGGGATCCTGACAGCTGATAAGTATTGCAGGACATCTCGGGGCCAAAACTCCTGCTATGAGCTGGGACATCGAATTCGCGAAAGTTCTCACGTTCAGCTTCCTTAAGCTGTTTTTAAGGTTGATAATTAAACAAATAACGGTTACTTCCAAGTGTTTAAGTCCTGCCGTGATTCAGAACGTTGACTCCCGGCAAATGTCCCACTAAAGAACAATGATTGTCTTACTCTGAAGTCTGGCTATGTTTTAGAACATTAACTCCCAACAAATGTCCCACTAAAGAACAGTGATTTAGCTACTTTGAAGTCCTGCCCTAGATTGGAACATTAACTCCCGGCAAATGTCCCACTAAAGAACGGTGATTTTCAAACTTTGAAATCCTGCCGCAATCTTAAACGCAGAAAAACTGAAAGATTGTCGGACTCTCACTCGAACCAAATCACCAACCTCCAGATAAACATTTTCAAACCTTAAACCCCTACCCTGATCCGGACACTCGCACCTCACTTTCACATCATCTACATCCCATCCCACCTTCAGAGCATAAACCATAAGTCATTATCATATTAATCATAAAGCTCATTCCATCTCATCTCAATTCCAATCACTCACGCACTCAATCCACAGAACCAAACGCCTCAACCATGCAAATGCTCGCTCTAAAGACCCCCACCCATCCTTTCCCCAACCAATCTCGGCTATACATTCGCAGCCTCCAACGCCTCCGCAACCTTACTATTCCGCTCCTCGACATCCACCTTTGACGAAGTTTGCTCTTCCCACTCCTTCGCCGCTTCATCCGGCACAGCTGCAGCGGCAACAGGAACAGGAACAGGCACATCCTCATCAACCGCCTCATGAAACTTCGACGGCACGGGATAACGATGCACAGGCGTTGCATGCTCCTCCTTCTTCGGACTCTCCGCATCAAACAAACTCTCCTTATAACTCTCATTCGTCTTCGGCCTCTCCTCTTTCTCCACCACCGGTGGTGGTCTCGGGAGATTCTCCTTCTCCTTCTTCGGCTGTTGCTGCTGCACCACAGGCGCAGCATTCCTCCCCCACCCCGCCTTCCTCTTCTCCCCCATCCACGTGCCCCAACTGCCGATATACGCCCCCGCTTTACTCGACACGCTCTGCACCGTCTGCCTCGCGCCATTCAGATCCGGGGCCTGGAACCCCGGGCTCGGAAGCCCGTTCCGCTCCGCCTCTCGTTTGGCTTCTTCGTGTTTCCTCCGCTGAGATTCTCGCAAGGCTTCCATATCCGCGTATAGTTTATTAAACACCGTACTCGCCTTCTCTTTGCCCGCCGCTAGATTCCGGCCCAGGACTTCTTTGCCGACCGCGAATCGCTCGTCGAGATGGAATTCCTTGACCTGTTCTGAGAGTCTCCTCTGCACGTCTTCGATCGTTAGCCCGCCTGCGCAAGGATGCTTAGGCTCGACGATGTCAAAGAGGTGGGAATCGGTGTAGCGGTCCCAGATGCGGTAATTCTCGGACCGCGACCACGCTTCTATCCAATCTGCGCCAAAATCGGTAGAAGGGTCGCCTTCGACTTGAGGGAGCATGACGTTGGGGTTGTGGGCGTGGTGTTGCATGTAATTGTGGCATTTGACGGCGGAGATGAGGGAGAGTAGGTACTCTTCGAATTGGAGACGGATGAATTCCTCGGAGCCGACGTAGCCCATGGTCTTGGGACGGCCGGGGTTGGCATCGTCCCAGGTTTCGTTTACGGATTGGGTTATGAAGTCGATCCAGCGGCGGTCAGCTATGGAGAGAGCGAGAGCCGCTCGGAGGGAGCTGGAGGTTATATTGATGGTTGTGTTGTCGAGGTTGATCAGGATGTCGCTGTAGCGGTCTTTTTGCTGGAGTAAGAGGGAATTGGTTGAGCCGACTATATATGATTTTGTGCCGTAGTCTGCTAGGATATCGAGTTGTTGTAAAGGGGTATAGGGACCGAATAGACTTCCCTATGACTCTATTAAAAAAGTTCCCCACACCAGTTGAAAAGAACATTACCTTTCCGAAAATCTGTAAAGGCAACCCCATATAATTCAACAAAGAACTCCTATCACTCGTCTTCAAACTCGTCGGCTTCGACATATGCTTCTCATACCCATCCAACTCCGGATCCGCACAGTCCTGCAAATTCCTTATAAGACCCGGAATCAACGATATGAGCGAAAACTGCATCATACACAACCTCTCACACCTACTCCCAAAGAACAACATCTGTCCCCATCATTAGGCCCCTCCCTATTGACAAAAAAGGGGCAGCTCACCTTAGGCTGCAACAAACAGCACTTAAACAGCACCAAAGTCTGCCACTTAAACTCCCTAACCAACTCCCTCAAACTCATCCCCAGATACTCCTCCCGATCCTCCTCCCCCTGCCCCACACCCCTCTCCTTTTCCTCCCTCAAGCTCTCCTGGAACCGCTTCAGGATCTCCGTATCGCCAAACTCCCTTTGCGCGAACCACGCCGTGGTCACGACCCCCAACCGCTCCCGCAGCATGCCGAAAAACTGCGGCGAGTCCGCGATCACCACGACGGCTTTCTGCACCGTGGAGCGGGTCACGTCCGCGGGGCGGTTGAGCAGCGCCGAGGCATCCATTTGCCGCGTGCAGGAGATGCCGAAGAGGGAGGTGGCAGGGAGGGACTTGGTCGCGGGCCGGAGGAGCGTGAAGTAGGAGAAATCTTCTGTGCTTCTGTTGGGTCCCATGTCTGTCAGCAATTTGGCCAAGTTGGTAAAGAAGGAGAGTGAGGGACTTACGCATGGGCGCCATCAGAGAGAGCCATGAAGGGGAGGAGAGGCCATTCATTGTCGATAGCTGGGTCAGAGCCCTCTTCTGCACCGAACCAATTCTCGACTTCGGGGCCTCTGTGTTCGATTAGCATCGTGCTATTGCCCTCAGGTGGGATACCAAGCTCACCTCGCATGGTGAAAGCCCACGACCGTAACAAGAGGAACGAAGCCCGCTGAAGCTGCATTCCCATTCTTCGTCACAGGCTCCTCGATCGGCATCGTCGTCGCCTCTGCCGCAGGGGACAGATCCACGGTCTCTAGATCCGCATCTGCCATCTTTCGTCGTTGCGCTGTCTCAATCCCAATTCGCAGTCTGACACCACCTCAAAACTTCAGCCGCTTCTGCTAATAAATCGAAACTCGTTCGCCCAGCGTTCCTAGCACATATTGTTCCCTCTTCTTCCAGGATCGCAATTCGAGTATTCGTGAACGCCCTGCTTGTTCGAATCCTAGTTGCCCTCTCGTACCACCTCAAAAAAATAAAAGAAAAAGGTTCAGGTTACCCCTCGTTCAATCCCACTCGACAAGAAACCTAAAGACCCCTATCCTATTCTTGATCCCCAAGTAAAATCGAGCTCTTACTGTACTCTCCTCAACAATAAGCGGTCAATGGCGGAAATAAATAAATATCGTCTTTCGAGTCCGCCCCTTCAATTGAAATTGCGAATCGAATGAGACGAGCAACATGTAAGGCCAGCAAATCCCGCTGCGATCATGCAGCTTGGCTGGACGCCAATCACTTCCGGGCTATCCTTGGTTGGGACGCTTGATGGCCACGTGATCGGTGCTATTTTGGGTAAAGTGGTGATGATGCTTGGCCGAGTATCGAGTTTGCAGTACAGTGGAAAGGTTTATGTATTATGGGAGGGGAAATGGTATCGTGATTAGGATGGAGAATTTTTGCCACATGTGTCAGACGTGGAGCGAGGATGGTGTATGTGAATGCAAAGCTCTTGGATGAGTTTCTGGCTTCACGGCTAGTGTGTGTTACAAGGTGGGCTATGAGGTGAAGCGATTAACAGGATAAGAGTTGTTGCTATTCTTGATTATCACTGTCTTTGATGAATGATTCCCATGAAGATCTTATACGAAGTGACTCTATTGTCTCAAAGGCCGGAGAAGTTTCTCCGGCTTTTGAGGAAACAAGGAATTCATAGGACGTTAATTTCCTAGGTTTATTTTCATGCTCTTTCTCCCGCCTGACAGCGAGAAGAATTTCCTGAATCAACGTTTAGGATGGCAAAAGCCATCACTCTTGATATCTACCAGGCTTTTTTCTCCACCACCCGTGGTTACAAGGAGGAGAAAAGAGGTTTGCCCAAGTTCCATGCAGTTGTGTATTACGCCGTGAGAGAAAAAAGAAGAGAGAGAAAACAGAGGACAACAAAAAAGCACCGCCAGTCTCCCAACCCCAAGCCCTCATTTCATTTCATTTCATTTCGCAAGAGAAAAATGGAGTATCCTCAGCACAATGCCGCGTCTGAGTCGTAGTATCAAATCGTGCAAAAAGCCTCTCTGTCTCTCTACAACCCCCCAATCTGAAAACCTAACCCACAACTGAATAGAAGATGAAGAAGGGCCGGCCGTCATAAGGAAACTTAGTGCCCATTCGTAAAGCCTTCCATGGCTTGTGCCTCAGCATTTGCAGTGTCGACATTGTGGTAATCAAGAATCTCGGAGTACCTGCAAAACATACCAAAGTCAGTCACACTTCTTCACTCCACCTCGAAAGGATAGTGCGATAGAAACGCACTGTGTCCCCTCAAGACTCTTCTTGGCTGTTTTCGTAAAGTTGCTCGTACATCATGATTTTCCACGTATCTACTGGGAGGTCTGCGTCATTGAATGACCAGTCAAACTTCTCCTCCGCAACCGGTTCATCTGTAGGGTCGTGGTAAGGTGAAAGGTATTCGTGGGCGAGAGCCTCAGCGGCCTTTACACGCTTTCTTGGGTCAAAGACAAGCATCTCCTCAAGGAGGTCGATCGCTATTGTTTGTTAGAATTGCTTGATCAGGACACAAATCAACTTACCAAGAGGATCAGCATTTCTGAACTTGTCCTTCAATGGTTGTCTTTCGCGCTTGGGCAGCGATTGGACGAATCTGAGAGTCTATATTTTATCAGCGGAGCAAAACCTGCAGTTATCGTTAATCCTTACATTCTCACTGGCAATTGTGTGGATCACATCGTCTGGTGGAGTACCGAGGAGCTCAGTGATGATGGAAAATTGGTTGACGTGGTCCTTTCCAGGGAACAGAGGCTTGCCCTCCAACATCTCTGCGAAGATGCACCCCGCACTCCAGATATCAACCTCAACATCGTACTTCTGCCATGTGAGCATAATCTCCGGGGCTCGGTAGTATCTCGTGGAGACATATCCGGTCATCTGGGGATCTTGGATACGGGCGAGACCGAAGTCGCAGATCTTGAGGTCGCAGTTCTCATTGACGAGGATGTTGCTGGGCTTGAGATCGCGATGGACGACACCTGCAGAGTGAACATACTTGAGACCCCGCTATTTTACGATTAGCTTTCCGAAAACGCCTCCTAGCGCATGCAGAGAGATTTACCAGAATTTGATAGAGGAAGTATTGGATGAATTGCTTTTCGAGTGGTCTGGAGGTGAGGAGACGGTGCAAATCTGTGCCTAGAAGTTCGGTGACGAAGTAACTGTAGCCGTTAGAGGAATTTCGGGATAAGAATTCACGGATAGGCGCTACTCACATATCTTCGAGAGGCGAAATGAAGATATCGCTGAGGGAGATAACCTGCAAGGTATTAGCACATCAAATGCCTCAAACATGTTCCAAAACATACATTTTCATGCTTCAAGTGCTTCAGCAACTTCAACTCTCGGTATGTTCGTTTCGACAGGACTGGAGTGCTGAAAGGCTTCATAATCTTCTTAACCGCAACATTCTGGCCGGTAAGTTGATCTTTAGCAGAGCTAGAAACCGTCAATCATTATTTGCCATCAAATATACATCCGGGAGTGCATCGCATACCAAACTAGACCGAATGCGCCCATTCCAACAGGTTGAAGATCGGAATATCTGTGCTCGTCAGCTTTCCTGTCGCAAGACAAAGTGGCGTATACCCCGCGTACCTGGACGTGATCTCGAAGGTCGTACCGAAGATCTGAGCTCGTACGAATTCTGCCATGATTGCAGAGTGTGAGGGACCGGAGCGGAGCGCAAAGGAATGGATGCCGGAAAGCGGAAGAGGGGGAGGTTCGTCGAGATGGGCGAAGGTTTTGTTGTGTAGGAAGGTCGAGAAGATGGTCGGACGTCCAGATGGGATTTCAGGATTTGGATGGGGTGTTTTGGCGGGTTGTGGTTCGATGGTTCCTCGTTAGAGAATTAATCGCCTAGCAGCCAGTGCAGCCTCTAAACAGCAGCAGGCTTTTGAGCGGGAATCGAAATGGGTGTTTTTTTTTCTTCGCCGCGCAGCGTCTTTTCTTGTTCCAATCACGGCCGCTATGTGATTGTGGGGGGCCAACAATGTACTACCGCCGAAAGAACGTAAGGCTCCTCTTTCACCGAGCAGACTTCTTCGAGGACTTGCGCTGGACTGGACTGGACTGGACTGGACAGGACAGCTGCAGTACGCGAACAGACCGGCGTTTGCGAGTGGCGGCAGATTCGAGTTCGAAATGTCTGTCTTGTATTTGTGGACGTGGATAGTCGGCGATTGCTCAAGCTCGACTCGGGTCCTGGGCCTTGTTTGACTCGGGGTCCCAAAGATTGAATATCGACGCTTGTTCGGGAGTGAGGCACCAACACAGACGCTTCTTCAGATCAACAAATCAACAAGTCAACACTGACTGCTCTGGTTACCCACGAAGTTGCTCTGAGGGCGGTGAGCTGGGGGGCCGATAGATACAACAAAAGAAGGTTTGCATTTGCAGATCTTTACTTTGACGGGGACAGAGAGGGCAGTCCGGGTTTATGTAAGATTATCTTCAGCAACAAGTTACAGCCAGCAAGTCTAGATTCCAAGCTTGATATGGGTTACGAGGGGGAGAAGGTTCCGCATCTATCGCTGTTTTCACACTCAGACACTCAGGCTGGGGCCCTCGGTGGAAATGCTTGGCCGCCCTCGAGGTAAGGTTACCAACGCAGCAGCTCTACGCAGCTCTACGCAGCTCCGGATCAAATCCATCGTCGTCCATTCTCGCCCGCGACTCTGATTCTGCCCCCTCTTGACCCCTCCTTCGGGAGCACAAATCCAGCATCAAGGGGCCGCAGAGCGCTCGAGGTGAGACCGCGACAAGCCTCAGCTCGTCGCTGGATGTTCAGGGCGGCGACGGGTGCTGGGGAACTTCCTCCCACCTACGTCATGGCCAGCGAGACTCTGCCAGCAAAATCATGAAAAGAGGCAGTAAGAGCTTTCGGGCCTCATATCAACACAACCTCACCATAGTTGCTTGCACTGCATGCCCCCCCCCCCCTATTTATGCATCATACATTCGAGTAACCCCCCTCCCCTCCTCAGATCCCATCATCGCTCACAGGGCTGCGTTAAACATTGGAGATGAGATATGTCTGAGACAACCTATATCTGATGGGAACACAAGAAATGCACCATGTCGTCACCGAAATCCACCACTTCTTATTCAACACTCTTGGATATTCACCCCCCCCCCCCCTATCCTATCCGCCAAATGGTCCTCCTCTACCATCCATTCGGGCATAGCTTTTCGGGAGATGAACATCGCCATCCCAGCCCATCGATACGTAGTTCTTTTCTAGAACACGACCTTTAAGCTTGCAACCAATAGGACAATTGATATATCTTTCTTGGCAAGAAGGTAGGTCGTGAATGTTAACGCGCGGCGCAGAAAAGAAAAAGCCATGCATTTTCCAGATCTTCCTTCACCGCGAGGAACGAGAATTCGATGCGCGTCATCGAGTGAGGGACCGTGAATCGCAGCACCCCGGCCCGGAGCCTTTTCCGCCGTAGGCATGGGGGCGTTCACGTGGACTGTATAACCTACCTGACCGACTTTTCTGAGGGTAATTTGCTAGTACTGTATCTTGGACGTTGAATAGGAAAAAGTTCATACACGGAGGATATGTGAATGAGATTAGAATATTGTCTTCTGTCTCGACCGACATTCTCGTCTCGAGCCGACCTCAAGTGAAGACCAACTTTGTGATCTTACAAAACTAGCTTTACAATCCCACTTAAATTAGGAAAAAGCCGTCTCTTATCTCCAAAGACCGAGTTGCTTAAGATGTGTTTATATAGTCCTATGCTCTATAGCCTACTCTCCTCTCAAAGTTCTAGTCCCCTGCCGCACACTTCAGACAGCATATTGTCTGGTCAAGGAACCCAACAATATGATTGACACACCACGGCTAAACAATCTATTTTCTCGCTACTAATCGCATCGTCCCCAAAACAATGAGCTTGTTATCCTTTGTGCAAGCAGCGCTGTGATGACCAGTCAGATCAGTCTCCATTCTGTATTCTTATGAACACTGGGTCTTTGAAAGACGCCCAGGTCCACAGGAACAAGAATCCAGAGCCAGCTACAATAGCAAGCACGGAAAAGTCGAAGGCTTCGAGGAAATGTGGTCGTTTCAAGTAGAAACCAACATCGCGATCTTGGGAAGCTCTAGCTTGACTACCACCTGCACACATGCCCTCCTCTCAAATCTACTTCCCTGCTAGACAGACAATACAAATAACATATCATCTAGTCAAATAAACTAACAATCACCTATACTAATTTTCTAAATCCTTACTTTCTTCACTATCTCCTAATCTCAACCGACATTCTCGCCCCAACATCCTCTCAACTAGAGACCAACATCGTGACCCTCAAAAACTCCAGCCTGACTACCCACCTTCACATACATGCCACTCCACATCCCACATTCTCACCCCACTCACTACCTCCAATTCTCAGTCCTCAGTCCTCAAGTCGACAATCACAATCCCAATCCCAATCACATCTAGCTCCCCCTCCTATACACACCATTAACCTCTCTCCCACATATATTCAACCCGGAGGTCCCATGGTTTGACGGCATATCTCTAATTTAAGCTTAGATCTTCTCGTAGATGGATTCCGGTGTTGATGAAGGATTATAGTACAGAACAAGCAAGGAATATTCTACTACAGAATAGAAGTCTAGTGTAGCGTGGCGTTGCGCGGTTGATGGAGTGGGAATGGATTACTGAGCGGGACTGTATTTGTTAATGAGGAAGCCAAATAGAACCTGTCACTTCTCAAGCACAGAACATAAAGAACATACGAATAATCACAGCACAGTAACGAAAAAAGTGTTTCAATAGGTATACTCATGAAGCCCATCGCGTCATAATCGCATCGAATCATAACCCAAAAAAGTCTGGCTATCTAGTCTTTCCTCAAACAACCTTACCCGCAAGCCAAAGACTCGCTTTTCCGTACCTCATTGCATTCTCGCACTCACAACTCTCCCTTCTGCAAGCCACTAGTATCACCGTTCTCTGGTGCCAAAGGTTCCACATTCCAGATACTCTCCGCGTACTCATTGATGCAACGATCACTGCTGAAGAAGCCCATTCTCGCAACGCTGGTGATGCACTTGCTGATCCACTCATCTTGGTTCTTGTATGCCTCGTCAACCAATGCCTGAGTGTGGAGGTAGGTATTAAAGTCATCAGAGACCAGGTAGTAGTCGCCATGATCTTCAATGGCACCGACCAAAGCGCTGAAAGCACCAGCATCACCGAAAGTACCCTTCTTGATTTCCTCAAATACCTTGGCGAGGTCTGAGTCGATAGTGTGGCTACCATAGGTGTGGGAATGGCGGAGATCTTCAACATCCTCTGCAAGGTTTCCGAAGAGGAAGATGTTGTCCTCGCCAATTTCACGAGTGATCTCAATCTGTCAAATATTAGTATAGTGAGGGAATCTTTGAAATGAGGACTTACATTAGCACCATCACAAGTACCAATGATCAAACCACCGTTAAGAACGAACTTCATGTTGGATGTGCCAGAAGCCTCGGTACCAGCAGTTGAGATATGCTCGCTGATATCACTAGCAGGAATGATGATTTCGGCCTTGGAGACATTATAATCCTCCAAGAAGATAACTTTGAGGAGGTCGCCAACATCTGGGTCTTTGTTGACCACAGCACCAACATTGTTGATGAGATGAATGATGGTCTTGGCCATCCAGTATCCTGGAGCGGCCTTACCACCGAAGATCGAGACTCTTGGTGCAAGCTTCTTTCGCTCTTCAGGAGTCATATTCTTGATAGTGAGGTATCTATGGATGACACCAAAGATGTTCATCTGCTGTCTCTTGTACTCATGTATACGCTTGACCTGAATATCGAAAAGAGCAGATGGATTGACAGTGACATCAGTTGTGGTCTTGATGTGCTTGGCCAGGCGGACCTTATTGGCATACTTGATCTCAGCCCATTCTTTCTTGAATTCCTTATCATCAACATACTTCTCAAGTTCGTTGAGAAGGTTGAGGTCCTTCAAGAATCCAATACCGCCAGTCTTACTAGCAATAAGCTCAGAAAGTCTGGGGTTGGCTTGGTGCAACCAACGTCTTGGAGTGATACCGTTAGTGACGTTAGTGAATTTGTCGGGGCCGAAGATCTTGACAAAGTCCTTGAAAATGGTGGTCTTGATGAGATCGGAGTGAAGTTCGGCAACACCATTGACCTTGTGAGAACCAACAATAGCCAAGTAGGCCATGCGAACCATCTTGGGCTGAGATTCCTCGATAATAGAGACGCGTGCTAGCAGGTCTCGCTCCTTGGGGAACTTGCGTTCAACGGTTTGGAGGAAGTAGAGGTTGATCTCGTAGATGATTTGCAAGTGTCTTGGAAGGAGGTTCTGGAAAAGCGGTACAGACCACTTCTCAAGGGCCTCAGGAAGGACTGTGTGATTGGTGTAGCCGAACTGTTGATTGGTCAATTTGAATACTGCATAACCAGTGCAAAAGAAACTTACTGTCTGAGACACAATTGACCACGCCTCATCCCACTCAAGACCCTCCAGATCAAGGAGAATGCGCTGAAGCTCAACAACGGCAAGCGTTGGATGGGTATCATTCAATTGAATAGCAACTTGATCAGGAAACTCGCTCCAAGCACGCTTAGACTTTTTGAATCGACGGACAATGTCATACAACGATGCAGCAACCCAGAAGTACTGTTGCTTAAGACGAAGCTCCTTTCCACGATCAAGATTGTCGTTGGGGTACAGAACAGCGCTGATAGTCTCAGCACGTTGTTGATCAGCTACCGAACTCTCGTAGTCGCCGCTGTTAAATTTTTGGAAATCGAACTCTCCACTAGCAGCCTTGCTGGACCACAGGCGCAAGTTGTTGGTAGCTGGGGTATCGAAGCCAGGAATGGGGACATCGAAAGCAACTGCCTTGACAATCTCACCTCCCTCCCAAGAGACTTGCTGCTTTCCTTGTGAATCTTGGTATTTTCGGACATTGCCATAGAATTGGATCTAGAGGGCATTAGCAGATGATCTCGATATTCTATTCATGTTGGGACACTATTTTGTTCCTCTCTGCAGCTTCTTGTACAGCTTATTTTGAAAGCTGAACAAGGACTTAGTACTCACATCCACGGTAACATCATGTCTTGGGAATTCCCAAGGATTGAAGTCAAGCCAATAGTCTGGCACCTCAACTTGGTATCCATCAACAATCTCTTGCTTGAAGATACCATAGCGGTATCTCAATCCGTAACCCCAAGCTGGGTAATTAAGACTTGCAAGTGAATCCAAGAAACATGCTGCCAACCGACCAAGACCACCGTTACCAAGCGCAGCATCGTGCTCTTGATCAATGATATCTTCAATGCGGAATCCAAGGTCAGCGAGACCACCTATGTATAACGTCAGTTCAAAGCAAGAACAATAAGTACTGAATGAATAATACCTCGAGCAACATCCTTCATGCCCACATTCAACATAGCATTGTCCAAAGCTCTACCCATCAAGAACTCCAAACTCAAGTAATAGACACGCTTCCCATCAGAGAAAGTCTGTCGTTGTTGTGTACGATTCCACTCCGTAATGAGACGGTCTCTGAACGCAAGACTGGCAGCGGAATATGCAGCGCCCTCGTCGCAGTTGAACATGCTGCGTGCGAGTGTAGTTTCGACATGACGAACGACTTCCTTCTCGAAGTCCTCCTTGGTCTTGAAGCCATGGGCGGCGTACTTCTTCCAAGCTTCGCGTTGGGGCTCAGGAATGGAAGCTGTAGAAAGTAGACTTAGCATGTGATCACCAACAAAGGGAGGTATAGTTCTGGTACAAGTACAACATTGCACAAGAAGTAGCTTGAAATTGAAGCAAGCAACTTACCCTCAACACTCTTGATTTCACCAGCGCCAAAACCGGTGAAGGTACGCTTGTGCTTGGGTCTCGAGAAGCCCGGTCCTACCGGACCTTGGAGCTCAGAGATGGGAGCACTTGTGGAGGGACGGCGTTCTCTCGGGGCAGACATGTTGGACGAGGCAGAAGATTGAGTAAAAGAAAAGGAGGAAGAAAAGGGTTGAGAGTCAGAAGAAGAGGAGGCAGAAGGATTCATTGAATGAACACCAGGGAGCTCGCTGGCACTAGAGAGCTGCAGAAAGCGGGTTGGTGGTCTTGGTCGCGAAGTTGGTGTGCGGGGTTATCGAGTTCTTGAGTCCAGCCCCTGCGAAAGCGAATTGGGGGATCGACGTGGAGCTGGGATCGCAATGGATAGATGAGCAATTAACGATGTTGTTGTAGTGATTTTTGAGGTTTTGACGATATGTTTGCAGAAGAGAACAGCAGGTGAATGAGATTTTCGAAAAAGGGAGCTCTCTCAGATAGCACTTTCCGCGATCAAAATGTCGATGTTCCTCGTATGACTTTTCCACTAATCGATCATCGGCACGCGCAGAGCAGCATCCTGGAGCTATCGATAGTGGGGTCGTTCGTGCCTCGATAAAAGCCCCTGCACCCAAAGCTCTGACCAGCAAAAGATTAGGATGGGACGTTTATGGCGAATTCTCAAATCTGGGTTTGACCATTTATTCACCAAGAACATTATCTTTGAAATGGGAGCATTGAAAGAAGTCATAATAGAATCACTGACGTCTAACTACAGTATTCACACATCTGTGACATACTTCCTTCCCCATCGTCCCCCATCGTGTCGTGTGGGGTTGTTACACCGTTCTGAGCACGCTATCAAGGAACTCTCGACAGTAAGCACAGCTCAAGCAGCATCTGGTGGCAGGTTATTAACACCCCATGCCGCAAAGACCCACTCAAAACTCACCCTTCACCTCGCAACCCAATGATGGATGCATGGTGAACTGGCCAAAGCACTTTACCGCCGACGCAGAGGAGAGGACTTGATGCTATTCGCTTTGTCATTACGCCTCTGTCACCGCGGTGTATGCATGCAGCATGAATCTTCCTGGTACAATGCATGAGCCACGATGATGTCAGTATGTAACATCGACACTTCAATTGTTGTTATTTACTCTACAGCATGCACCCAAAAATTATGCCAAGCAGCCATCTTCGTTCCAAGCCGCCGGCTAAATTTCGTCTTCCTCCGTAATAATAATATATGGGAGCTTTTCAAGGTCCTCCTATGTCCATCCCGACAGAAAGTACGCCTCTCTCGGGCCATCCATCTTCAAATATGAACGTGAACAATCATGTAGACACCAAAGAGCGACTCGCTTGTCGGACGTGAGCACAGAACGGTACTGTGCAACGGTGTGGCGTATAGACTCAACCCGTTGGGATTCCCAGAACATGCACCAGATCCACCAAAAAAGGTCTTGTGAGACAGCCACTCCCAGTACTCCCGTGAAACCCAGCCAAACGCCGATACCAGTGACAATGGGAGTATTTCCAAAACCCCCGAGGACGAAAGGAAAGTTCATTGATCATGAATTAATGCTCAGAGGATACCCGAGTCTTTGAGAGCATTTTGAAGAATGGTCTCTTTTACCGCCGCGAAAACGAGTCGAATATTTGATGTATCGGTAGCTTGCGTAAGACTATTCGAGTTAGTGGCCGCAAGTAAGAATAGAGGGAAAAGCCTTACTGTGGATATAAGTTAAGGTGTGCTCGGTTGACTTGATTAAATCTCCAGAGCAGATATTTTGATGCTCTATTGATGTCGTTGCCTCCAGAATAGTCTGGGAAGTAGTTGCTCAATGGCGATCGTCCCAATTTTGACCTGAAGAGATCGACTTTGTTTAAGAATAAGATGATACTGGTTCTCATGAACCACCGCGAGTTGACGACCGAATCAAACAGGACCAGACTCTCCATCATTCGATTCTGTAACCTGTCAGTGGACTGAAAAAATGGTCCAGATCATGAACTGACCTGATTGCTCTCTTCCAAAAGGACCTGGTCATATTCTGACAAGGCCACACAGAAAATGATCGATGTAACATTCTCGAAGCAATGAATCCACTTCTTTCTCTCACTTCGTTGTCCACCCACGTCGAACATACTGAGAATCAATGTTAGCGCTGCCAAACGGAGCATTTTTGGCTAGACGTACTGTATGCTCAGTGAACCCATAGTGAACCTGGTCTCATATATACCAGTCGTCTTCGTTCTGGCTCTCAACACATCCGCCTCGATTGGAATATACTCGGGAGCCGAGATTCGATTGGCTTCCTCGAAGAAACTAGGTCCATCAGTATACAATTTCCCCACACTCTCTTTCGTGAACATACTATGGTGCCGAATCCATCAAGTAGAATTCGCTCTGCCTCTCCATCAGAGTCTCTATGCTTCCGTCTGCCCATATGGATGTAATCGCCATAGCGACCTTAGGATTCAGTGGGGTATGGGGGTTTGGATCGACGTTGTAGTCCAATAAATAATCGCCATATTCGTTATTCACCGGATTGATAGGTTCGATGTTGAACTGCCGCATCGCCCCAACCAAAGCCTTCGCGCAATCGACCAGATTCTTATATATCGTCAATCGATAAAGCGCTAACTCATCTACCGTGTAGCCATTCTGGTGAATAATCTTCATCTGCTTGACAATTGTCGATTTACCACTCTCTCCGGAACCTTGAAATTGTTAGCCACCTCTCACCATTCTCGGCGTTCTTTTTGATTCTAACATACCCAGCAAGAGGATCTTGCATTCTCTTCGCAGTCGTCTCGAGTCCTCCTCTAATTTCTTATCAATCGCTTGACTTCTCTTCTTCTGCTCCGACTCCTCCTGGTTCGAACTCATGCAGGCGCCCATTTTCCTGCTCGTATGGCTGCAAGCGCAGCCTCGACTCCAAAGTGCTTTTTATCGGCGTTGAGATGTTGACCTAGTCTCTTCAATTATTCAATCGTCCCAGCGTTGTGCGGACCCGGTGTCGAGAGTGGGGATTAAAGCGTCGAGGCTCGTCGTAGCGTAATCCTCGAGGCTTCGTGAAGCTCAGGCTGAGAGGGCCATGCGGGTTGAAACTGGTCGACGGTGATGTTTCGAGCGAGGGGACGATGAGGAACTTGCGCGCAATGATGGCCAGACTCGAGTAAGGGTCACAGTCTGTTCTCTGCGCGCACAGAAAAATGTTCGCAGGCTTCCTGCGGTGAGGGCTGCAAGTGACCGTGGAGCGGAGAGGGTGATTGCTGGAAGTCTAGTTCGAGTCGAGGGATTATCCGAGGCAGCGCGCAACCGTCACGGCGAGAGGATGCCAGCAATTCGGAACGACGGCCCTGGACGACCCGCGAAACAATGGAATAATTGGCGGCGGCGAAGGATGTCGTGGAGGAGGGTGATTGTGATCGCAGATGCCGGCGTTGGTGATGATGATGGAGTCGTAGGTTACGGGAAGTAAGTCAGTAAGTGGATGCGGAGACGGAGACCTCAGTGTTCGCTCGACTCTCTAGTGTCTCGCTGGGGCGACTTGGGCTTGGTGGAGAAAAAGTGTGGATTGGACTGGAAAGCGCGTGTGGGTGAGAGGCTGAGCCCTCGAAAGAGACTCGGAACGATAAAATTTGGCCGGCCAAGTGTCAACGAACAGGCAGAGCCAAACCCCATATGCATGCAATTTGGCTTCTCTCGTCAGCAGTAAGGAAAAGTTATCGTACGTATGCTAATGCTACGTGACTTCTGGCTTAGCTGTGATTGTCGAGATACGGTCGTGCCGAGTGGCAAGAGAAGATATGCGGATCCGTTCGTTTGTTCACTTCAGTGTGTTCGAGACTCACGCCGACATGAAATTCAAAATCAAATCCAAGTCACTGAAGCGTACGGCGCAGGTGCAGCCACTCCCAGAGTCCCGGCAAGGTTGGAGGATGGGATGAGACGAGACGAGCCTGCTACAGTACAGTACACGCGCATTGCCTGGCAGAGAGGCTCAGGCTCAGGTACAAGAAAGGTACAGTGCAACAGTGTCCCTCTGCTGGTCCGTGATCGATTAGACTTTGAGATGTTGTTTTGCTGACGCTGGACGGGGGCGTGCTTCTGCTGCCAGCCTGCTACTGTACTTGATGCTGAGACCCTTGACAAACGAACTGGCTCCCTGTCGCCGTCGCTGCTGTCCGTGGTTGGTGTGGGCTTCATCCGCTTTCAGCGCCCTTTTTCTGCACAGACTCGGTGGGTGTTCTCAATGGCTCGAGGGCAGTTCTGAGTGGATCTGACGAACGGACACATTCCAAATCGAGGAGACAGAAACCGGGCATTGATCATCGACCGGGCATCTATATAAAGAAAAAAGAACGAGGCAGGACAGGGCACTCGCTCTGTAATATCTGGTAATAGTTGTACAGTACGGGACTCCAGTACATGCACAGCAAACGACGGCCCGGCGCCTTTTCTATTTGACAGCAGCGCTCCTCTGGTACCGTCCTGCTGCGGTATCACCTCCAACTTCTTTATTACCGGCATGATTCCCAGCAATGTCTGTCCGTATCAAGCCTCAGAGACATGAGAAACTCGGGCTGGGATTGGCTGAGTCGTATCGTCATCATATCCCATAGATCAGATTCTGCCCCCAAGCCCAAAATCCGAACACCAAATGCCATCACTTGTCTCCACGTGCGACTGGCCTCACCAGCATCCAGCCTCCATCAGCCCAGGACCGCCCTCGAGAGAGAAAAAGCAAAACCTCAGTTCTTCCACAGATCCTGCATCAGATGTCGAAAACGACTGAAGAGATGATCCGCGAGCAATCACCAAGACACGTGTGAGTGTCCCCTGCTTCGGGTCCCATTGGAAGATCTCTCGGTGCCGGCCATCATCTACATGGGTTCACTTCCACCTCCTGCTATGTCGAATCCATCCGTCCATCTCTCTATCCATCACTTCCGCTCCCCTGTCCCTAATCTCCATCTTTCAGCCCTCGCCTCAAAATCCAACGACTCTCACCACTGAGTCTCCTTACCACTCCAACGGGTCCAAACAATCAAATCTCGCTGAAGGTAATAATCATCAACACATGCCTGCTCGTTTGACATGCAGAAACACCACTCACTGCAGCTCGTTAAGACCCAATCCCAACCCAAACGAGGAAGGTGAACTCTCCTTTAGGGGCCTTGGCATGGCTCGTTCATCAGCCCCAAACAAGTGTCAAGAGACGAGGCGTACTGTACTGTACTTCCTCTACCGTACTCCCGTACTCGGCGTGCGTCCTGCAAAACATAGCTTCAGGAAGGTAACAAGGTACATCTTACATATCTCCCCTTTCCTCCCGATCCCTGCGCCCTCGTGCTCTCATCTGAGCACAACTCGCTACAAAGAACACAATAAACTTTCTCCAAAGCCTCATCGAAAACCACTCGTTCTCGTAACATTACAAAATCAGTCCACCTCGCAAAATACCACAATCCCCTTCCTATCCCCAATCCACTGATCTCACTCCCATCCCCCAGCACCGTAAACCCAAAAACGCCACCGTGGCGCAAACGCCTCAATTCCCACTTACCGGTCATCAAAAAGCAAAAAAAAAAAAAAACCAAAGCAGCATCGGCCCGCGAAAACAAAGCAAGCAGCTACCCGATACGGCAACTCGCACTCGAACTATTCAGGAAGAACGCTACATACATACCATGTCCATCTGTCTCAGATTCTAGAGTTCGGAACAGGAACAGGAACAAGAACAAGAACAAGGATTGTTTGAGGGGGAGGAAAAACGTGCGAGTCGCATGGTCTGCGTTTCACGAACTTGATACACGAACGACAGACATGTATTTGTGCACTACTTCCTGGGTTTAGACATCTGAAAGTATATATAGATAGATGAACAAAGAAAAGTTCGAGTCACATTCACATTCATGTGGAGTAGTACAAGGTAATTATTTTCAAGGCTTTCTGAATTGCAATATTTTTTACAGTCTCTGTCTTTTGGTGACTGCAAAGGTATCCACGGTATCAAAGTCAACTCCTCCTACCCCAGAGCAATGCTTATTTATGCCGTGAGTCATGAGAGTCTCCCCAATCGTGCCGTTCCGTGACCCTGGCCTCGATCCGAGCCGGGCCCGGCATGGACAAAGATGAAAGAAAATCGTTGCATGCGCTCAATATAGCAACCCCCTCCCATATGCAATCAAGACCCAGGATTCTTCTCGTCGTTGGTGACCCAGTCCAGACAAGAGAGAGGCCACCATATAGTCGTGTGTGTGAATGTTGCCATTATTTCTTTCCCCGCGCCCAAGTCTATTGCACAACCCGCGACAGCAGAAAATGGAAAGGAAACATGTTCAAGCAAGATAACCCAACTCGTCATCATCCAAACGCTCCAAGTACTCCTTCTCTAACAAGATGTCGATACACTTCTTGATGTCAGGGATCTTGGGTACGAATCGAGAACGGATTTGGTTGATGCACTCGCTGACAAGCTGGGTGTGCTTCATCTTCTTGCGGGCCTTCATGATACGCACAATAGCGGACTAGGTAAGTTAGCATGTATATCAAATTAAATAGATCGTGTGTACTGACCTGCATAAGCAGCTTTCGGTCCTCCTCGATGGTCTTGTGTGTGTCATCAACCTCCTGCTTCTGTTCCGACTTGACAGCGATGTTCAAATTGACACGAATCTTCTTGCTCTTGAAGTCGTAGTTCAAGGAGAACATCTTGCCTGGACCGGGCTTGTCTCCATCGGGGCTCATATTGAGAACCTTGGCCTTGAGGAAGATACCAAGGGCAGGGTCGAGAACATCAGCCTGAAGTTGGGTAGCCTTGACGATATCATCATAGCTGTTCTTATCACTCTCGTTGAAGAGTAACAAGATGGCCATTTGATACGTTGAGACTTGGAAAGTGTATGGGGTCTTCATGCCCTTGGGATAATTGACCTTCACCTCACCCTTGCATAGCTGCCACAACCAAGTAAGCTTTCTGCCACTATGCTTTTGGTTATAGAAGGACTGGAAGCGCTCATAGGCCTTCGCAATCTCAGCAGGTGGGGTAAAGTCGGTGTTGGGAGGGTTCAATGGCCAGAAACCAGTACCAAGAATCGAGTAGGTAGCATCGACGGGCTTATCATCTCCTGGCTCCATCAGACCACTCTCGAAGTCTTTGAAGCCGGTATTCAAATCCTTGGAGATTTGCATATCCTGGAACATGCGCTGAAGCTTGTTGGTGTACTCATAACCGCATGCCTCCTTGAGCTTGCTAATCATGCTTGTCTCTGCATCATCGGACGACGAGCTGGTATGCACCAATCTACGAGCCAACATTCGAGAGTAGAACTTCTGGAACACGTCCTTATCCTCAATATACTTGAAGACGGTCATGATTTGCGTAAGAGTGTTCTCAAGGTCGTTCTCCTCAGCTCCAGTGGCGCTCTTCTTGAGCAGAGCATCGGTGTACTTGGCGAGAAGCTCAGGAGACTTATTCGATCCAGACTTGCAAACTTGGTTTCGGTTAACAAACTCTCTGCATGCGTTATCGAGAGATCGAGTGAACTCAGGTTCATCCTTGAAAGCCTGCTTGACCAATCCTTGGTATTGTGTGTGAATCTCGAGAAGGGCATCAACATAAACCTTAGGCTCCAGCTTGTCTGCGTCAACTGCAACCTTAGCAACCGCGGCAAGACCAGCCTTGCGGACGTGGGCCTCAAATTTCGCACGGAGAGGGTCCAAACCATCCGGAATTCTGGAAAGAAGGTTATACATGCGTTGCATATCATCGTAACGGTCGTTGTCGAGGAGAACCTGGAATTCATCTCGAAGAATACCGGAGTGATCAGCAATGAGAGCGGTATTGCAGGTCTTCTTGAGTGGTACAGTGATATCCTGGTGGAGATACATGTTCACACGTTCTTCCTCCTCGTCCAATCGGATCTCAGCCTTCTTCATGTACTCTACAATGCTATTTTCGGCCACGAATTGCTTCGACTCGGCTTGATAGAATGCCTTGGTAGCTTCTAAGAATGGTCTCTCAAAGTTGAATCTGTAGACATCGAGTGTTGACTTGGTAGGATCAGCCTCGTCGAGACCCAGTGATACGAATGAGTCAACAATGCTCTTGATTTGGCTGTGCTCAATCGTCTCGCCGTGACGTTGCTTCTCAACCATCTTCAAGACGGCATCCATAACCTTCTCGTGGACCTCGCTGAACAGAGTCATGCGCCATTGTACCAGGTGAAGTGTATAGACATCGTAGATATTCTTCTTTCCCTCGTCCATCTCGCGCTTGACCCAATGTCGATTCAGATATCTGAAAAGATGGTTGATGTACTTCGCAGCGATAGTGTATCGGTCCCATTCGCGAATGTAGAAAGTAAGGAGAGCCTCATCTGCATGTGTCCGCGAAACAGCAACGAGTTCCCTGAGGTAACTGTTCAGGTAGGTGATAAGGTTCTGATAGAGATCTTCTCCAAGAAGGTGTGCTACAAACTGTCAGCCTTGTCAAGAAGCGCAACGATATATGACACATACCTCCTCGATGCGCGCCTCCGATGACCCCGCTGTGGTTGCTAACGGCTTTTTGTGACGTGCAGAAGTTGTGGACGGCTCTGGAAGATACATATCAGTACATGCCACAATGTCAACAGATCGAAGAACTTACGTGTAGACTCCCATGTATGTGGGCATGTCCATGCCTTCCTGGAGATTACTCATAATCTTCGAAACGCCAGCCTCGAGATACTTCCATCTGTAGATCGGTCAGTATGCGCGCCTTTGGGCTGTGGAGAGGCGCTCACGTTGCATCGAGGTCCTCTCGATTAGGCACAGGGGGCATCGAGGTGGCCGTGGTCGTACGTGTTTGCGACATCTTGATGTATGTGTTCAGATAGTATTAAGGATTGTGAGAGGTCCTTGAATACTTGGAAAACCACCAAGGCGGTTGTGCTGGTGGCGGGGTGGGATAGAATTCAAAGTTGGATTCAGATCTCGGTTTCGGTTCGGCGAAGGATATGGAAAGGCAGATGCGCCCACTAAGCAAGGCCAGGCCAAATGTAGATTCTGGAAAAGGTGAATCACAGCCGCGCACCGTCAAGGCTGCTCCTCCCCAAGGAACCGTGCCTGCAGGTAGACAAGTCGCGAGCAATGAAGTGTTGCACAAGGCGGGGAAACGTTTTGATACGATTCCGCCTGTTCGATCACCAGTCAGGAAAGAACGAGCGGGGTGGAAATGTGTGCAAGACGTGTCTTGCCAGAAACAGAAGAAATGAGGTTGAGTATTGGGGTAGATATGGATCGAATTTGCGTGATTCAGGTCAGCAAGGTAGCCTTCAAGGCGGCAGCAGTCATGCAAGGATGCCTACTAGTGCCTCAGGCGACATTTCGGAGCTTTACTTACTTGTCTAGTGTCACAACTCCGAACCTTTTGTCTTCTATTTCAAGATTCCCCCTTTCTTTATTCGAATAGCATACTCTGTTGCGGGCTGATCATTCAAAATGCCGTCAACACATTCACGCTTATCAAAGACTTGTCATCAGAATATTTAGCTCCTGCCGTGAATGGCAAGTAGCCTTTTGCATAGTCTCACTTCCATGCAATCAAAATACCGTATTAATTGTTTTCTAAAGTAACAATCTGGAATAAGGGACTAGGCTTTATAAGACATGGTCCCCTAGACCTTTCCTAAGTGAAAACTTCATATAAGATATGCTAGCTTCCCCTACTTTAAACTTTTTTCACTTGACTTTTTGCTCTTGCTCTAATTTTGTGCGACACTAAACTCTCGAAAATATAGATCGAGTATAGCGTATTAACTTTCGAATAAGATATGGTCCACCAACGGGTTTCCTACCTCTATTTGCCTATAAAGATATATCTTAGAAAACAATTAATACGGTAGTTGCGGATGTCCTTCAACTATTGCAATCTAGTCTACTTTGAATGGGCAGCAATATGCTGTTAAGAACAGTCTTTGAAATATGTCTTCTTTCTTTAGAAAAGCTTGAAAACTTTAGTCGATTCTTGTTGATTTTGTATTCCAATATAATACTCCAAATGTTTCCTCCATGATTCGACAAGCAAGTGGCTAATTATGTGGCAAAACTCGCCGACATACCTCTAGCCAAGAGACTTCGTTACTTTGTGTTAAGTTCACTTATACATTTTTCAAGCAATTCACTCGCCTCCATCGTAACACGCTCCTCAATCTCAAAGTCAATTCACTTTTTGATCTATCTCGAATCACGTGCTAGGATCTATATAATAATGTTCCCTCCCCCTCTACATCTCCACAAACAAAGAATCAGGAGACACATTACACGGTATTGTGGCACCCGTCGCCGGGTCCTCCCGGCGTTCTTCCACAAAGCGTCAACGAACCCGACATATTTGATTTCCTACTACAACATACACACTACAGATTTAACCACTCGGAAAAGACAGACAATTGTTGTTAAGGTTTTTCTATGCTCGGACGGAGGCCCATTGGCTCTTCGCTCATATTCAGTAGTGAGCGAAAATTGAGAAGTTGTCAAGCTTGTCTTGAAGCTCGAACGAGAGCCCATTGGCTTTTCGCTGATGCTTAGTAGTGAGCGAGAAGAGTGGGAAGTTGTCATACTTTTCTTTAAGTTCAAAAAAAATGCACCTTGGCTTTTCGCTGATGTCCAGTAACGAACGAGCGAGCAAGGTGAGAAAGCATGACGTCAATATTACAGTAACTGACGAATCTAAGATGTTGCTTAACTTTAATCTTCTACGCTACACACTTGCTTGATACTGGGTAAATCGATCCCAAAGCACTCTCCCACCAAAGTCAAAGTTCCAAAATATCTCTCTCCTTCAAGCACGCAAACAACCCTCCTCACAAAATGGTCCGCCTAAACCTCACCTCACTCTCTACCCTCAAGATCTCCCGGCATCAAATCCCAGCACATGGCCTCATCCCAAACACTTCCATCCAAAAGCAACCCCTCCTAATCTACCACTCCTGCCTCCCCACTTCCGCCACAGCCTCAACGATCGAAGCCCACCTCAACGCCATCAACGTAGTAACTCCCCAATGGCGCTACACAATGTACAGCACCACGCACTTCCATTCCACCACCCACGAAGTGCTGTGCATATCTTCCGGCCGTGCTAAACTCTGTACATTACCCTCTCTTTCTTCTCATCTTACCTGGCTAACCGTCGACAGGTTTCGGAGGCGAAGATAATCCAGGAAGATTCGAGCCTGTTGTAGAGAAAGGGGATGTAATCATCGTACCCGCAGGAGTAGGGCATCGTTTGCTGGATGATTTCAACAGTGGTTTTGAGATGGTGGGTAGTTATCCGAAGGGAAAGCAATGGGATATGTGCTATGGTAAGAAGGGAGAAGAGAGTAAAGTGAAGGGTATTGGTGAGCTTGGTTGGTTTGAAAAAGATCCATTGTATGGGGATGAAGGCCCTGTGTTACAGAGTGACAGTTGAAAGAGAGATGAGGTTGAGAGAAGACATTATTTCATTATGTCTTAGGTATTCATCGTATGTACAAACCATCTTAGCATGTACAAGTGCCAAAGCCAGAACGCCATGCTATATTCTTGTTTGCTTGCCCCTTTCCACAAATCCGTGTATTACATGAGAGCTCGGATATAATTTGCACACGTGAAGTTTTTTCAGTCACTCTCTTCCCTGCCACCAACTCTTTCAACCAGCCTTGAAATATGATTAGCATGCACATTGGATGAAATAAGAGTCTGATACGTACCGGAATATGCTGACTGAAAAAGTCAAACTCCACGCTATTAATGCTACCATTAATATACCACAAAGCGCCTTCACCCTATCACAAATGAGAGCATTGAAAGGGCTTGATACTGTAGACCGACAGCTACCATTTGCATCCGTCAGAGCTCCAAAGGCCAATGCCAGATTAGCTGATTCGAAAATAATAAAGAAAAGATCCAAAAGAACGAGCCGGATCTTGGCTTTAGGAGACCGTAAACCCAAAGGCTTCCCCGTGTATTCATCCCAGGTGACGTAAAGAATGTAAGGAATGGCAACGACATCGACCACGATGGCCATTGTTGTAGAAGCATTTTGAGAATAAGTGTATCTGTCAGATAGGTGATGAACAGAGCCTGCGATTCCCAAAGCAATGGCCGAAGTTGTGAGGACTGTAACTCGAAATACCAGTGGTACTAATGGATGCATGAGAAGATTATGTTGAAGCCGCTTGACGAAGGTTCTGCGCTGCTTCTTGCTATGAATCAAACCTGGTAGCAGCTTCTCTGGATCATCACCACCATCGATATCGCCTCGCCATGGCTTCTGATACCCAGGAGTTTGTTGCTGTAAGAATTCTTCGTCGACTCGTTCTCCATCCTCGTCTAATCGGGGTCCATACATAGAGGACTTGATATAGGTTCTCCAGGATGAAGAATTCGGTAGAACTCCAGACTGCATGATGACAGGGTCACCGTCTCTAGCATGATCCCATTTTCTGCCTTTGACAGGTTCCTTGTGACCACCGAAGAACCCAGTCTCTGCAGGCTTCTTTGGTATCTCCTCGTATGGATCGATATAGCCGTCTCGAGATCTCCTCCGTTCTGGCGCCTTGGGGTCATAATGATGCTGTGCTGAATGGGCTTGAGACGGTGCAGTCAGCAGCCTGTCTGTAGGCTTAGCGGTGAGAATCTCGTCGCCTTCTTCGTACGAATCTATCCAAGCTATGTGGTTGTCAACAAGAGCTCTTTGGAAAATATGCTCTTCTACTCACGCGGAAGAGTTCTGACATCTCTCTGTGCTGCCTTATTCTCCGCCTTGGTACTAGATGACGTTTGTGTGTTCCGCGACGAGGACGAGTATGCTTGTGGCCTGGTAGCACTCTCCCGTTTCTTTCGCATGGCAGCTTGACTTGACGAGGCTGATGAGGTGGAAGGGTTTCTCTGGGCCTCGGAAGGGCCATATTGCAGGATGTGGTGAGCATCTAACTGGGCTGCATGAGGAGAATTATTCAGTGTGGAATCGTCGGAACCCGCCATGGTAGATCCTTGTGTGGTGGGAAGTCAGTAGGGCCTTGAAAAGACGAAGGTTTGATGTCAGCAGGCGGCTGCTGAGTGCAGCAGAATCCCCTTGCCCGACTCGTTGCAGCAAGACATTAATCGCGTCGTAAACCCGGGGATCAAACAGTATGCTCCCAAATAATTGTTGTCGACTCAAGGAAAAGTCGGACGTCGTCCTGTGATGTGTGTTGGGCCTCGAGCAATCGATCGTCCGCGAATTTAGAGTTGACAGGGATTAGCCAGGCCAAGAACACCAGCCACATGCCGTCATCGTATGGCTACCGCGTTTCGAGCAATTCTTTGGTGGCCGAGCTTCATCCAAAAATAAGCAACACGTTCTCATGCACCTGCGAATCTTGTGCCTTCATCACCTGGGAATGACTTAGAAATTCTCTCTCGACGACCGTGATCGGTAGTCACTTCAATTGACAATGCGCCTCTTCCTTCTCCCAATCTCGACACGGCGAACGCTCATCTATTGCCAACGCCTGAATGTCACAACCGCCGAGCAACAAGGACTACTCGACAAGGCCACAAACAGAGCTGCAGCTTTATGGGCAGGCTGGGAGAAAAAGGAGTCAGGTTGGCAGAGGAAAGTCGTTGATTATGGCAACGCGGCCCTGAAGAGGATACCCTACGAGGAATGGGGCCTGAAGTCAATACCACCTCTTTCAGCGCGACGGAAGAAGGAGGAGCTGTCAGGAAAGGAATTGGTGGAAGTGTCATTCCCATCGAGCTTGATGCCGGAGAATACAGTCCCAGAAATCTTGAGGAAGCTAGGCACGGAGAGGCAAAAGCTGCACAGGTCGAGGATGATATATTGCTTTATAGGCATGCCAATCACTGCTCCTGTTGCTCTTATACCCGTGTAAGCTCTCCTATACACTTGACAAGAGTGTTATTTAACGTTTTTTTAGGATACCCAATCTTCCATTTTTCTACCTTGTGTTTCGAGCATGGTCTCATTGGAGAGCACTTTCAGGCTCCAAGCACATCGAATTCCTTCTCGATAATAAGCTTGTCAAACCAAAACCTTCCCCAATCCTCGACGAACTATACGCTTCAGGGAAGCTACGATTCGACGATACTTCAAAAATGACTCCGGAAAAATCTCCAGAAGACACTGAAGATCCAATTGAGGAAATGGTCCTTCACAAATCTGATGGAACTCGCATCGCAGAGGCTCTAAAGATTCCCGAGCTAGATATTGAGCTTGATCGTGCCGTATGGCAAGTAGAGAAGGCAATTCAAGCCGCGAAGGAATTGAAAGAAGAGAAGAAAGACATGGATGCAGCTACTTCTAAGCCCAGAGAGAAAAAGTAGGTGGAACCTCAGTGTAATTGTACCAATTCTGGTATTTGGTGTACAACAAGCGGAGTCGGCATAGACGCATATATAGATGCATCTCAATCAAAATACGATCACGGACTAGACAAGGCGTGGGTGCTTGATTCATTCTATCCACGTAATTAGCCGTCTCTTCATCAAGTGCCAAGGCATTTACTACCAGCTTCTCTTTTTTCTATCCGTACGTTTGAAGGGCTATACGCTTGATTGAGCATCTTCAAGCATTTCCTTATCGCTTAGCCATCTATTCTGTCGCCCCTCACAGCGTTTGCAGTCATCCAACTACGTTTCCTGTGGTTTTCAAGTTTCTAGTGCTGAAGCTACTGCTTTTCTGAACTTGTACATATATACTCTGTCTTTTTGACAGATCCTTGACGCCTGGTTCCAGGACGGCTAAGCCGCTAAGAAGACGACATTCTCTAGGTCCCAGATTTGGATTTTTTTGCAATTACTAGTGTATATTCTAGTCACTGAACCAAAGTTGGTATCATCATATCCAACGCCTCGAGAGACGGTGCAATATAAATAGTTGCCTATCATGTTATACAATCATTTTCCGAATAATCTACTCGGACATTCAGCTTGACTCTGGAGAAAAGGACCTACAATTCACATTGTTAAAATTTATACTAACGCCAACACGATGACGAAACCTTCACAACCTCAAGTCCCTCCCGCTTACACCGAAGTTTGCAAAGCCCCATCGACCAGCAAACCCTCTAAATCCTCAACGACTTTCCTCCCTAAATTCCTCCAGAAAAAAACCCCATACCAAAAACTCGCCTCAAAACAACCCCAATGGCTCTGGACCCAAACCGAATGCCGAGAATGGCTCACCGCCGTCTGCATCTGGAATCTCAACTACACACCCGAGAAAGCCCACGAGGTCGTCGAGAGATTGAAAGGCTTCGGACCAACCTTATTCGCCATGAAAATCGAGCATTGGGAACGTGTATTAGGGGACTATACGGACGCAGCAGCGGTCTACGCACTGATCTTTAGTTCGAAGACAGCTCGGGGTGCTATGCCGAAGGGGGTCCTGTATGCTAATCGAAAAAATCGGGGTAATTGATTTGTAGTCTGGAATTTTGGATAGATAGATAGATGTGTTCAATAGATACTCGTCATTTTCAACGTCATTCCACTCACCCGCGTATTCTCAAACTGGTATGTTGCACGTCGTATCCCGAGCCAAGATAGCATTCTGTTCACTTTGCCAGATCTCGAAGCCGACTTAGTACCAGTCATCATTCTCCCCTTCGAAAAAGAACGATCCAGACCATCATTCATTTCGGCACTGTTCGGCACTTGACGGTAGCGTACCGAAAGAAAGTTGAGAATCCACTTCAACTAACCCATTCGGAGAGGAATAGCTTCATGTCAATAAAGTTTTCGATGTGCAACAAATGGTTGTTTTGAGTTAGTTTTGTGGGTTGGTTTTGTGGAAACTATGTTCTAAAGGCTGTCAGGAGGTTATCTAGTGTTAGTCTATAGACGCAGCGTCGGAATATTTTCGATATGCAACAAATAGTTGAATTGAGTTTAGACAAGTGTAGCTCGCTGGAAGCTACTATCTAAAATATATCATGGGGTTATTCAGTGCTGGACTAAGACCGTAGTATCGGAGTAGAAAATGTTCGATATGCAACAAATAACTAAAATGAGATTAATTAGCGCTGCTCAAAGAGACAACGTGTTGTAACGCAGAATATCCGATATGCAACAAGTGATTGAACTTAGTTTAGCTAGGTGGAGAGGACTTAGGAGCTACAATCCAGATTTCGACATGGGTTTAGTACCAGTGAGCCAGGTGTGCTAGCCTTTGACAACGTGTTATAACGTAGATTCGACATGTAACAAAATTTGAACTCAGTCTAGCTGGGTGGAGATATAATTCAAAGTAATCAAAATTGTGCGGGGGAGCTACCCAAGAGTAACTTTAATTCGATGTGCAACATTCCAGTTCTAAGTAAGTTCGATAGAGTCTTTTTAAAAATCGCTCGGTATGGAGAAGAATGGTGAGATATCAGAGAACACATTCGGCTAGGACTTTGTCGGTGCGACATATTGTATACACTTTAGAAATCAGTAGAAGGAGCGGGGACGTTCAAGCTTGCAAATATACTTGTCCTGCAAATAGAATGATTAAGACGATTTCTCCATAGAATAAAAAGCAGAAAGTCAAGCCAGGACAACGATGTTGAGAATGCTCCTCCATCATAACCTTTCTCCTCTCCATGTATTTATCCTGCAGCAATATTATCTTTCTTACAATTAAATATACATCTCCGACCATCCATCAATCTTTTCCTTCCCTTCCCTTCCCAATATGTATTAATGATCATCGGCATTCATCTGCCGGCCCGCCGTGTCTGTTGCACGCCTACAAAAAGTCGGCTGTTGCTTGATGCCGGTTCACCGATTTGTCGCTTCCTCTTTTTTCCCTTGAAATATCCGAGCGAGCGAGGCTTTCTTTTTTGCTGATTTCAATGGTTGGTTGTATCTCGACTCTGTAATAATCAAAATTCTATAGGGTGAAAAGTCGTTGGGTGTCGGAAGGTTCGGCAGAGAATGTCTGTCGTCTCGCTTCTAGCATGGTATGGGTGTGAGTTGTGAGGTGGCTTTGGAGATATCGGTGTTTCGCTCTTGGGAAATGATTTGATAATTCCGTACTTGCTCGTCGGTGAAAGATCGATATTCCGATTCTCACTGGTGTTCGTATTCCGGCCCTCAGAAAAAATTCCCTTAACTCCACCTAGCAGCCGAAAAGTCCTGTCCAAGATCAAACCACGGCCCTCTCGACCAATCGACATTATTCAACCAATCGAAATTATCCGTCGCATCATCGAACGTCCCCGGTTCGAACAGATTCGGATCGTACCCCAAGACACCCGTTCCCACGCCACTGGCATCGAAGCCCGGCGTATCAGCCGACTCCTGAGTCGCGGCCGGCATGGAAGACGGAGGTGAAGGGTTCAAGATCTGGTCCAGGATCCGCTTGATGATGATCCGCATGCGTCCACACAGTTGGTAGTTGCCTGCTGCTGGCTTAACCCATTCCAGGAACCCGATCAAGAGGGAGAGATTCTGCACGATCTCGGATCTGGGGACACGGAGCGTGTTTCCTGTCGGATTCTTGGTTTGTTTTAGTAGCTCGACGCAAAGGACTCCAGAGCTGGGAACGCCCCAGCACATGAGCATCCAGTCGTAGTCGTGGTGATGCTCGACAAAGCGATCGCGTTGGACCCAGAGGAGGACGGTAAGTTCGAGCATTTCTCGGGCGCAGTCAATCATGCTTTGGCCGTCGAGGGCGCCTTGTTTATGGGCTAGACGTTCGAGGAGAAGACGGTGCTCAAGTAAGATGAGTCGGAGGCAGAGACGGCGCCAGAATATGCCATCCGGCACGTCGGGAGAGCCAAGTTCGGAGAGTCGGAAATGAAGGTACGGTGGGAAGTTATCGTAGACGTTTAGGAGTTTGGTCATGAGATGTCTATGGAGAATATTAGTTGTGTAGTGAAACAGGATACGAGATGAGATTGCAGACTTGATTTGATCTCCAGTACAATTCTCCGGATCTCCAAGAGAGAGCTCAAGTACTTCGTTCAGGATGGGAGACAGCTGTCCATAAGCTCTAGTCGACGTTGAAGGATGAATCAGACCTTCCCTATTCCATCCCTTCTCATCCAACTGTTCGACGGCTCGTTGAATGGCGTCGCCTCCCTCCATAAGGACTTCTTCACTCAAGTCTAGTGGGATTTTCATACGACAATATCGATAGCTGAGAGCTGGTGGGCGGCCCAAAAGTAGTGCTGATCCTTTATCGATGTTGAAGATGACAGTGAAAATGCGCTTCTTGATCTCAGATAGATAAGTAACTGGCCTTCCATTGTCTACTTGTCGATGCAGACCCAAGGCAGTTGTTGAAGCAATGAGATCTCCAAGTTGACGCCAAACAACCAAACCTGAATATTGTCAGCATCGACCATACCCCTGATAGATAGACTTACTAGCATCGCCGCTAATGACCGTCTGAAGAATAAGATTCTTAACTAGCAGATTTACCATCATACAGTTAATCAAATCCATGTAATTACTCAACGTAATGCAAGCCTGCACGCAATCTTTCATCTCCACAGAGAAGTTCCTCCTATTCCTCCTATCCCCTCTCTGCGTCGTAAAGAACGCATCCCGTTCCGGCAGGGACAGAATAGCTGAAGTAATAGCCCCAAAGACGCCACCCAAAGACTCCCACCTGATATTCATCCCACTACACGCCTCCAACCACTTCTCATAATCATCAAACTCCTCCAGGCTCTTCTCAGCATTCTTACAGATGATCGTAGAAATATGTTCCAAATCCTCAGTGAGCCTCGGCTCCTTGAGATACTTCCCAAACGTCGTCCAGACCGAATTAGCTATCGACAAAACGCTCTTCTGAGGCAGCGAACACTCATGACATTTCTCGAAATACCATTCAAGCAAGAACTTGCACGTATGTTGATCCGGTAACGCGTGCAGGACTTTCGTACCTAGTGCCACTCGTGGAGAACCTCGTTGTTCTTTGCCAGCGAGCATTAGGAAAGTCTGGGATTGCAAGCTCTCGTAAGAGGGCACGTAGGGTTCGGAGTCGACTGAGATTTGGAGATCGTCGTTCCCTAGGTTTTCACGGTTTTCCATGAACACGGCGGAGAAATTGGTCGGTCCTGGACAGAGTAAGTCTTGGATTTGCATATTGTATGCCGAAGTCCGTGATGGGTAAATGGTGGGTGGACTTGTAACACCACGAAGACTGAACCCATGTAAAGAAGATAAGTGCTCTCTCCGGAATACATTTTCCAGTTCTCAAAATATCCTAGCCGCTCTAGGACATTAAAGCTTTTCACAAAAAGGAATTGAGTACCGGCATAGTACTCTCCAACAGAAAAACAACACAAGAAAAAAGAATATATTTACCAAAGAAACCTATCGGAGTTAGCCAACTTTATTCACACAACCCAATTGCCAAATACCCAGAACACTTACCACCACTCGCAACAAAAGGCCCACTCTCCGGCGTAGGCCTAACCACCTTACTCTCACTCCCAGCCGCCGCAACGGTTGCCGCGCCCCCAGGACTCAAACTCGACGGCGTAGGCGGCAAGTTCACGACCTCCTTCCTGCCATCAGGGACAGGCCGAGTCATCGGAGCCGCCAAGTACACACACTTGCTACTCAACTTCCTTCTTTGGCACCTCACACAGATCGGAAGCGTGTGATCGCACGACACCTTGGCTTTCCGGCACGGTTCGCACGCTTTGTTGCGGGTTTAGCTTTTCCTTTCGAGTATCCCGTTTGAACAATCAATGGAAGGAAGGAGTTCGCGTACGTACCTTGCTGCTTGCCGTTTCGCCTCCGGGGAAGCCCAGGAGTGGAGGACATGTTTGCTTGGCTGAGAACGGTAGAGCCGGGAAACACAAAATAATGTTTTGTACAACGGTCGGAATTGAAAGAAAATTCTTGTAATAGGAGAGAAGGAGTTGAGTGAGCTGTGGGGGATGAGGAGATGTCGATATTTTCAGTGCGGTGTTCAGCTCCGCGCTCCAATTCCGAAAATCCCGTCAGCACCGATCCTAGTCGCCAATCATGAGAATGTGATTTGTAGTCTTTTGTGGGTCGACAGATTGAGCTTCCGAAAGGGATATAAACCAGCTGCAGCTTGCTACGCGACTTCGCGGTCGAGAGTGATAGTTGTCTTCAGCTAAGGTAGGCACGAATAAGTTGTCTCGCTAGTCTTCTTTTGAGTTCACTTGCCTACTTTGAAAAGTTGGGCAGAAGTTTGAAGATCATCAACACAGCAATATGTGAAACCAGCAGACACTCTTTTCTCAAGGAAACTTTTGTATTCTCTCAGCAGTGTTGCATGGGTATCATAACACTCCTTCATCCATCCCATGCAGATCCTTCCTCCACGCCATATCCATCATCAACGAAAGTCCATCCATCCCCATCAACCCGCCTCCTTCGTACATTCAACACCGGAAAAGAGGAGAGTGCAAAAGGAAAAAGATGTCCCACGCCCGCATCCGCGAAAATTCAAAGCAAATTGGTATTTCCTCATCCCATGACGCACGCTTTCTTCTATTGTTTGTGTATCTTTAAGATGTCCGACGCCGCATCAGTGCTTTTCTTCCCGAAAAACATCGCGAAACTGAAACTCGCAAAGAAACAGGAAGGGGAATCGAAAGGAGCCTGAAAAAACAGATAACTCAACACATAAATCACGATTTGGTATTTGGGTATTGCGCGCCAGGGTATATATCCAGCCAATGTACGGCACACTCTAGGAAATTGGGTATGGAAAAAAGACCATTTTAAGAACGCGGAGGGCCAATAGGGCCTGGGTATCCTGAGTTGGTTGAATGAGAAGTGGAGGGACGACCACTGTCGGTCGATGCTCGCATTGAATGTCTCGGCGTTGCATCTCCTGGATGCTGGAGTTGAGAAGGCTTATGATCGTTACTGCTACCGCTGCCATTCCCAAAATGGCGGGTTGTAGGCCATGGAGTGGAGTCGTCGTCCGGCAAGTTCACACCACTGTCGTTCCATGGGTTGCGGTCAGCATTAAAGCTCCGGGTGGACTCGATCGAGATCAGGGATGACTTCGATACATTGCTAGAACCATTCTTGAAGAACGAACCAGCTGGTGATTGAGAGCTATTCTTGCGGCGATCCAAGAAGGAAGAAATAGAAGACATGCTACCAGGCTTACGAAGTTTGTCAAAGATGGTGCTGCGCTCGCGAGCAACATCGTCACCGAAAGAGGACTTGGTGGGAGAATCTGTTGAGACAGGAGCTGGAGCATGTTGAAGAAGCTTCGAGTCAAAGAATTGAAGAGACTCCTCGAAAGAATCCGACTTTGGTCGTGGAATGGCTCCTTTCACAGTCGTGGTCTCAATGCCGGCAGAAGCAAGATTGGAGGTCAGGAAGTCAATAGCATCTCTGACCCCACCAGCATTATTTCGTGTGAAGCTCCAAAGGAGAGTGATGGTAGGTCCATCTTCTTCTGTCTTTTCGTTGGGATCCTCTCGGACTTGTACCTCCACCACATATTGTGCCTTGAGCTTGGAGACCAGGTCATTTTTGAACTGCTTAGAGTTGAGGAACTTGACCAGGTCAGGAGTAGAAGCCAGAACAAGCTCATGCTCATCAGGAACCATGCCCAAGAACTCGTCGACGCAGTGAGGAACCTGCCATTCAGGACCAGAAATGGTAACATCGTCGCTGGCTTGTTCGGTGCTGGGAAATATGATCTTGCAGTTCCACTTCTTCTCCAATTCTTCGAGCTGGCCAAGACGGGCAATGAGCTGTCGATGGTACAATCGATCAACGTTGACAATTTGGGTTGTGAATTCGGAGTCGACTCGATCAACCATGTCCAAGATCTCGGACTTGACAAGTTCCAAATTCTGGGCATTGCGTGCAGGAGTTCGGCAGATAACATTGTCAACCTTGATATCATCATCTTCTCGGCCCACACCACCACGGTCCATAGCATTAGAGAACTTGACAAAGACGGAGTGCTTCTTCATGATGCGTTGAATGTGTTGACCTCCAATACCAATGATACGCTTGTGATACTGGTCCGGGACATGAAACGAGATCGAGGCTGGCATTTCTTGCTCAACAAGCATCAGTCCAGACTTCATAGCTTCGTAGTTTGCACCGCAGACGTCGATGTTGAAATTGTACTCGTTGAAGCCGTCGAAAATGATCTGAACACTGCTTTGGCCCATGATCTTGTTAATCTTGCCATTTTTCTTGCCACTGACAAATTCCTTATGCTCATTGGCAAGCTCAATCTTGACTCTGATCTGGTATTGAGCGCTGGTGACAAACTTGATGTGAGAGATAACCATTAATGCCATCTTGACAGCGTCGTCGGACCCAGTGATACTGAAAGTAAGCTTGTCAAATTGCACATCGGCATCGGAGTTGGCACAGATGTCCGAAAGCATGGTTCGGATCTCACTTGGAGATGGTAGACGTGTCGAGTTTGCTTGCTGAATCCACCAAGAAGCACTGTAGAATTGACCGGTCTATGCACACGTTAGAAAGGAACAATGAATACTCACTCGAGAAACGTACCAGTGACATGACATCCCGCACAGTCCGCTCGACATGAAGACCTTCGACACCCTGGATTCGGATCATATTGCGTTGAGATGCCAGTGCCGGAAACTGGATAAAAGTGCCGTTTGTTTCCATGATCTTGCGGACCTTATCCAATCTTCCTAGCAAGATGCTGTCAATCTTCGGGGCAGCAACTACGGCATCCTTCATGAAGATCCTAGTTCGGGTGACCAGCTCGTGAATCTTTTGCTTTGCCATGGCGATGTTCTGTGGAGTCTCTCCAGTGATGAAAATCTCCTCGGGATTTCGTCGTTCAGCACCTACAGGGCAGTATCGATATACTTGGGAGAATGGTGGTGGGAAATAGATGGCCGTGCCGGTTGTGGACTCGATGAGCTTGATGTTCTTTCGAGAACGGCCACAAACCACCGTATGGAGGGAAAGCTCGAGCAAGGTTCCATCGACAATACGACCAAGCTACAACTACGTTAGAAACAATGTGTGATACGATGTCTGCAGGATCCCATACCAGCTTGTCAATGAAAATCAAGACCCTGGTCTTTGCATGCTCCGCACTCTCCATATCTCCGTACACAGCAATTCTCCATCTCTGATCTCGTCCAGCATCTCCATTTCCATTCTGAGTCTCTCCCAGGGAGGCGAATTTCGGTCCTAACAGGAAAATATCGACTCCGCAGAATTTTGCAATATCGTCGAGATGTGATACGACATTCGCTTTTAGTGCCGTCTGAGCGGAGTCGATGACGAGTTCGCCGTCAACATCAACAACAGTACATCGCTTCCCAGAAAGTCAGTATGTGAAATATCAGTACGCAATACAGCTCTATGCTTACCAATGCCAGTGGAGTCTCATTCAGAATGGTCTCCCTGCTCTTGTGAACGAGTTCCGAGGTTCCCGAAAGACAGACATTTGTAACCTGACCTTTCACTCTCTTCGGTATGGACGATGTGACATATGCTTCTATGGGTAAAACGCCGTTGGTGAGATCTCTGCAGATGTTCCTCAAGTTTGCAACGTTCTCTCGGTGCACGGGAAGCTCGTGAATGGGGACATCGTCCGGCGCGTCTGCAGAGTGCGTCCATCGCTCGACAGCTCGTTCCGTCGCATACAGGATGTCCTCGACGTTGGGTCCAGCGAGGTCGGAAGCAAAGGGCACATTGAAGGAGTAGTGTATGGGTGTCTCGGCGGCGGTGGGCGAGAGAATTGGGGACGATCCGTGGGCGGCCTTGTGTTGCGGTGTTATGGCCGTCATGTTCATATTTGGCCTGGACATGCCAAATCCAGGGCCCATCCTCTCAGACCAATGCCGCATACCTGCTAATTTGTTCATCGTGGGAAAACGGTCGTCAGAAGCTGAGGCGACGTTGTTGTGGAGGAAGTCTCGTCTCGTGCCTGCAGTCCGTAGAGGAGCAACAGCGTATCGTATGCTGACGGGCTAGGGAGGGTGTATAAGGTAAGCAGCGCAGATAGTAGCGCAGAGTAGAGCTGGGGGCTGGCTGCAGCTGCCTCGAGCGAGAACGAGCAAGCGACAGACCACCAAAGGTCAGAGACCGTTCACTGCCACGATTCGACACAGGGGGCTTCCAAGGCAGGAGATTGGCGCGAGTAATCCACAATTGTGTTGCAGAGGAACAGAGCAGGGAACCGGAAAGGGAACAATTGGAATGATTTGTTCTGCTGCCCGTGGACTGGGAAGGGCAGCGGACGAGGAAGGACGGACAGACAGTACAGGACGGACACGCAGGACACGCAGCGGCGGGTGAAACGAATGGAAGGAATATCAAGAGGTTTGGAGAAGTGAATTTGGCCTGATGTTGCGGGATGACCGTACTCTATCGAAGCATCAAGAAGTCATCTGTGGGCTCACTTCGCTCCCACTTGCTGGGGTCCGTCTCCAGCACGTCGTTGATCTAGGCACACGCCGGCCGGATCACCATCATCACAAACCGATTGTTCCGGGAGCGAAAGGAAAGCGTGCAGAGTGAGCACTACTACGAATGCACTGTACGACGACGATGGCGGACCCAGAAATTACTCCTTCAGGATCTGCCTTCCAAGAAGCATCACGGTCATCGTCTGTCCATTGCTTGGTCCAGTCTCAATCCTTAGCAGTGTGGTCCAAGCAAAGCAAACACGGAGAGATGCCACTATCTATCCCAGAGTCAGAGAAGACTCAGATCTCCTGTTCGTTCAGATCCACACACTCACTCCATCCATCCATACATATCGATCCCGGCACTGCAGCCGTGTTTATTTGCGTGCGTCGCTTCGCAATCGCAATCAGGGTGGGAGAACAATCTCGCCTTGCTTGCCTTGCGTGTCTATCTGGCATGCGAGTGAGAGTTTCATCCGTTTTGCCGCACCGTATGAAAGATTGGTTGAGTGTTTCTGCCCACTCCCAGATCTAGAACGCCGCCAATCCATACAGAGCCAGCAAAACCTAAATACCGTAACCCAGCATAGCTGACGCTCCTACATAAAAGTTCCAGGTTTCCTACTCTAGACTATTTTAAACCACCCCTCCTCCTCTTCCTCCACTTTACTATTGTAGGTAGTCAGTGCTTGCTTGATGCGGTAAGATGTCACGGTCAATGAGAAACAAGAGAGGCCTCAGAACTCGCACCCACACACATCCCACATCCACTGATTCCCAATTGTCAGATTCCCGCTTCCGGGACGGAAGTCGTGTTCTCCTGCTGATCTGTGCTCGCCAGGGCTCGGAGTTTGAACTAGGGCAGGATCGTCATCAAGGAGGAGAAAAAAATTGTGAGCTCGACAGACAAGATGGATGACTTCATGGAAAGCTTGGATCGTTAGAACTCATCAATTTTAGTGTGCTGCTACAGCCGCAAGTAGTCTTTGGCAGACCTAAATTCGGCTCCAGAAATTCGAGTTGCCTATTTGGTTCGGCTGTCACTGGTAGGAATGGATGGGGTGACGTTTAACCTGACATTTTTTTGGTAAGTTAGTCCTAGAGTTGGAGAATTAATGATCAGTGCCAGATATTATTACAATTTTTATTACTAAAATCCTCGCTGTGCTATTCTACAATTTCATACACGCCGACCACATGATCTGTCACATCTCAAGATGCACGTGTGGATCCACATATACCCAGCTTTGTGTCTGACTGTCTGAAAATCTGAAAATCTGATAAGTGCAAATTGTACCAAAACGAGACACCAGAAGGTAGGTGGTCACAAGGGAGTGTCATTCTTGAATTTCCTCCTATCTGTAAGCTTCCCTCCTCACATCATCGGTGTAGACGAGCACAGAAGCTTCTCTAGCTCTTGGTCTCTCAATGAAAGCGATCTCAGCTGGTCTCCGACTAGGAATCTCTTCGTAGTATCTCTCACCCTCTGGACCTACCATCGGCTCTCTACGAGGCATGGCATCAACAGGTCTGACACTGAATTCTCGCTGTGCTTGAGGAACAACTTCTCTGCGAGCTTCAGGGCGTACACTTCCAGCGTACTCCCTAGCAGGCACCTCCGTCGGGCGGACACTCTGCATCCTTCCAACATATTCTCTAGGAAGTTCGTATCGTACAGCTTCTGGTCGTACACTTGCGGCTCTTCGTATGTATTCTCGAGGCGCTTCCTCAAAGTGGCTCATCTGGCGTGTTGCTGGCCCTCTGAGTGGCACATAGTCTTCTCCGGGAGGTACCATTATCCGTCCTTCTGGAGGTGCCATTGTAGATGGTCGGACAGAGTACTCTCTCTGGCGATACTCGCGATATTCTGGCTGCGGCGGCATTGCGTATTCCGGTTGGGTAACTACACGTCGTGGGGCTGCAACTGAAGGGGATGGTCTGCGGTAGACCACAGCATCATCTTCGTAGACTTCAGTAGGAGTTCTACCAGAGACGGCTCGGGTAGGGGCTCTTTCATAGACCACTTCTGGCTCACGATATCTGATCGGAGGCGCGACTGATTGCCGTACAGAACTGGTGGGGATTGGTTCATAGAACTTGTGGCCATATTCATCGATAACAAGTCGCAGAGGTTGCGGAGGTGGACGCATGATTGGTGATCTTCTCTCTCGAAGGACGGGAGATCTTGATCGTTCGCGGTCAGCTTCAGGGCGAACGCTTGCTCTAACAGGAGGTTCACGATAGTAACGTGGCTCCTCATAGACTCTTCGCTCGGTAATAGCATGAGAAGCTGCTCTGACTGGTCGCATCTCTGCTGGTGCATACGGGAGAGCATAGACAGGAGACTGCGGGCGTCTTGCATACTGAGTTCCCTCAATGCGTCGATACTCATCTTCAGGGGGTTCAACTCGCCTGTAACCATCGTCTTCTCTCTCAACACGGCGATAGACAGGCTCTGGGCGACGAACTTCCGGCTCGTAGTGTTCCTCAACTCGTTCGTACTCTCGGCGAAGTGGAACTTCTTTATATGGCTCAGCAACTCTCCCAGTCTCCCCTTCGTATCTAGGCTCGTCGTAATTCAGTTCTGCAGCATATTGACCTGCCTGACGCTGTCTTTTCTGTGGACGAGGCAGTGGAACCACTCCATAGGGTGACGGCGATCGAGGTTCTGGTTTTATATAAGGAGAATCGGGAGCGTCAGCACTATCCTTAGCCTTGCGTTTGCCTTTCTTCTTCTTGTCCTTTTTCTTCTCTGGTCCTTTCGTGCCCTTCGGAGAACTGTCTGTGCTGGATATACCCGTAATCTGTGTGCGTAAGGCTGTGACTTGAGGAGCATGTACTTCTTCAACCGCGGCAGCTTCTCGAAGAACAGGAGGGCCTCTAGCGGTAGCAAGTGGAGAAACTCGAGAAGGTTGTGGAGCAAGGGGAGATAGATTGTGAGCTCGCATTACGGGCGACATGACTACATCGTCGAAAGCTTGTCGGAGGGGATCTGGATTCGTATTCTGCTCCGTTACTAAATTAGCATGTATTTCGACGAGTGCGAGATAGAGGGAATAATGATCGGGGGTTCGATCTTGAGGGGGACTGACTTTTCCGTGAGCTGCTCTTGAGGCACCAGCTCCACGGGAACTGCTAGAATCAGAGTTACTGGTTTCGACGCGAGAATCATGAAGGCTTGCGCTGTCTACCAAATTCTGTGAATGCGGCTCATAATGACGACCTGGTGCTGCTAGGTGGTTATCATTGGATAGCGAAGTACCAGTCATGACCACTTCTCGGTTCTTGACTTGGGTTTGAGCAGATATAAGTTCATTGGTATGCTCATCAGCCAACGTCGCACTCTGTGATTGCAAAATACCGGAGTCTGTCTGCTCCCGAGGGGATGAAGATGGAATAGGTGTATCATGCTGACTTGAATAGAAAGTGTTCTCATCAAAAGAATCGCTAGCAGAAGAGCGGGCAGCCGCAGAAGGTTCAGCTTCTGTGGCAGTGGATGGATGTACGATTTCAAGAGCTTTTGACAAAACTTCGGAAAGATCAAAGTTAGGAAGAGACTCAGACGTTTGAAGCAAAGCTTTTGCCTCAAGACGCTGCTTTTCGATCTGCTCTCTCAACCCACGCTCTAATCTTTGTCTTTGTAGTTGTATCTCAGCCTTGATAAGATCATCAGATTTTTCCAACAAGACAGGATTAATCTCTGACTTCGAAGACATTGTCGCAGCACCTCTAGCACGTTGGTAATTGGGAGATTTGTTGAAGGAAGACGACGCCTCTTCGGTGCGAGTGCTCATCGTCGAATGTGCCAATTGCGCAGGCAGGTTTGTTCGGGGTGTGAAGGAACTCGGGGAAGATATCTGGCGCGTCGAGTGAATCTGCTTGCCAGCTAGATGCGCAGGTATTTTTATCCGAGGATGCGTCCCTGCGAAAATAGCATCTCGAAACTGCACAATTTTATCGTACTCCAATATTTCACGAAGCTCCTCTGCTGTTAGAGAGACCCCGTTAGATGTCGGAGCCATTGCGACTGCCCCTTGGGCCATTTTGTGTGTACAACTGCAAATTAGTGACTGTGCAATAGCAAACAGGACGCTGTGCCAATGTCTAAAGCTAACAATGCTCAAATGTACTTTACAGCAGACGCTGAATGTTGGTGCGAGAGTTGGTGAATGATAAAGAATGAATGTGTGTGAAGAAGTTGGACGTCGAGTCCAGCGACTGGCATTGTTAATTTCATCTCACGGCAAGCGCCGCACTACGCATCGCTTAAGTTGCCACTTTGAGTCATCACCATTCTGCGGATCCCCATTCTTTGGCGTGCTTGAGTACCAAAATGATTCCCCATGATACGAACCTTGTCCTCGTCTAGATTTTATAGATCCTCCTTTACCATTCTTTCTTGCTTTCATAGATTAGAAAAGACTCCATAGTGGTCCAGAAACTCCACAAATATGACGGAAAGTAAGAGGCCGGTGTTCTTTTTCGACATTGATAATTGCGTAAGTTTGAGATTCACTCGAAAAAACTGCGGCTAACCATAATATTGTGTAGCTCTATTCAAAAAGTATACTTCTCGACAGTTCAATAACCCCCTAATTGCTAACCGATTGCAGGTAAGAAGGTTCACGACCACATGACGGAGCTCATCGATCAATATTTCGTTAAGCACTTGGAATTGACTCAAGAAGATGCCTTCAAGCTTCATCAGGAGTACTACAAGACATATGGTCTAGCTATTGAAGGCTTGGTTCGACATCACAAAATAGACCCCCTTGAATACAACCGCCAAGTCGACGACGCAATACCTCTCGAGACTATTCTCTTTCCCGACCCCACGCTGCGAAAACTACTTGAAGATATAGACAAGAGCAAAGTCAAACTTTGGCTTTTCACTAATGCCTATGTCACCCACGGTAAACGAGTTGTCAAATTGCTTGGCGTGGAGGACATGTTCGAAGGTCTGACGTTCTGTGACTATGCTCAACCTAAGATGATATGTAAGCCGTACCCCGAGATGTACGCCAAAGGTATGAAGGAGGCAGGTGTAGAGGAATACAAAGACTGCTACTTTGTTGGTAAGACTTTTCCGCCCTCCTTTCTGAAGGGGGTTACTAACTTGGACAGATGATTCCTTTCAGAACTGTCGAAAGGCCGAGGAGCTAGGGTGGACAGCTGCACATCTGGTTGAAGAAGGAGAACCTTTGCCAGCAGCAAAGGCATGCAAACATCAAATCAGGCATTTGGAGGAGCTGAGAACTCTCTTCCCCCAGTTCTTCAAGACCTCGTAATACGAAAAGCTTACCATTGCGGTTACCGGAGTGTTGGATTGGCAGCGAAGACCACATAGATCTAGAAATAGAATTCCTGGAATGTCAAACGATACCAAGAGTTTCTCTGGACTTCATATGCCTTGCAATCCAGCCAGGGGTATTTTCCGTGACGCCATGTATGCCCATCATTTCTCAATCTCTCTCTATGTTCTTAAGGCCTCTTCACACTCCTGATGACAGTCTCCAGCTTCGCGAGAACTGCCGCTCTCTCTTTCACGGCCTCTTTGCGCTCTTCTTCGGCTACCTTCAATTCTTCCTCTAGCCGCCGTATCGTTTCGTCTTGGTCCTTCTCACTATTCTCTAAGCCGGGGAGCTGCGAGATGAGGTATTCGATCTGCTGTTCCTTGATAATGATGTCTCGAGCTAATTCGCGCTGTCCATCCTTGAAAGCGGCTTCGGATTTTGGATCGACTATAGTAATGTCAGTCTGTACTTTTGAATAGGTAGAAACTTCATACTCTCATCTTCTTGTGGTGCCGCAACACCGCCATTTTTGTTAGCAGTCACCAGTCTATCTGTCGGTCCAAGCAGCGCATAGTCGTGATGTTTGTTGACATAATGCAACGAAGCAACGAATTGCTGTGCAAGCTACCGTAGGTTAGCAGGGTCCAGGCTATCGCCCAGAGAAGTATACCTGATCGACTGCATCTTGCAGCTGCGTCAACATATCTGCCATGATTGCGGGTACAGTGCTGAAAGATGTGATAGGTGTTTGAGTGAGTAACCTGACGATTTGCATACAAGGCTGAAAGGGGGAAAGTTATACCGAGCTCCGGCGCGCTAGCTTCAAAGCCAATCAGACTACCTCCGTTCCAACTAATGAAAACTACTTCAGCCTCCTCCAAAATCCCTACTTATTGAATCTATTTCGAATACCTCTCAGAAGGCAATATCATGAACAGAAACTTGAACTCCGCTCGATAGCCTCCAACAATTCACTCATCTCCAGTCCTCTCAGAAGACGAGAGTCATCACATGACCTTTTGCAAACACCAACCTCCACCTTCATGCCTCCCGAACGCACAGCTATGCGGCTCTTCCGAGCTGTGCAGCAATCATGCAACTACTCTACAAACGCTACAGCTGCACCGAACCAATTAGTCTATCCTGACTCACAGAGTCCAAGTCATTATGACCTACCAAGCTTCCTAGAGTATGCGTCACGGATAGATATGGACATGAAAAGTACTACCTACGTGGGAACACACTATGAGTACACCGTACAATCTGCACTTGAACGGCTCGGAATGTCCCTCAAACGGATAGGTGGGAAGTCAGACTGTGGGATTGATGTTCTCGGTTCGTGGTCATTACCTTCTGCACCTCAGCCTTTGAAGGTCCTGGTTCAATGCAAGAACATTGCTCGGAAGATTGATCCGTCTCAGGCAAGGGAATTGGAAGGCGCGTTTGTAGGCGCACCTCTAGGTTGGAGGGAATCCGGCGTGCTAGCTCTCCTTGTTTCACAGAAGTCTGCAACCAAAGGAGTGCGAGATGCTCTTCGCCGGAGTCGTTGGCCGATGGGATATGTACTCTGCACTCCTGAAGGCAAGATTATGCAGATGCTCTGGAACTCTCGTGCAGAACAAGAGGGACTGGGAGGTATAGAAGTTGGTTTGAAGTATGCTGGCGGTGAAGCGGAAGAGAAGGAAGTGATCTTGACCTGGAAGGGAGAGGCCATCACGAATTGATCATTCTATTTGATTGCACTGGAATGCTCAACGATCCTGCTGGCAACACCTGGACTGTTTGCTGTCACAACTCCATAACATCGACAATCACGAAACTCTTTGAGGTGGCCAGGCCGGTTACCCATACGAGAGTTTGATGGTATCTCAAAAGACTCTCGTCAGATGAGGACTCTTCTTGAAGCTTGTCTCAGAGGTCCACGAAGATAAAACTATCTTTGCTCGCCATTACGAGACTACACCGAGGGCGACCATTGCAAAGCTCCAACCATATCCATTACGTTCATCGATATGTGTCACCAAGTCATTCAAATCTTCGAATGTGGCCATAATCACGCCTCGAAAGTTGTTCAGTGCAAGAGACCAACTGATAAATGCAATGGTGTATTTCTGAGGCAGGATCTGCAAGATACTCGAGGTTTATGTGTTGTGAGTACGGAGAATTACTCTCTTCTCCTACCACTGCTAACCTGTTTCAGGCCTGCAGGCGGACTGCGAAGCTGAAGAGAGCTCAACAGAAGGAAGCGGCTGTTGCAGCGGAAGATGAAGGCTACTGGTCGTAGTGAAAATTTTCACGGAGTTGCTTGCGTCTTTCGCCACTCTTTGGAGGACTACTGGAGAATGTTGTCGGGCGTAATAAGTATGCTATCCTCGTGCTCGTTATTATCACGAAAATCAGGGCAGTGGTATGTTGATATTGCACATGCAATATATTTCAGACCATCTTATCCCATTTTCATTTGGAATGTTTGCTTCATGTCTTCATGTTATATCGTAAAGTACAATCAAGTCACCGAATCAAAATGACCTACTTTTTATTCTCCTTCGCTTTCAAGATCCTCAAAGCATCGATAGCTGTTAGGAACATCTTTCAAATTTCCAAGGCCTTTGAGATTACTCATTTGCCGTTCAATATACAAAGCATTGAGAGCAGAGGGTTGGAAGTAGCTTTTTCACCTCGTCATAGTGACTCATGAGGCTGCCTTGGATATAATTGGACAATTTTTAATCGCTATCTAGGACTGTGCTTCTCTTTCCGGGGTGCATCTCGCAAATTCAGTAGGCCGACCTATTGGAGCTGCCAATTGGAAGCATGGAGCCCCACATGAGATCACGATGAAAGTCCAATCAGAGCATGTCCCAAACTACATAAAAGAAGAGAAACTTCAGGGTAAATTCAATCATTGAACTTCCCCTATACCACTTCAACTCCGAAGCAGCAATCATGAGCAAGCCGATCATTGTCTATGGCCATGGTGAGCCCACGATTCATGTCAGAAATCGCGAACTAATGCTCTCTAGACACCGGTCCAAACCCCTGGAAAGTCGCCATCGTGCTCGAAGAGCTCAATATCCCCTATGACTATAAGATTGTTGGTACAACTCAATCTCTTCCATACGGCTGCTATATGAATTGCTATTGACGATCAACAGATATGGCAGATATGAAAAAGCCTCCTTTTGAAGGTATGCGAGTTCCCTGCTGCCCTCTGCGAATCGGCACATATTCTACTCATTGCAGATCTCTGAAAATTCAAGATATGTATACTTACTAACGTCAATTATCAACGTCAAAGCCATCAACCCCAATGGTAGAGTCCCTGCCATCACCGACCCAAATACAGGCATCACACTGTGGGAGTCTGGGGCAATTATCGAATACTTGATAGACACATACGACAAGGAAAGCGTCTTGACCTTCAGCCACTTTCCCGAGAAGTACCATGTTAAGCAGTGGCTCTTTTTCCAGGTGAGCGGTCAGGGACCTTACTTCGGACAAGCTGTTTGGTTCCAGAAATTCCATGAGCCGGTTGTCCCCAGCGCGCAAGAGAGGTATACGGACCATCTCAAGCGTGTGCTTGGTGTTCTTGATAAGTATTTGGATGGGAAAGAGTACCTTGTGGGAAATAAGTGGTATGTGTATTTCTCCAAACTGTTGAAAACGGCTAACATGGAGGAGCACTATAGCGGACTTGTCATTTGTGACTTGGGATATGATGGTACCGTGGATCTTGGAAGGTGATACAGATGCTTCTCAACTTGAGAAACACTACCCGAATTGGGCTGCTTGGCATCAACGGTTAATGCAACGTCCTGCAGTCCTGAAAATTGCTCAGGACAAGCAAAATGCGGTTTCTTCTAGCGAGCATTGAAGAGTGTTGAGTTAGATGAAATAAATACGCATTGATCTTCGAGCATCAATTCGTTTTTGCTTATTTGTATTCTACTCGCCTCGAGTGAGGTAGTTGACTGTCTATGCATTGAGCTTCGAGGGCTGCCGAGCAAAATCGGTTGTATCTCTATGTGGTTGAACGCATTTCGCTCTTAAAGCCACACGAAGCAATACCCGAAACTTGACACATGCAAGAGCTTGATTTATAACTTCAACAACAGCTGTGACGAGTAGCTAAACAGTACAGAAATCAAAGAACAGAAGCAATCAAAATTCAAATGCTCGCGATACGTCTTTGTTTACCTCCACCCCCTCCTCGCTAATCCTCGGTTCTGACCAAAAGACCAAAAGAATATCACAAGCTTGTGTTATCAAGAAAAAAAGACAAAACGCCCGGGCACACAGTACTACTGCGGGCGGTAATGCCGCAGTAGTACTGTGTGCCCGGGCGCCCAAGCGCATGGCATTGTTCGCGGTGGCGGAGGGAATGGCGTGTTAATATGTCGAGGTTTTTCTTCATTGGGAGGAAAGGTGGCGAGTCACCGTCAAACTCGGTCAGTCGTTTGGCCCCTTGGGGGCCTAACCGGGCTTGATACCAAAGAAATGCTTATTAGAATCTATAAGGGTAAGTAAACGACGCTAAGGAGGGTGCGATATAATTGGGTGGTGAATCTATAGCCTTGGGGAAGTAAAGAGGAGGAGCTAGTAGCAGATTCAAGTTCAGCCTCGCAAGCAAATTAGTTTCGAGTTGAAGTATGAGGCCAATCATATTATCAGAAGAAGTTCTGTTGCATGTCGCAAGTAAGCTAGCCGTTCATTCACAGTTTTGTTTGGGCAGCTGATGCTGAGCTTCAAATCCAGCCACGCAGGAAATTGACTCTTGAATTGCTCTCGTATGGAGATTATTGCTGTACAGAGGCGCTCTCTTTGCACATTGACATCACCTCATTTCTCAATGTTCGACTCTCAGCTGGCAACTTGTAGCATGTCGCTTCCTCACAATGTTGGGGATTCCTTTGCTTCACATCTTGCATTCCGCCACCCGGCTCATAATCTCGGAGAAACACGAAGCACTACTTAACTACAATTCAAAGCTTCTTTTCTAAACAGTCATATAGAGCTGATGCCTGCAAGAGATGTGTTTGATTTTCCACAATGAAAATACATACAATTTCGTCTCAAAACAACCGTCTCCCTAGTACAAGAAAGCGTCACTCCTCGGTATAATGAACGAGCGAAACGAGTGGCAGTCTTCTGAATCATCTAGAAACCACTCAATTTTACTGCCATACCATCGAATAACAGTTTAAACCCAGTCTTGTGTATGAATTCTCTCATCTCGATAACCTCGGCCCTCTTCTTGATATGTCACATACCTAGATGAGTTGCAAAGGAAAGACCCTTGAGGTCCACGAAGCGACAAAGCTCAAGAGTACAGAGAGAACTTGTTCTACGGCTACTATATTTTCTATTGCAATGAGCGCGAATTGCGCTCTCTACGCTATCCGCGCAAATTGCGTGGGTTGCGCTGGTTGCGCTGGTTGCGCGTTGAGCGGGATCTGCGCTGTAGGCGGGATCCTCATAGCGGAAGCAACATACAGTTAAGTGAAGTGACATATTATACTTTAGCTTATTAATAAAGTTTCACAGCATAATTGATACAGATTATGATGAGCAATGCCAATGGGTTTGAAATTTATGTACAAAAAATGTCAGCTGTAAAGTATGATACAAGAAAGTATGTTGAAGGAGCTCATCTCCCAAGTTCATGTCTGATTCGACGCCATTTTTACGGAAGAGACCAGTTGATCTAGACTGAGAATTGAACGATCACTCGCAGTCATCGTCATCATCAGGATCAGTTGGAGTACTGGTACTTGTAGGTGGAACGATGACGGTTGAAAGAGTCGTGCTCGGTGTAAGTGTGGATGATACCGAAGCAGTATCTGCGGAGGATGAAACGGTAACTCCAGAAGGGGCAGAGGAAGAACTAGCGACGGTTGCGGCTGTCGATGAAGTGCTAGCCGGTGCAGATGACACAGTTGAGGCCGATCCAACAACAGACGAGGATGCCGGTGCCGACATTGAAGCAACAGAAACTGACGATGCCACTCCAGAAGCCGACGTGTTCCCAGGGCCCGAAACGCTGGTAGTGAGATCGCTGCTCTCGACGTAGACGCCGCTGAAGTATATGTCCTCTGTGGCCTGTAATGTTTTGTCAGCATCCACGTAAAATCCTATGTTTCGTAAGATCGTTCATCACTCACATCCGTGTATCCATCCCGAGGCAGCTCGAGAACACCAAGGTGCCAGTCTGCCCCATTGGATGATGCAGAGACAGTCACGGCTGGAACCGTAAGGACGAGATCGTCAGCACCGGTAGAATGATAGAAAGCGACAGATCCAGCATCGAAATCAATGGCATATGCGATGTTGTGCCATACTCCAGCTTCCCAGGTTGTGTTCCATCTATGACATGTCAACATTTGCGTCCTCCATCCTCGATGTTTTCTGAATTTTCCCAAAGGAGGATATGGGGGTAGTTGTGCTTACTGGGTGGCCGAGCTTACGTCCCATCGAAGGAGAGCATCACTCGTTCCTGATTCTCCACTGATCCATCCTGCCTTCATTTCCGTGAAATGGCTTTCGAAGAAGCAGATCTGATGCTCGCGGAACTCACTCGGGGCATTTGTATCGGTTCTTTGCATACTGAAATGATAGTAGACAGTTCCTTTGTTGATGGCAGCTGAAGTCTGGGGAATGAGCTCAGTGCGTCTCATAGTCTGACCGTCCCAGTAACTGGTACTATCCAATGTGACCTTTACACCTTGAGTACTACCCGTATCTACTGGATTCTTGAAAGTTGAGTCAAGGTTGACATATGAGGTGACATTCTCAGTGCCATGCTGACATAGTTAGTTTAAGCATTGGTGAAGAATATGAAAGCGCTCACGATATAGTACTGGTAAGGTCCGGTTTCATCACTCCAAGACCAATTGTCAAGCTCAGTGCTTGAGGTCATATCGTTGAATCTTCCATCCCACAGGATGGTGCCACCCAAGGCAAGACCAAGAGAGTTTAGAAGGAAGACAGATCGCAACATAGTTGAAAGAATTTAAAGAGCAGCTGGCCACGCAGGTGCAGAACGAAATGAGCAGCGAGCTGGCGCTGTGAGAGGGAGATCAACTTTGAAAGAGAGACAGAAAAGTAGGAAACGAGCAAAAAAGGAGAAATACGTGGAGTTCCATATGAACTTATAAGGGTCTCGCGGTGAAAAGTCTGGGTGGATGGGACAACTTCGTCCGATGTTTCCAGATCTAATCTCCTCCACTCGGCATCATGCCTGCAACCAGGCTTCGTGGTCGCGGATAAACATTTCACTCGGTGTTCTCGTAGTTTTAGACATAAGCGAAAGTTTCAGCTCCACTTGACCTTTTATGGCGAGAGTTGTTTCTCAGGTAGATGACAGTTGAAGTGAAGGATGAGAAATCGGGCCTAGCTTGTTTCGGAGATATTGAAACATCTCGCCTCGGAATTGAGGCATCGGTCAACCTCGTCATCTCTAATGCCATTTTCATCATCTTCAAACATCGCACGAACGTCGAATTTCCGATCGTCTCGAGTAGCATAGTCTGGGGACGTTGAGAATCGGTGGTTGGGCGATGATTTTGAGACGTTCGTTCCTTGCCCAACGTCCATTCCTTCGCACAATGGCAACGAGTCCACCCAAAGTCATCCATTTCGGGCCCTATGAAGTCACTGATCAAGTGGGTCTTTCCTCGACTGTCTCAATAAATCTATTAAAATATCTCTTTAGGTCTTCTACAACACGCCCTTATGTTACTGTTTGGTCAATATCAAGCCAATATTACCTGGCCATGTCCTCGTGATACCCTACCGACCTGTTCCGCGACTTACAGATTTGACGCCCGCTGAGGTGTTTGATCTTTTCTCGACTGTTCAAAAAGTCCAGAAAATGCTGGCAATGAACTATTTCAAGCATGGCGATGAAGTAGGGAAACTCGAGGACGGATCCTTCAACGTCGCACTTCAGGACGGTCCTGAAGCTGGCCAAACGGTAGCGCACGTGCATTGCCATATCATCCCCAGGTCGAAGGATACCAGCGGCGAAGGTGATGGAATCTATGACAGATTACAGGGCGAAGAGGGGAATGTTGGGGGAGGCCTTTGGGATACGAAACGACCAATTCCAATTGGCAAATTTCCCAAGATTGAGGACGCGGATAGGAAACCTCGCGATCCAGAAGTCATGAACAGAGAGGCTGCCTTTTTCCGAGAACAGATGAAATCGGTGGAGCTTGGGGAATTTTTTCGAAATGTGGCTCGTTCGCCTTTCTAGATTCTATGCAAGTCATTGTTCATTGTCCTGCGTGCTGGGCAAGAATTATTCTACGGAAGTTGGTGGATATAGGGATTGGTAGAAAACGTGGGTCTGGCAAACAGCACCGATTGAAACCACTAATCCCTATACGAGACTGAGGGAGCGTACCGGGAAGAAACAAATTGACGACGTCAAAAAGATCGTCATCAGCCTTATGAATCTATACCTGTCATTTGTGGGGTAGGTTGCTCTAGTTCCCGCACCCGTCCATGATCCGCCGAGGATCATGACATGGAGAAGTCTAGAATGTTGTCGACAAACATGATGTCCCATATTTTCATGCCGTTTAACTCTGGATCTTGCAATTTCGAATTCCATCTTCTCCTACTCCAAGACCATATTTTCTGTTCCATTAGCAGCAACTTTCCCGTTCACAATGCGTTTCCTAAGGAGAATTGGAAAAGTTTTCTGCATACAATTTCGGAAAGAGAAAAACAATCATTATTGGGCTCAATCTCCTCCAGCCATATGTCAATCGACTCGTAGCGAGCTTGTCAGGGAAGAATACCTCAGCAAATACTCTTGTCCAAGATGCACCGCAAAGATCATGGTATACCGACAATGTACTTCCGACATTCCAACTCCACTTGTCGAGCCAAAGATCCCCAACGACATGTTACGATTGGAGTATAAGGCGCCGACTCAACATAGAATGGTTTTCTGCATCCCGATTGATTACACAGGGGAAATGACCCAGGCATGCATGTCCTCTCTTGTTGGAGATCATGAAGGAAGAGCAATGACTGATAGCAACGGGAAGGAGTTTAAGTTGTTGAGTGAGACGTCTTTGGGATTCGTACCGTGTCCCAACTGCCATAAAGGAATGCATCTTTGGGGCCAGGTCAGAAGTTTCAAGGAAAGCAAGAACATTGTATGGGGTATTGCAAGGAAATCTGAACCAGAATTCTTTTGAAATGCAAGATCTACTACTTTGGGAAACTCAAACAAAGAGGAGATATCTGAAATTTGCCTGAACATTGAAAAAGGAAGTTTGTACAACAGAGAGGCTTGGAGATCTCTCAATAACGAATATTCAGCCTTGTACTTCGTGTCTATCACAAATCTCGCCCGGGAATTGATATCACCTACGTCACATCGGAGCTAAAGCCCCCATCCAAACACCGACTAGAAAGGTGTACCACAACTTAAGTAGCGTGTCCACCTCGAAAGCCTTCAACGCCTCAATCAGCCAGGTGCGCCTGTCATCGTAACACAATCAATCTTCCCGACTTCTGACGTGTATCCAATTGGACACCCTTCACAAAGTTTGTCTGGGCGTTTAAATCGAAGATCTGCCTCGTCAAAATATCCTCTCACCTTCGAGAGATCGTTGTTTTACATGTGACCTAACCCGATTCGGTCACCTGGTCGCCTACATCCTGCACGTCGAATCAGCCTCAGCTTCAGAGAACAAACAAAAACCCCGCCCCCGCTTCGAACCTCCAAGTTCCGATAACGACGGTCTCAGCTCCACGTCTTCTCAAAATTTTTGTTTTCTTCGGAACTACTTGTTTGTAAGTCTTTCTTCTCGTGTTTACTTTGCGAGGAACGAGTTACTGATTTTAAGATATAGCGGAGTAACCTGATTCAAACAGGCTGTGAAAGGAAGCAGATAGAACAAGCCGTACCAAGTGATCAAGATGGCACCAAAGTTCGTCAAGAAGCTGCTCGTTATCTTGCACTTGCGAAAGCCCGAGATTGAGAAGTATGACTATGACGCTCACATGCATCTCGAGGCCCAAGGCTTCTACAACGAGGGTCTGGTACGTATATCCACGATACTCCTCTCCTCACTCTCCCAGCCTTACTCCTCACTCTTGAAACTCGAACACTTGTCATAAAACCGTGACGCGACGAATAAGCAAGAAACGCGCTAACAAAAATGCCCATCAACAGGAAGGCATCTACAAATGTCCCCAACCCCGCTGCAAGAACACCATCTCCGTGTACCGCCAAGTCCGCCGCCAAACCACCCACTTCCACGACATTCTGCGCTTCGAGCAGACCGTCCCCGTCCACGCATCCTCCAAGCTCAAGCCCGCGTCCAAGACCACCCACCTGAAGCCCACGCTCCCCGGCAAAGCCTCCGTATCGGTCCCCGTGGTCTGGAACGGCGAGAATCGCAAGCCGGTCTCGGAGAAGGAGTACATTGGCCAGAAGAAGACGGTCGATGGTAAGACGTATACCTTGGCCAAGCATCGGTTCTTTGCGAGCGTGCAGTGTGTCGCTTGTAAGAAGGACATGCATCTCTGGGACGAGTTGAGGAAGTATGAGGGTGAGGAGGAGATGCGGTGGTTTTTGGCGAGGAAGGAGGGGAACCCGGGATTGAAGGATGTTGAGGGAGGTGGAAGTGATGCTGAGACGCTCGTTGATGTGTGAGTGACCGAACCGCAATGGTGGATTGAGCACTTTCCGTACTTGAGTTGAGGCTTTTCCTCGTTCGCAAAGGGGTTTTATGAGCACTTGCTAGGGAATGGTGGTGGTTCTTATTTGCGCTGGTGCATGGAGCAATATGGATGGGTAAATGCCTGGCCTGGCTTTGATATCCTATGGGCGCATCAACTGGTCTCTCCAATGCTTCTTCTGAAACGGTCGTAGCTAGTAACGAATACAGGAAAACACGTCTTTCTCATAAGTTGACTACAAGCATTGCCAACAGTCGAAACACTTAGCTCGCAAAGCTGTCATTCTTGATCGTGCTGTGACGTTTCTGTTCGCGTACTTGATGTGGGTCGGGTAATTACCGTCTATCCACTCCACTCCATCAGCGCTCTTGCAAAAACTTCGGGCGAGTATACCTGTTGTCGATTCTACTTGAATCAAAACCCAGTGTCGAGTGCTTCACGAGCGTACGCGTGACGAGAAAACAGATCTCGCTCGAGCAGACATAATATGCGTAGATATTGTAGATGGTCTTTCATGGTCTTCATTACCTCGTCTCTACAAACCTCTCAATAACTCCTCAATCGTAATCGGCTTCCTAACAGCATTCGAAAACCCCTCATGATAACTCACCCAAACCTTCACATCCTCCTTCGAGCCTTTCTTTCCTTGTCGTCCTTTGCCGTCTGCTTCAGCATTACCGTCGATCTCCTGCAGAGGCCTCGCGTCTCGAATAACTCTTCCAAAGAAGTCTTTCTTCACATCAGAAAGCTTATCCTGAATCTGGTACATAGGATTCTCTTTGTCTTGCAAAATAGCATCAGTATCATCGTGAGGATTGCCGGCTTTATATCGAGCTTGTCTTGCGGCGTTTTCACGAACAATTATGTTCTTCTGGTATTCTTGATCAAGTACTTGGCGGACGGCGTATCTGACTGGAGCTGGACCTGCTGACGCCGAAGAGAGACCAGTCTCGAATGTGACCAGCGTATCCAGCGGTCTACAAAGTCAGCTTCCATTCGTCATTGACTTGATGTGAGGACTTACGGTTCCATTCTATAAACCCATTGAGTAGCTCGATTGCCAAAGTCACTCTCCAGCTTGCCACGCTCGAAGATAACTCCTACAGCACTCATGACTTCCACCGATCTCTTAACCATGGCTTTCTCTGCCTCTTTCCTGACACTAGCGATCCCTTTTTGATCACCACTACCTCCTACGATGATTGGTTTAATTTCCGGAGTAAGCATCCTGACAAGATATGGCAATAGGTCAGTAGCGATGTCCTCGGGACTTCTGAAACTTCGTAAGAGGGTTGCGTTGAGGCTGGCTTGAAGTTCGACAATCGCAGCACGGTTCGATTTCTCTGCTTCGTGGGCTTCGTAATCTGCTCGAGGACCAGAGAAAGGCAACGGTTCTTCCTTCTCTTCTTCCTCTCCCCATTTTTTCGTCTCGGCTCCCGTGAAGTGATGGCGCGCAGGTGATGCAAAAAGATGGTGGCATGCTAGAACAGGTTGACTGAGGTAGGGAGCAAGTTCAAACTCCTGTGCTGTGAACACTCGTGAAGAGCAAGCGTCGTGGAAGTGCAGCCACTCGTACGCAGCGTCCGGCTTCGTTAACATTGAGTCGTCGTTGAAAGGCTGGATTGGATAATCGGAGAATATATCAGTCACTATGCGCTCAATATCTCCGCTGGTGTCGACCATTTCTCGTAGCCTATCCATACCAGCTTTCTTAGCCAGTTCTGCAACTCCCAGTTGAGTTTGGGGTAGTTCGTTGGAGAACCCAGGTAGTGGATTGGCAAAGGCTGTCTTTGGGAAACCAGCTCCTTCAAGAAAGACCCGATTGACAACTTCTTTGGCACCACCACGTCCAATTCCTCTAGCACCACCTCCACCATGTGAGAGGTTGCTCATCATGTTATCATCCACCCATTTCCTGGTCAATCTTGCTTTGCCATCTTTGGTGGAGGCTTTCAGTTTTCCGGCTGCCCACTCTCCCACTACCATGATACCTCTGAGGTCGCCTTCACCTGTAGTCTCTCGACCCTTACGAGACTCAGCTGCATTGACTCCCCATGTGGCTTCACACAATCTTCGTACAGCGTCACTATCACAAGAAACGCCTTCTTTCTCGAACACTGTTTTCATACGACCAACAACAGCATCCATAGGAGGTTTCCGGACGTGAATGATCTCGGCGAAGCTAGACTGACGCAATGGTCTCAGGGATGGGTGATAAACATCATTGCAGATGAGAATCAAAGGTCGCAGTAGCCTGAAATCATCGCCTTTCTTCTTCTTTCTCGTTTGCCCGGTGCCGGAGATGTCACTAGATGAGTTCTTCTGGTCTAGAATGATCAAGTCGATTAAAGCCTTGATGAAACCACCTTCTCCTGATCCACCTGACCCGCCTACAACACCATCAACTTCGTCCACAACGACACAGAGAGGCTGTGCAATCTTTTTGACCTGTCCGGATTTGGTCGTAGTCGTAGAGCCTGTCTTGACACTTTCTGTGCCAACACTAGTCCTTATCCTTCCCTTCACGACGTCTCGACTTCGCTCATCACTTGCATTGATCTCCATGACTTCGTAGCCGGCTTGTCGGGCACAAACATGTGCTAAAGTCGTCTTGCCAAGTCCAGGAGGGCCAGTTAACAGTAGAATCTTCCGGTGAGGTTTCTCCTCCTCGACTTCTGCGCCTGGTCTTTTGATCACAGCTGGTTTTGCTTTCCCCGACTTCGGAAATACAATGGGATCCCAAGCTTTTAGCCAACGAAGGACTTGTCGATGTGTGCGATCATCACCAACAAGCTCCATGAAATGCCGTGCTCGATATTTTTCAGTCCACATAAGAGTTCTCCGTGATTTTGGCTTCGCCCCTGGAGTTTCTACTGAAGGTAGAACTTCATTTGTAGGTTGTGGCGCCTTCGCTACCATTTTCTGCTGTTCAGAAGCTTCATCAATCAACTCGTGAATATCGATTCCATAGTAACTCTTCTTGGCACGGCCAGCCTTCGTAGTTGATCTTGATGCTACTAGTTGCTCAAAAGGCAGAGGAGCGGTCTTTTTTCGCTCATGTATAATGATGGTCTTGCCAGAGGATGTGACAATATTGAAAGATTTTCCCTTTCTCTTGGCTAGGAACGTCGGCAAGGCCTCGGAATCGATGTCGTGGAATTCATCGTCGCTTGCTTCGCCGACTGGGAGAACTACTTCTCCAGGGACATCCGGTTCCAGTATTTCGTCGTCAGCTACCTCAATCCCATTTGGTATCTCCTCCTCTTGTACTGTATTTCTGAGTGTGTTTAGCACACTAGATTGTCCTAGACCCTGCTCTTCTTCTGGACATGGCGACTTCTCAAGCATACGGCGCTTCGGTGCAGGCTCGACGCGGGCAAAGTCGTCATCGGAATCGTCATCTTGCAAGAAGCCTCCAATTGTCTTTGGTTTCCGATCATCGACACTCTTCTCCGGGTGCTGGCGCTTTGCAATTGGTGGTGATGAACTCGGAGGATAGTTAATGGGCGAAGATGCGGAGGGCATTTCGAAGGTGGACTAGGGAGAGAAGGGGATGCGGATGATCTGTGTAAGTTTAGTGCCATACATCGGAAAGATCTGTCGACGGTATCCTACAGTGTCTCCAAGAGTTCTTTGCTCAAGATTACCACCAATGTGACAGATTCGATCGTTGAAAGCTTCCTCCACCCTTCAACTATACCCCTGAACCAGGCGTAGAATTTTCCGAGGTCGTCCAACGTGGCTTTAGAAGGAAGGTTGGTAGTAGATAATAGTCCGGATCATCACAAACGATTGACCGAAACAAGACTTGTAGAATAGAAGTTGGCATGTATCAAGTCTTTCAAAGTCTGTACTGTACTATTCAGTAGAAGACGCGCTTCGAGACGCGACGCGATTTAGCAGCACCACTTTAAATATTTAAGCGAGATCTGGAACAGGGGTTGGGATAAAAGGAAGCCGAGCCGAGACCAACCAAGAGACGGGATTCTCCGCTGTGCCCTCCGTCATTCAAACTCTAGTCTAAACAGTCCCCCGCATTTCGGAAAAGCTTCAAATACTCTATTCCCGCATCGCGAGTTGACGTTATTCCCTGAGCCGTATCGCAACCTGATAGGTATCAATGCCAGGATGGACCAGGGACATTATGCAATCTCGCCTGAAGCGACCGAGAGCAGCTTCCTTGCTTCCCCTTCGATCGAGCAGATCAAGCAGGAGGACGGTTCCAGCCAACCGCCGAAGAAGAAGCAAAAACGCAATAAGCCCACATTGTCCTGTGAGGAATGTGTGGAAAGAAAAACAAAAGTAAGCCACAAACTTCCTACAAAAGCCCATTTGTGATAGCACGGAGATGAGATTGGTTGGGTTGAGGAAGCTTTCAAGAGGTAGAAGTTCCGAGGTTAACAATTGCCACAATGATAATGCTATTGTTATGTTTTTTGCCACCCCGTTTAAAGTGCACATGTTACTTCTATCGAGTCACCAGGATTGATCTTCTTCTGTCAAGGATAATTGGGATTCCTGCTCAGCTTACCCTTGCAACGAATCATACTTTGTTCTTTGTTCCAAGCCGGGACATTGCATAATGATACACAGTACTCGTCCAATGATACTGACTTTTATCGGCAGTGCGATCGAGGAAGGCCTCATTGTCTTGCCTGTATGTTCATGTTATTTACTTATCCAAAAGAAGCAGAGATTCACACTTCTCAGGTATAAAACGCCAAACCGAATGTAAATATGCTCATGTTGCGAATATCCTCGAGTAAGTCAACCTCTGTTACACTGCACTCATAGCTGATTTATGTGTATAGAGAGACAAATCGTTCTGTTAGCAATGCTAGACGCATGACTAAACCGCCCAAGAAGAAGCCTTCTATTTCCAATGGCTTTGAAGGACCTAAGCAAGCCCCAAATCCACAGGAGAGGAGTGCTTCGAGAGCCTCCACGTCATCCTCTGTTGGTCTGCTTTCTAATGTGCCGTATTCTCACCCCACGGCTTCAAATGTCTTCGGTATAGGTTCCGAGCACCCATTCGCAAACTACTGGACTTGTCAAGGCGGTCTCCCAGAGACCATTTCAGTGCTGCCGGAGAAAGTTCAAGCAGGTATTCTGCTGGAACGATATTTCGAATGTGTAGATCCTGTCTACCCTATGATACACCGACAGACATTCTATGCCGACTATGAGCACTTCTGGTCACTCCCCCAACCTGAAAAAGATCGAGTTGATGGCGCTCTTGTTGCAATGATTTTCGCCATGCTAGCCATGGGTACCCAATTTGTTACAACTACCGGACCCAAAGAGCGTCAACAAACAGCTGAATTCTATGTCTCAGCAGCTCATCAGTCTCTCCGGATGAGTTCCTACCTCAACAAAGCCTCCGTCCGGTCTATCCAAGCTATGGTGCTGATCACTTACTTCCTCATCAATGACAACCATGCCTCAGATGGCTGGGCCTTTGCTGGTATCTTGATTCGACAAGCATATGCCATGGGTTTGCACAGAGATCCTAACATTGTCTGTCCCAATGCTAGCATCTTCGATAAGCAACTTCGTCGGAAGCTCTGGCAAGCCGTTTTACTCCAGGGTAAGTCGTTATCTCATAATGGTCACCTTCTTCTCCTCTACCCTTGGATTTGTAACAGACACTTGTCAATACAATATGCTGTTCAGGATATCATCCTGCCCATAATGCTGGCAATAGAGATACTAAATCGGAAATCACCAAAACAGACACATTCCTCACCGTCCTCCTTTCCCTCCCTCCAAGCGCAACCCACACAGACGTCAACGTCGAAGACCTAATAGACGACTCCTCCAGCATCGCCCACTCCAACCCCACCGACACAGCCTACATCCGCGGCTGCTGGACCCTCGCCAACCTCGTCCAAGAAACCATCTGCTCGCCCCGCTCCCTCGACCTCCCCATCTGCGCCACGCCCCGCCAAAAATCCAAACTCATCGCCGACTTCAGAGCCGTCTACCGCTCCTTCCCCGACATCTTCCGCTCGTGGGACGCAGAATCGATCGCCATCCTCGCACAATCCAACAAGCGGATCGTCCGCCAGACGCTGTTTCTCACCAGTAATTATTTCCACAATGTGATGCTGTTGCATTCTTCCGGGTCGGCGGAGGTGCCTGTAAATGTGCGGGGAGCGCTGGAGGCGGCTCACGATGCTATTAATGCCTTCTTTTTGCTGTATACGTTGTTTGAGAGTGAGGCGAAGGTGTGGTGGGTATTTAATCATCGGGCGTTTTTGGAAGCTATGTGTATTGGGAATATATTGCGGGAGGAAGCGAAGGAGGAGAATGGGGAGGAATTATTGGCTAAGGATCCGCTTTTTGTTAGAGCCAAAGCTGATATCAGTAAGTATCTTTTTGTCCCAAACGTAGGAGGAAATTGCTGATGGGGAAATAGTTCGGATGATTGAGATCATGCAGATGATGAGTGAAGGCGAGCACGGATCTGCGGTTGCGCTGACAAGAGTGTCTGTATTGAGTACTTATCTGTAGTTCATCCACACGCACGCAATTTGCCAATATCGACAAGCACATTCCATTCCGTCCCTAATCATGTTCGCCTGCTTGCCTGCTGTCGCCAGTCCCGCTCTAACGCTAATAAATAATTCCAAGGAGACCCAGCTTTATGGTCCCAACCTCTCTCGAAGTCACGTAGTCATTGACGAAGTCCTCCCTAAAGAACGCCTTTCATGATCAAATCCAGCGGATATTAAAAGTGAAGTAGAGTGTGTAGTGCTCATGCAATCCATGCAATCAAGCAAAGTCAAATTCTGTCAGTATAAAAAAAAACCTCTAGTCGCTCCGTCTGTTTGAACCAAAACGATCGCGAAGCCACGAAACAGGTCCGCCACTGCCTCCTGAGTGAGAGCTCCTTCGTGAATCCCGAGATGATCGGTCACTGCCGCTGGTGTTGCCTCTCCTACTGTCTCTCTGGTTATCACTCATGTCTGACGGTCTGCGGTAGAACGATCCAGGCATAGGTGCTGCAAAATCTTCGTTTGGAGGAGAATTGGTGGCATGTGGTGAACCGTCTCCCACAACCTGCCATCTCCTTGGACTTGTGGCTTCTTCAGTGGGCGAATACCGAGCATTGCGGATGGAGTCTAACCTAGTCTCATTCCTGGTGGTGGTCGAATACTCGCTACCAAGTCCAAATCTAGAAGGCCGTGGACTTCGACCTGAAGGGCTGCCAGTTTGGCTCGCTCGCCGGCTGTTCGATGGCGGTGTAGTTTCGGCATCGATACCTTTCCTGCAAATTGGGCAAGTGTTGTGCTCACTCAACCATGCGCTGGCACAAACTTCATGAAACCAATGAGAACAAGGTAAAGCCACTACGTCATCACCAATGTGGACATCGTCCATGCAAACACTGCACTCTGCTTTGCCTTCCGGGCCTAGCATCTTCTCATCGATCTTCTTTTTGGGAAGTGATGCAATGGCATCTGGTGATGCTGGGCCAGGGGCGTTCGATGTCGGATGCTGCTCCATCAATTGGGAGATGATGGAATCCAGAGCTTCTTGAGTATAGACAGCATCACCCGATCGTGCATTGGCCGGGTTCAGCATAGCTTGGAATAAATTTGCTAGCCCAGGCGGCATACCAGCAGGCCCTCTTTCGTTGGGACCGCCAGGTCCACCCATAGGTGCAAAAAGACCTCCAATGATTCTGGCAAGATGGTCAGGAGGAGCTCTGATACTAACAAGATACAAGGAACGGCCATTAGGGGAAGTTCTGAGGGGGGAGGCGTACGTAGCTAGATCATCAACTTGAGGTCCAGCCAGCTGAGGTCCATTTGGGTCCCTTGGCCGGAGATTACCCCCAGTTGTAAATGTGAGTCGCCCACCCATAAGTCTAGGTCCATTGCCACCATTACCACCAAACAGAAACGCATTCCTTGCAAATGGTCCCCCTTGTTCGAATAAAGTATCGGGTCCAGATCGTCCAGGTTGGCCAGCTCGAAATCCCGGACCAACCATATTACCGACCATATTTTGGAAATCTCTCAAGACATGATCTGGATCATCTTGGGATATCGGATCTCTTCTTCGTGGACTACGTATGTTTGGTGACGATCTGATTGTTCTTGAGAACATCATAGAGCCTCCAGGACCGTGTGTAATGTGCTCTTCGATATCCGCCTCTTCGGGGTCAGATATATCTGCATCCGCCCATGGGTCATGATCATGCAGGGACCGAAAATCGGCAGGAGCTCGCGGAGGAGGCTCATCGTGAAATGGACGAGGATCGCTATCTGCGCTTACCTGCAAACAAGTTAGACCATACCACGGCTTCAATATAATAAAGGCGAAGCTTACAATCTCCGTAATCTCGCCATGACATCGCGGACATGTTAAGCCATGTTCGTCCCGATGCCACTCATTATCACACTGGTGGCAATAAACCACTTCTCGGTCTCCGAAAGCATCGAGATGTCTGGTGCCGGTACCAGACATTGAATGATCCCGATCTGCCATGGCGTCTCGAAGTCCCTGGTAGGCTGCGATGGCAGTCAGACCTAGACTTAATGCCAGGCCCGTGTTCCTGATAGCTCTGAACGCCAGAATGTCGACAGTTTGATATGCAATCGAAATTTGATCCTCCGCAAAGCTGACGGACGGAGTTTGCTAGATTCAGCGGGGAAGGTCGTGGAAGGACGAGGCGCAATCGTGGTGGCGTAACTTCACCCGAACTGCCTTGTGGTTGACCTGCGAGCGTTGATGATAAATCGAAGATGAGGGGTCGTGAATGTGCAACGATGCTGTGCACTTTTGATCAAGTGAATGGAAAGAATCTCCAGCAATTCATAGGAAAATGAAAGTGAAGATACGCTGTCTTTAACGGCTGGATTATAAAGATTAGATCTCGTGGCTTTCGAGACAAGACAGCAAGCAGGTCAGGCTCAAGAGATTCCCATCGGATCGGCTGTGACGACAAAAATCGCCAATCCCTGTCGCTTCAACCCAGAGATACACTGCTAGCGCCTAGAATATGCAGCTGATAGCTAGGTTGAGAGGCAAAATATGGCTGTGTAGAAGGGCGCCGGGATGTCTCGTCTGTCCTAACCAGTAAATACGTTCTATCTTCGCGTGGCTACACAGGCATGAATCAAAACGTGTCGTCTTCGATATCGTTCTCCATGCTTCGAAACGATATTCCAGCGCTTCAATACGGGACGGGCCACAAGTGGTGGGACTGGGTGGTTTTAGATCCAGTCCAGCACTTTTGGGAACCCTTTTTGCATGAAGTCTGAAATTTTTCTCAATATGGTTGGTTCTTTTACAAGTGTCTTCCTGAGTTCGAGTCTATCTGCGAGATTGATAATTCTCTTGATCAGATTACCTAGGTAGTCAACTTGAGGTTTGTATTAATGAGACCCAAATAATTCCCAACATCGAGACACCATATCACAAAAAGTACCTAGATACACAGAGCAAAACCATAAGACATGCATTACAGTGTTGAGAGTTTCATTAGTACAGCTTCCTTCGCTTCTGGTATATTAAACAAAGTCATCGAATCCTTCCCAAGTTACGCCGCGTTATTATCTCTTCCTCCCAACTCCCTTGAATATCATTCCACCAACCACTCCAGCTGCGATAGCCACACCAGACAGGATAGCAACACCCATGAGACCCTCTCTGGCAACCTTATCATCTATCAGACCTCTCAGACTACTGGCCTGAAGATTCGCAGGCTCCTTGTCCAGCAGTAAATCATTGTACCGCCTTGCTTCTGCATAGTTTCCAAGCTTGTAATTACCCAGTGCTAGGTAGTATAGGCATTCTCGTCTTCGTTCTGGTGAGGTTCGGAAGATGTCTGAGAGGAGGCGAACGCCTTCTTGTTGATCTGGGCGAGTATTCGATTTGATCAAACCCTGCGAGATCTATCAGTATTACGGACTATGATCTAGAACTCAAAAGAGCTCACCCATGCAAAGTTGAACTTGGTTTGTACTCCTACATGCTCTCCTTCCTTCTCGTATTGTGATCGTAACACTTGTAGCTCAGCCGGTTTGAGTGGGCTGATGCAAGTTAGCTTCGAGCTTCGAATTGAACGGAACAGTAATTGCAAAGGGTGTGCTAGATGTCAAACTTGGAACTGACCTTTCTGCATCTGCAGCATCTAGTAGAACACGCCTCGTTAGCATAGCTGTCTCCAGTCGAAAAGCATACAGGTATATAAGAAAAAAGGTGTGGAGCTTCGTGTCAATGAGAGTTCCGCTCATTTAAGAACAAGGGGATGGCATACAAGGTAGAGAACTCATATCTGATTGTGTATTCGAAACAGGTTCTAGTGATCGTTCTTCGCAAATGTTATTTTTGAAGGAAGTTACAATCTAGAGGCAGAAGGTTATGGTTCGGAACGAACTGTGGCGTTCGTCGGTATCACAAGCCACACGACGTCACGCTTGCGATTTTGTTGCTGGGTCAGAATTTAGAGTGGGCCTTCAGTGTTTTGGTCGCCCGCACATCCACGAGAACACCAGAAGAAAACACACATATTGAATCACTCTCGATCAACTCCCAATTACCAGCACACTCAAGAACCTCGCTCCAAATAACTGGTCAAAATGCTTCTCGACGAGTCTCCCGCATTTGTACGTCTTCCACAGCATTCCGCAGCGCATTGCTAATAGAAGCAGCTCATACATGAAACGATCGGGAACTTCAACACACAACCCGATAAGCTTGTACTATGTCGAATCAATGACTCCCTCTCTAGACTCAACGAAGGTCGAGAAAAGCGGGTAATGAAAGCTGAAAGCTCATTGAAGAGTAAATCATCACCCTCAAACTCAAAGCCAAGATGCTGACAGTAAACAGGACTTGCCCGGACCCTCACAACACTCAACAATCACCATCTCGAAACCCTTTCATCGCATTCTTCTACAGCTCACGCATCCGAAATCGCGACACTAGATACTCAGAAGTTCCGTATTGCGAAGACCGCCAACGATCTAGAAATCGAGTCGGAGCGCTTATCATCACAACTAGCAGACCTCCAGGCGCGATTGCAAGAACTGGAATTGCAAGGAGTAGATGGGGGTGACAATGCGCGACGGGGATTAGTTGACGATGAGCTCACACTGAGGCTCAAGCTTTACAGAGGATTGGGCATCGACTTGGAAAAGGACACGGAATCTGGCGAATACACGAAAGCTATTATTCGTAACGAAAAGAAGGGGGATGTCAACGTTGTCAACTTGGACAATAAGTTCTCGAGGTATTTCTATGCCAATTATTTCTGGCAGCAATTGTAGAAGGGGGTCACACAAATTGGGCGGTAATTCGGCGTTGATGGCGTCTTTGGCAGGTATTGTGACTTGAAGGAATACCACGGATAGGATAGTGTTGAACGAATTTGTATGTGTTGAATAACAGATCATTGTACAGACCATGCTTTCACCCCATATACAAGGCAATGATCCCAAACCTGAACGCCAAACTCCCATATTCCCAGTCATCATCATAAAGTCATAGCTAACCATCATATCGGCTTTATACACAACCCAGAACCCTTCGAACTCGTTGTACTACCCGTCGAAGAAGAGTTCCTTTTCGAAGTTTTCGAACTAATCGGAATCTGTGGGAAATACCCCTCATCTCTCCCGATAATAGCAGAGCTAGGCGGGGTTCTCGCTCTAGAGGTATTCATGATGGCCTCAGGACTATAGCTTCTGTTCACCTTCGCTGTCGATTCGCCAGGCATGCTGCCCGACGTCAACGAGCGATGATGCCGCCTGACATGGTCTGCAGGAAGCTCAAGTCGAGAGTTGATTTTCGTCCATAAAGCATCGTCGTCGGAAGGATTGTCGATTCGCCATCCTCCAACACCTTCATAATCTCGTGTTGGCCCAGCACTCAATCCCATCACATTATCGCTCGAGACTGGTGTGAGCATGCCCGTGGCAGAAGCATTGCTGCTCGTGCTGCCCCGCCGCCTCTTCCGGCGTCCCGGGGATGTATTTGTTAATGACTTGGTCCTTCGAAGCTGCTTTGCTGTAATTTCCCCACCCAGCAGCCAGTGAGGTATGACTGCGAGGGCGAGCTCGATGTAAACGAGCGTAACTCGGAATAAGAGCACGGAAAAAGCGCAAGCTGTGGTGATGCTCGCAAGGATCGCGATAGGTATTGTGAAGATGAATAGGAATGGTAAGATTAGACCGTAGAATGGATTAAAGAGTGCCATATCCTTTGAGATGACTTTGATTTCATGTCTGTTATCCAGAAACGAACGGAAATATCAGGAACAGGAGAGGAGAAGCTAGGAGACTTTATTTGTACTGTATCTTGCTTTGCTCGCGGAGGATTCTCTTGGGTGGTTGCATGTGATTGTGAGTGATTGTGGGGAAATCAGCCTGGACCCGCCTCGACCGTTGTGGAGTTGCTTGGCGCTCTAGTCCTTAATTAGCGACATCAACACTCGTTGAGTGAGGCCGTCGACGCCGTTGCACACGCAATTCAAGACAGACATTGAGATCTTTCATGTTTCGTGCATAGCGATGGCTTCAGAGTCGACAGATGATTCTTTTCCCTGGCATTTAGGCGTATTCGACGCTCATTGCCACCCTACCGATACCATGAGCTCCATATCATCTATTCCTCATATGAAAGCCAGAATCTTGACAGTAATGGCTACTCGAGGACAAGATCAAGAACTCGTAGCTCAAGTTGCCGATTCGTATGGTCTTAGAAGCCAGTCAGACATCGAGAAAGACACAGAGGATCGCTGCATTGTGCCTTGCTTCGGATGGCATCCATGGTTTTCTCACCAAATGTACGATGACACAGAGGCAGCCATTTCAAATGCAGATACTCCAGAGTTCAAGACGCGCCATTATCAATCAGTCTTGAAACCCAGACCAGAAGATTCCGCATTCCTTAACTCGCTTCCTCAACCTCGGTCGTTGAAACAGTTTCTTCAGCAAACGAAAGCCTATCTTGAACAGTATCCCATCTCTTTGGTTGGAGAAATTGGCATAGATAAGTCATTCCGACTTCCAGGGCCATGGTCTCAAGAGCTCGAAGAAGAGAGAGACCAGACATTGACATTGGGAGGCAGGGAAGGACGACCGTTGTCGTCTCATCGAGTGCAGCCTGATCACCAGAAGGCAATCTTCAAGGCCCAACTCAGGCTTGCCGGTGAGATGAGTAGAGCTGTCTCTGTTCATGGAGTTCAAGCTCATGGTGTTGTTTTTGACACTCTTCAAGAGACTTGGAAAGATCATGAGAGAGAAGTACTCAGTAAGAAAGATAGGAGGAAAGCCGAGAGAACTACCCATCCGAAGGATGAGCATCAACCAGAAACAGTCGTTCCGTTGCCAAAACCGTTCCCTCCTCGGATATGCCTTCATTCTTATTCTGGTCCACCCGATCCACTAAAACAGTATTTCCATCCTTCAGTCCCAGCAGAAATATTCTTCTCGTTTTCGGAGGTCATTAATATGTCTAGTGGGCCTAGTTCGAAGGCTACCGATGTTATCAAAGCTGTCCCAGATGATCGAATACTGGTTGAGAGTGATCTCCATATCGCTGGCGACGAAATGGACAAGAAACTGGAGGAGATGTGTCGTAAGATCTGCGAAATCAAACGCTGGAACTTGGAGGATGGTGTGGCCAAGCTGGGAGAGAATTGGCGTCGGTTTGCATTTTCGTGATCATGCTAATAGCTCTCTACTTCATCAAGATGAAGGGTAAAATGCTGTTGATCAAGCCAATCAAGCTGTGCAGATGATGCAATCTTTATTCTTTGTTCTCAAAGAGGGTGCTCATGAATGGATAGCCTGCCTCCTGAAATTTTCTCCATCGTCGGTGGAACAAAAACTTCCATGGATGGAGCCAAGCATGAATTGCTTCATATGAGATATTACCACCCACCAAAGTATGGCGGGCTTGTGCAGTTCTTCTCAGTACTTCAGATACTGTGGAAAGTAGTTCTCACAGTTCCTGGTACTCCCTCAGTACAAGTATGTAAAGAATACGGCATCATGACTCAAGCTCTCTTTTCATTCCAAGTAGACTCTTCATAGCGACTTTTTTCTTTTCACCTGGAACGAGACCAGTATAGCAGAAGCCAGTGCCAGTGCTTTTGCGAGCCTTCACAGCCCAAGTAGACGGGTGGTGGACTCTGGTCCTCTTTTGCTGTCTCTAATGGAGTCTTCATCTGGAGCGTAAGTCAGCCTAAGCCGATTTTGTTGTCTTTGTCATTTGAAGCATTCCTCTATCTCTATAAAGAGCCAATTTTTTTTTAGCTGTTGTACAAGTTACTTCATTGGCTGTCTGGAATCTTCTTACATGATTTCAGGACTGGCCGACTAGTTTAGCCAGATCCGCACTTGATAGATCATTTGCTATTGCAAAGCTTCAATCAAGCCCTCAAACCATTTCCGCCGTCCCAAATGTGTTGTATCTCAAGCAGTGTAAGGCTTCTTGCCATTTGTCTCTGTTGTCTGAAGTTTTTCTTCTTCAAGACGTAGCGAGAGCCTCGTGCTAATGCCACTTGCCTTTCCTTCACACTACCGACGTAGTTTCTATTGAGCTCGTGTAATATACCAGATTCGCATTAACGTTATTGGCCCCCGATAATCGGCCGGTCGGCGGTCTTGAGCTTGCTTCCTTCGATCTGGAGCTCTATACTTTTCCAACTCTTTTCCTTCAACCCTCAACCCGCAACCCACGACTTTCAACTCTTTCTCGACTGCCGCCACTCCTCCTGCGCAATAACCATCAGCTGCCAAAGAACGTCCTGCTACCGTCGGGTTGCCAGGACAGCCTCGTCAGTTACAGAAACTCGCAATCGTCAACCTACCCCGCTCGGTTTCTGTCCTCCAGTGCCAGACACAAGCTCTTTCAACTACCCGCCTGCTCTGCCGCCCCTCCACGACCTTTATGCAGTGAAATAGCAGGCACAGTCTCGCTATAGCTCTGCACTTCTCAAGTGCTCTGTAATCTCTCTCAGCGAGGTAAGACAACCATCTTTTCAAATTCACCGCATTACCCTGTAATCTGCCGTCCGCTCCCCATCTGCATACCTTATCGACCAATCCCACTACTGTCACACCTTGCTCAAGAACAGTACGCTGTGCAGACTTGCGGCTGCTTTGTATCTGTCTACTAACTACTCTACAGTCCGTCTTCTCTCATTTGCACTAACATCCTCTCGAATTCAGCAACTTCTTTGCCTGCTGTCTAGCCATACCTTCCACAACGAACCTACTCGGGAGTATCGCTCATAGTCTCTCCTGCTGTAAGTAAGGCATCTATTTGGATTCACCACCTCCTGTTTAGTTCCTGGGCATATCTTCCGACTCGAATATAGTTTACAGTTTACACATTTGTCCGCAATCCGTCTTGCCTTGCTCATATCAGAGATCTCCCTGAGGTCGATACCGCTCAGACTCTCAACACACATTCTAAGCTCAAACATTTTCAATTCATTCATACCCTGCAAATTGCTAATTTTTGGCATTTAGAAGTCCTATCTTGACAAAGCAAAGGTATCGATTCGAATTTGCCTCCTACCTAATTCGACTCCTAGCTGCTCATCATTCACTTGAGCGATCTCTATCTGAAGTAAGTGTCTCCTATTTACCCTGCCAGTTCTATCCACCCCCTTGAACACCAGCCACTTGTATTTTAATGAAATACCCCCTGGCCTCTTGCCTTCTTCCCACCTCTTCCAACAATGGTCTCTGTCAACCATTGCCGACATTTGCCGACATTTGCCAGCTATGGAAGATAGGGTTTGGGACATCATTATTCCATTGTTGTCACTTGTGACCCCACTGTCATCTCGAAAGGCAACTTAACCTGGCATGATCACTTGGAGCTTTCTTATTCGATAACTTGAGTCTATAGTGCATTCACTGCTAACGATTGACTAGACGTTGCGATGGACGTTGACAACAAGATGTCAGAATCCGATAATCGCACCATGGAGCCCAACGTTGACGAAAGCTTTCCATCAGTCAATAACATGAGCAACGAAGCCAGTGACAAGAGCCCCACTGTGGAAGTTGAGGCACAAGAACAACCAGCGCAGATGACGACTCCGAGTCGTGGCAACAGTGAAAGCCCACAAGCTGATTCCTCACCCTCCGACCAAAAGACTGCAGGTACCTATGCTCCACCGGCACCAACCAACGATCCTACTGGTTTGTACACAGAAGGTAAGTCAAAATTTTAGTTCTGAGTAGTGATTGAAACTTTCAACTCATCTTTCTCCAACCTCAACCTCAAGAAATTGCAACAGCTCTTTCCTTCTTTCAGAATCCTTTCTCATTCTTAGCTAATGTTCCCAAACAGCCTATCGCCGAAGCATCGCCCCTGAAGATGGACCTCGTGAACCATCACCCCCTGCTCATACAGCCGATTTCCCGCCGTGGCCAGCAGTCGACTCCTTAAACCGCGGCCAAGGTCGTCGAGTCCGTCCTCAAAGCCGAAGCAGTATCCCACAGTATGGAAAAGTCACTTTCCTGCAACGCCAACGTGCGCTAATCAGCGGGAACATGCCATGGCAGCGAGCACAACGACGTACCCAACAACAATCTCCACCCAATGGATATACTTCTCCAGATGGTTTCTCGCCTGATCACTCTCGTTCAGAGAGAGGTGGTCAGACCCCGTCAGCTCCTGGATACGGTGGCTACCAGCGCTATGAAGATAATCAAGTCCAGGAGCCTGTCCGAAAGGTTGTCCGAGAGCCTACTCGAACTGGACGTGGCGGTTACGAATGTTATGAAGATGGAGAACTTGATCAGCCTGCCCCAAACGTTGTCCGAGAGCCTACTCGTAAGCGTGCTAGAGAGCCTAGTCGAGAGCCCGCCCGAAACTCAGGTGGCCACCGCAACACCCGACCTTATCAGACTGAGCGTGAGAACATGATGCACAAGCGATCGGTGGATGATAAACCAAATCACAATTTCGAAGACTCCGAAGAAGACGAGGAGGAGGATGGTAAGCCAACAACAGTACTTCCCATGGTAAACGATTGCTAAAAGCTACAGATTTGTTTGTTTATCAGGGCAATTATCGTGCAAGAGTATCCGCTGGCAAGTCTCGCTCCGAACCCAAGTATCACTATACTAGCAATGTAGGTCTCAGATACCCTAAACACATTCTGTACACTTTCTTGGTTTTTTGGGGATCATTCTATGGACTTTACTGTCACTTTGAACTCCTCTTCCTACTGCAATTCAGTTATTAGCAAAGTACTTATCACGGTCTGAATACAGGACTGGGAACGACTTCCTTCAGCTCGTACTCCTAACAGCCAACCACGCCAAGCTCCCTTGAACGATGAAAAATACTATGAGAATGTCGCTGAAGATCTTCGTCCCTCCCGATACTCTGGAGCTCCCATGCCTTGGGGATTGAATCAAGATCCACCCCTTGTCGACCAAGATGAGGTTTCCGATGCTTTTCTGTTGAAGCGAGGTCTCACACGAGGAAACAGTGATAAGGTCGCCGCCCGTGCTTATGGAGCAAACGACCCCGAAAATATTCGAATCGTTAATCTCAAGGAGGGAGACGACTTGTCGTTCAAGGAAATTGCCGACATCCTCAACGCAGAGCGCATCAAGAAGGGTAACAAGCCAACTTTGACTGGTATTTCTTGCAATAGCCGGTACAATCGTACAGCCCCACTCCTCTTCGCCACCCAAGGCAAGACCTTCGTTCCCCTGTCCAAGCGCAAGAAGGGTTTCATGTTTGATAAGCATGGACAACCCACAGGCCAGCTCGCTTGGAATGCTACTCTGGACGAAGCACTTGTCAAGGCTGTCAAGTCATTCGAGAGCAGCAGATGGTCCACTGTAGCCGGAGTATTGAGAGATCAAACTGGCCTCCCATTCACCGAGGAGATGGTTGCTAGACGCCATGCAATACTTTGATCGCTTCTCACTTCTGTTGCTGTCGACTTTTCCACGTCATATTTCCGCCGTTGACAATTCAATTTCTGGTCGGAATGTACGATCGGACCTTGGCGGTATACTCGAGAACGATAATGGAAACGGGAACGATGCATGCTCACGGGATGGTTGTCATGGTCGCTTATTGCGTTGCGTTTCTTACATTCACTTTGAAAATTCTTGCGATCCTTTATTTCCTTTGTCACGAACATCAGCGCATAATCAGATGCATAGGACGAACCTGCAGATGTATGTTTGACAACGCACACTCGGCGGGGGTTTGTTTAACCTGGGGGCTGTGTCTCTCGTTGCGTTCTGGTGGTCTTTACATCACAAAAGCCTGACTTTGCCTTTCTTTCCTTTGTCATGAACAGCAGAGCATTATTAGATGCATAGGACGAACCGTCACATGTATGCTTGACAGCGTACATTTGTCGGGGTCTGTTCAGCCTGATGGCTGTGTCTTTTGTTGCTTTCTGGCGTTGTTGGCATAACAAAAGCGTAGTTTTCTGAGTAGTAATCGATGAATTTCATAATTGACGGTTACAATCTGCTCGTGACATGTTTGGATTAACGTTTGTGTGTTGTCAAATGTTGAGTTTGATGTATTGTATAGTGGTTGACAGAAAAACATGCTGTTGATCGAACGTCATATAATGACAGCAATAGAACGATATCTATTGCCAATAGACGATCGAACGTACCGCGCAACCTTTAGGTCAAGTTCGAATCATGACAACCAGACTTCTGAGTAGTACTTTCACCATATTTGACAGCATACAGTGGCAATGGCAACTCATTGTCACTAAGAGAAATTTATACATCTTTGTCAAGATTCGATCGAGTTTAACTACAAACGTAAGTACAAACTCCAGACTGCTACCTCGAGCTCGAGTGCTAACCATCGACTCGAGAATAGATGCATGAGCTCGCCAATCTCGGGAAGCCCCTGACTATACCCGAACAAGATTAGTAATCCTGATTACATCACGACTTTTCGCGTCGCGTGAAAACTTTACGCGTTGCTGACACGAAATCTGCCTGCCCTGCCTATCCGCGACTGATGTCTGGTCTTGAGATGCTTTGACAACATTTACTCTATTCAGATAGATTCGTGGCTTCAATTCCTGCGATTGATAAGCACTTTGGACTGAGATATCAAGTCTTCTGAGATACCGACATTGAGGATCGTCGCCACTGTAAAGAGTGCGTGGAAACGTCCTGGACATTGCGATTTTGGACTGTTGATTGGTAAGTGTTTAACATCGGATTTTGCGATAGCGAGAAGTGTTCAATTGTAGTATGAATCGCCAGCTGATACTTTTCAGGTGAATTCGTCGATTCTTGCTTCGGACATTGAATCCCCGAGCCTTGCTCTGGCCTTCCACTTCCACAATTCATCCAAGTTCATTTGACCCTTATTTTTCCGATTATCGACTCGATCATTCTTGAGTATGGGTTCGAGTGACGCCGAACGTTCATCAAGCCCAATGTCAAGACCAGTCTCTACTCCTCCGTCCTCGCCTCCTTCTCAGCCAATGGAGGATGAATTTGATCCCGAGTTCGCAACTGCGGAAGAGAGAGCAGTTTATGAGGAAGAGAAAAAGGCCCGAATACAGAATGATCGAGCAGAAGAGAGGCGGAGAAAGCTGGCATTGAAGAAGCGGAAGCAGGTTCAGGAAACGAGAGCTGAAAGAGAGGCGAAAGCCAAACAACTAGACGGCTTACTTGCGAACTGCGCTACATTCTCCGACATTCTGACAAAGAAAACGCAAGTTCTCGGCCGAGTAGGAAGTGGGTTTGATGGCAAAGCTTTGGGAGAGCATAATTTGGAGCTGTCGAAGCAACCAGAATGTATGGGTGGTGGTACCATGCGAGACTATCAGCTGGAAGGACTTACGTGGATGTATGAGATCTGTAGTCAGGGTATGTCTGGTATTCTCGCAGATGAAATGGGTCTAGGAAAGACGATTCAGACAATCTCACTGCTGGCTAAATTGAGAGAAGAGGAAGGTTATATGGGTCCACATTTGATTGTGGCTCCTCTAAGCACGCTCTCAAATTGGATGGAAGAGTTCAACAAATGGGTCCCTGGCGTCCCAGTCACCATGTACCATGGCACGCCCTCACATCGACAAAATATTTTCAGGGACAGCTTGAAGAAAAACCTAGATAAGGCGAACAGGGCGACAAGCAAGTTTCCTATCGTATTGACGACTCCTGAGATTGTAATCAGAGATGCGAATGATCTGTCCAAGATTAATTGGGAAATGGTTATCATCGTAAGTCATTATCTCAAATATTCCCTCAGTTGCTTACATTTTCCCAGGATGAAGGCCATCGACTGAAGAATTCAGATTCTAAGCTCTTCCGCATCCTCCAAACTTTCAATTCGATCACTCGTTTTCTCATCACTGGCACACCCCTGCAGAATAATTTGAAAGAGTTGTGGTCGCTGCTCAACTTCCTACTTCCTAAGATCTTTACTCAGTGGGAGCAATTCGAGTCCTGGTTTGATTTCAGCGATCTTCAAGACGAGGAAGGCACAGAGGAGTTTCTACAGGATAAGATGAAGCAGGATCTTGTCAAGAAGATGCATTTGATCTTGCAACCACTTCTGCTGCGGCGAATCAAAGCAGATGTCGAACACTTATTGCCGAAGAAGCGAGAGTACGTACTATATGCGCCGATGACCAAAGAGCAGACGGATCTGTACAATGTGATCAGCGACAAAACAAGAGATACTCGTGCCTACCTCGAATCGAAAGTTGTGGAGCGTCTTACAGGAGTAACGAATACCCCAGCTATGTCTCGTAAAGTGAGCCCTGCTTCTACAGTAGTATCTTCTCTGAAAGTCGAGGAATCCGACAGTGAAGGAGACATCCCGATGGCAAAGCTGGCGATCAAGAAGCGGGGACGAGGAAGACCTCCCAAGTCTGCTACACCGAAAAATGCTTTTCAACAAATGATGGAACGAAAGGCATCCACATCGACAAAACCGGGTCGAAAGCGAAAAATTGCAGAACCTGCTTCATCACCAGCACCAAAGTCTTCCAAATCGAGTCGACAATCTACACCAGCGACAAGCATAAGAGGTCGAAAGACGAAACGAAAGGGTTATGCTGAAGCTCATTCATCCGATGAAGATGCACTGAGTGACAATGAATTCGAAGAAAAGCTTGCCGAGGAGTTTGCAGAGAAAGAAGCCGATGTCACGAGTGAGGGTAGTGAAGAAGAGATCCAGAGAGCGAAGACTTTAGAGCTTGCTAGTTAGCAGAACCACTCCTTGAACTTCTATTTTGGGACTAACTCTATACAGAAAAAGAGATATCTAACAAGAAACTCGGCAATCCCATAATGCAACTCCGCCTGGTCTGCAACTCGCCACACAACTTCTACAATCCCTGGTCCATGGACTCCGGCCTAGAAGTTGACGAGACCCTCGTGACATCCTCCGGCAAAATGCTCCTTCTCGACCGTCTCCTCCCCTCCCTCTTCTCGCGCGGCTCCAAAGTCCTCATCTTCTCACAATTCAAAACCCAACTCGATATCCTAGAAGACTATGCTCGCGACCTTCGACACTGGAACGTATGTCGAATCGATGGCTCAGTAGCCCAAGAAGACAGACAGCGACAAATCAAAGAATTCAACGAAGAAGAGGACTGCAGATTGTTTCTGCTGAGCACAAGAGCCGGTGGCCAAGGAATCAACTTAGCAACTGCCGACACAGTTATCCTGTTTGACAGTGACTGGAATCCACAACAAGATCTCCAAGCCCAAGACCGCGCCCACCGAATCGGCCAGAAAAACCCCGTCATCATCTACCGTCTCGCAACCAAAGGTACAGTGGAAGAAGACCTCTTGCTATCAGCAGACGCCAAGCGCCGTCTCGAGAAGTTGGTCATCAAGAAAGGAGGGTTTAAGACCATGAACCAGAAAATGGAGAATGAGGAGGGGATGTCGGAAGATGCGCTCAAGACGCTGCTGTTGAAGGATGGGCAGGTGTATCAGTATAAAGGTGGAGAGAAGATCTTGACGAATGAGGATCTGGATGTTTTGACTGATAGGAGTAAGGCAGCTTATAAGAGGGCAGAGGAGGGCTTGGGTGACAGGGCTGGGTTTAAGATCGTGGAAACGAAGGTTGGTGGATTGATGACGGGGATGGAGAGGAGGAAGGAGAAGGCTTAGAGTGGATTGGATTGGATGTTTACTTGCATATACCATCGTGGTGTTGCGCGTTGATGCGGATGGTTGTGATTGGGATTGGAGTTCTGGAAATGACTACTTTGAGTAGACTAGATGTACAGATAGATAATTAACAGAAAGATGAGTAATGAAAGACTTCTGAATAGATCACATTCACAGCAGGTCATCATGTTCACAGTAATTTGGGTGTCCATTTCGGTGTCCACTTATTATTCCCATCAGCCAGGTACGAAACATAACATCCATTCAAGCATCTCTACTTTCAACTCCCTACCTCCGAATCAAATCAAGCGCAAATCTGCAGCGAACATCGCACCCACAAATCCCAATAAATCTCCACGAACCCCTTTTTCCAGCCCCCAAAATCCTTTTCTACCTTTCCAAACCCCTAACACCAAAAAAAAAAAATTGCGCATCTTCATCCCCCTCCTCCTCATCTTCCTCATCCTACATCTCACCTCCACTCCATCACCTTCTCCCTCGCCCTTACCAACTCCCTTCCCTACATCATCGCATTCCTCAAATGACCCCATATCTAGACCCCGAACCGCGCTTCTGGCGAGGAGGATCTGGGTAGGTAGATACCCGAGGAGAGGCGAGGATCTGGTTATTTTGGTTGGGGTTGGGGTTTTGCTTTGGTGGGTTGGGGTTTGGGAGGTTTTGAGGGGGTTGGTTTGAGTTGTTGAGGAGGGGGGGGGAGGATGGGAGGAGCAAAGTTGTGAGATTAGGAGATTGATGGGTTGAAGAAAGCGAGGAGGAACTATGTTGAGGGACTATGTGTTTATAAAGACAACACTTGAGGAAAAGAGATGATTTACAGAGCACAGTAGGGAGGGAACGGATAAATCTCGACACGCGAGATAGTGTTTCACTTGACTGGATAGGTGTGAACTCGGTTTATGCAGGGTCGCTGAAGATCAGTACAAGATGCCGGAAGCTGGGTTACTTGGCAAACTTTGGGATGATGTATGTTTTCGGCTGTAGACTATAAATGGATGAGACGGGCAGTGAATGGGAGGGAGGTTGATATTGGCTATCGGAGGAATGTGAATTCACAGTCGATCCATAATCAACAAGCAAAGAACAAAATATGTACCTAGACAAGCAATCTATTAACTGCTGTCCAAGCTATGGTATCTTTATCTTTCGGTCAAAGCCTTGTTTCATAATGTCATTGTCATCCATGTAATAAAGCAATCCGCCCACGAATCACCGAGCAATGCAAATGCCAGAAGCAAGAAACAAATGCTGGTGTCATCAATAGCAACCCCCAGAATATGCTCTCCTCTCAGTTCCCTGCGCAGAACAAACGCAAAAGCGAAACGAGATTAAACAACTTCGCCCTCTTGAGAAGCATGTTCAAGAGCGTGCTTGTCGGCGAGAGCAGCGGCTGGAACGACATCCGCGAGAGTCTCGTCTGTGCCCCTCAAATCATCTTCGATGCGGTTGTGGTCGGAGATCTTGAATAGGACGACTGGTGCTGCGACTATGAGAGAAGCACCGAGGATAGCCCAATTAGAGGCGAATTCACTCATGAAGCTGATCTTTCTGGAGTCGAGTGACCACATGACGGCTGCACCAGCGGATTGGAGACCCTTGTAGAAACCGACGTAATTGGCTGTGCGACGACCGGAGTTGGAGAGGGCTCCCATATACCTAAAAGTTATTAGTACGGAGCGTTTAGACTTTTGGGTTTAACCTACCAGTAGACTGTGCATTGCCAGAAGGAATCAAACATGCCGTAGAAGATGTAGAGGAACATGGGACCGACGTAATTAGAAGAGGACCAGTCATCAGCGGAAGTGTCGGCACGAGTATATTGCTTTTGGAAAGCATATCCACCTCCATAGATAACCAGGGTCATGGCCATGAGGAAGCCCCATGCGATCTTTCCACGAAGAGAACGACGGAAATTGGTGTAGTCAAGAGCGTAACCAAGAGCCATAGCACCAAAGATCTGTGCTAGGTAGTAGAGACATGAGTTCAGAGCCTTGGTGCGAGTATCGAAGTGAGCGCCATTGACAGCGTTTTGCTGGTAGGTGTAGAACCAATTGGAAGACCAGAACATGGGGAAGAGAAGAATGACAGTGGGCTCGAATTTAAGCGACTCATAAAGGCCATAGATCTCGGACCACCAAGTGGGGTTCTTCATTAGGACAACCTTGGTTCCATCTGTACGGACCACTTCACGAGCAGAGGCGATGAACATGGCACAGACTGCACCAAGAGCCATCAGGACGATGAAGCCGATATAAGTTCCATCGGAAACTGTGACGTTGGTCTTGACGTGGAAATTCTGGCCAAGAGGAATCTGAAGCGTGTTAGAGAGACGAATGAAGTAAAATAGGAGAAGCAAGGAAGGTGGAAAGGGAAATGCAGCTTCAGTCACGAGATGCATCTGAAAAAATAGGCTCGAAACTCACCAGAGATCCAATGACGGCACCCATATTGAAGATAGCCCAGAAAATGGCAAAATATTTTCCCTTATCAGCTTCCTTGGGATAAGAAACCATGATAGTACCTTGGGCAGTCCAGAGGAGAGCAGCGCAAAGGCCAAGGAGAGCACCAGCGATGATGTTGAAAGCGAAGACGTCGTGGTGAACGGAAACCAGGAGGGAGATAGCGTAGATGCAGTAGCCAAGACCACCGAAACCGAGAGTAACCTTGACACCCAACTTGTTGACAATAGTGCCACCCAGGAAACCGAAGACCGCAAAAGTAGAGTAGAGAGCAGTGTTCTAGAACATTGATCAGTGTCACGTAAAAGATTGAAAGTCAAATTGAGAACTTACCATGTCATCAGCCAAAGTAGCATCAGTCTTTCCACCACCTCCCAAACCACCCAGAGCGTTGAACATACCAGGGCACAGGAAGCAGACGAAAGAGACAATGATCAATTGGACCTTTGGAGAAGCATACCATGGTGTAAGCCAATTACCGATCTGGAATCGACGATAGAGCCAGCCAGGAGGCAACACGAGCTCGCCATTCTCATCGTGCTCAGGTTCAACGGCAGCTTGAGAGACTCCAGCCTCGGCAGCCTTGTTGTCAACGTGGGCAGACATGTTGACGGGGAACTGTTCGAGATTTCGAGTCGAGGAGGACCGACCAGTGGTATAAAGTGAGGGTTGTGGTACAGAAGAGTGAGATCTTGGGATGGTCGCAAAAAATTTGCAATTTTGTCGGTGTTGTTTCTTGAAAGAATTCTTTCGGTAGAAACGAGATCGAAAGATGAATTAAATTAAATTATCAAGTCGGCTTCCTTCCCAAATTTCTAGCGAAGTTCAGACGCTAGGCACTACTCGTTTCCTCAAGGAAGGAGGTGAATGTCACGATCCAATTCAAATCCGGATGAAGAAGTTTGATTACTTTGTCGTGAAGTAGAAATCTGGTCGAGTGAAGTCCGGTCCAGTCAAGAGGGTTTTCGGGGCCCGGCAAGCAGTTATATTATTCGGCAATGCACGTGAACTCCCCTTGCATCTCAGATAACGGTTTCCCACTAAACGGGCCTTCTCCGCATACTGTAGTAGGACAGGGAGCGACCGCTAGGAGTGGCCGGCACTGCATATGCAGGATGGGAGTGAGTGGGTAGAGCCAGCTTGGACTTGGACTTCACTATGAGAGGGCCAGGATGCAACCAGCCATGGCATGCTGGAGACAGAACCCAGAACCCAGAACCAAGAACCAAGAACCATGGCGCTTCCTGCTGTATCAGACGCTGTGAGTGGCCAATTCTTCTCAATCTCCTCCTCCCGTTCTGGCGGCCCCTCAACACTCTATACTCTAGCTACACTCACTGACTGGCTGGTTGCAGCGATGGCTTTCGAGACTGAGTGCGCCTCGAGGTAGGACATTGATAGACTACTATGTAACGTAGGATCTTTACCCGAGAGAGTACAAACCACAGCACAACAGACGCGACCGCCAGAGCGAACGAAAGCAAAGAATCGTTGCGATAGTAAAAGCTGCGTCTACCTACTTTGGATCAGAATCAATCCATGCTGATGATGACTTACTTACGACTAAGAGGTGAACCCCCTTACTTTGCTCTATCCTCGACGTTGCAAGTACATACTTCGACAGACCTCAATTTAAGGTTACTGTAAGGTTAGAGTACAGCTACATTATCACATGTCTGACGCGCCTCTCCCTTGGCTGCTCTCTTTTTACGTATGCATGCAGAACATCAGCCGCTCCTCCAAACGAAACGCCACATCCATCCATATCTCACCTCCCCTGCTCGTCTCGGGCAAAATAAACCCTGAGACCTCTTTCCCATGCCTCATGTCAATTGGTCATCAAGAACGCCACGGCACCATATCTACAGTAAAGTTGCAGCGCCAAGGGCAACTGCGATATCCACTCACTGCCGCGAAAGGTCCCAGTTTTGATTAATATCGGACCCGTCATTTGCCACTCGCCAAAAACAGACGCTCGATAGTCAAGACACGTGAGATTGTATGGGAGGTTGTACAGCGGGACCGGACGTGAGGCGCTGCTCTCAGGTTGTTTTGGTCGTGGTTGCAGCTCGTGGCCCATTTGTTGGTTACGTGGCCGAGAATAGCCCACAGCTCCAGCCCTCACCAAAGAAATCCGAACCAGGGACTCGGGTCTTATCTCTCGCTCCTTCTCACGGACAGGAAGTAGGCTTGGAGTGGGGGATTGGTTCGAGTATATGGAGTCGGTCGACAAACTACGTTGTAATGTGGCTTTTCTACAAGAAAGATGATCCCGAGTGTTGTTTGGATGTTACATCTCAGTATCCGGCTGGTCCACAATCTGGCTGATTGTCCAGAACAGATCTTTTTTGTTATTGTACTGTATCAGTTAAACTGTTTCGTTTCGTGCTTATTGGTAGTTTCGCGATATGCATCCTCGCTGCAAAGAGCCTCAAACTTGCAGGCATACGCATCGAGATCTTCATTTCCAAAGTATGGTAACAGACGAGACCTTGCTTGCAACGAACCTGCTTTTCGGCTCCACTCTTGTCACGCGGGAAAGCTTAAACTTTCTTCTTAATCCATGCTACCAGTAAAAAAAAAGTCCTTATGGTTACGCAACACAAGGATTTTGTATCTCCTCCAGCAAGCGCCCATTTGTTGAGAAGTCGCCTCGAGGAGATCGACATCGATCGATGCTGCTCATTGCCAAAGCAAGATTACCTAGCATGACTTTGCGTCCTCATATGTACGCTGCCAGCTTGCTTCCATAGATTTTGAGGGTTCGAGTAATTCTAAAACGATCCTTTCTGCAATGAGAGGCGATTTTGATGAGAATTGTTTGGAGTCTTTCACCGCTTGCTGTCATTCTCACAGCTTCCCTTAGAGCGTGTATGGTCGCAGAATGTTCATCATTTCTCCTTCAAGCTGAGATGGGATTCGTTTTGTACCAACTTTTGTGCATTTCCATCTTCTCCTAGCCCTGATAAGCTAGATTTTCCCTTTGAACTAGATGGAGTCCCCACAACTCATACACACAGTCCTTCGTAGCCATTGTCCAGATCAAGTAAGATGAGAGAAGATATACAATTCCCAACGCTCACCTCCACCCCCATCCACTCAACGGGTTGAGATTCAAAGGAAACAACCCGCAGATCTTCGACAACATCGAGCCCTGCAAGCGACTCCTCCCGTCAACATCCAGAGTTTCGTCTACAAAACTTGCAGTCTCATACCCCCAACCCACGCAGCTTCCCGTGGCCGACAGACCAGTCTAAACCAATGCAACATGACACGGGTATGCACAGCACGAGGCACAACGTTTTGCGCGTTTGACAAGCAATGCACCTCGCCTCTCACCTTACCAAACGGAATGTGGGAGAGCGTCGGCGTGATCAGGCGAGCGCTGTGTAATGGTGGTACAGATTCTCGCCGACTAAAGCTTGTGATGGCTGCTCAATTTCCCCCCACCCGTAACTTAGGCGGAGGAGGGGAAGGCAGATGCGTGTCGAGACCATGCCTTGTGCGACCAAACCATTCAGCCCTTCATGTCAATACTCCCGTCGTTGAGGTGTTTCGAGTCCAGGACTACCTACTAGAAATCCGTACATCCTGACTTCGAGTCAAGACCCGCTAAAGTAATGCAGCTTCGCCGAACATGTTCATCCCATCTCCCTTCCTTCCTTCCTGCTCTCTCTCTCCTGCATCTTGCATGCATGCATCATCGATGCCGCTTCACACCGCTATCCGTCCGTATCTGGGGATCACCGCTTACTTCCTCGTCTAGTGCCGGGATCCGGACGGAATGCGGCAAGCCTCGAGGGGACCACATGCCCTTGTCATCTGTGTGACGGGAACGCCAATCTTTCCTTCCCTGGCTGAGGGGCTACGATGCCTGCACAGAACTTTACTTTCTTGGCGTGGAGTGTAGGTAGTGGAAGAATTGTTAGTTGTAGAAGTTAAAGTCGAGTGCTATGGTTTGTTTTGTGGGGGGTTTGGTTCTACTTCTCGCCCCGTTTCCGAGGTTTGGAGTATTATTGAGTTATTTGATAGCTAGCTCTGAGATTATGAGTTGGAGTTGGAGTTCACGCGCTTGTTTTGAAAGGTGGTTGTTAGTAAGAGAGGGGAATAGAGTTGGATAGACTTATTATTTGGAGGAAAGTTTTTCAGTAGCAAATGGATGGGTGCATCTTGAACAGCGCATGTCGCCATAATCCAAATCTCTGCGAAAAACTTATATTCCAGCAAGTACCATCATGGTAAAACTTTTCCCACAATGTACTGTTTTTGTTCAGAAGCTGCATTGATATATATATGTAGAGCTGATTCCCGGTTTCTGTTTACTTATTTTTAATTTTTATTGCTCGAGTTCTTGAGGTTGAGCTGTCGCTGCTGGCTTTTGCAGAAGCCGGTTTTAGGTTTAAACTGTTGTGAACTTGGTTCCATATTCGGATGCAGTAGATAGCGGAGGGTAGAATCATGAAAAATATATTCCATTAAAGAAGTCGGGTATAGGTCCACTGCAACCAAAACCACCCCCTTTGATACCAGCACACAGCCAAACCGAGATCATTACCATCCAATTACCACCCATCTAAGCAGAAGCCCCAGAAACCAACCCAGGCATATTCTGAACCCCCAGCGTCCGCCCCTTTACAAACCAGATAACCAAGCTCGGCATCTTCATATTGCCAAAGCGGCCCGTAGCCCGACTTCGACCGAGAGAGACGCCCATGATTGCTACGTATTCTGGTCAGCCGTCCATGCCTTACCTTTCTTCTTGTTTGAAAAGTGAGAACTTACGAGCACCGTCCGTCTTGTAGACTACTGGTTCCTTGCCGCTGAGCACGAGATCGAGATTCCTGGCTAGGGCTCCGGCTTGTTTTTCTATTCCACTTCATCAGGCTCTGAGTTTGAAAGGGGAAAAGAGGGGTATGTACCGCAGTAAATATACTGAGCAGGTTGACAATCGGTGATGTCTCCCGCGGCCCAGATATCCTCCGCGCCCTTGACTTTCAGGTATTGATCCACCATCACATTTCCTTTGTCATCGAGGAGGCTCTTGGGCAAGAATTCCGAGTTGGGGATCACGCCTATTGTTGGGAGGTAGAGATCCACTACCATTTTCTCGCCGTTTGAGAGCGCGAGCTCGGTTTTCCCTTCGGTGGTGCTGGTGGAGGAGATAATTTTCGTGTCTTTGATGACGTTGACGTGTAGTTTCTTGAGCTCGTTGTCGGCGAAGGTTGCTACGGAGGGTGGGACGCCTGTGAGTAGTTGCGAACCTGCTGTTATCTAGACCATTGACTGTCAACTTCTGTCCGATAAGTGTTTGGGAATGGCCAAATACCAAGGTAACCTCTTTATTCTTTCCATACTCGAATCCAATTTCCGCGGCGGATTCAACACCAGTAGGTCCTGCTCCACCGACCACAATTGTCTTCGCCGCCTTCACATGTTCTTGTGTCTTATGTAATGCAGCTTTCGTTGCTTCGTATCCTGAGAGCGAGGATTTCCATGGTGCGTCGTCGTCGGATCTGCAGCCTGTAGCAATGACTAGGATATCGTAGGCTTGTTTTTGCTCGCCAGAAGGGGTCTTGATTAGAACTGTTTTGCTGGGAATATCGACCCCGGTGGCAGTGCCAAGGACAAAGACCGCGGATTCTTTGTATTGTGCGAGTCCGTCGGGGATGCTTGAGAAGACCTGACAAATGTGTGAGCTTGAATTAAGACTTTGGGATAGTGGCATTTACCTTTTCGTCTGGGATTTGACCAGGAATGATGGCTGGTAGGCTGTGAGAATGTCGAATAGAGTAGAAAATGCGGCTTTACCTCTGACTGATGCTAGATTCCAGTAATGATGCGTCGTGGGCGATACTACGACCACCTTGAGTTCTTCTTTTGCTGTTTTCAGCGAGTGCTTCAGGAGCCTAGATCTTTGTTAGACATCAATGTTGTCACCGGCTGTCACGCTTTCCATACTTATGAGCGACTATTAGGCCCGCATATGATGCGCCTAGAATCACAATAGTCTTTGCCATCTTAGACGCAGAGAATATGTAGAGAATTTTCAAATCTAGGGAAGTGAAGAATAGAAAGAGAAGATTGAATTGACTGCAGAAGAGCTGAAACCAATGTTTATGAGGGACTGGCGTGGTCTAATCCATGGACTTGGGGACAGCCAAAAGAAATTGTACGGACTTCCGAAATGTGCCAGAGGAGCGAGCCAGGCTGAACCTTACCTAACTCGTAATAATGAACCTCGCAAAGATCTGGATGCAGCGAGTACGAAGGCTGGGACGATGCGTCTAAACCTATTCCTAGAGTCGGACGGACGTTGTTGCTATGATGTCTGCACTTACATTTTCCGTGTTGGTCTGTTCATGTCGAGCCGAGTCGAGGCTGCGATTGAACATTTGATAGCTCCAAGTGGGTCTCATGCATGAAGGGGAAGCTCCTTCATTGGTCTATATTCTGAGATTGATCGGCACGGAGTCTTTAATGACCGTCCTTGCAGGGACCAGACCGAGAAGTGTCTGTGCTCAAGATGATACCTCGTTCCTGAGACCATACGGAAAGAAGACAGTAGTGAAGAGTGGATGTTGTACTGAACCATGCTCTGCTTCAATACAAGTACAACAACATGATTGACGCAGGTCAGAATTCCTCCAGACCCCCAGCCACTCCCACCTACGAAGCTCCCACCTCCTTAATAACCTCATAGAAATTCTTCACATCATGTGCGAAACGACCCAGAAACAGCCCATCAACACCATCTCGCATCGCATCGAACGTCCCAGGACCAGCCGAACCCCCATACAAGAAACGCACTGGCCGCTGCCCACAAAGTTTCCTCAACTCCTTTGTAACACTGACCACGTACTCTGCAGAAGCCGGCTCTGGCTGTCCAATCGCCCAGACGGGCTCATAGGCAAATATGATCTCTTCATCCGTGACGCCCAACACCGATTCCATCTGCGGCCGGCACTCCTCCACGGCCTCTTCCACGCTGCCCTGGCTCTTCTCTCCTATACAGACTAGAGGCGTCATGCCATTTCGTACGGCAGCTTGAGCTTTTTTGGCAACGTGCTCGTCGGTTTCTCCAAAGAGTCGTCGTCTCTCTGCGTGGCCTAGCTCGACCAGCGAGCATCCAATGCTTTTCAATACAGCGGGTGACACTTCTCCAGTATATGCACCGTTGTCTTCCCAGAAGCAATCTTGGGCTCCAAGTCTGATGGTAGGGGCCTCGAGACGGAGAATAGTACTTGCTGCTGTCAAGGACAGAAAGTCTGGGATGATGAATATATCGACACTATGCGACAATGCATGGGGAGCAAGAGGAGAGCAGGATCTGATATACTCTGCCGTTTTCTCCAGATCAAAGTACATTTTGAGAGAAACCCCAACGGTCCTCTTCCTTTGAAACGAGCTCGACATTGCAACTACTCATCGTCAGCCCTCCCATCAATATCCCAAGCCATATTACGACTTACATGAGAATCTTCACAAAAACGTTGAATACTCAGGGGTCAAATTGCAGAACCCGATGCATCATGTAAAAACCCCGACTGTCAAAGTCTCCACTCCACAGCAGCTCCAGAGTTCCCCTACCCCACCAAACAACCGGGTTACCGCATCCAGCACCCCGAACCTGCTAATTGCCGTATCGCCACTCACTACGATCGCGGGGTACCTTCCCTCTCCAACGGAAATTTCGTGACTACATACATCCTACTATAGCCTGTAATAATGCGGCTACTTTCCAATTTTTCTCTTGAACTCCCTCGTCCCATCTCCGAGCTTTCTTCCTTTCTTCTTGACCACTCTTGAAAATCACAGCGTACTATTCTGCTTGTGAAGATATACTCGCTACCCCGCACCTCCACACAAAATGACAGAAGTAAAACCCCTACGAATCGTCGTCGGCGGCGATGATGGTATATCCTCTTCCCTCTTCCCTCACATTTTCCCCCTCCCTCCCATCTCTCTCTCTCTCCCATCTCTATATTAACCTCTCCCCCTCAGCCGGATACGACTACAAAACCCTCCTAACAACAGACCTCAACTCCTCCCCACACGTCCTCTCCGTCCACGACGTCGGCCCACACTCCTCGTCCGACAAAACCGCCTACCCACACTTCGCCGTCACAGCCGCAAAGATGATCGCCTCGGGCGCCGCCGACCGGGCTCTCCTCATCTGCGGCACCGGGTTAGGGGTTGCGATTTCCGCGAATAAGGTTACGGGCGTCAGGGCTGTGACGGCGCATGATAGTTTTAGTGTGGAGAGGGCGGTGTTGAGTAATGATGCGCAGGTGTTGTGTTTGGGGCAGAGGGTTATTGGGGCGGAGTTGGCGAGGAGACTGGTTAGGGAGTGGTTGGGGTATCGGTTTGATCCTGTGAGTTTGTCTTTTTTTAATAAGGAGAGAGAGGAGACGGGAAGAGAGAGGATGGGAGGATATATGCTAATGTTGGGATTTAGAATTCGAGTTCGGCGCCGAAGGTTAAGGCGATTAATGATTATGATTTGGAGAATTAGGGGAGTTGAGAGGGGGAAAGGAGGACGGACAATAGCTTGCTGGAAATGTCGGGGGATTGAGAGAGGCAGGGGAAGAATAGAGTATGCGTTCTGAGGACAAACATTTAATAGCGACGAAAGTCTACAATATGTGCATTGATATCTATGCTTCTCTGTTATTGCAACGGACATTCTGTCCTCTAACCCCATACTCCTGGCCCCAAAACTCCACTCCAATAAAGAGTCATATCCCAAGCTCCCTCACAACCGACTGAATTTCTTCGTATCTCTTTTCGTCTCCTCCATCTCCTCTCTCATAACCTCATTAAACTGCTCCCATCCATCAAGATACAAATGATGTCCCGCCTTCTGGATAATAACCACCTTCGCACTTCCATTTTCTCTCTTCTTCTCTTCGGCACTTGCTTCTTTCAACGCTTTCGCTTTCTCTTCTTTAAGTTTCTGTTCTGCCGCGTAGCCACCTGCTATATCCATCCAGTCGTTCTCGCCGTACATCAACACTATAGGAAATCCCATTTCTTTGGATGGAGAGGGTGATGTGGCGGTAGGAAGGTTTTGCGAGGTGGAGCAAGGTGACGAGGTCAAAGAACTAGTAGCCAAGATTGGTTGTCGGCCTACGCCTTGGATCCTTCTGATCAAGGGACTGCGTGCAAAGGCTCCAGGAGCAAGAATATATGCTAACACGTACTCGCCACTACCTCGTTGTCGGAAGAGAGAGTATGCATAGTGGTGCAAGGCTTCTGATTCCTGGTCCGGAAGATGGGAGAAGCGCCGAGATGTCCATCCAGAAACGAATCTTGGTCCTAATGGGCCGGCCCAACGAACAATACTGAATGGTGAGATGTTGGCATCCCAAAGATAGGTGAGCCATTTTGGTAATGGTCTTCGAGGTGCGGCTTCATTTTTCTTCTTGGCTGCTTCGGCTTTGTCCTTGGCGTTAAAGAAGTTGTTCTGGCCATTGGTGGGTCGGTTGACTATGTCGTCTTCTTGATCCTGCGTAAACTCGTTTGCCATGGTTGAGTCTCCTGGCTCAGGCATATCCGCTTGCATAGCATATGGATCCTCTGGTATTCCAACCGGTGATGCGAGGATCAGCTTGTTGAGATGACCAGGGTACTTAAGAGCGTATGCTACGGCCATATAGCCTCCCATGCTGTGACCAAGAAGCGTGAACTTGTCGATTTTCTTCAGCAGTCGCCACTCTTCCAATGCGTCTATGAACCAGTTCTCGGCTTCTGTGATCTTGCCTGCTTGGTCTTTGGCATGGATCTTGAATGGCGGTCTGCTGCTTCGTCCCATTCCTAGCATGTCCAAAGCGTATATTTTCCAGCCTTGTACTCGACTTAATCCCTCAAAGTTCTTGTAGAAGAAGCCTAACCCGGCTCCGTAACCGTGTAGCATGACCAGATTCTCTTCCACCGGCTCTCCATCTCTTTGCACTGAGAATTCGTTCAGGGCTCTGTTTTTGCCACTCAACTTGACAAGGTTCGAATGCCATGATCTTGGCCCATATGGATCCGTGATAGAGGTAGTCCTAACAGGTGCTGCAGCTCTCGCTGGGTCCGTGTTGATAGACATCATCGACGTGGACGCCGAAACTGGCGCAGAGCCAGTCTGAGTATGCGTAGGAGGCTTTTGAAGGTATGGCACAAAGGCCATGACATTATGTTCTGCAACAGCCGGTGAAATGCTCGCCCACCACTGGCTGATACCCTCTTTGTATCCCAAAGGAAAGTAGCCCGCCTTCTTTGCCTCATTGTTCGCCTTCGCTCGTTGTGAAGCAAGCATTGCCTGCTGGCCTCGTCCCGCCGACGAGTCTGAATTCGTAGAGGCAGACATTGTAGAATAGGTAGGAGTATCGGACCAATGCCGAGTATTCGTGAACTGTCTCAGGTGTGGGAGGGTGGTTCGCCCCGCGAGAGTATCGTTGGGAAGTGATCGCAACAATAGCAACGGCAGGCTAGGTGTGGAATTCAACTTGAACGATGGGAGGGAAGGAGCCCTCGAGTACCATGGGAAAGGTTAAGGCTTTATTTGTTTTGGTGGAGGCTCGGATTTAAGGCTGGCCGTGTTTGCGTCAGGCTCCGGCCTTCTGTTATGCGCGCAGATGTGATGACGATGGTGTTTTGATGGGATATTTTAAGACTCGATCACTGATAGAACGGTTCGGACCTTTGGGAATTAGACGAATCCGAACATGGGAAAGGAGTGTATTCGTTGAACTCTAGAATTCTGCAAGTCTAAAGGCTAGGCTGCTGTGTTTCTGCAAGAGACACGAATCGTATTTCATCAGTTTCGACGGAGAATCGGCCGAACTCAATGTCCATACAGGGGGCTGAACTTTTGTGGCTTGATAAGTCCGACATCATGTATGCGATATTGAAGCACTTTCTAGGGTGCCACAATATTCCTCCAAGATACATTACTAATGAGGTTTGCATGCTGTAGAGCGAAGGAAGCCAAAGTATGAGGCTGTCTGTGAAATAAAAATTGTTGCTTAGCTGCATCATGACGATGTAAAGTCTCAAAGTGGCTTGCCGACTGTCAGCGGACAAACCAATCCTAGAACCCTCACATGCGACCCCAACAAACATACTTCGATACCCGATTGCTGTGGAAAGAATTGATTCATCCCTAAATACAAGCCTCAGGTACATATCTGAAGTTGTGACGTGTATCCCATTTCATTCACCAGCCATGATATCCCAATAGCACGAGTTACCAACAAGTCGTCGCAATGTCGAACCTGGACCAGCTCGTGAAAGGAGCACCTTCCCCTGGGAGCCAGTATCCCGCCCCTTCGACCAGTCCTATTATCTCTATCGAAGGCTCGAATACCTCTGTTCCAGATCCGCTGGCTTCTCTACCGTCCTCTCCACCCCAAATCTACCTCAATCTCCTCATCCTTGAAGCATCACTCCGGGCGCAATGGCTTCAGTTACGAACAAGACGGCGACAGCATACCTTCTTCTTAACACTGCTGGGGCTTTGGACTCTATACTTTGGCTATGCACTGTTTCTCGCACCGAGAGAAGATGGTAGTGGGATTGGAGGATCGGTATACTGGGCATTTGAGGTTGGAGAGAAAGTGTGCTTCATGGGTGGCATAGTGACCGGTATCTTGATATGGGGAACTGGACAGTGGGAGAGAGGCATCCGATGGCCACGCCGATGGGTTTATACCACGAACAGAGGTCTCAGAGGATTCAATTGCAAGGTCGTTGTGATCAAGCAATCGTGGTGGAGGGAGCTACTTTCCACATTATCATTTCTGTTCTCCTACGGGCTGTTCTCCAGCAACACGGGAAGTTCATATCGATATGTGGATCAGACGCTCCTGAAAGAGTCTGAAAAGGCTCAGCCTACAGGAGGACACCATGCATTGCCAAATATACAAGAGGACGACGATATCGCAGGCTATGAAGAAGACCTGGCACCGGGTGGAGATTATATCAAGCTGTTGTTGCTCCCGAAGCCCTTTTCTCCCAACTTTAGAGAGAACTGGGACATATACCGTACAGAATACTGGGAGAAGGAGAATGAACGCCGTTCGATCTTGAGGAAGAAGCTCAAAGAAAGGGATAGGAGACTTGCAAAGGAGCAAGGAGGTTGGTTATGGTGGACAGGATTTCGGGGCTGGAACAGAGGCAAGACTCCAGATGTTGAAAAGAGTCACCACGTCGCCCACAAGCATGCAACTCATGAGAAAGAGCCAAAACGGACCCGAAGTGGTAGTGTGAGATCTGGCTCACATTCCCGAAACTCCTCTCGAAGCTCGACTCCAGCTGCTGAATTAGAGGAAGGCCCTATTGGACATGTCCGCCGAGGAAGCTCAAGTGCGTCTGATCGGAGGAAGAGAAAGACTACTACGAGTACGAGTAGAGTCCAGAAGCTCACTCCTGGTTCTCGCTCAGCGAATCCAGATGTTCCATCTCCATTGGTAAGAGAGAATAGCTTCACAAGTGTCTCGTCTTTGGACAGCGAGCGACCTGCGACTCCCGCACGTGATGCCGATACCTCGAAGCTTTCAACACGAGCCAGCGCGGCCAGGGCAGCCAAACAGTCATAGAAATAGCAATTGATGTCGTTTTCCAGCATGTTATATATATTCGCCTCTGTGAAGTCAGCTGCTCTTTCCCTTGTAGACATACATCTAATCTGGGATTAGCCCTAGTCCGGCTTCGGCTAAGCGCTAAAGGATGCCTGAACGCGACCGAACTCGAGAACGTACATGACTTCAATTTCAACCATGCGTTCATAAAGAGCCAATGATTCTTCGATTTTCTCCAGCGACAACCTTCCGCCAGCGCTGTCTGAGCTTGGTCTACAGCAACTTCGATCGTTACATGCAACAATAGAACCAAACGATCAACAGGCACCAAATAACTCGACTCGACTGACGGTACTTGATTCGAGGTTATCAGCAAGTACTCGCATCCAACAGTCCAAGATGGCGTCCCCTGAACCACAACGAACTGCCTTTCCAAATGGTTCTTATGGCAATCTTCTCAATCGCGAGAACACCCCTGCTACCACGTCTGCCATCAATGGAGCTCAGCCAAATGGCCAGTATACTTTTCGAGTATGTGTTGTCGAGGTCTCCCTCTTGTTCTATAAGTAACCATTTTCTAGGCACCTTCTCCACCACACATTCACATCCCCCAGGCGAACGAAGACCCAAATTTCCTGAGAAACGTTCCTGCAAATCGCGAGTACTCCGACGACGAACAAGCAATCCTGGCTCGAGTTGTCGCAGTACAGCATTCCCTACCTGCCGCGGTAGATTGGAGATACGAGTTGCGCCGCAAAGCACAGCAAATCCTGCCGTTTCTCTATCTGGGTCCTTCTTCCAGCGCTCGCGATATCGAATCACTGAGAGCAGAGGGAATCACTATGCTTCTCGTTATTCGGAATACAATGACAGCGCAAGCAAGCCTGTTGAGCGGCGAAAAGGTGGCAAAGCAACTTGGAATCCAATCGGCCGCAGTGGACGTAGCTGGCAACCAAGAGCTAATCGCCGCTTTCCCACGGGCAACAAAAACGATCAACGATCACCTCATCTCGAGCTACCGTCGACTTGCGTGCGATGATGATGCTCAAAATGGCCGAAATACATGGGGAAAGGTCCTCGTATTCTGCGAGTCAGGCAATGAACGATCAGCAGCTGTCGTTGCAGCGTATGTGATGAGCACGTTCGCGCTAGACATGGTAACAGCATTACAATATGTCCAGTCTCAACGATTCTGTGTTGCTTATGACGATGGCCTTAAGAACCTCCTCCAAGCTTACGACGATATTCTGAGTGCTCGGAGAAGTGTGTCTCGTGGCACATCCGCAGCACCACAAGTGCCTGCGACCCAAGCCAAAAGACGGCGTGATGACGTCGACGAGGATGAGGATATGGATATGGGTACCATGGACGTAGATCGAGCAGACGATATGGAACGATTTGCCGGCCGCAGTTCATATGCACCTTTTCTTGATGTTTCCTGAACGAACATACTGTGTGCATTAATTTGGGTGGCGTTAGGGGTGCATGATAGACATGAATGAGGCGTACGGCAGGCTGTACAGAATTTGCATTTGTTTGACTGAGCAAGAATTGGTTGATACCCTATGTTATGCTGCGGAACGGAGTATGTGTGTTAAGAAGTCTGCAAGCATGTGTAAATAGGGAACAGCAACCATAAAGAGATACATCCAGAGTAGCCTTCTTGTGTGTAGAAGTATTCATTGCTAAATTTTAAGAGTCCGAGATCTGTTACTCTGCTACTTTTGGATGAGAATCAAGTGCTTGGATCTGATTTGTTCTGGGTCTTATCATCCAACGTTGCACTCATCTTCTCTTAGCTGTCAAAACTGTTGAAGCCTGATATCACCTGTATCTGAACTCGGAGACTTGAAGTCCCGCTTAGCCACAAGCTGTCTAAAGCATAGAATATCTTTCCGATTCGCCAAATAGAATACTACCTAGAAACGAGAAAAAACGCATCGAACGTGCTCACAAAGTGTGGTAGCTTCTCCCCCTTGAAAAGACAGATCTTTTATGCTCCTCGAGTTAATTAATGTATCCGGCAAATAGTTGTCTATTATTAATTAAAAACGGGAAGTATAGTTTAAAGATGAGAGTTTTTTTTATAAGCACACAAAAGGCATAAACTAGCTAAAGCCTAGGGCTAATATCTTTTCTATGTTATAGTACTTATAAAAATAAAGAGGATTTTCTTGTTTTTGTTGTAAAAAAATTCCTTTTGAAAGCGGTCGGACAACGCCCTCTCACCCACTCATCATATATACCCAGTACTTTTCGGTTTTGAGTTGGTTAATAATCGAGGAAGTACAATGGCTGCAAGCGCTGGCGCTTCAAGACAGAGGGATAGATCTATTTGACTATGTGATACCTATCACTCTCTTTACCTAACTTTATATACCCTCGTCAACCTTTCTTTCCTCAATATCTTAAATTAGCTAAAACCTTTAATGCCTCGCACATGTAATCTGCTCTATAACTGGCCTTATGCATGACCAAAGGGGCGGAAACGTTGGCTTAATATTTTTCGAACTACAACCTGTAAAACGACGCACGAAACGACAGACTACTGCGGACAAGAATTTCTGAGCCCAATTCAAACCACTCAATCGGAACCTTAGGATTCATTCTTGTCAATTACACGAAGAAAGAATCACACCTCAGATCTCAAATGTATGTAGTCGCTTAATCTCGTTACCCCTTAACTCCTGCTGAACTGCCTTGAAGCCTCAGGCGTGCTCGATAAGCAGCTATCAGCCAACGTCAAGCCGCGGATCTCCAAATCCATTTACACTGACAACAACTTGTCGACACGATCCCCAACCACTTCTCTACCACAATGTCGAACAAGCGGATAGAACAAAGCGAAATTGAGAAGTACTGGGAAATCTTCGCATCCCTTTCAAATGGCGGCACGCATCTCACAGGATCTCAGGCAGCACCGGTCCTGAAGAACAGCCAGCTGCGCGACGATCAACTCGAGCGGATATGGGACCTGGCAGATGTGGATAATGACGGAAACTTGGATTTTGAAGAATTCTGCGTAGCTATGCGCCTAATCTTTGATTTGGTTAATGGAGTACGTCCAGTAATCATTCCCAAAGCCTGGATGTCATATTGATCTAGCTCTACAGGAATACGCCGACGTCCCACCACAGCTTCCAGATTGGCTGGTCCCGGAGTCGAAAGCACATCTTGTACAAGCAAACCGAGCGTTGACAGGGAGACAAGTTCAATTCGAACGCATTGAAGATGATGACGATTCACCAGGCCTGAAGGATGGATTCGATTGGTATATGAGCCCATCTGACAAGGCCAAATACGAAGAGATCTACTCTGCCAACCGGGACGGCCGAGGAGACATCACCTGTAAGTTTAAAGATAGGTTCAATACGGAAAGGTTCTAACTCTATTGATCTGCAGTCGAATCTCTCGACTCCCTCTATTCCTCCCTCGATGTTCCGGATACCGATATTCGATCAGCATGGAATCTCATAAACCCATCCGCATCTTCCGCCATCTCCAAAGATGCCACATTAGCCTTCCTACACATTCTCAACAACCGCCATGAAGGATACCGCATACCAAGAACAGTACCACCTTCCTTGCGAGCTAGTTTCGAGCGAAATCAAATCGACTATCAGATTGATAACCAGCGAACATCATCACCAGCTCAACGATGGGGTTCTACAGGCAGCGAGGAAACCAGCACGGGGCGGAAAGCCAAGTTCGGAGATACGTACTTGAGCCGGATGGGAATGGGAGGCAAGTCTAGCTACCGACCAGCTGGAACGGATTTCTCTGCAACCAAGACGACCGAAGATTGGGAAGAAGTAAGACTCAAGAAGCAACTCTCTGAGCTAGAAGCAAAGATTGAGAAGGTGGAAGCTGCATCGGCGAGTCGCTCCGGGGGGAAACGCGATACCAAACCTGCTCTTGTGAAGAGGGAGCTTGAGCAATTGTTGGATTACAAACGACGTGAGCTACGAGATCTGGAATCTGGGGAGGGGAACAGCAAGGTTGGGGCGAGTTTGAAGGGAGTTGCGGATGAGATTGCTACTGTGAAGGAACAGGTTGATGGATTGGAGGCTCATTTGAGGTCTCGTCAGCAGGTGCTAGCAGAGTTGCAGCAGGATATTGAGAATGAAAAGTCTGGTAGATAGACATCTTCGGAATTTAGCATGGTATTTTCCTCCGGCTTGAGTCTGTAATCATCGTCCTTGTGTATTGATTCTTTGATTTGACACTACTACTTCACTCATAGAATCATGCTATTTAAAGCTGAAGCTCGAGGCTACAAAGTCACCAAGTTCATCACGAAGCTAAATCTGGTTGTACTCCCGTAGGGACTATGGACTGTTGCGTTTACTGCATATCTTGATTTGTACTTCTATTGAAGATGATTTTCGGGCATTTTGTTGCAATACAAAGAAACCAAGCAAAACAGACATAAAGATGAACACCATGATTCAAGCTTTACCAGCCAAAACTCCAGCCTCCAACTCGCCTTGAACTCCATTAAATCCATTCAGCCCGGCCAAAGCCGATAAATTCACCCTCGCCTCGCCCTCTCAGACCCCATATGCACCAATTCACTTTCAACCCAACCCCGCACCAACAACATTCACCTATAGAATCCAATAAGCAAAACGCCCTCACCTAAAAAACTCGGTTCCCCATGGCCGAGCGGTAGCCACCAACTACCTAAAAGCACTCTTTGACCGCTGTCGAGCTGGTGGCCGGCACGTCCCTGAGATAGACACCTCTGTGCCTCCCGTCATGACATACTATGGGCGTTGCCTCGAGGTAGTGGATTAGCAGACAAACTACTACGTATTGGATACCGAGGTACCTTGTTACCGACGTTTATAGGGGCAGATGCACAAAACCTGACCTACATTCTCACTTCGGTGAGGGAGGTTGGGCCTAAACTTGCGAACTCCGACAAAAGATTTTTTTTTATTGTTTTTTTATTTTTTGCTGCTTTGGAGTTTGGATATCTAGGTGGTGGAATGTGGGGTCCCTTCTACTCTTTCTACTTATCTTGCTTCAATTGTCTTTTTAAAAATTCTCGACCTCAAATTTGCAATTTTTGGTCTCCTTCGCTTCCAATACTTGCTAAGCGAGGCCTCTCCTCTCTTCTCCAAGGCATTAGCAGCAAATTGTACGTACTGTGCAAAATGCGCATTTCGTCCGTAGTGTCCATTGAGTCCCCACTTCAATATATTTCAAAAGCAAATAGAATCACCTTCTCACTGACCCGTAGTATTCACCTCTGAGCCCCAACACCAACATTTCACCGCTCTCCCCCACCCCCCTCAAACAACCTATCAAATCTTCACTCATAAAGCAAGTGAACCGACCACTCCCAGCTTTTCTCGTCTGGTCTCGAAAACCTATATATACGCTACTTTGTTTAGCCTTCTACATGTGTACTTTTCATACTCTTCATACTTCGATAACAGTCTTGCAGCCTCGGACTTTGTGGATTGCCAAGCAAGCGTATTGTGATGTTTCGCTGCACTCGAATGGAAGGGTAGTCTGTCATTCGCAACGTCGTGCAGGCCTCGTAGCGGTGAAGTAAAAGGGCAGTAATTGGAGATGAGTTGGCAGCAGTGGATAACAAGTGGTGATCAAAAAGAGAGATCTAAATTGGTAGCGAGAAGTGAGAATCACGTACCTGCAGATGTGATGATGCATGATAGACTGTAGGATTGTGGTTTAAATGTAAAAACTAACTTGGTATTCGAAGGATTGGTACAATGGACAATGTCCATGACCTCAAATTGCTGCCCCTCTTGTCTCGAGATGCCGAAATAAAGAAACAAATCAAAAGCATGATAACAACCAATGCTATATAACTCAAAATCTCTCGACCTGGGTCCAATCTACTCCTTCCACCAGCTGACCAAAAAGTGCTTAAAATACGGCATTCAAACATTCATTCCACAACCCCATCCAACCTTGAGAAAATGAATCTGGATGCTGAAAAGCCGCCCCCTGAAAATCCACTCTACACACATCTTTCAGCGACTCCCGAACCCGGCGTGGGAATTCCAAATCCTTGAAGAATCCCGTGATCCTTAGCTGTTGCAACTTCTTCAACTTCCTCATCCTCTGCAGCGTCTGGAGAGTCCGCTCAAACACCCTCTGACACTTCTTCGGATTGCTCACCAGATCGGGGACGCGCTCGTTGCAGAACCGGTCCAGCTCCAGTATTCGGAGGCCTGGAAAATGACAAGTTACGATGTCCAGAATACTGCGGCAGCACCATGAACAATTGTCGCCGTCCATGTTCAATTGCAGATGTCTGATGCAACCGAGATGCTGCGTTGGTATAACTCTGATGAACTGCTCCAGGGAGTGAAATTTCGTTCCACGGTCCGGGTGAGATCGACTAAGTTCATGACAATCCCAATGGCGTCGTTTAGCGGCAGTAGCGACGAACTTGTTGATACGGTAGAAAACCGGTGAGGCGTTGAGATACAGGAATCTGTTGACTCGAAGAAGTGGTGTAACTCCGCGTGTATTCATGCGAGCCCGGAGTTCCTTGCTGTAGGCTCGTGTTGATGGCCTGTGTTGTGTGATACGAATACAGTCATCGGATTCAAAGGCCAATTCGTCTATTAACAGATCAGTATACATCTTTGACAAAGATCTTGAGGCCAAGGCGCTCATGGAGGAGTAAAATCACAACTTCTTCGAAGAGCGCCCCCAAAAATAACATCGAAGAAGTTCCCATCATGAATGCAGACAGGGATTGAATTTGACGTACAGATCATCTCCAGAATTTCTAAAGGCAAGTCAATGAGCAGGTTCTTTCCACCCGGAGCATGCTTAAACAGCCCCGTCATCTGGCCCGTCGTAACTTTTGAAGCTCCGACTGTTTGCGAGAAATTCTCCAACTTCCAGACACGCGTTTTCCCCATGGTGACTCGATGGATTTGAGTTGTGGATTTTGGCTGCGAGATTGTTTAGAGAAGGATATATAAAGGAAGAAATATACAAGGGAATTTGTGGTCCATTTAACAATGTGTAGCCTGGGACTAGCACATGTCGTCAGTGAGGCTCTCATCCGCTGCATATGTTGGTAGCGAGGAAGGGAGCCAAGACTAGCTCCGAGCGGGGTGCCCCGGGATTTGGGGAGCATCTCGAATCCTTCAAAGCTGGCTTCATGAATGGCGGGGAAGTAGCAGGACACCTGGTACTGCATTGAGCACGTTTCGCAGGAATCGTGGCTTTCAACAAAGTCGAGACGAAGAGAAGTGGAAGGCTTGAGCGACGAAGTGTCAAGAGTGCCCTAAAGTATTGTTCGAGGGAGTTCAGGTGCAGGTCGTAGTTACTACCTAAACAATAGAGATTTTTGCGACATATGATGAAGCAGACGCCCAGGTAAAAAAAAGTAGAGTGTCGTGGAGGGCAGAAAGTTTGTAATGAGGCGAAGCATGCTGAAAAGGAAACAGATTTCGCACCACTGGCTCGAATTCGGTCAGATGCTCTTTCGCAAAATAGAGACAGACGAAAGACCTTTTCTCGGCAACTGCTCCCGTCCCTCTTGACATTCCTGCCTTTTCCAAAGCTCGCAGGTACAAACCGAAACCCAGTGACCCACATCTTCATTATTTCCTGTTCCTATTCATCCATGTTCTTGCGACCTGGGAAGAACCTATTTCGCGCCCTTGTCATTAAAATGAGATTGTAACTTGACGAAGTAGAAGGAAATGGTATCTCATTCGCTGCTCATCATCAAAGCTAGAATTCCCTCTAATCATACAACATGATACGCACCGAAGCACCCAAACCCATGCTAGTATTTCTTCGCAACGCAATTTCCTGAGCCATCTGCCCTCAGCTGATAAAGCATAAACACCCCAATCCTAGATAGAAGACGAAGAGCGGGTATACTGCGATACCCACTCTATTCTTGACGACTCCGCTGCCGCCTAGAATACTAACTCCCGCTGCTAGTGACCATAAGATCAAGAATAGGTAGACCGGTACTCTCGCCACAGTCGGGAGATGGAAAACCGAGAGCAGGGACGCAATAACCAGCGGAAATAGCGTATACCCAATAATGCACACGCTCTGAGCAAAAGATCTATCCTTATTAGCAATCCCTTCTTTCATCTATCAGCCACTCATCAGAACAGGGCACTCACATATTCCCACCCAACAACTTAATCTGCATCGTAACCACCGCCTCCCCAATCCAGACCATCGCAAAAACTCCACTAAACACCAAACTCTTCTGCTCCCGATCCGCACTAAAACTCAAAAACAAACTCAACAACAAACAAAACACCAACGGGCCCCAAAGATCCCAATCCCGTAGTCCCTCACTCATATTCCCCTGCGCCAGCAACGCCTCCGGATCCAGCGCCCTGCCCGCAAGACCCACCAGCTCGTCTCGCGCCCCAGAAATGCCTGCGCCGCGGATGTTCTCGTAGGCGCCCCGGAAGGACGTCGTGTTCTCGAGCATGGAGCCGCCGAACAGGTATTTCGGGTACAGCACCTCGCGCATCTTGGACCAGACAGCTAACAGATCGCGACGGAGCGTGTCCCAGACCGATTCGTCGATCGTGTTGGTGGGCGCGCGGCGGTCTTCGCCGGGGATGCGGGAGGTCAGGTAATTTTCGTTGAGCGGGCGGGAGGAGTTTGTTGTTATGTTGCCGGTTAGGGGAGCGCGGGAGGAGGATTGGAGGGGGTCATCGAGGTCGTCGAGGTTTGCTGGGGAGGGCAGGTATGTTAGTAGGTATACTTGGGAAGTGTGAGGATAGGTAGGTGAGGAGGATTGTACCATCATCTGGATCGATCAGGTCATCTTCGTCTTCGACTTCTGGGGAGTTGTAATGCTCGTAGGGATTTGAAGAGGAAGCCATCTTGATGGCACCTTTCTCTCTCCGTTCGATAGGTTTGTTGGAAGGTAGATCCCCTCGTTGTCGACGACTTTGGAAGCTATTGTCGATGTCGCTCGAAATGCCACATAACTGGAGCTCTTGCGCGTTCAAGCTAATCAAATTAGGTTTGGCTCCCGAGGCCAGCTTTCAGTCACGTGTTAGGCAGAAAGTTCACTGCTTGGGAAGAAGCAGGTAGCAAAATTTGGGTCCACAAAGTCATCGCAATAGCATTTGGTATAATTCGTTAATCGTACAATATGGCAGATATTGCAGCCCAATCAGAATTTTTGAGATTCTTCTCCCACAGATTTCCTCCAGCGCCAAAACAACAGGATCATTAAATAGTTTTTATAGAAATATCCAGCCCTCACATCAATATCAATACCATAGATATCGATTTCCTCCGAAGCCTTCACTGGGCCCTTGATGACTTTGGTGCTGATCGGGTGGATTGACAGGAGTCCAATCAGTTTGAGCCTCCTGCGAAGGATGTGCACCGCTTAGCATATCTGCTTGAGTTTGAGGCTGGAATGAGAACGCAAATTGGTGTCCCTGTGGAGCTTGACCCATCTGATCAGGACGATCTAATTGCATCGGACCAGAACCAAATCCATTTTGACTTCTGAGGAGCTCTTCCTGCCTACCGTGCTGGTAAGGCACTGTATTACCATCTCCAGGCTCGTTTGTCTTCTGTCCCATGCGGCTCCATCTCTGCACAGCTTGATTTTCAGGCGGCGCAAAACCTGGGGTCGGTTGAGCGTAAGGATCCCATACTGGTAAGCCACCTGGAGGTTGAGCCTCTCCGTAGGGATTTCCGCGACCGTAGGACGCAATGTTCCCATTGATGCCGACCAGTGACCATGCGAATACAGCCACCTCGCGAATCGAGTTCATGAATTCGTCTTGAGGCGGTCCGCCAGCGGGTAGCTGAGGTGCTTGCAGACCGTGCTGAAAAGGAACCTGGTGATCTGGATGATACAGCTGGGGTCGAATCGGATTTGCACCCCAAGGAGCCGCGAATAACCCATTAGCATACTGTGGAACTTGAGGTGGTGGTTGAAGAGTGGGTATAAGAGGACGAGCTCGACGCAAGACAACCACCAAGCCATCCGAAGTGCATGACACAACGGCCTCTATCTCGTATGGCTCATTGGCGGGCTGGGGCGAACGTGTAGGGGCTCTTCTTCGGCGAGCTTCAGGGGATAGGACAATGAGAGACGATGTTGAGGAAGTTGGACCTCCTGCTCGATCGAATATGGCATTAGATGCGTCATGTTCAAGATCCGTACTCTCACCTGAAGATGTACGGGAATTTTGAGATCTTTGTTGGCTCACAGGGCTTTCGTGCTGCATCGAAGGCGAGACATGAGCAGCAGATTCAGGATCTAGATCCATGGGGACGTTGAGATCGACACCTCCATCTTCGGAATCACTACTCTGGCTAGCATCGTGCATTTCCTGCTGGAAATCTTCTTCTCGTCGAGGATCTCGGTACCAGAAGCGCAGGTAGGCGATCGAATCGTTGGCTTTAGCACTTTCCAAGCATCGAATAGCCTCAGGAAGACAGTTCTCTTGCATACACTCGTAGAAACTCTTATCCTTGAACTGGTCGGGAGTGACTCCAAGAATGCTCTGTACAGCATCAGTAGCATACATCACAGTCAGTGTGCGCGTGAAACGGTTCAAGATCAGGGCAGCGCGAGGTTCGAGAAGAGATGCTTGTGGTGAAGTACGGAACTTGGACGAAAGATGTTCCAACATGTGGTATCGAGGGTCTCTTGGAGATGATGCGAACAAGCGTCGAATCGCTGGGGCTTCGATTGCGCGTCCTAAGTATCGTCAACACCCTGACTTGGGGATCAACTTGGAGGAACTCACTCTCGTTCTTCGCATCGCCCTTGTAGATGCTAGTGCAAGCAACTAAGACCTCATAGACGATTGTGAAGACACATTCGCAGCCCACCCACTCTCCTTGGCGATTGATGATTCTTGCATAGTGAAGAACAGCAGCCTTATCCATCTGTACGCCGCGACTATGAACAACTCGAGCAATAGGGACCTCGTCGGGATGGAAGTAGTCAAAGCATGACTTTCCAACGACTTCCTCAGGTTGAAATCCCAGAATGTCAACAATAGACTCAGAAGCGTAGAGGATATTAGCCTCGGGGCCCAGGTCTGCAATAGTCATCAGTTCGAAATGCTCAGAGTAGAGTTAGTGATTTCGGAAGGTGCTTACTGTGAATGGTCATAAATGTAGTCTCCATTGTAAGGAAGCTGGCGTTTGTATCTCTAACAAGATGCTCAGTCCTTCAGGTAGACGGAAAGTCGAAGCTTAAGCTTCGATCGCAAGTGTAGTATCGTCAGTGACCCCAGAATCACTGTCGACTACAATCAAAAATGGATTATGACTATGATGTTGGAGGAGGGGTCGTGGAGTTTAAAGATAATGAAGTGTGACTAGCTCCGGTTGTGTAATGTCGAAGCCGGTTACAGTAGGACGTCTGTAAGTAGACTGGGGGATCGGCGATTGAGACCTCAAGGGCAGGGGATATGCCTGGAAGCTGCCGACTGCGAGGAGCTCGGTGTGCCGTGTGGCTTCCCGAGAGACTTCCAACCGTTTTTTATATGTCTGGCTTATTCGCGGCCTTCTCCTCCGTAAACTTTGCGCTGCTCGATGTGGAGGTTTAGTGACAGCCCTGTCGAATCTGATATCACCTTGGGATGGGGCCGCTGGGGTTGAGGCTGGTTTAGGGATTGCTTGCGAACGAGGAGCGGGGGGGCCCTCGCAGTTCCAATCTCCTTCGACTCAGAGGCTGGTGAACGGTGACAGCGGAAGCAAGCCTTGTCCTTCCCTGTCAACCCGAAGGACTGAGGGGAGATGGCGTCCAGGGTGACGGACAGCAATGGCCAGGGTCCCTCAGCTGCGGGTAACCATTGGTATGATCGTGCAGGGCGTTGTTTGCATCTCTCTGCATCGAGGCCCGAGTGGCTCGTGGGTTTTTCGCGGAGCCGGTGGCAGGAAGGATCACCAAGGGAGGAGATGGGATGGGATGAGATGAGAGGCGGAGATGAAGATGGATGGCGAAGGCGGAAGAGGATGAGGTTGATGTTGAGATCAACGGCAGAATTCATAATGTACTCGTAGTAGTGTTGCGCCTTCGTCCCTTCCCTTCCCTTCCCTTCCGGCTCAGGCCTAAAAGTGCCTTGCGCAAGCTTTCCGTTTGCATTGAATTACCTACAGTAGTTCCTTACCTAGGCTATGCACATAGAACTCTACAGTAACTTCGAGTAGAGCGGCCAGCCACTGTCGATCACCCAATACTGGTAGGAAACCGGATTCCATATACCGCCTCAAGATACAAATATAAACATCCTTTCTTATTTATTTGCTTTCTCTGCCTTTGGCAAAGTATAATGTCTCTCTATGGTTAGGGCAATGGAGTGAGACAGATGTCCCGCCCTGTCAACGCCGAACAACCGAACCCGTCTTCGCAAGCGCGTACGGCTCGATGAAGCAGCAGCAGCATTGGTACAGGTAGGTAGGGCATGAAAAGGGAAGTCGAGTGCAGATCTACAAGTACGTCCAACAGCTGCTGCTATCCGTCTGTTCCTTCGTCCTCAGTATCTCCAGACGACGTCCAAGGTTTCCCTTCCTGCCAGTACACGGCACACGACCCGTTTCGTTACGTCGACCCGGTTACTGGGAAATGTTGGAATCGAATCGCATCCCGGCTGAAGTCTGTGGGCACTGGGCAGTGATTGATTGCATCGTCACATTGAGCAATGCGGTGGCTTGAAATCCTTCATCGGTACCGAAGACTCAACATAACCTGACTCGAACATGGCGCTGGAACTTTGGAAACGGTTAGGTGCATCGTGCAACGGTGGTATCGCATTGAATGTGCAAGCTGAAGCACGTTCTGGATTCGGCAGCAGATTGATTGTCTTTGGCAGGAGATACGAGAAGGGAGGGAGCCACCAACTGTGACCTCTGGTCCCCTCGTCGAGCATCCCGAGCATCTCGAGCATCACAGACAGGTCTCCCGAAGCTAGAATGAGTGTTGGAGATCTGCAGCTTGGCTTGATGTTGGAACGGAATCAGCGGATACTCGAGTACTGGGTGGCAAGCAATAAGTTTCCTCTCAAAGGCCTCATCCTGAGCCCTCAGCCTGTCACTCCACTGCCTGACACCATAGACAGATCAAAGATGCAGAGCACTGTGCAACTGTGCAGCGCAGCCCTCTACGAAGTAATGTATTCTGACGCACGTCCCTGATATCACCCCTGGCTGGCTCACTGATTGTGGGGTTGGACGGCGACGGCGCACTGTGATGAATCTGGTCGGGTACCAAGACTTGTTGACGCCGCTGTCACAACTTTGTGCAGCGCTCAGAACATGCCGCAGCAACTGGCCGCCGTTCTAACGCAAACCATCTTTCGGCCCAATAGATAAACTCTAATAAAGTAAAGTGCGACCAGGAGAAATTTTCCGTGATCAGTAATCAGAAAATGTGACGTGAAATGCTGACTGAGCAAAAAGAAACTACTGTAGACGTAATTTGGAATCAAACACAGAGATACCTTGAGTTGAGTTGAGTTGTGGTGGCAAACACTCGCCGAGTCTCGACTTCAAAAAGGGCTTCAAGTCAACCGAGCACGGTGGAGAGCCCCCACGGCAAACACAGCATTTAATATTGCAAGAACCTGCAGAAATAGCCTTGTTACTGGTAGAGGATACGAATTTCCTGCAATAGTTAGGACAATGGTAAATTCAAAAAGTGGTATTTTCTTCTCGGTTATGGCTTCCCATTGTCTCGCTATTCTCCAGGGGACAATAGCAAGAGTTGGATTTAGCGAAGCGAGATTTTATCATACCAAAACCCATACATACCTATGCTCATTCAACGAATTCATTTCTCCTGCTCTTCGTAACTTCGTCCACCATTTGCAATCACCAACACAATTCTGCTCCCTTCCACGACATCCCATCTTCGAGGCCGTGTGTCAATCAGAAAGCCCGCTGTATGATGCCCGCCTGCAACGTTACCAATTCCACCGACTCGGTATGTTTCATTTTTATGCGCGGAAGACTGCATCTTGCCCTCCCGAGTGCCCCCAACCTTTGCTTTTCTTTTTCTGCTGCTTTGCATCGAATGGTGGACCTTCATCATTCAACGGCCCCCAATAGAGTTGCATCAAGGATGCAACGCTCTTGTGTTCCGCAATGAAGATCAGTGGACATCAGCTGACCGGAATTTATCCCAGCATACTCAGCATTCTCGGTAGACTCAGGGGTTGAGCCTTGACAGACGACTGGCAATTTGGAGCTTCGACTGTAGTTCTATCACTATTTGTCAGGGTCTGAGTAGACCTGCCGTCACCCGTGGATCGACAAGATCTCACGCTGATCATCTCTGGGATTTACATTAAAGCGTAGCCATTTTACGACTTTCAGCCTCAAGTTCTCTAACAGCCAATCGTCCCCTTGGCCTATCAACCCGCCGCAAAAGCAAGCAAACATGACCACCAAAGACGATGACCGCGAGTGGGAGCTTCCACGTCTCCGAGAATCTCATCAAATGCCGGTATGTACCAAGACCCTATCCAGGGCAATCCTTGTGTAACATCACTCACTCTACGGGGACGGTTCCTAATGGTTGTTATATTTAGGGAGTTGGTGGTGGTATGTATGTCCCCAGCAAGAACCAGCCGATGAGTTAACTCTTGTGCAGATTTCTGGTCTGTCAAATTCTATCCATACACCGAGCCTGGGGTCGACCCTGTCTTTGCCGTTGTAGGAGGCAAACGTGTAAGTCTTCCGTTCCAAACCCCGAAGCATTGCAGATGCTGACGTGGGTTGAGATACTGGTGTGCCGCCCTCCAACAGGAAAAGAAACATCTTCGAAGGTTGAGATCATACGATTGATCATCGACGAAGAGGTGAGTGACTTTCCATCCAACGGCAGAGCTTGATCAGCTGATTGTCCGCAGTCCGATCCTCTGACAGATTCTGGCGGCTCAAACCATTTTGCATGTGCATGGAGTAAGGACCGGGAGACTGGTGATCCTTTGCTGTGTGTTGCTGGTTCTACTGCCAAGATCAAGGTTATCAATGTTATAACTGGCGAATGCTTAAGAGTAAGGTATCATCCGTGACGAATAAGTAGACATTTGCTAACTGATGGCAATAGGTTCTAGCAGGACATGGAGGAGTAATACATCTTAACTCTTCGATACCACTATACTAAATCATCCTAGGAAATCAATGATCTCGCTGTCTCACCTACCGATCCTTACATCTTAGCAACAGGATCAGATGATTGTACCGTGAGAATATGGAGTTTAGATCCAGCTCATGAAGCCCAGCCATGTTGTGCCATCTTGGAGGGAGAAGGTCACAAAGAAACAATATTGAGCGTAGTAAGTTTGGAACGAGAGATCAATAGTTTCTACATGCTAACCTTTGCCAGTCTTTCCACAAAAGTGGTAGATACCTCCTCTCAGGCGGTGTTGATCACATCATTAATATGGTATGTAAACGAGTCTTTCACAGCCTCCCGAAATTCTAAACAGAAACAGTGGACACTCCCAGAACTTCCAGACATAAACACCGGTACCAATCGAACAACACGAATCTTCTACCCTCACTTCTCCACCTCAGAAATCCACACGAACATCATCGACTGCGTAGCCTGGCACAACGACCTCATCCTCTCCAAAGCCGCACGCGACCACTCCATCGTCCTCTGGTCCATCGCCAACTTCGACTCGACCCTCCCACCACCCCTCCCATCCGCAGCACCCATCCACGACCCCTCAAAAGACACCCGCTCAGCATTCCACTCCAGCACCACCCCAACCGCGCTCTACACCCGGCATCTGCAGTTCTCCATCCCGGACTCCGACATCATCTTCATGCGCTTCTCGCTCTTCCCGGGCTACACCGCAGCACCCAACCCTTCTACCAAATCATCCGTCCCCAGCAGCAACCCCGTCCTCGCCTTCTGCAACGAGAACTCCAAAGTCTTCTTCTGGGACCTCGCCCGCCTGGAAAATTACCACGACACCGTCTCCGCCTGCTCTCCCGAGCCCTTCGTGCCGAGCAGCAAACACCCGTTCCTGCAGCCGTTCCGGCGCCGCAACCGCGGCGGCGGGGCCATTGGGCGGATTACCAGGGAGAGGACGCCGAGTCCGACGGAATCGTCGTCGTCGCAGGTCACGGGCACGGGCACGGGCACGGGCACAGGGTCGGATGGGCATGAGTCGAGCCAGGAGGGTAGAGGTAGGGAGAGAGAAAAGGAGAAAGACAAAGAGTCGAGCCAGGAAGGTAGAGGTAGGGAAAAGGATAAGGAGAAAGAGAGTAAAGAGGGGAAGGGCAAGATTGATTGGGAGAAGAGCCGGGCAGGGTGGGTGGGTAGGTATGATGCGGGAGATCCGTTGAGGGAGTTACAGGCGCATCATACGGAAGTTGTCAGGGGATTGGCGTTCACGGGACGGCAGGTGGCGTGGAGTGGGGATGGGCGGTGGTGTGTTGTTGTTGGGAGTGGAGGGGTCATTGCTTGTTTTCAGCGGTGGAAGGATTGACGGGAGTGAGTGTCAGTCAACATCACCATTTTAGTGGCCATTTTTGATTGAGTTGTTCAATAAGTCCAAGGGAGGGAGATAGAGATAGAGAAAAAGTCCAATGCTATATGATGACTATTGAAAACAGGTACAGTATAACATGGCTAAACGAGACCCCCAATGGAAATCATCCGTGCCTTGCCTAGCCCCGCTCCTATAATACAAAGACGCCTCTCTTCTCATCGATTGCTTGCTTCTCTGACCGCCAACTGTCTAATCGACCTTGCCGTTCATGTTCCCTCCCAACAAGCCATCCTTCTCATCGAGTCTAAAGAAACCACCTCTGCTTCTCCTCACGCGTTTCCGCCAGTAGATGGCCATTCCTAGCACAATACCAATGATGCCCCCTATCGAGAGGTAAGGATGGCTTGAGATGGTACTTCTGATATCGAAGAAGAATTTCTCGAAATTGCCGATGGTGGATTTGGGCTTGATCTTTGGGGGCGACATCACGACTTTAGGGATCGTTTCGAGGATGGATGTACGGGAGGCCATGATGTAGTTCCCGGTGATGGTGTTGTCCCAATATCTTCGGTTCTGATGAGAGTTAGTATTATGTTAGTAAGATGAGTGAGTTGAAGACTTACATCTTCATCGTTAATGATGACCCGTTCACCGTCCTTACCGACTTCGATCCCATACGTGGTTCTGATCCATCGCTCCCAGAATACACCATCCACCCAAGCGAATCCGACTTCCTTCTGTTCGGACTTGTCCATATTGATGCGGATGCTCTTGGCAGCTCGTAAAGCTCGCTGATCGTTACGATCCTCCGCTTCTTCAATTCGCAATTGCTTTGCATCCCTCAGTTCCTGCCTTTCACGTTGGAAGTTCAATGTCTGCTTGTCCATCCATTCCAAAGCTGCACTCTTGATTTCCTTCTTGGCCATCAGGAATTCATCAGTGTGTTCTCGGGAAAGCACAGCCAGTACGACTAATTTTCCGTCCATAATCTCTCGGGAGTTCGAAGCGGTAAGTTCTGGAACGATTGGTAGCCAAACTGATTGCATCCAATGAAGAACCTGTCTGAAGTCTCTCATATCTTGGGGTGCAAGAGCAGTATAGTATGTAGGACGACCATCTCGTGACACTAGGAGCCTAGGCCAGGTGGTGATCTTGAAGCGTTCGGCAAGAGCAGCACTGTTAGTCTTGACCAGTTTCGCATGTCCAATCAAGCTCAAAGTCAGTCGTTCCAAAGCAGCGAAGTCCTCGCTGGTCGTGGCATGGTCATAGAAATAGACGAAGATTACTTCTTCCCTCTCTTCCAATTCCTTGAACTCAGCAGCATCAATATCCTTGACACCGTCTCCAAGGTCGATCGCCTTATTCGCATACGAAACGAAATCACCCAATCCTCTGAGACCGTCATATTCAACACGCTCTCCTCCACGGAAGAAGAGGATTGTTGGATATCCTCGGAGGCGAACATCTTTGCAAAGTCTGGTCTCAACATCACAATTGACCTCTCCAATATTCAGCCTTCCCTTCATTTCCTTTGCCAATTGAACCCAATTTGGTGCCAAAGCTTGGCAGTGGTGACACCACGGAGCGTAAAACTTGATAAACCACGGATCTTGTGTCATTGTGACCTGTGTTTGGAAGCTTTCCGCGGTGAAAGAGATAGACTTTCCGAGAGGATTGGGGGTAGCGACTGGTTTGGCAGCTTTCGTTTTCTTGGGCTTGTTCTTCACAGGTGTGGCCTTCAAGACGCTGCTGCCAGTCTTCGATTCCTTGGTGTCCTTGCTGACTGATGGTGTCAACTCCGTATCCTTGACCGGTGTATCAGGTTTCTTTGATGCTGAATCAGGTGCCTCTTCCACGGCGTTGTAATCCTTGCTGTGAGAATCACCCGTAGCTGGTAACTCGGGACCACCAGGAGTTCTAGATCCAGGTCGGATCGTTTCCAACGAGTCTTCCACAAACTTGCTGAGTCCTGCCATGTCCTTGGTTCCTTCGAATCTCTTTACTTCTTCGCCATCTTTATACAGGATGAAAGTTGGGAAAGCGCCGACACTGTGAGCGGTGCAAGCTGATCCAAAAGCAACACAATCCAAGTTCCCGAAGTGGTAATTATAGTATGCGGTAAAAGTGTTCATAGAAGTAGAAGAGCTGTCCACCGTCGAGCCAGCTGGAACAGGTTTCGAGGTATAGTAGAATTCGTAAAGAGTCTGCCATGTTGGCGCTACATGCAAACAATGCGGACAGTACGGTCTGTAGATGGTCAGCATGAATCTGGCAGATGTACTTCCACCCGCGCATGCCCGGACACTTACGAGTGATGCTTCACAAACCAATATCCATCTTTCACTGTGGTGTTAAACTTCTCCCCATCAATGTCTACTAACGGCGGTACTGCAATGCCATTGAATACTGTCGGGTCTGGTCCGTCAGCAGTCTCCTCTGTGATCTCCCCAGGTATTTCTGTCGCTCCCAATCTCTCTTCAGAATCTGCTATCGCTACAGATGCGAAAAGCGCGCAAATGAGGGACACTGGGAGGAGACGCATAGTGATGAGATTGCTTCGATCTCCTGAAGGTCGGAAGGAAGTGGAGCGGCGAGACCGCGGTGGGCCTGACCGAGGGCGAAAAAAGCGGTCGTGTGCACTCGAGCCTTTGCACGATTATCGTATCTAGGCAAATTATTGTCCTTGCCGTCAAAATATCCCTAGGAGCGAGTGAATGGTGGTCGGGGGTTCGTCAGCGATTCTTTATCATCTTCTAACACATCTCCATCTCCAAATATGGAACGGGCACTAGCAGGGATCGCTTCCTCCACCCGCTGAATTACCTGCACGTGATCTAGGCATTAACTCTTCAACTCCTTTACTCCTTTTGATGAAGATCAAGTCAGTCTCAGGAGGTCGAACATTTACTGCGATTAGGGCGAATTTGAAGACGCATAAAATAACCAGGCAGTTTTCGGAATCCCGCAGGATGGAAGACTCAGAAGAGAGGTCGCGAAAGAGACCGCGTCTCAGCAACGATGAAGATGTCACAACAAGCCCAAGTACTTTACCAAGGACTCTTACAAGCGCAATATCCCCTCCTCCACTTCGTCGAAATCGAAAAGTGGAGATCCCAGAATCAAAAGTACTGAAATCGCCATTCCAACTGACATGGATCCGAGACCTACCGGAGTCTTCAAATGTTGACGCTGTCTCATTGAAAGATATTCTAGGAGACCCAATGATTGCAGAATGCTGGGAATTCAACTATCTGCATAATTTGGACTTCCTTATGGATGCTTTCGATACCGATGTCCGGGATCTTGTGAAAGTGCACGTCGTTCATGGGTTTTGGAAATCAGAAGATCCACAGCGGCAGAGAATAAAGGTATGGAAGCTTGCTTAATTGTCCTACATCCTTTCTACTAGATCTGTGTTCCCTTTGATTTCTTGCTTTCCTGCTTGATGTTACATGGCTAGGCTACCATGTTGTCTCATGGTTCACTGTTCCTAATTACATGTTTATTTTGCGCTCCTACTTCTTAAGTAAGATATGTTTAAAGAGCTACTTCCAAAAGGACCCCCAACCAATTAAGCCTTTTCACCACTCTGTACTAACACAGCACAGTTGCAAGCGGAGAAATACCCCAATGTCTCTCTACATACCGCCTATATGCCGGAGATGTTTGGCACTCACCACACCAAAGTGAGTTTCTGTGACTGCATTGAGATGCTCTTGCTAATTACATGTAGATGTTGATGCTTCTACGGCATGATGATACTGCACAAGTCATTATCCACACGGCAAATATGATTGAATTTGATTGGACAAACATGGCTCAGGCTCTTTGGAAGTCTCCGTTATTGCCAAAAATGTCCAGTGATGCTTCTGAGCCACCAGAATCGCCTCCCATGGGTAGTGGAGAAAAGTTCAAGTTGGATTTTCTGAATTATCTCAGAGCTTACGACGGGAAGCGGACCATTTGCAAACCTATCATCGAGAAGCTTTTACAATACGACTTCTCAGAAATTCGTGCGGCTCTTGTCGGAAGTGTTCCTGGGAAGCAGGGTATAGAGACAGATTCCAAGACTTTGTGGGGATGGGCTGGCTTGAAAGAAGCTCTCAAATCGGTGCCAGTAACAGAACCTGAAACCGAGCCAGAGATTGTTGCTCAGATTTCTTCGATCGCAACACTTGGTCCCAACGATAAATGGCTAGACAAAACTTTGTTCAAGGCATTGAGCACGTCGAAAAATGTTATCTCGTCTAAGCCGAGTTTCAAGGTCATATTTCCTACGGCAGATGAAATCCGAAGAAGCTTGAATGGATATGCTTCGGGCTCCGCAATTCACACAAAGATCCAGTCTGCTCAGCAACAAAAACAGCTTCAATATTTGAAGCCGTTATTCTGTCATTGGGCTGGCGATGGGGGTTCGACTCCTCCGCCAACACATGACGCGGGTAGGAAACGGGCAGCTCCGCATATCAAGACTTATACAAGGTTCACCGACTCAACTCGAACTGCTATCGATGTAAGTTCACTTTCTTAGTCTCCCGCTTTTGCCTTGAGTTACTTCCGAATCACACCCTGTGCTACAGGAATGGGAACGAAGAGCACTAACAAAGTTATAGTGGATGCTAGTCACGTCAGCTAACTTATCAAAGCAGGCCTGGGGTGAAGCAACGAATAGTGCAGGTGACATTCGAATCTGTAGTTATGAATTGGGAGTCCTTGTGTGGCCTGCACTGTTCGGAGAGAAATCTACTATGGTGCCAACATTCAAAAGCGATACACCTACAGTAGATGCTGAAAATTCAGGAACGGAACTGATAGTCGGAGCTCGCATGCCTTACGATTTTCCTCTAGTACCGTATGGGAAGGATGATGAACCGTGGTGCGCTACCGCCTCTTACACGGAGCCGGATTGGAAAGGAGAAACATGGAAGGTAGAGTGATGTATAGCATCGGGACTGGAGTCTGGAAGGGCAGGGCGATCATTACTTTGCTGCATAACAAGCAGAAGGAATCTGCTCTCACTGTACTCGCATAAGATACCACAGCATTCACAGAATCATCGTTGAATTGATTGATTAGGCCAGTATGCATGCACGCATCTCCATATCTGCATCCCATCCCATCCCAATTTACCAACATGTGCTATGTTCCATCTGCCAATCATCATATGTGCTCCTCAACCGTCATCATCATCCATTCCTCGTGCTATGAGAGCATTTATTTGGCACCAACGGCCTCGGGGACCTTGTTCGCATCATATCCGTGCTTCTCCTTCAACTTCTCGACCAGCTCGACGTATTGGGCCTTGGCTTCGTCGGAGGTGAGTCCCTTATCAACGTATGATTGCCAGGACTTCTTCTTGGCTTTGCCCTGTTTGTAGCGTATCAGCATTTTCTTCCTCGTGTCTCCTGGTTCAAGCTCCAAGAGAAAGTAAACGACGAACCTTGAAGTCGAAAGTTCCCGGGTTCTCGGCCTTGGAGATGTCCTCGCCTAGAGCTACCTTGTAGAGTCCTGTGGTTCTTCTTGTCAATCTATTGTTCCGACGTGGATTTGAGAGGTAGACACGAACCATAGAGCGCCAGCAAATCATCATTGTCGGGCTTGGAGGTCAACTTCTTTGAGTCCGCGACTGCGGTATCGAAATCGGACATCTTGATTGAGAGTCGGGGATTTGTTGAGGTGTGTTGAGAGGTTCTCTATTCCTCGCAGAGTGTTCGTTAGCTGACGAATCTGTACTTGCAGGTGTGGAGAAGATAGTTGTAGAGAGAGAGAGTGAAGTTTATAGGAACTTACGAGGTTGGAGGTTGACGTACAAATACGTTTGTTGACCGCTGTGTGATGCAATAGGAACTCGATGTCTGACAGCGAGCGGAGCGAGGAGTGAGCGCAGGATGGCGGGGCGAAGCTTGCGAAGCGGGGCAGTGCTTGGCAGGCGAGGGTCACGTTCTGGGTTTCCGCATTGAAATATTACTCTATTATTTCATGCAGCCTCTCAATCTCTCGCGTTGGATATAAAAGGGAATGTTTCATGTTTCATCTTCTATAGCAGGATTGTGGTCATTGCGCGTGCCTAGAGGTGGTGAATGGCGTGGTACCTTGCGGCATTGGATCGTTTGACTTGCAGCTGTGGTTTTCGGGATTCGTTGAGAGTTCAACGGTCAGCCACGAGTCGGATGAGAGCCGAATGGATGGCAAGTGTGTTTTGGACTGCATTTCAAGGTCGGCTGAAGGTTTAGGTCACCAATGTGGCTTCACAAAATCCGCCTTGACCTCCATCTCTCTTAATTGAGAGGCTTTTGGACATTCACAGCTTAGGTTATGTGTTGTCATGTTGTCACTTGAGACATCATTCCAGGTCATAGCAAGTTACCATCATCTATCGTTGTTAAAATCTATTCATCTATTCATCTATTCATTTGCGCGCTGATCTACGAATGTCCGCTTCAATCAATAACAGCGACTCTCAAAAGTCCCAGAACAACCGAAAACTCATTTCCCTGCCTTCAGAGCAGCAAGCTCATCGATGTTGGCGGCTACTACACTGATAGGATCAAAGGAAGCCATCTCAGCTTCCATTTCCTTCGCTCTCTTGCGATACTTGGGATTCTTAATGATTTGATCGACAGCCTCAGAAATCTGCTCCTGAGTTGGCTGTCCGGTCTTAAGATTGATACCCATCCCAGACCATTCGACTCTTGCACATACCTCCGGCTTGTCCTCGCCAGCGCCACCGCAGATGATTGGGACACCATTGGCGATGGCATGTTGGAAGGCACCATAACCACCATTGGTGAGGAAGACGGAGCAGCGTGGAAGAAGTTCGTCGAAGGGAATGTAGTCTGCAACTCGTGCGTTTTCTGGGACGAAGGTTCCCTCTGGGAATTTCTCTCCCTTAATACCAAGAGCGACGACCACGATGGTGTTTGGGCGGTCCTTGAGGGCAGCCATAGCGGGAATGATGAGGTCGCTATAGTTAAGAGCGATGGTCCCTTGACAAATAAAGACAATGTCCTTGTCTCCAGCAGTGATTTCTTTCCAGAAGCTCGGGAATTCGGTCATTGGATCCCTAGAACCTTTTGGTAGACCGCCAGTGAAGCGAATGGTGTCTGGCGCATCGCTTCTTGGGTATTCGGCGGATGGTGTGCACATTTGCAGGAAGCGATCTTGAAGGTAAAACGGCGCGTCGAACATGGGTAATTCTGGAATCGTAGCTCCTACTTCTACGAACATTTCCTTCCATACTCGTTCTGGTTTTCCGAAGAACAGCTCTGCAATTTGCTTTGACATTGCGGCATACTTTGCCCGCCCTTCAAGCGAGCTGTCTGGTGGGAGTCCTGGACCAAAGGGTGCTGTGTCGCAAGAGCTGAGTGACATTGGGATCACACCTATCCCCATCGTCGCTGTAGGCTTGATTCCAGCACCAAGGTTGACTGGGAGTGAGCCTTGGAAGACACTTTCGCTGAGTTGAACGATAGGTCTGCCAGGATGTCTTTCCATGTTCATCTTGATGGCTTTCTGCATAGCTTCGTGCTGGGTGGGAATGGGTCGGACGAAACAGTGTTCAATATCATAAGAGAGTTGAACTGGTCCAGGTGGAAGAGTGTTCCTTTCTGCGAATCTTGTGTTCAGTTCGGCCTCGTACCAATCTCCATATCCCTCGATGGCAACATAGTGGCATCCCACTTCTTCGACGAGCTTTTGGTAGTGACTGCAAGAGACGAAGGTAACTTCGTAGCCTCGTTGAACCAAGAGCTTCGCCATAGCCCGGATAGGCATGAGATGTCCGTAGACTGGCGTGCAGCCAATGATGACGAGAGGTTTTGTTGGGTCCATTGTTGATGTAGAGAAAAGAAAGATTGAAGATCCTTCACGTCTAGTCTGAATATCTGGAAGGGTGCGCAAACAAGACTTACTGTCGTCGTGGGATTCACCCGCACTTTATATGGGAGGAGGGATCTGAGTCCCACTATCCCATGTAGCTCAACGGGTGCTGAATAAACAATTGGATCTTGAAGCTTGTTCAGGGATCTACGTTCAGCTCTTCTTCCTATATTTGATTCAGACGATCGATTGTCCCCTGCTGTCGAATTTTGTCCCAATCATATGAAAAAGAAAGAAGGGGTTGCCGTTATTGTCCATAGAGTAAGACTTTAACGCCTTCTGAAAAGTGCTAGCGATGAGCTACTTCGCACGTACATGCTGGTTTCATGCTAGCTTTGACAGATGTGGGTAATGTCCCGGCGAGTGGTGAACAGCGAGCTTATCATACAGTAGTAGGACGGCGGTCGTACCGCCCCCCAGTAAGGCTGAGAATCCGTCGTCCCAAGTTGGGACGTCTAAGTCGCTTCTGTCAGGGGTTGAGATGTTGCGCCGCAACCACTGAGAGTAAGCTGACGGCCGCTAATGGGAAAATGAATCTCGGGGTTTGATCGAGGGCCATTTGAGGCTTTCTTTGCCCTGGTTTGGCATCGTGAGTGAGAATTTCAATCTTGAAAAGATTGACGTGAAATTCTGGGTCTAAGGGCGGTAGTAGTAGTAGCAGCGTCTGGACTTAAGGCTGACTAATATTTAACGCTCGTAAATTTCGCCAAATCAGGTTTCGTTGTGATCGACCTAATTTTGACAAGATGTTGGTTTGCGGCGCTGTTTCCTAGCGGAAGGGACACCGTATCAAGCCTAACAATGCTTAGTCCACGCCTGAAAAATGGTCGCAGCCCTCGAGTTTCAACACTTCAGAGCTTTTCAAATGTCAAAGACGTCCTTTCCATCTGCTGGCGCGTAATGAAAACTCAAGCAAGTGCACACTCGATATGGCCACGCGCATGCATGACTCCACTCCTCCTCATGAGTCGATCATGGCTCAACGAGAGGGCAATATTTGATGAAATACTGTGTGAGGGTTCTGCATATTCCGGCCCCCGAAGATGCTGGAGCTGTGCATGTGCAGAAGCTATTGGTCGAGCCGGTACGAGATCTTACTCCATGGCGGGATTGTTTGACCTTGATTTGAATTCGATGCTTTGCCATGGGAAACGAATCGAAAGCCATCTTGCAATGTTGATTGATCTTGGACCAGACAACATTGTTGGCATGATAGCCTCGGGAGACGGCCGCTTAGGATGCTTGATTTTCATTCCATGTTCTTGTACTGTCGTCTCTCTTTCCGTACTGTCGCTCACCAGGTGTTCTGCTGATGATCTCGCTGTGCTGCTTGGCTTCTGTTTGATTCTTGAACGTTTTCTAGATTTCGCTTTGCAACCCGCTCTTCAACACACTCGCTTACTCGCTCTCGGCTCAAGCAAAACAATCTGGAGTTGGATTTAGGGTTATGGTGTCTTGTGGTTTGCGGTCTGCTGTCCGGCTCCTTCATCGCTTCGGTGTTCTTTTTGCCCCGGGAAATGATGTTTTTAACATTTTGCTCCATGGCTTGACCTGCGGGTTTCTTCTTCCGCTGGAACATAAGCAGTGTTCACACAAACAGTCGTACCAGCAGAGTCAGCCGTATCTGTGAAAGTAGCGGGATTCGTGAGAACAGCGGCGTTTGCGGGACTGGACTTGTATGCTGCTAGTCCCAGGACTAGGTAGTAGAAAATGGCAATCACGTTGGTCTCCTTGGTACAAGATGAAGAGGCCGGCACCAGTGATTGGAGACTGGTTGACGATAGTTCGGAGAACACGATTCTGGTAGGCTGAGGTAAACGTGTCTGGGTGTGAGCTCTGTAGTCGTTGTATTAATCAATTCGGGCGTTGCTAGCTGTGTTAGCGAGCTGTAACTCTCCAAGAGTATATTGGAACGTACGCGTATTGAATACTGGCAGGTGTAATTCGGACCCACTTGTATTCACTTGTACAGCGGATGCTGTCAAGACTTCCTACAAGGTCTGACATGAGGTTACTTGTATCGTGACAATCGTGGAGGTAGAGTACCAGATAGGTTGCGTGTACAATACCATTCGCATGAAAAAAGAATTGTTGGAAGTACAGCAAACATGATGATAACGAAGTCTTGAAAGTAGACAAAAGCTGAGTGAGGTGCGGGTTTGTAAGAAAAAGCAGGAAGTGTACGATCGGTTCCCATAGTCGTGAGTGTAGTTGGTGCTGGAAATGCTTTGTACATAGGGATCAGAATTGGAAATGAGGATAAAAGTTTGGAATCGGAGTGTCATTGTCAAGACGACTGAGCAATACGAGACCTCCAGTGCTCATACAACTTAAAATGAGGAAGATTCTGCTTAATAAAAGAAATCATAATTGAGATGTGAGCACTAAAATAAGAAGACCATAAAGAGCAATATGGTTGGTGGACTCCACCCGAGCCTGTATTGAAGGTTGCGTTTCTCTCCGTCGGGGTAAACAGCGGCCGTTGTGACCAAGTTTACAATTTCTCATTGATATGTAGAACTATCATTGAATGGATGAGAAACATTAAATCATTTGTAAATGGAAGTGTGTTTAGGGTATTTCTGTACAATTGTGAAAGACACAATTCTATTTACAAAGTTGGAGACAATTAATTCGGTACATTTGGAGTTTGATGTTCTGAGCCAGAAAAGGCCGCTTGTTGCCGGCCTCTCAGCCGGAGAAAAAAGCTACCGTTTTTGACACGCGAGAACATCAAAATACTTTTAATCTCAACAACACATGATTGAATTTTTATATAGCGAGTAAGAAAGACGTAGAGAAATAGTTATAACATATCGCAATAATTTTATATTAAAACTTTTATTAATTGTGTATCAATAAATATGTAATTCAATAGGAACTGCGCACTGTGTCAAAAACGGCGAGAGCCGGCCAGTTAGATAATTCTGCCTCAGGCAACAACATTCGACAAACTCGCTGGTGTTTGTCACATCAGGTGACAGATTTTGGCGCTAAACTAGCTTGGAATTATTTCTATATAATCTCGGCTTCCCTCCAAGAACCTCTTCTTTTCTTCTTCATACTTACCTTCTTGACATCGAGCTGCTCATGATTAGCTTTGATGGTTCGACGAGACCTCCATTGCACAACGGGGTGTCAAGACGAATTGACTTTCCTTCGGGGACGTCATCGGGGGAATTTTTGATTGCACTCTCCTGTGGGGAATTTTTTTTTTCATTGGGATCTGGGCTTCGCGCCTGGACTTGAAGAAAATGAAGCCGAAGATGGAAAGCTAGACATCGCTATTACTTCAACAGACCTCTTGCGAATCAAACCAGCTCGCGCTTGACTGAGGCATCTGTGTTATTATGTTCTATCATGTGGACGTGCTGCGACGGAGGCCAACTCGAACAATCGAACGGAGTCATGAGCAGCTCGATTTCAAGAAGGTGCCTACAGGCCAAAACCACCGCGATCCTACTCTATCTAGCTAATCACTCAACTGAAGGAGATACCTGAGGGAACACATTGTCAATACTCCACTGATCTCGAAACGACATAGTGACATGATCCAATCTTGCGCTGCACAGTCTGGATCACATCGCAATCGCTCAGATCACTCGAGACATCGAAACAGTATAACCACGCACTGGGGTTTCCTGGTTCTCATATTATCATACTTGATCCCCTGGCACGCATATCTGGATCTCTTGAAACAATACAACGTTGAATCGATAGGCGTCCTCAGTGCTTGCCCGCGGTCTTTCAAAAACCTCTCGACGCGTCGTGATGATATGATCTACTCTACTATCAACGGTGTCTCAATCTGGTAGATGTCTATGAAATTGCTGTGTTGGCAGTCTGGATTGGTCCTTCCCTGGCCTCTCATTCGGCCAGAAGAAATCAGGTTCTCAAAATTAAAAACATGGGGGGATTTTGCCGTGAATGGAAGCGTCTATAGTGAACCCAATCAAACCGTGATCGTGCCTGACATCCAATAATAATAATATGCGCCTCCTTCTGTTCTACAATTCATTCTTCATCAACTTCTCCCCAGATCTCTGCGATGTCCCAAAAAGCAAAACTTTACGAGCCACATAAGCTTTCAGCCACTGCATGTCCTTACCTGAATCGGTCTAGTGCGTATCACCAAACATGTCTGGGCTTGGACGTAAGGCCTGGTCTACAAAGTATCAAGAGTCTATGATGGCAGTGGGTCTGGGCACAAGACAAGCAGCAGATGAAGAGGCGCGAGCGGAAGTGGAGGTCAGTCTTCATTCTCAACATGAATTCCGTGGAAGAAGGGACGTTGGAGCGGGCAGAAGGGGTCGAGTTTGAGGATATAGGTCATGCTAACATCCCCGTCCAGGTCCTGAATAGCCGACTGGAGAAGACTCGCATTCTAAACACAAAGTTATCGGCATGCTTGGGGCGATTGGAAACGAGTGGGAAGAGTGTCAAGGAAGCTGTCGGGCCTCTCTATGGCAACACCCAGAAACTCCAAGTATTGGGAACCAGTACGTCCAACACACCTCTCCAGAGCTTCACCTAATTGTTTTCAGACATCGATGGAGTTATTTCAGCTATTGAAAGGATCCGGCAGCCATCGGACATCAAGAGCAATGAGGAGGATATTATACGTAGGGGGTCAGTACAGCAATCTCCCAGTCGAACAGGAATTGACAGCATCGCAGTCCTGAAAAGGTTGGCCTGGCATCCTATTTAAGCTCCGTGAAGCGTCTGAGCCAAGCTCTTTCCGGTCTGAAGAATACGAACCTCCGATCGAATCAACAAGCAGTGGCAGATCTCTCGAGGTTGTTGAAGTCAGGGAATACACAATTGGAGGCACATTTTCAGAAATTATTGCAGGAAGAGTCGAGACCCCTCGAGCCTCTCCACTATATTACAAAAGACAAGCCTTTCCCAACGCTGTCACAAGATAAGATGACTCGACTTGGCCTGATCGTTTCATACATGGCATCAGTTACGAGACAGTCTGGATCTGGCGATTCTCCTTTGCTGCAGCAGTATGCCAGCGTACGTGGACCATACCTGACAGCTACCTTACAAAACCTCTCTGCTGCATCTATCAATACGGCGAAGAAGAAGAGTCCGGACGCTGTCTACCGGCAAGGAACAAATGGCATGGGCACGTATGCTTCAGGCATGGAGAGGGCTTTCTTGTCGGAGTACGAGAACGTCTCGGCGCTGTTCGCTCGAGATGAGTGGGGGAAAGTGTTTAACTTGACCTGTCAAGGTGCCATATCAGAGCTGGCACGAACCCTTCGCGAACTGAACTCACACATCAAGGCGAACCTGACGACTGATTGCTACCTCGCGTACGAAATCGTCGAAATCATGTCGAACCTCTCGTCAAACATGGAAAGCAGAACGGGCGAATTGAAGCCTTCATTTGCAGCAGCCTTAAAGCCCATTCGGGAAACTGGAAAGAGCTCCCTATCTGACCTGTTGGAGGATACTCGTCGTCGCGTAGCTAACTTACCAGTCGTACCACTCGATGGTGCCTCTCTACCAATCACCACTGAGACCATGACTCGCCTACATAATATGGTCGATTTTCTCCGCCCTATATCCAGCATCATGATATCGATTGGTGATGGGGGTTGGAAGTCAAATGCCGCATCGAACAATTCCTCGGACCAGATACCAAGCTTGAAGTCATTTGATGTGAGTGCCGATGGTACGGATATATTCTGTCATTACTGTATCGACACAATCGAGACCCTGCTTAATGCACTTAACCAAAAGGCCACACCGGTCTTGAAGGGCAAATCAGCACTTGGTGTCTTTATCGCCAACAATGCTACAGTGGTCGAGCGCATGATCAGGACCTCGGAACTCCAACCTCTCCTGTCAAATCGAATTGCAGACGTGGATAAGTGGCGCAAGAATGGTGCCTCGATGTATTCATCGGCATGGCGAGAACCATGCGGTCATCTCCTCGACGTCCAATATACGAATCGTGGCGCACGACCTCAATCCGGATCTGCTCAAGCTATCGACTCTGCTGCCATCCTAAAAAGTCTCAGCAGTAAGGACAAAGACGCCATTAAGGAGAAATTCCGTCTATTCAACACGAGCTTCGATGAGTTGGTGGCTAAGCATAAGAGCTTGAGTATGGAGAAGGAAGTTCGAGATATGTTGGCCAAGCAGGTGCAGCAGATGATTGAGCCGTTGTATAACAGGTTCTGGGATCGGTATCATGAGGTTGACAAGGGGAAGGGGAAGTATGTGAAGTATGATAAGGGCGCGATGGCGGGTGTATTCTTAAGCTTGTCTTAGAGAGAGCGTTTTTGAGATACCTTGTTCTCGAGCATGCAAAGCGGGGAAATTCAGATGCAGGTCGTATTCATATGCGGGGAAGGAAGAGTTCAGGTGTTTGTTGGGTTGAGATGCATATTACTGTACTTTACTCTATCTGCTGGGAAGGGTCACGATACCAGGGGCGTACGAAGGTTATTTATTGGGTTTGTTCAAATTTTGATTTTTCCAATAATTCAGAATACATGCAACCCAAAAGGTCATCCATCATCAAACTCCATTCGTACCTATCCCATCCAATAACTCCTCCGCGATACCCGAAAGCTGTGGGTTGTTCTGATAGAGGAAGTAATTTGCTGACGAGGGAGGTATGTGGGTAGGTAAGATGGATTGAGTAAGGAAGAAAGAAATGAAATGCTCCGTCCGTGTCCTGCTTGCCAGCCATGAAGTGGTTGAGTGAGACGCCGAGAAACTCCGTGTGCGTGTTGGGTATTGATGAAGGCAAATTTGATGGTGCTGATGATGTTCGTCATGAGTGTGAGATGGTGGTTTTTGAACAAATTGGATGGAGAGGTCGGTCCAGAGATAATACCGGGCCCACGCCCTTTGCTCCAAGAAGGGAGTAAAGAAGGTGGATCGGCTTCAAGTACCGAGTAAAGGACTCAGAGGCAGTCTGTCACGTCACACCAGCCACAGTAGTCGTGATGACCGTATTCTTCTGCTTTGCAGCAGTAGCCGCAGCAATGGATGACGAGGGGCTCGGGGGTGATGGCCATGTTGCGGGGGATGAGCGAGGTTCTGGATGAGAGGAATTGGGTTTGGTGTTCAGGGTGGAGGAGAGCCGTTGGAAGTGAGTTGTTTTGGTTGGAGATGTAATGAGACTTGAAAAGTTGTGTTTGTTCAAGAACTCTGTCCGAGTTCAATGATGTCTGAAGTACTTAAAGACTTTGTACTTGTTTAAGGAGAAGATGGTGATCCACCTCAGAGCAGATCTTGCCATATATACTCCTATCTCCCAAGTAATCAGCTGTTCTTCCCCACTTGCTTATTTAATGATACGGAGGGGACTCAATTAATCTGCCACAGGGTAGTCCAGCGCCAGTCTGACGATATTCATCTGAATCTGAACACACATGCAGCCTTCATTCTGCATGTCCACGGCGGTGTTATTCTTAGCGAGCGAGGACGATACCGAGCAAAAAGTGAGGCTGCTGTCTCTTCTCGGCTCTTCTTGCACGAACGAATTGTATTCCAGTTTCTAAATGAAACCCAACAGAGAACCCCCACGCGAGAGTCAGGAGTCTCACTGAAGAGATATCTGTTTGCAAGCTGATCTCAGACCGAAAGTCGATACGTCAGATATGATGTTGGATAATTGTCGCTCTGCAGGACAGGAGAGATTGGGGTCGGTGGCTGCTTGAAGTGTCAGAGCGCAGCTCCTGATATGATAGCCATGGCTTGCCACATGCAAACTTGCTCGTAAGGCGTTGGATGCATTTGCTTTCCTTGCTGACATGCATTGTGAAGAAAATAGACGCTTGTGACCTGGCTTCCTCACTGCAGATAGATCCAGCAGCATCGTTCATTGGGACGTTTTTCCCATTTTCCCCTCTCCGTGAGTTTCCCCTCTTTCATCACCGATATCGATATCGATATTTTGAAGGAACACATATGCAGCCATTGTCCTGCATCGACGATTATGCAACTATGCCTTGGAATTCGGTCTCTGTTTCTGACTGGTTGGATGCGACCCTTTTCGTGCTTAGCATCATCGTGCTATCATCGGCGATTGTAACACAAGGGTCTCACGCTGATTATCGTGGTAATCGTGGGGTATTTTCGTCCTCATGAGCAGTCCTCTTGCATGGATGCATTGACTGTGGAGGAGATCAGCTCAGCTCACAAATAGCCTTGGAAAACTTTACAGGAAACAACGAACGAACGGAAGGCACGGCTCGAAAGATGACGGTCCCACCTGTCATTCCTTGAGTGTTTCCTGTAGTCACGAGTCCCCTTGGACGGATGTTTCGAAACCATTGCACTGGAACCGAGACATCCTCCATCGTGGGAATCTTTCCACATGACGACCTTTTCTCGACAAAAAGCAATTCCAACTGTGTCTTACTTTGATCATCAAACAACGTGGGCGCACATGGACGATAGTTCCGACCAGTGCGATGCTTTGCACTTCTGCCGCTGAGATCTGCAGGTGATGAGGATCAACGCATGCTGTCCGATCTTCCTGCTTTGTCGGCTCCTCCAAGCAAAAAAAGCAATTTTAATTTTCGTGTCGGCATCTATTCCTGTTAGTCATGTTTCAACATTGGCTGGATGGAGCTTGAAGAAGGTTGTCTCAGACATATCGTTGATGATTGGACTCACCTCGAAGACAGGTAAGTATTTTCATGTATCTGTTGATACTCGGTCTGACGTGTTCTCCGGTTACATTACGAATATCACCATTCCACAGTCACAAGAATACCAATAAAGCAGTGAGGGTGGGCCTTGAAAGTCAGATAGTGCGACACAACATCAGTATTCCCTGTTTGGAGGCTGGACTCTCTCAGACCTGGTCAAGATTTCCGTTACGAATCCAGTCCGATGCTGCAATACATTCCCGCTAAAATCGATATCTCAAAGAACGACGGAGAAACTACCATTCGTCTTATCGATCGATTGGAGACCATACCGTCCTGTACGAAGACTACAGAGTCAGTGTTACCTTATCTGGGAAGCTCAAGTCGTACCCACCTCCACTCAAAGTTTCCCACCCAAAGTTGCCTGCATCCGTCAATAAATACACGAAGCTCCTCGTCTGACATTCTCGTCTGTCGAGGCTCCGAGAGGACCTTCTCCGCCTCGACCTCAAAGCGAGCTACTGCGGCGAGTAAGTCAGTATGTGCTTGATCAAGCACGCTCTGAACATCGCCATTCTTGAGGCAAGAAAGTGGTATAAGGCTGTCAGCGCATTCTTTGGCCTAACAGTGTTAGCTGATTACACGAGTATGAGACACGGCACATACCATCTCCTTCTTCAGTGACAAGATGTCATTCGCTCTAACGATCACGGACTTAGTCAGTACGAAGTCTGGATCAGAAATAAGAGCTTACATGATGATGACGATGTTTGTCTCATCGCAAAGTATCTTCAACGAGGGCTCACGATTTGTTTCATACGGTCCTCGAATTCCGCTCGCGAGTCTGGACACATGTCAGTGAGCAATTACAAGCATTGAGATGTGCATTATACTCGATCAAAGCTATGCAAACACCAACAGCACTTATTCCCATTCGAGTACTCCAATACTCTTCTAGGGTTGGCAACCTTCCCTCCAATTTGGGCTTCTGTTCCGCTTCAGTAGAGCTGATAGCCAACTTCATTTCCTCGAAAAAGTTTTGTCTCTGTTCTAAAATCTTGTCAATGAACTTTCATAGATGGTAGCTGCAGCAATTTTTCATACCCACAGTATATCCTCTAACGAGAGCCTCGCCGACTACTCGAAAGTTCTCAATAACGGGACTTGATGCAGTGGGCGGAGACTTCGATGCACTAAATCCTAAAATCCATGTAAGACTACTCTTGAGTCTTGTTCCGACGACTGTGAGGCTACGAAGTATTTTGTGTGCAATGGCGGAATTAATTTTATTATTGGAGCTCAGTCCAAGAAGGTACTCGAATGTTGCTTCCAGTTGATGACCAAAAACCTGGAAACTTTTGGTCAACTGATAGAACAATCCTTGACGCTGCTTTTCGGTTTTGTCGAGTTTCAGACACCCATGAACAAATTGTATAGTCTCTTGGCGGAAATTTTGCGCAGTCTCGAAATCATCTGCACATTGTCCTGTCGGCTCGTCTGCCTCGTCGTCCCACAGGAAAATCCATACCGCCCAGAAAATCAGGATTCGAAGCTCATCGAAGTTGGCCGTGGGCCACCACTTGAAGAGTCTCGAGTCAGCAGTCAATGTCTGAAGGCACATATTCGACGTCATGCTTTACACGTAGGACATCGGAAAGCTTCAGACATAGGCATCTTACCATTGCACCAAACAGTGCAAAGTCTGCTGTCTTCAATCTTGCAAATTCCTTTTCATTGCGAGCCGCACTTCATCCATCGTTAGTACTTGGACACCAAAAATCATATTGATTTCACAATGTACCTTCTCAGTTTCTCATTAACTATTGGTATCATGGCATGGTAGTGTGGATTGAGCTTCCCTGACCATTTATCATATATGGGTCGCATATCTGGTATCAAGAGTTTTTGGCCACGAAGCCTGTCTAGGAGCTGCTTTCTTTCGTCGACTGCCATTTACAAGATTTGAATAGCAAAGATTACAGCAGAATTGAGCTTGTCTTTTCCCAAGTACTGTTGAGGCGTCTTATATGCATACTCAGCCTTATCGCCTCGCCGTCACAATCCAACATTGCCCCGCCATTAAAGCGCATGATACATGGCTCGTAAACAGACAAGGGCTACTTTCCACTCAATTGTCAGAGTACTTAGAAGACAACATCAATAAAGGCTTCCCATTCGCAAAGTCAGAATAATCGGGATGCTCGGTCCTCGGATGTGATCTGATGCATCAAGAGGCTTGAGGCGTAGCAATCCAAAGCATGACAGCTCGAGCGCTACGCCTCTAGGAAGTGCAAACCATACCGAGATCGTCGCCACCTTTTAGTAGTCAAGATTTTAAGCCTAAGTGCTGACTGGTCTAAGAAGTTGAGCAGAGCAGAATGTCCACTGATGTTTTCATAGAAACTCAATTGTGCTATTGCAAGAAATCGTTTCAAATTTGTGCTCTTACTACCAATTCTAGATACACGCATCAAACGTGATTAGGCGATGATGAGATAGGAAGTAGCCTATGGGCTCTACAACTTAGCGCTTACTCTCTAAGTGGGGTTTCAACCCCAGAGTAAAAAAGTGCGGCCGCCGCCACAGTGCTTACCAGTCAGTTACCACTTTGGCGATTCAACTTTTTGGGGGTAAGCCTAGGGTATTGGTGTGCCGAGATGTGAGGTGATGCTGGACAATGTATGTGAGAATTGATGTACGTGTTTGAGCTTCTGGATTGAAGTATGAGATTCATGGAAAGGAAGGAGAAGGATATCACGGCAGATAGACTTTGGCGGGTTGGATGTTTGGAAAGTCTTGGAGGGAGCGGGTTGAGGCTGAAACTGACTTTGACTTTACTGCAAAGTCGAGAGACGCTCTGAGAGTAAGATGGTCGATGAAGTAGTATGAAGTCGAGATCAGAGAACCATCAAACTGCTCCCTGACAAACAGTTTCCTGGGTTTGTCGCTCGCACTTTCCGTTTTGATCTCGGTATTGAATTGAATCTTGTTCTTAGCGCACTTTAGCTTCAACTGCTGCTACAAAGCCGAGCTTCTTTCTAAGTGTAGGCTCCATCTCTTTTACATACCACCCAAGCTTTTACAAAAGCAGTTCTTCGTTTAAGTTTAGGCTTCTTCTCTTTTACATATCCTCAATTCTCTCTACCAGAGCAACTTCTCATACACCTTCGAGCGCCATTTGTTTTACATATCATCAACCTTCCTACACAAGCAGAGCAACTTCTCTTCCAACTTCAGGATCCCCCTCTTTTACATATTACGCCCATAGCCGTGCCTCTGGTATGAGTATTTGCCCAGCCCCACCCTACCAGCAATCATTGCTAATCGCGTCAAGGACGATATTGTTAGTCTCCTGCGGAGGGCCATCAAGTTCAGAGTTTGGAACTCTAAGAGATGTTTTATTGCTTGGGGAAACTCATTGCCTCTTCGACTTCATTTGCTGCCGACACTTCGATAAGCTTAGCATTAGATCATATTCGCGAACGACTTGGTTCCTCACCTTGGGCTTCGTACCTCATTGAAAGCGGCCTTTCGGTAATCTTCTCATCATACGAGCTCACGATCCACTTTCTAACGTCTCTAGGACTTTCCATACTTCTCTGCGTCAACTTATCAGATTGAACTTTCGTACGAAAGCATCCTCAACAATGGCCACATTTGAGGAAGGAGTGGAAGCACTCATGAAACTCTCCAAAGTTGAAGTTGAAAACCGCAAAAGCGAAGACATGAAGGAGATTGTTAATTACGAGAAGAACATCGCCAAATTGCATCAAAGAATAAACCACCGGTGCTCCAAGCAACTGACGAGTGAGCGCTTTGCGCACTTCAGGGAGTTGAGAGAACAAGCGAAGAAGGCAAAGTGCAGGAAGTCAATCGCCGAATTGGAGAAGAAGAGATCGAAGAAATTGAATTCCCTGGCAGAGGCAGAGCACGCTCTGTCAAAGAAGATGAACCAAGAAGATTTTGAGACGGAGGTTGAAAAGGCACGGGCTTTGAAGGAGTCCCATGTCGTACGCCTGGAGCTTAATGCTCGCGAGATCCGGTTTATCAATGTTACTTTGAGCAAAAAGGTCTCTGGAGAAATGGCTGAGAACCTCTGGGAGCAGAGGTACATGGTTATGTCCGAGGAAGAGCTACAGGAGGAGTTGTCGTTCCGTATGAGAGATGACTTGATCTTCAAAGAGGCTATTAGAAGGAATGCGCTGAATGACGGAACCTTTCAGTGAAGCATGAAAAAGGTCAAGCACGAGCACAGCGCTTAACGAGGTTGTACCATACTCACTTTGCATGGCTTTCGAAAGATACATCTTGATCACGGACTGAGATCAGGTCTTCGCATTACTTTTAGATACATGAATCAGATCCCAATAGGGTAGCAGAATCACATCTTAGCGAGATCTCGAACATTAAAGTGGTGATATGATTCGATCATCAAAGGTCAAGAAAAGTGTTCTGCTATTTCAGAGGTGTCGACTTGCTTGTACACCAGAGGTTCGTCTGTCCTTGATGGAGATCACTCTACGTGAAATGCTAGCGCAGATCATCGTCATCAGCCACACTCTGACGCCACACCTCAAATTCACATGGAAAACCTGGATTTCGCGTGAACAGCTAACATCACAACTGTCATGATTCCCACTTTCCGGAGGGTTTCCTCTTGTCCTTGTCCAGTCACTCTTTCTACCCATGTCTGCCATGATATGAATGGCTCTTAAGCCTCTTCCATTCTCTATGTCTTCTTCAATGCTCCGCGGCGCACGTACAAACGCGTGGGGTACTTATTCCCATCAATATCTCAACAGCTCACTTTATACGCAAAGATGGATCGCACAACTGCGAAATAGATCGCAAGCTCGGAGTATATTCTTTCGAACGAAACGGAAATCGAAGAACTCCCGAATGTCCCGCATAGCCATAACCGGAGTTACCTCCGTTGTTATCGGTGCTGGGCTCACGTACATACTCTACCAAAATAATTATGTTCAACCTCTACCTCCCACGCGCCTCCGCAGCGAGATTCGAGCCGAAAGAGAGAAGGCATATGCTGTGGAGGAAAAGAAGCAGGAAATAGCCGCAGAAAATGCAGAGCTTCTCTCAACTCTACCGTATCAGCAAGACAAGGTCGTCGCAGCGGCTTCATCGGATGATTCAGCTTGGGGAAGCTTCACTACGAAATTCGCAATCTTCTCTTCAATTACGGATCTACAATGGGGTGCAGTGACGGACAAGATTGTGGATTTTGTTATGCCAGATTGGGCGAAGCTTTTACCGGACTATATCAGCAAGCTGCAGAGAGAGTTGTCCATGGCTCCAGGCTCGTTGGCAGATGAAATATGGCAAGAGGCACACGATCCTTATATCAATCCTGAGATAGAGTACTCAGCTTCTGTCAGGGTTTCCTCCGAGTTATGCGATGAGGAGAAGGAATTTCTGCAGCGGCGGAAGAAGGTCACTACAACTGCTTTGGCGAAATATCTTGGTTTACCAGAGGAGGAAGTGCATCCAGAAGATGTGCCGACGATCGCTATGGTTGGTTCTGGAGGAGGTCTGAGAGCTTTAGTTGCAGGTACAGGCTCAATGCTGGCAACAAGTGAAGATGGGCTTTTCGATTGTGTCACATACACAGCGGGAGTCAGTGGTAGCTGTTGGCTACAGTCCATTTATCACTCTTCGCTTGGTGGTCGTCGATTTGATAAGATGGTGGAGCATCTGAAAGCTCGGATAGGCGTGCACATTGCGTATCCTCCTGTTGCCTTAGCTGCTCTAAACTCCGCCCCCACCAATAAGTTCTTGTTGAGCGGGTTCGTGGAGAAGCTCAAAGGAGATCCAAATGCAGAGTTTGGGCTTGTGGATGTCTATGGCTTGATGCTGGCTGCCAGACTCCTCGTTCCGAAAGGAGAAGTAGGCGTCGATGACAGAGACCTCAAGATCTCCAATCAACGCGAATATATCGAGCGAGGCGATCATCCGATGCCCATCTACACAGCAGTCCGCCACGAGATACCAATCATCGAAGAAGCATCTGAGACCGAGAAAGCCACAGGCTCTCCATCGGAAGAGACCAAGACGAAAGCAAGAAAAGAGGCTTGGTTTCAATGGTTCGAGATCTCACCATATGAAATGTTCTGCGAAGAATTCGGAGCTGGTATACCGACATGGGCTATAGGACGCAAGTTTGAGGGCGGTAAAGACTTACCGTATGATGAAGATGGCCTCCGTGTTCCTGAGCTCCGTCTGCCGTTATTACTGGGCGTTTTCGGCTCCGCCTTTTGCGCCACATTATCACATTATTACAGGGAAGTCAGACCCCTTGTCAAAGGTTTGGTGGGATTTGGTGGTATCGATGACCTGATCGAAGGTAGAAATGACGATCTGAGCAAAGTCCATCCAATTGTCCCAGCGTCCATTCCGAATTTTGCGTACAAGATGCAAGATAGGCTACCCGAAACAGCACCTGAAAGCATTCATAAGAACACGCATTTGCAGCTTATGGATGCTGGAATGTCCAACAACTTACCTATCTATCCGCTACTTCGCCCTGGAAGAGATGTCGACATTCTTATAGCCTTTGATGCATCTGCAGATATCAAAACTGACAATTGGCTTTCTGTGGCAGATGGATATGCACGCCAACGTGGCATCAAGGGGTGGCCAATAGGAGTTGGATGGCCGAAACAAAGTGACACCGCGGAGAAAACAGCGGGACAACTTGACGAAGCACAAGCAAGCACAGCGGCAGAAGCAGACTCGAAGCTCGAAGAAGCAAAAGCTGACCAAGTTGAGCATCTGAAGGATATTGAGCAGCATGGCGCGAAGGCGTCGAATAGCCAGGATGACGACGATTCTGGAGATCTGGGATACTGTACAGTATGGGTGGGGACAACGCAAGAAAGAGCCTCTTCGACCGAGAACGTGAAGTCCAAAGCCGTGAAAGAAGACTGGCAGCTCATGCAGCCCGATGCGGGAATCGCTGTGGTCTACTTTCCATTCCTCAGTAACCCCAAGGTGGAAGGCGTAGATCCCATGACAAGTGACTATATGTCGACATGGAATTTTGTATATACCCCAGAGGATATTGACAATGTTGTGGCACTGGCTCGAGCCAACTATGAGGAAGGCCGAGAGCAGACGAGAAGGTGTGTACGCGCTGTCTATGAGCGAAAGAGGAAGAAACGCGAGGAAAGAGAGAACGCCGAAAGAGAACTGAGATGGAGGAGAAAGGTAAGACTGGGGATCGTTGGCAAGAAAGGAGAAGGTGACCATTTTCACCTCACATGAAAATCTCTTGCATATGTACCCAACAGTTGAGACATGATGACCACGTCTACAAAAGCGCTTCAAAGCAAGACTTTTGATGCGGGATATTTCCTGAAAATGAGGATGAACATTGCCAGTCTGAGGACAGCTTGAGGCAATCTCAGAAGGTTCAATGGTAGTTTCAGCGGGAATTCAGATCGGCAGGGACCGTCTCGCGCGCAGCACCAAAACTTGGTGGCGCACGATCGAAGCCGCCTTGGCGCCGACCCCGAAGGAAAGTCGAAAAACAAACCGTTGTCACAAGACAGATCTGAGCCCTGTGATAGAGCCATCGTAATGAGAAATCAGAAATCAGAAGTCTTTGAAAAGGGTGGTCCCAAGACATTACCGAACTTCTCTCCCTATCTTTGCGTCTTGGCTGCCATAAATAGTAGCGAAGCATAAATGCAAGACCCTGATCTGGGTATTTTGAGGTCACTGTGACGACGTTGTTCTCCACAATCACGAAATTTTTGCGATCATAGTGTGACCAGCAACCGATCCAAGCTTTTGGTGTCTGGCAAAAAAGGGGGAGGTTGCACTACTGGTACGGGAATACGGTGCCGGAGCCCGGAAGTCCCTCAGGAACCGGTTGGTGCAGAAACAATGAAACGTAGTGAGGAAATGAAAGAGATGCACAGAAGGAAGGAGAGCTGGCTGACGTTGGATTGGAAAGTATATGAAGCCATTTATGAGGTTGAGTGAGGTGTATGCGGTGAAGGTCTTACAGTATATGCGGTGTACAAGTGACAGAAGGCTGCTTTCACGTGCATTACTTTGGCTGGCTTGGCGTGCAGGAGGGATGCTGAGGGGCAGGGATTCCCCACCAGGTGGTTGTGCCTGGCTAAAGGAAACCCGATTGATATTACTGTAGATTTTATGCAGCGCCCAGAAATCAAGAAGTAAACGCAATAAACGGTTGTAACGGGGAACACAACAGGAACGAATGACGAATGCTGTGCTTGATTGCTTGAATGCTTGAATGGACACCATGCAAGATGTTAAGCATGTTTGATATACTGGAGAAAGAAGTGAGTGGTGTGCTGTCACTTTGTACAGTACTTGGGCACGAAGCCTCGTCGACGATGTCTCATGACACGAGCCACCACAATTCTGTAGCCTCTCAGCTCCATGGCGCAACGCTCAATCAATCTCCATGAGTGCATCCGACAATACTGTATGCAGAGGCTCTCGATAGCTCTTTATGATGTCCATTGAGAGACTCGCATCATGTCTTAGAATCAAACAACGAGAGCTCGAATTCTGCCCACAGCCACAGCCACAGCCACAGCCATCGAACGCTAGCCGGGATCCACCTCTCGTTCTCACACCGCACCGACAAAAAGAGCAAGGTAAGGCAAGGGCAAGCAAGAGAAGGCTCAAGCCAACCTCGTCCGTCCGTTCGCTCCCTCACATCAACACAAGACGAACACACAGACTGGTTTGACACTAGTTCCAGTTCTCGCACAACTCGGGCATAACTGCCCATGTCCTCCTCACCTTTCCTTCCCTCCTTCCCTTGGTATATAGCCTGTCCGTCGGCCTCTCTGCTGGCAGAAATGAAAACTTCACTCTGATCAATTGTTTGCTGGTCGTGTGGTTCATTCACTCGTTCGTTCCCCTCCACTCGTTCAATCACACAATCACACAATCACACAATCACACAATCACACAATCACACAATCACACAATCACACACCACATATATCCTCCGGCCCGCATCCGCATCACATCATCTTACGCCTTCGACACACTTGAAAGAATACCCGCCTAGAGGATTCTGCAGCACGTTAGAGAATCGACTGGGACAGACTGATTCAGAGAAGGGAGAAAGGGAAGAAGAAAATTTGATAAAGACCTCGAGAAAGACGGACATTCATATGTGGCACCCTCGACCCTATATCTCTGTTCGAATCCTCCCTCACCTCACCTCTCCATACGAATAAAATCACACGTTACGTTACCGAACCATGACGACTACCACTTCGTACCTGAGGAGGAAACCAAAGGCAGTCAAGGATACAATGACACCACCAATGTTACGATCCTCCTCCGAGTCCTCCTTCGACGAGTCCTACTTCGATAAAACCTACGTTCCACTCTCCAGTCTCCCAACACCACCCCTCTCCCACTCGAGAACCAATTCTCGCCAGCAATCCCCCGACACCCTTTCCCCTGACGAATTCCTCGATCCAGACCTCCTCGGTAAGGATCCCCTTCTTCCCCAGATTTCTCTTCCCGGTAGTTGGAGAACATCAGGCTAATCTAACATATTAAACCAGGCCCGGCAATCCACCTCACAAACCTCATCCCCTCCTCAACATCCCTAACCACCCCTTCCATTCCGCTCGTCCACTCCATCCTCAACCGTTCCGACCTCCCCCTCGAAACCATCGCCCTCGCCGTCTGCATCCTCGACTCCCTCAACTCTCGTTTCGCCCTACAATGGCGAACCGCTTGTCCCCTCTCTATTGTTTCTCTCCCTCCTCCTTTCAACGCAAATGGAGAGAAGCTGGAAACGCAACATATCGATGAGATTCATCCCGAAATCATCGTATTGTGTGCCTTGATCCTCGCTGTCAAATTTCTCGACGATCACCAACAGAGTACGAGGGAATATAGAGATCAATGGGGTCTGAATCTCTGGACCTGCGAGCAGATTAATTTCACGCAACGAATCCTTCTCGAGAATTTGGGGTATAGACTTCTGCCTCTTTGGGAGGAAACCATTATCCTAGAAGCCTTGGAGGATATGGAGCGAGCGAGCCGTCAATACGAACCAGAGATCTTCAACGACGAGGAAGAAGAAGACTGGGAAAGTGAGAATAAACACTATAACCTAGTGAGGATAGGTGGGAAAGCTGTGCTGGGGCTAGGGAATCAGTTGACGCCTGTGGAGACGCCGATGGCTGAGAATTGTAAGGGGACGAGAGAGGTAGCGGGGGAGACGAGGGATGCTTTCACGACGAGAGAGATGGGGAAATTGTTGCTTCCGGATAGGAGTTTGGAGCCGTTCCCGGCGTTTATGGAGCCCACGAGGGCGGGGTTTGGATTTTGAAAGGGGATATGGGAAGGAGGAGTTGTCGGATGGATGGTGAATTGCTGCATAGCGTTGGAGTTTTATACCATACGAGAGGTCTTTGATCCTAATTGAACCTTTATTCTTGTTCTCGGCTTTCTGTCCATTCTTGTTACAGCTGGGATTGTGATGTTTGGTTCTAGGGCCGTGATTCAGAGCTAGTGCTCTACAGGAACGGCTAGATGGAGGTGAATGTTTGGGATAATGATCCAAGATCCTGTCACTGCTGGTAGAAATGATCATTTTGCTAGATCATGGATCCCGAAGCTGGTATTTTTTCCCCACTCGCCTTCAAGTCCATTATTCTTGTGAGGAAAATGGCACTTTGATGAACATGTTTAGCAACAGCTAACCAAGCTCGAGGAAGTCCGTTAACTGATTATATCACGACGGACATATAAGTGTTATTTCTCTTCAAAAGTTCTCATTTTCTGTTCCTCTAAGCAACGCTAACCGATGCTCTATGAACCATATACCGTATTCGTTATTCGTTTCTTTCTTACCCACCAAACGCCATAAGCTCATGCATTCATTCATCATGGTATTACACCCCACTCCTCATCTATGCCTACACACCACTCACGAATCTATCGTCTTCCTCGTCGCCTGCACATGTCCCAACCGATGCGTCTTCGCATCCTCCAACTGATCCTCGGGCACCCCGCCCGGTAGATCCACCGTCGGCGTAGTCGAAGACGCCGTATCCAGCCTCGCGTTCACAGCCTCCATCGTCGGCTCCGACGCATTGCCGTGCGGTTGCGGTAGCTCGTTTATATCGACGTTGATGTCGTCCTCGCCAGCGGGTCCGCTGGGCCTGACGCCCTCCTCGGAATCATTGTCTCGATCTTTCGAGTGGTGCGATTTTATACTGCTCGCTTTGCTAACTTCCGCGCTCCGCGGGCTCTCGGTTCGTAGTCCGAGGTCTTTTCCTAGACCGGGAGAGGTTTGATGACCGCCTTTCCAGTCCGCGGGAGACATTTCGGGGACGGGGGAATCGATGCCCGGTTCGTGGATTACGGATTCTTTTCGCCCGCGGCCGGGCTCCGGGTCGTAGGCTTTCCAGACGACGGCTAGGCGGTCGAAGGCTCGGGTTCCTTTCTTGCTGGAGCCGCGGATGCCGTCCATTTTGTCCCAGTCGATTTCGAAGACGCCGGTTTCGTCTGCGTGGCCGTTTTGTTCGGGCCCGTGGCCTTCGAAGAAGGCGTTGAACCAGACGTGGGCCACGGCTGTGACCATCGTCCAGCCCATGGAGGCTTTGTTGCGGCGCTCGAAGTCGATGTTGATGTCGCTGGTTGGGAGGATGACTCGGGTTGAGGGCTTGAATACTACGGCCCCGCCGCCGAGTTCGCCGCCTGTGATGTCTGTCGAGCTTGAGCTGCTTGAGGCTTCTGCTCGGGGTTTGGACTCGTGTGTCCCGTCAAATTGGGGTGTTTGCGTCCTGGTGGGTTTGATGTTGGCTTGGTTTTGAAAGCCGGCCATGTCTGAGATCATGTCTTTGAATCCACTGCCGCCTGGAGCGTTTCCTTCTACCACCACTCGTTCCTTTTTGGTGAAGACGTGGAAGAGCTTGATGGTCTTGCCTTCGTCAACGTATCCTTCCACTTGGACTTTTACGCCATCCCTCAGTCCCCAGACATGCACCTCCAAGATCTCAATCTCTCGTTCAACGTAGACCTTCCCATTCTGCGTCCATCGATCCACATAACCCACCCATCGCAGCTGGCTGGGAATACTGACTCCCTGTCCAAATCCAGGCCGCATTCTCCTTTCCGTAAAGCGAGCCAAAGCCTCTTCTGGCTTCCACCCACACTCACTGATCAAATAAGAACAAGCCATCGTCCCACTCCTCCCCTTCCCCGCCTTACAATGCACAACCACAACCCTCCCCTTCTTCGCCCCCGTCTTCCCACCCCAATCCCCCTTCACCTCCCCCTGAACCCCCTGCACCACATCCCCCAGCGTCCTCCCCTCCTCTCCACCCTGCAACCAATTCCTCATCCCCGCCATAATCATCGGCACCAACTTAAACGGCGGCGGATGGTGATCCGGCCACGGATAATGCCGTATCCGCCCATAAACCTCCTCATCCGGATACCCCGTCCCCTCAGCCCTGAACTCCCAGATCGCCCATCCGTCCCCGTGCTTGTAGTCGAGGAACTTGACCAGCTGATCGAGCGGGTTGCGGTATGCGCGCTGCGGGTACGTGCCTGAGGGCCCCGAGGTCGCGATGATTTGGTCCGTTACGTAGCAGAGGTCGAGGCCGGCTTCTGGATGTCGCGAGCGTGGGCCTGCGACGATTTGTCGGAGGAGGGAGGCCATGTTGTTATTGTACGGAGGGAGGGGGGATTGGGGACATTTTGGAGAGTGAGGTTGTTGTTGATGGGTGAGAGACGAGGGAGTACCAGACGTCATCGGGGAACGTAGGATCCCTGTTTTTGGGGGCTGCAGCACAGCCACGATTTGGTGTGAACCCCTGGATGATCGTGCTGGTGGTGGGGATTATCCAGTTAGCGGGGCTGAACGGGAAACTTTATCTAATGGAGGGGCATGAAAGTGTGTTGACATGGTTGTAGCACGATTTAGAATATGATTTGTTTGAGGGCATTATTCTTTCTATCATTTACATTGTCTAATCTCTACAAAAGGCGTGAATGTTCCATTCACTCCGCAGAACCCTGCTTGATTTCCTCCACTTGCAATTGCAGGACAAGGAAATGTGCTGAGAAATTTGGAGTGGAAGAGAATACCTGTCTGCTCTAAAATCCAGAAAGAAGAAGCTGAAATGTTACATGCTGTTTCGCCACAAGTAGGGCCCAAGCAATCTTACATCTAGGAAGAGTTGACGCTCTGCAGGAATTCTCGGACTCTTGGATGATCCTCCGTAAGTTCTCTAAGCAAGGGTCTCAGTGCGATGAGTTCGACAGGATCTATCGACAGATTATGCTCAGGACTGGAATCAAGCCACATGGTCAACAACTTCTTCATAGATGCTTTATTTTCAGAGGGCCGACCGCCGTCCCATAGAGTGTTCTGAGGGTGAGCAAGCCAACGCTCTGCATAGCACTGTAGCATGGTGGCTCCAGTGAAACGCTTGAGAGATGTTTGCATCATGAAGATCCATTCTGCTCTTGAGGCATACCTGATACATAATCAGTAATGAGTCTTTGGGAGGGTCATGTACTCTACATACGATCTCTTATGGTCGAAATAGCAAACCAGCCCAATATTGACGATGGCAGCAAGGTGATGCTTAGGAACTCGAGTAAGGAATTGCTTCAATCCATGAAGATTGGGTTCTTCGTTCGAGGGGTTTGGAGAGTTGCCGATGAGGAACGTGTTCTGGGAGTAGAAGAAAGGGCCAGCTTCAAGGTATGTTTGCCTATCGACTCGAAGGATGCCAGTCTTCTGTTCTTTCAACCCTCGCTTGAAAATACCCTTGGAAGGAGAGATTTTGATGGGCCGGTCGAGTTTGAGGTGCAGGTAAGGGTAGATCATGTATCGAATTTCCGCCGGAAGTTTGGTGAAGGACAACTTCGCTGGCTTGGCCATTCTGGGATGGGACGATGATGTCTTGGGTTTGTCTTCGATCTTCTGAAAGATGTTAGAATTGAGATTTGTGTGTATATCAATTGAGATCGGTACCTTGATTGAGGCCATGGTTCTTCTACTTGGGACGCGCGAAAAGTTTCGAGGAAACTTGGGTGATTGTGCGGATTCCACGAGGCTGAAAACCGCGAGGCTGCACAAGGATTAACCTACTTGTCTTGCAGCAGGCGCACGATCTGTACTCTCGAAAGAGATTTCCAAATGTGTGTACTTTAAAGGGTTCTTGGGTCAATCTAGCCAAGCCTTATCGAAAGACTCAAGTTGGTGAATTCGGTAAAGAAGAAATTGCAATATTTGTGACGGATAGAATATAATAAAGGCGCCAGCCTGCCAGCTACTGCTAACCTTAGCGCGACTTGCTCGCTCGGCAAACCGAGAACCCATTCAGGTTACACTTCGACAAGGAGGGGCAGCAAAATAAAGCCAACACATTTGCATGAAGATCAGGAGAATTACAACATTATGGCCTCAACTGCTGGTGCAGATGCAAAATCCTCGCAGACCTCGAATCACGAGGACAAGATGAATCACGAACTTGATGTCACGGAATCAACGAATCACGACTTGCCAGCGCGGACAATGGCTGAAGATGAACGACCTGGGCAGACACGAGACGCGCAAAGGGACGATCCTGCGACTGTAGCTGCGAGTGAAGAGTTAAAGCATACAACTATCTCCGATAAGATCGCGACTGTCTCTCGAGTCCAACCTCTTGATGTACAACAGACCACTGGCGAAGATAAGGAAATGGGAGACTCTGGCAGAGCTAGCACACCCGACACTGATCCTACCGATGCGCAAGATGAAGAGATGAAGGAACGGTTAGCCTCCCCAAAGAAGAAGAGAGGGCGAGACCAGGAGGACGACTCGAAGGATTTGGAGGACGATGCTGCTGACGAGCCCGGTTCTTCAGCCGATGGCAGTGTTGTGAATGGAAGCAGAACGACGCGACTTGAGCCAGAAAAGAAGCGTCCTCGAGACACATCGGAAGATACCACAAAGGCAACAGAGACAACTGCAGAAGCAAAGGTAGGCTTGCTTTTTGCTCAACCTCAAAGCATCGCAGTCGCTAAAACCATCTCGCAGCTGCAAACCGCCCCAGCAGATTCTGCAGAGACGGAAACCACAAAATCCGAGGATAAGGCGACGAACTCCTCACACAAGGATTCGAAGACATCCGAAACCTCCAGCAAACCACAAACTTCGCCTTCTGGTTTCGCGAGTTCTGGTTTCGCTTCTCTCGCAGCTTCGAGTACCTCTCCGTTTGGTAGCCTGGGAGCCTCTAAACCAAGCGTTTTTGGCGGAAATACTCAAGCCCCATCTGGATTTGCTGCTTTGGCTGCTTCTAAGCCGGCAGAGTCGTCCACAGCTTCAGTCCCAAGTGGCTTTGGAGCGTTGGGCGCCAAACCTACCACAGGCTTCGGTTTTGGAACTGGTGCTACATCGGGGTTTGGTGGTCTCGCAAGTGGGAGCGTGTTTGGATCTAAATTAGGGAATGGTTTTGCTGGCGGTGCTGGCCCAAAGCTGTCCAGTTTTGCCGCACCTGTGAAAGAGACGGAGGTATCAGGATCCAAGCCAATCAAGGCTTTTGGTGCTCCGGAAAGTGACGAAGAGCCTGATAGCGATGAAGATGGCGATAGCGAGGGTGGAGATGGTAACGAGGATGAAGAGAGTGGGAAGGTCGAAGCAGATGACAAGAAGAAGATCAGACTTACTAAAGGTTTGCCATAACCTCATCTTCCAGTATTTACAATCGTACTAATCTTGTTTTAGTTCATATTGACGACGGAGAGGCTGGCGAGGCGACCTTACTGCAGATGCGTGCCAAAGTTTTTGCTATGGATAAAGTATGGAAGGAACGTGGGGTTGGGGTAAGTCACATTGCTGGAACAACTTTCTCCCTTTTTCACTTCCCTTGAAACATAGTCGCTTCTTGAGCAACTCGGGTCCCAAGGCTTCAAGGCAGACAACGTCTGATACCCGTCTCCCTGAAACATAACATTCTAATGGTTTTACTATCCAGGTCCTCAAGATCAACGCACCCAAGAGCTGTGTGAGCTTCGATGAGAACGGTGCCCCAATACCAGGCTCATTCGACGCTTCAGGCTTAGACGACGAAGATGCTGATCCAAACGCTCCCAAAGTTCCTCGTCTCATTATGCGACAAGAAAACACTCATCGAGTGGTCTTGAACACGATTATAGTTCGGGCAATGGCATTCTCGGATAAACAACCTGCTTCTTCATCTGCCCAAATACTGTTCACAGCTTTTGAGGGAGAGAAGGAGCCGAAACCGATCAACATTCTGCTAAAGGTACGTACTTGGCCTTTACTTTCAATCGCTTACTAACATGCTGCAGATGTCAGAAGCAAATGCTACATTGTTTCGTAGGGAGATTGCATCGATACAGAGAGAACTTGAATCTTGAGAAAGCATAAAATGCCATGGCATTTGAGCACATTCACCACCGTCATCATTCCCTTTGTCATAGAATTCATTGACATGTATGGTCTTTTCTGGGCGGGGAAAGGTTCACTTTAAGTATTATCGGATTGCTATGATGGAGTTTGGACTATTGGAATACCAGCAATCACTCAGCATAGCGCGGCGGATATGGGGCCATGCACACAAAGTCGGCGGATGTCCCGTGTGCATACACACGCTTTTGATATTTATAAAACGCTTGAGGAGCAATATCGAGGCAGGAATGAAACTATGATACTTCCAATAGTCTTCCTTGTGTTGCCAATGTAGAACGTACCTAGTACCTATCCATCTGTTACAAGTGCACGTGATAGCGCGTAGCGTGTAAATCGCGTTCTAATTCAAATGTCGTTAATGACCTCAACACCATTAAGTACCACAACTACTCATGTTGAAACCACGACCACATTGCCTAGCATGGCATCGCTACAAGCAGCAACTGTGTCGAATAAGATAGTGCGTAAACGCAAACGGAAAGATGCCGAAGACGACAATTGCCAATCCCCCGCACCAGCTTCCGAAGCGGGTGTTGAAGCCTCTTCCAGCACAACTTCGGTCTTGACCAAGACTCATGATGGCGGAGCAAAGCCACGAAGAGCTACAAAGTCTAAGCAACCACCTGCTCTTGCTCGCAATGCATCGTCGTTCTCCACGCCCGTCACAAGTGACATTCCTTGGCCAGCATATTTCCAGTCTCTCGAGAAGACCCACCGAGCACTGAACCTCGTCTTCACGTTCTGTTCTACACGAAAGCATCTAGCGACCACCTTTGATACAATCAAAACGGCTGTGGAAGGGCATACAAAGCGCACATTGGAAATTGAAGAGGTCGCAAAGATTGTGGCGTTGAGACCTGGGGGCATGAACTTCTCTTACGTAGATGAAGCCATGCTACAAGTGGATGTGCGGGGCTCGGAAAGAGATGATACATTCAAGGGTGGGAGAGCTAAGAGTTGGCATGCTGCTGGTCCACCTCCTGATGTCTCTGTAGGTGGAGTGACTGGCGGCGAGGGGCTTGGTGACGAAGAAATCGGCGATGGGAAGGAAGTATTGTTCTTCGAGTTTGTTGATGGGGACTTGAAGCGACAAGTTGAGAACAAGAAGACTGGTGAACCAACCAAGGCTACCAGAAAGTTGAGAGACGAGGATCTGAAGATGCCGGTCTTCAGCCAGAAACAGATGATGGGGCTAATTGAGAAGAGGAATAAGAAGTTTACGAGTGCTATCAATGCTTTCTTGAATCGCTGTCGAGAGGAGAATGTGGATCCCGCGCAGACTTTGGACAAGGAAGCTGAAGCATATATTCCTCAGCCAAGCGTCTCCCGAAGCACCACACCGAAGCCGGATTACAGCATTCTACCTAAAACTATTCCTAAAGAAAGAGAATCTATTTCTCAGATTATCAAAGAGCTTAAAGACAGCGAGTGGTACACTGGACAGATTGTCCCAGATGGACATAGAGTGTTTGATCCTCAAGAGGCAATCTATGGTGATTTGAACTTCCAGCTCAGTCAAGATCTGGTCAATGCTCTCTACAACACGAAAAATATCACGCAACTCTATGCTCATCAAGCCGAAGCTATCAACAATCTTCATGATGGACACCATGTCATCGTCGCTACTTCTACCAGTTCGGGAAAGTCTCTGATCTACCAGATCCCGGTTCTGCATGAGCTCGAGCGAGATCACAATACTAGAGCAATGTACATATTTCCCACCAAAGCTCTAGCTCAGGACCAAAGAAGGAGTCTCAAAGAGATGATGAGATTTATGACTGGGTTGGAAGAGACCATCGTTGAAACCTTCGACGGAGATACCGCCATGGCGGATCGCAATCTCATCCGTGATGAAGGCAGAATCATCTTTACCAATCCGGACATGCTTCATATCACAATTTTGCCCCAAGAAGAGAAGTGGCGTACATTCCTCAAGAATCTAAAATATGTGGTAGTTGACGAAATCCACGTATACAATGGCTTATTTGGCTCTCATGTTGCTCTCATCATGCGGCGTTTGAGGAGGATATGCACGGCGGTGGGAAACCGCCATATCAAGTTCATATCTTGCTCTGCTACTGTAGCTAATCCTTTGGAGCACTTTAAGACTATTTTTGGGATTGAAAAGGTCGAAATGACAGATTTCGATGGATCACCTTCGGGCAGAAAAGAATTTCTGTGCTGGAATACGCCGTACAAAGATCCTGGGGACCCTGCTAGCGGGCGCGGAGATACAATGGCTGAGGCTGCAAGATTGTTCTGTCAACTGATTCTCCGAGGAGTTCGAGTGATCGCATTCTGTAGAATCAGAAAAGGCTGTGAAGCTCTTGTTGGAGCTGTCAAGACCGAATTGACGAACTTGGAGCGTGCAGAATGTATGGCTCGAGTGATGGGCTACAGAGGTGGTTATACTCCCCAAGACAGGCGCCGTATCGAGAGCGAAATGTTCGATGGAAAGCTGATGGGAATCGTTGCTACTACGGCACTTGAACTTGGAGTCGATATCGGATCACTTGATGCTGTCATTACCGTCGGATTTCCATACTCTATCGCAAATCTGCGGCAACAGAGTGGTCGGGCTGGCCGAAGGAACAAAGACTCCTTGTCTGTACTTGTAGGAGACTGTTTTCCTACGGATCAATTCTATATGCAGAATCCAGATGAGATCTTCACGAAGCCCAATTGCGAACTGCAAGTTGACTTGCAGAACTTATTGGTGTTGGAAGGACATCTGCAGTGTGCTGCATATGAGATGCCTCTTCGTCCAGATGAAGATGCTCAATACTTCGGCAAGAATACCCAAGAGCTTGCTGAAGAAAGAATGACAAAAGATGAGCTGGGATTCTACCATTGCCATGAACGCTTTCGACCTGTGCCTTCGAAGTACGTCTGCATCCGAGACACCGAAGAAGATCATTTTGCGATTGTGGATATCAGTCATGGCAAGAATATTGTCTTGGAAGAATTAGAGGCATCTCGAGCTTTCTTCACATTGTACGACGGGGGCATCTTTCTCCACCAGGGCAATACATATCTCGTGAAGGAGTTCAATCCAGAACGTAAGATAGCCAAGGTAGAGCTCGTGAGAGTGGACTGGACAACACAGCAGCGAGAATTCACGGACATTGATCCTGTTGAAACAGAAGCCATTCGTCGTATCCCTAAATCGCTTTCTCGAGCGTTCTATGGCCAAATCAAGATTCAGCAAACAGTCTTTGGCTTCTTCAAGGTCGACAAACGTAGGCGCATCCTGGATGCTGTACAGGTCGATAATCCTCCTATTATTCTGTTCAGTAAGGGGATGTGGCTAGATGTCCCGAAACAAGCCCTCGAAATCCTGGTAGAAAGACGGTTGAACGTAGCAGGTGCTATTCATGCCGCAGAGCACGCAGTACTAAGTTTGATGCCAAACTTCGTGGTCAGCATGCCTGGCGATGTTCGTACAGAATGCAAAGTACCCCAGAAGGAGTTTGCGCAAAAAGAGTCATCTCGCAAACGTCCAGCGCGACTCACATTCTACGATGCCAAAGGCGGGGCAGGCGGGTCAGGTATCAGCACGAAGGCATTCGAGTTCATTGATTTGCTGCTGAAGCAAGCAGTACGGAGAGTTGAAGCTTGTCATTGTCATGAGGGTTGCGTAGAGTGTGTCACCAGCGAGCTGTGCATGCATGCTAATGAGGTCATGAGCAAAGCTGGAAGCGAAGTCATTTTGAAGAGCTTGCTGAATATGGAGATCGATATAGATGCTCTGCCTATGGGCCCAGAGGAGTTCAGTCCTGCTGGTATAGAGACTGTGGTTCTTGCACAGCCAGTATTGCCTCGAGGTAGGATGGTGGATGTTGTTGATGTCAAGAATGAGGGTGGGGCGAGGAGAGATCGGGTGGTGGGACATGTGGATGAAGATGGCGTTGAAGAAGCGGTTAGGATCAAGGCTGAGCCAGAGGATTAGGCGCTGTATATAATGATTGACGATGTAAATATTGTATGTTACACAATGGGACGACATGTACACCTGAAGCAGGAGTCTGCATGGAAGTCTCCTCAGCCTCTAGCAATCTCACAGTCTCGAGTTTGCTAGAAATGCTCATGACCATATCACCCGTTGCCTTCTCATACAGCTACAGTCTAGTAGAAGAAGATAAAGACCAGCAGTGTTACGTCTTGTCTTTATCCAGAGCTATGATATGATTTCTACTTCTTTCTTTCCTTCCAGGTGTGAAGACAGGCATCTCACTCTGTTGCGCTCAGTGGAACTGAGTCCTGTTCCCCTGAGCTAAGCGAGCTGTTCCACTAGTGTCCAAAACGATTTCTTGTAATAGAGCACTAGCACCAGTTGGGAAGTATGGGTATGCGCCTTCAAGTTCCTTATGTCTGCTCTTTCTTTCTTCATAGACAACAGCATTCTGGTTGGACTTTTTGGATCAACGTTTGTTACCAGGTCGTCAAAAGTTACAGCGCTCTTGTTGTTACGTGAAGAAGGTATTGCTTTTTTGGAAGGCATACTTGAGACCTCTTTGCGCTTCGAATCGCACTTCTCATAACCCAGTCCTTCAATTCAAGCCTGAATCTTCAACAAAACTCATCATGGAGCGCAACGATGGCAAAATGGCTGCCCGACACCAGAGCAGTAGCTCAAACCCTTCCAAACATCCAGTTCATCGCAATACCACCAGCACTACGACAAATGGTATGAATAGTACCAATTGGCGCCGCAAACCTGCCCTTGCTGTCCAGGAGGCCGAAGAACCTGAAGTCGCGGCAACTCTCAATCCACAGAGAATGAGTTCCTCCGAAGTTAAGAGTAGTAAGTCGTTTCGACTCTTTTAACTATTCTCGCGCTAATCAATCAGGCCTTGATGAAGAAGCGCAAACCTTAGGTCTCTTACATGGCATGTTCAATCGGAGATACGGCTCTCAAGTTACGTCTACCTCAGCCATGACTACCGCTGCCTCAAGCAGGACCGTTTCCAGCTCTGCAGATCACTTTACAGATTGGAGCTTCTTCCCTGGACCTGTTTCAGATTTCCAGCCCGCTCAGAGTCATGACACGGCTCTGACCACGGGTAGTCATTACGAACATTCCCAATACGCACAAAACAACAATATGATCCCAATGTACAATCCCAGCCATCAACCAAGCTCATTTCCATTCGATCTTGTCAATGATGGCTATAGCTTTGATCCTTATGGTCAAGGCACTGGTCCTTCCATGTTCACGAGATCCCAGGACTGGTCATCCACCACCCTTTCTACAAACGGTCAGACTAAAGTCACCAACACACAAAGCATGAATGTCAGCATGCTTGGTACAACTCCTCCTTCAGTTATTCAATCTCTCGCCGTTCCTATCCAAGCCTCAGCAATGATTCCTCTCAAGCAAGCAAACGGTACTCCATCGTGAGTTCCAACCCTCGGCTATGCTTCAGCAACTACAAGGCAGAGCACAGAGAGATGATTCCCAACTTGCTACTGGGACTAATTACCAAGGAAACATCTATACTGAGTCTTTCCTCTCTCAGGTTGGTGGACTTCCAGATGAGGAGAATGCGAGTCTTTATATCACGAATCTCTCATCAGGGGATTACAAAGCATTCTTTGATTTGATTTACGAAGGAGCTGTATACTCTCTGCACTTCGTTCCCCCGAGTGACGGATATGCTACATGGGCCGCTGATTTGACATTCATGTCACCTCAAGCCGCAGGTGCCTTCTTCAACAGAGCCAATAATGGCCAGATTCTCTATCATCTTGGAAAGAGACTCAGGGTGATGCGAAATCGTGTCGGTCGCCGTGCTCAAAATATCCCTGAAACTAGGGTTCTCCTCATCGACGTTCCAGCATGGTTGGTTACATGGCCAAACATGAAGGCGCATTTCGATGCTGCGTGTGTCTATGGCTTGGATCGATGGAGTCTTGGGGCAAGTCCGGACCCTTCTCTGGTGCGCATGGAGGTTAGGTTTGCTCGAGTCAACGGGCAAGCTCAAAGCTGCAAGCAAAAGCTAGACTGGTATCCAGCACATCAAGGAGTGTTGTTCACGCAGTACGGACCCGATCCGTGTGATCCTAGGACCAGAGTTTAAGCGTAACGCGCATCCATTTCAAATCGGAGGTTAAGAACATGTGGCAGAGAGTATCGATGGGTGTGGCATGATCCGGAATTGGGGAAGACTTAGGTAACGAGTATCATGGCGAATTTTTTCACTTGATTTTTTTTAATCTTGACGCCTTGAGCTGCAGCGGAGGACTTTTGGGACAGCCCAGGGGAGTTGGATTCTTAGTGCTAGGAAAATACGGTCTTGGATACAAGGTCGGGCGCATGTTGAGTATTTCGGAACTACAAAAAATTAAAATATAAATAGTAAGAATGTGCCTATGGTTCTGGAAAAGGTGACCGATAGAGCTGTACACACGTACCAGAAATCTTGATTTGTGTTGCTTTTGATATATTCAGACAAGAGATTTGAAGGCCGTGACCAACGACAGAGAGAGAAGAAGTTACTCTCCGAAAAGTGGCGTGTTCCTTCTAACACGTCTGCATTAAAACACGTCCAAGGGTCGAGATACTTCAACTTATCGGGCTTTTTATGGCTTCCTCAGCTAATCGTGTAAGGCCTTGAGTGACGTCCTCGATCCCAATATTCTTACGATTTTGAAATAATCTACTTTCTCGGTAAGTTCGCGCCTCTGAAAAGATACCAATGCTTTTTTTTTTTACTTATCTTCTGAGATCGTACAGTTTATTCTTTTCCGTAATCTCTCGAATGACATTATTTCTTGAAATGGCTTGTGTTCGATGAACATGACCTTAATCTAGAGTCCTCCCATGTCCAGTCTCGGGAAAATCACTACCTGACTGAGTCTTGTAAGTATGGGCTAAGCGGGCTGGTATGCTAATGCCCTATTATCTACGCAAACCCACACGGCAACGGGAAACTAGTGCGCCATTCAGAGACTATTAGTATGCGTCTTCACGTCTTTTCTACCTCTTTTTTCACAGAAAACAACATCCCGCCCTTTAGATCAGGACTTAACAGTTGCGATATCGGACATTGCTGCGCTGTCACTTCAATCATTCCTTGAGCATACATTACTCTTACTCATCAAGAGTTTACTTGGACAATAACACAGAAATACTCCATTCGAAGCCCTCGATATGGAGCGCAACTCTGTCGACTTGCGATCAGATGGCACTGGTCCTTACAATGACCAGAGCAATCCTCAACTCAACAACAGGGACACCATGGCAACTGTGCGAGATCCTGATCGACCTCAGATCCACCATCCTTCTGACCTTGAGGGTGCAATTCGGCTCGTTGGTGAGTTGAATCTTCTGAACTGATATGAATGTTTTCTAACTTTCTCAGAAAACACCCTTATTAGACAGAAACAGGATCGAGTAGCACTATGTGCGCATATTGCGTCCACCCAAACTACTAATTCGACTGTTGCGTCCACATCAACAATAACCACGATTGCAACTCTCTCCGTGCTTAATGCGGCTCAGACGATGCCTGGAGAAATCCCAAAGTCAGCTGCAGTGGGACCGGCTTCAAGCCCTAGAGCCCATCCAAACCATGCTATGCAACGTCGTCCAATCCGTCATCGAGAGTTCAGAAGCTCGCACATGCTTCTTCAATTCCGCGGTCAAGCCCGCCGTGACGAATCCCAGCTTCCACTGGGACCAATTATCTTGGGAATATCTACTCCAATGGATTTCTTTCTCAAGTCAACGGACTTCCAATTGGTGAGAACTGTGCTTTGTGGAGAACCAATCTTCCGTCCGTAGATTATGCGACTCTGTTCGACATGATTAAGGAGGGAACAGTCCGCGCTCTAGACGTGAAGGCTCCAACGGGAGGGTATACTACATTCGCCTTCTCACTCTCTTTTAATACTCCAGAGGCGGCTTTGGCATTCTGGAACAGAGCCAATAATGGCAATGTTCTTCTAATTGGGGGCAATGTGGTACGGGTCGCTGCAGATCGAGTCGGTGTTCGTCGCCTCGATACTATTGAAACCAGAGTCCTGATCATCGATGGTCCTAGCTATCTCGTCAATTGGCCATACCTCAAGGCGCAATTCGACGATGCGTGCTATTACAATTTAGATCGATGGTTCATGTCTCAGAGCCCCACACCGGGTATGGTTCGAATGGAGGTTCGCTTCGCTCGTGTCGTTGGACAGGCACAGAGTTGCAAGCAGAAGTGTGACTGGAATCCTGCTCATCGAAATGTGTTGTACACATAATACGGTCCCGATCCTTGCGATCCTCGTAACAGGAATTGACGAGGCTGTACGATGAGGAAGGTGGGGATCGTCGGGGTATGCCGGGGATGTTTGATTGGTGAGTAGGAGAACATGGGGCTTGGACATTCAGATTAGCTATGGTGAGAGTAAATGGGTTGGTTCTCACTTGCGTTTGCCAGTTGAGATCCTTCAGTATGCATCACGGTGCAATTGGTGCGCCGATTGAGAGGCTCACTGCACGGTCATGACAGAGAACGACGGTATTAAATGCATGGATGGGCTTGTAATAATATATGTGGCACTGAAGAGAAACGAAGAACAATAAAAAACATTCATATAAGTGTAATATGTTCTCATCATATCAGCGCCTGCGTAGAGCCCGCTAGCACTGTTCTTCTCTCTCGTGCTAGCACGTGTTAATGGATTACTGCAACACATAATCTGGTAGGTTATAATGCTTGACAAGTCCGGTAGATACTAAGGACATTCAGGGAGAGGCATAAGATAGAAAATCCTTGCGCGGCATGCCCTGTGGTCAAAAAGGTATCTGGGAAAATGAAAATAAAGTGCACGAAATTCTCGCAGCTGCAGATCCAATCTTCAGAACTTGACTGTGCAAGTTCCAACGTCATGATAGTTCATGTTATAGCATGTACGTGGAACATATATAGATGAGAGAGACTTGAGGTTTGCGCTTCGTCGGCGTGTTGCTAAGCGAGCACACTAGGCTCCAAGTCGCAGATACTTGCTTTACGGCTCGAGGCGCATATTTACTTCTTCTTTTTATATTTTCATGCACATGCACAGTACAAACTTCAAGATTTGACTATCCTTCGAATACTTTGGAATAATCCACTAACTATTTCGAGTATCCTCTTGAACCTTGAGGCTAAGATTCGACTCGAGGACAAAGGCAAAGACAGTTTCGACTTACTCGAGTCCAGTCTGTTGCCTCTTTGTTCCCGACTCCAAATCTTCCTAGGTCGCGACTATCTGATACCTTGTATGTCTGCTTGCGCCCCGAATCTTGACATATTGTAAATCTAACAAACACAGATTATTGATGACCATGAGTTCAGATACTCGCAAACACTTGAATATGGACGGTTATGATGACCCTGTGCGACGTCAACTGCTCCATGATCTCAGATCCGTACCATATCATAGACAACCTAGAGTTCAGACAATACACGCCGAGAGTGCATCTGCTGGTTCTCATGGAGACAACATCTCGGCCAATAATGCGCTGTCGCAAGTCGCAGGTCAGCTACAAATTTCTGCATATTGGTCACAACCTATTACTGACAATACAATAGATCTTACAAAATCTACCACTATGCGCCTCACAGCTTCATTGTCGACCCATGATTCCAACCTCCAAAGACAAGTTCTTGCTCAGCAAGGTCTGACTTCTGGGAACGCCGCTGCTGCACTACCAACTCATCCACTAAGTGTCGGGATGTGGAGAGAATCATTGTCACGCCCTGACGCTTTGCGCACAGAGAATGTCCAGGGCGCAAGCCTTAACCAGTTTGGGGCTGCGTCTACATTCAGACGCGCTACTGACGACGATCACCCATCAAAACTAAGCCCTGATCCTGCCAACGATTCGGACACTGCATCGGCTGAGTTTCATCTAAGTTATCCTGTTCCCTCAAGCCGTGAACGTCCATTCCGTCAGCCTCAAGGACCTCGAAATGTTGAGCAAGATCGAGGTTTCGACTGGCAAGGCCATAGCAAACTCCGAAACAAGTCCAATCTATACACCAGACTACCCTTTGACCCAACTGGCGGTGCCTACAATGGCTACAAGCAGTATCCGCCTAAGTGTGAAGAACAAATGCCAGATATCTCACAGGTCATTTCAAGTCAGACCAGTGAGTTGGCCGTAACCGAAGCCAGGTCATTTGGAGCAATCCAAACGCAGGTAGTCCCGACTAGAGGTCTCTGTCAACCTGGAGCTACCATGATCCACCATTTCCACCCATCTCAAGGCCAAATTCCTGGTCCACAACTCTTACCTTCGCAGAATACCAGACATAAGCATCAGGGCTCCTCGAGTCTTTACGCCGCACGCTTTATCAATCATGGTCCGCTAGAGAACCAGGTCTTAAAGTCAAACGTATTCCATCCTCCAACTGGACTGAATGGAGCACAACGTCGATTTGTTCCTTCAACTATGGCCTTGGAAGCGGCTGGTGTGACAAGTCGAGATCTAGCCCGCAAACCACTGGGATCTTCTTATCAAGGAGATGTCTTCGCAGGGTCATACTTGCACCGAGTCAATGGTCTCCCGGATCACCTCAATTCTGCGATTTGGATGATGAAGCTCCGGCCTGATACTCAACACTCCCAAATATTTGATATCATTCAATGTGGCAGTGTCTGGTCTCTTCATTTGAAACTGCCAACCGCCGATCATTCGACAATGGCCGCCCAACTCGCGTTCGTTAGTCCACAAGCAGCAGCTATCTTCATGCATCATTATCGTACTTATGGTATCCAAATTGCGGGTAATTGGATATCATGTATCTACGATAAGCATGGATCACCAGGCCACACAACATCGGAGACACGTGTGCTGAGGATTGAGGGACCTGCCACTGTGATGAATCCACAGTTCTGGGATGCTAAGTTCCGTAGCGCTTGTTCTTTCCAACTTGATCGATGGGGTTATCTGCAGTGTGACACTCCTGGTAAGCTCCGAATGGAGTTTCGATTCTCACGAGTGGATGGACAGGCGCAGACCTGCAGACAGATGATCGAGAGAGTGTTGGTTCATTATGGTATATCTGTCTGGTACGGTCCTGATCCATGTGGTCAGATTGGTAACAATAAGTGATTGGTTTAGTGTCAACGAAGATCCTGGGACTAATGGATAGAAAGGGATTTGGATCATCTTCTTCTGGCTAAGCTGCCGGACGCATGGTCACCGTAACGGATAGTCGTACGAAGCATTGCAACACAATAATACAAATATAATTAAAAGACTTGCGCTCATTCATATTTTGACTGTGTAATATATGGATGTAAATAGAGGTTCGAAATGTGAGTAGCATTGCGCTAGGCGAGAATGCCCCTGAATTTAAGCGAGCAGAGTAGCACCCGAAGCGAAAGGCAGCATTCACAGTCATTTGCAGCAATGAAGCTCTATACCATAATGTTTTTATCTAGTTTGACCCTGGTTGCGGCGCCGCCTATGGGCGATTCCACAGCGATAAAGGGTTGATGCTAGATCAGAGTAGAACATTTGCTGAGTTTGGGTCTGCACACGATTTGACTTATGAAGAGCTACTGGTTATGGTTTCAGCGGTTCTATGATGTTGATTATACAGTCACCGAGTTTATCTTTAGATATTCGATCGAGGACTTGAAAATAGCGAAATTGAGGTACGTGTTGCAAACCCCACATTGTAAGAAAATGCAAGTACACAGGATTGAAGCCATTTCTACGCTGATTCTTGGCCTATGTAATAGCCACCACAAAGTTGACCATGTGGTGATTAAATTATATTGGAACTGGGAAAGTATGCTAAGTGGTCCGAGAGTCCATATACAGCAAAAAGAGAATGCACCGACACGGGAAAGTTGATCACGTGAGAATCGTCCCGGTGCTCTGTTGAAATCGCCAGGATTGAGAAAGAGAGGTTTAGTGGACGCCGAGAGAAGATTAAAATTTGAACACGTATAATTATCGTGCTACGAATGGCCTAGATGTTCGGACAGACAGAAAATAGGTGTGTATTGAGCAGCAGATGGATTCCTTGGCCTCTATACAGGATACAAAATCCAGCTAAATATACTGGATATTTCATCCGTAAAGGAGTATCAAGAGCAGAGATCCACAGTTTCCAACACCACAGACAAGGCAGAGAGTCTCATCTGGCCACGTCCGATGAGAAGAAATTTGGAGAACCTCAGACAAATCAAATTCAGGCGAAGGGACCGAAGACTCGTTCACTCGAGTATCTTCTTTCGATGTTCGGATTTTAGTTTTCCCTCGTAGACTAGAAAGTTGAAGCGTTCGCTAACACCTTACATTTGCGACATCTGCCTGACCTCAATCATCTCCACCAAATATTCGACAGCATCCACTTTCTTCTGCAATCTCTCATTTACCTTCTGAAACAACTTCTCGATTTCCACACGGAAGGAACTATTCCACTAGATACAATGAATCCATTCTTTCCTACGTCAAATTTGACTGGCTATCTCAAAAAAATATGGTCTCAAGTCGCGACGAGAGAATGTGAGCAATGCACATCAGTTACGTGCTCTTGCGCTCAACGGGTAGTTACTACTGGAGCTATCCGTCTAGGTATGTATCACATACAAGTCATTTGATCACTCTAACAAAAATGTTTTAGAATCTCACAACTGCTCTCAAGTTGGTGGCATCCTGAGAGCTCGTGCACTGCCCTTTCAACCACATACAATGCAATCCCCACACACCAGCCATGCATCACAGCAGCATAAGTACGTTAACCCAACACCTGGCGTCACTAGCCCCGATCATGCCGCGCGAATGGAAGAGCGCATACGAGCTATGGCTCCTTTCCAAACACCACCCAACTCTCCATCCTTTCGCTTCGTCCCCCCAAGCTTCGAACAACCAGAGAGATGCGGTCAGACAGCCAACGTCAAAGACATTAGCACCATCCTATCTTCGACTGCTTTTGACGCGTCCAAGGCATTGGATGCAGATTCCCGCATGTACACAAGTTACTGCATAGGGTCTCAAGGAGTCTTGACTCGAGAACATGCCGATACCATGATCTCTAAGATCCTCACCGAAATCCCGAAGCCAACTAAGTTTCTACCTTCAAACATGGTTCTAGAAAGGGGAATGGCAACTGCACCGAACGTTGGTCCCGTCATCGATTCGAATGGTCAATACCAGGGCGACCGAAATTCAAGCGCGAATAAACATCAGGTTGCGAATCTCCCCAATTTCTGCAACTGTTCATTGTTCCTTCGCGGTCTTCCATCTGATACTCCACTTTCGGAATTCTTCGACTGCATCGATACTGGCGCTGTCTATGCACTTCACATCATGCCTCCGAATGGAATACATTACACGTGTGCTGCCAAGCTGACATTCATGACACCAGAGGGTGCAGCAAAGTTCTTGAACAAAGTTAGGGTCGGGATTTGTTTCGGAGGATACATCTTGGAGGGAAGATACAACAATCGAGAGGGATACATCCGCAACACTATGACCTTCAGCCGTGTCCTCTTCGTCGAAGGCCCAGAGCAAATGATGACGGTCGACTTCTGGTTTCAATACTTTAGACAGGTCTCTGTTTTCCAGTGGGATCGTGTTCTAGAGCATCCTCCAGTTCGTCCTGGTCGAAAGTGTCTGGAATTCAGATTCGCTCGCATCAACGGCCAAGCCCAAACCTGCCTGCAGCAGATCCAGCGGCAAGAGGAGTTCGTAGGATTGGTTGGTGCTTGGTATGGATTAGATCCTTGCGCTCAATTGGCCGTCCAAGGTCCAACGGGTAATCCGCCTCGAGTGACGATCGGTCGGGGCCTGAGTGGTCACTTTGGGTGAGGCTACATGCTTTAGGATCTCTTCATGGGGTGGCGAGCTCTACTTTTCTAAAGAAAGCGTCTATAGCAGCTGGCGCAAGCGAGAGAAAGAGAGAGAAGGGGGGGAGAACCTTCACGGCTGTAGTAATTCTGAATTTTTATTCCTTTTCACTTACACAGTACTGTATCATTTGCGTTTTGGGTGGAAGCCGTCTTGGAAGTGACCGTGTTCACTGGCTTGGAGAGCGTTGTCTCGATTGATCGCTCTGGATAGGACAAGAGACTATTGGAAACAGGGGTAGATAGCACTTCGCATGCCGAGTAGCAATTTTAAGATTTATTTGAATCTTGCGGTCTTTCCTAAGTGATAACCCTAAATGTTGTTCAGTCTAAGGTCCCATGGCATATAGTAGATGGGTGATTCTTCTCTGGCAGCAGAGTCTTCCCGTGAGACGAGATCGAAGTTCTTAAACATTCTTGACAGATAAAAGAAAACGGAATGTCAAGATGGACTGTCAAAAACTTCGCGTGTTTACGTCTCAAGAGGCACTGTAGAACCGGCTTCCAGTATTTTACCTTTCGAGGTCAATCTCCTCTTGATTAATTCATAATCGTGGCTAGTAAGAAGGCTATATTGGTAAGATTCGTGCTTAGTCTCAACTGCCGAATCCACTAAATAATATGGAGAATTTCCACATCTGATACTGGAGCAGTATTGAAAACGTGATGATGAAGCCTAAACACCTTGAAGTCCAAGTTTTGATTGGGATAGGAGTAAGAGCCAGAGAAGCAAAGAATGCCTCGAACATCTCCCAAGAATCCAACCCGAAATGCGGCGTGTAGTTCTTGAAAGAGCCAGTTCTGATGACAAGTTTTCTAGATGCTATGTTAAGTTGAAAAGCTACAAGATACTCTATGTACTTCCGGCAGCTGGGAACGATCTAGTTCTTGAAAGAAGAAAGGCCACTTGAGGCCTAGATAGCTGCTGTTAAACAATGCAGTTCCCAAGTATTCCCGAAACCTAGGTAAGGGGATTAAGCGTTGAGGATTTTTTGCGGCTTGGATTTACTAAAGGTCCAATGTCGGCTGACCTAACGAGGGCAAGTGAAAGGACTAAAAGCTTTATCAGCTAACTAAATTTGCAGTGCGTCTTTGATCCGGACTCTCTCAAAGTGAGCACTTAGAGCTCATATCGAGCTCTCAAAGTCAGCACTCTCAAAGTGAGCACTCTCAGAGCTTCAAAGTCCCCACCCTAGTCAGTGAGTAACGGTAAGCTATCCCGGGCTATTAAGGATTAAGGAAGGGTTAAGAGTTTCGGGTAAGAGAGGGCGGCACCGCCCCTTCCAGTCTCTAGCAGAGCCGTGGGTATGACATAAGGTTATATATAGACCCAAGAAGTATTTCAGAGACAATGTTAATGCGAGTGAGTTTGCGGATGAGTTGTGAGTTGAGAGACCAGTTCCAAAGCCAGGACTTTGCAGGTAGCCTCGAGGTTACTTGACGAGGCTACTGAAATCTTCGAGAAGGTCCTTAATCACCTACACGTGATTCTAATCGGTGAATCGGGGTTCTCTATGCGTAGGGAAATTTTAGGCGCGGCTGTATAAGGCTGGATTTAGCGTTCTTTTCGACAACAAAACTCTTCTTCTTCACAACACCAAGCCCGCCACACATCTTCTGCTGGTCAAGCAACTCCTTGTACATTACCCTCCAGTAATTCCTGCTTTGATTTCAAGCCAAGACACTATCCTCACAACAGTGTCCTGTATTGAGAGTCTTAACAGTGGATTTGTGCTACGGCAAATCCAATCCAGCCACCCTGTAACAACACGTCACCCCGCACTTTGGTTCGCGGTCGTCACTCTGTACTCCCCCTTCAAGACAGCGTTCGAGCTTTCACCGATTCTAGAATCGTACGATTTTTGGATTTTGGTGTTGATTCGATCGTGACGCCATACACCTACCAAGGGTATTGCCTCTGTACAATAAGGTAATGTAAAGTCTCCTCTCCTCTACCCCTGACTTTAATTCAGAAGCAGATCTCACGACCTTGAGCTTGTCTTGCTTGAAGCTTGCGTCCTTCGAAACTTTCCCCCTGAGGTCCTGGGCTAATCATGATTTTTTAGTTGATAGTTGGCTCTTGAATCTTTACACCCTTCAATTGCTACACTATTCGTCCTCTTTGCTGTCCGATAGCATTAAGAGAGAACATTGGAGCAGATACTCTATCCAGAGTCGTACGATTCAGATTTCTTTTGTAGGTGCTCGTCTCTGCGATACCGGAGCCAGTTGTTATTTCGATTCGACCTTGGGCTTCATCAGTCATAACAATACATCAAGCTTGGTCTTGATTGAGAAGCGCACGAGCACGCTTTGTGGACTCTGTGTCTCCATCATTGGCATCTGTCTTTCATCGTTCGTATCCCCTCCTCCTCCTTTCCACTCGGTTTTGCAGCCATCCAAGACAAATATTCACGCATTACCCCGCATCTGCTTGTCCCCCCTGAACTCGAGCCACTTCTTTTCTGCTGTATTGTTCCAGAAGACTCTCGTCCTAGTGGCTCCATCCATGTATCTTATTATTTCGGTGTTTCTAACAATAACCACAGAAGTTCTTGGAAGTACACACTCGATCCCCGTTAACACACACCGAAGTCTTCTCGAATAGAGTCTCGAACTGCTCCCCCCCACTTGAAAGTTTGACGCTTCTCGCGAGAGTATTCAGACTTTCCGTAACTATTGTTCATCCGTCTCCTTCGTTCTCGAAGTTCTATCTCGAAAGATGTCGGATCCACAAACTCCCATCCGCAATGCACATGGCAGAGCTTATGAGTCTCGACCCTCGGTGTCGTTCTCACGGGGATCAATATACACCACCGGAAACATGACTACCGAAGGACGCTATCCAGGAGCACTGCCAAGAGAGTATGTGCGTGATGGTGTGACCTTCAAGTTGGAGCATGGCATGAGCTTGGACTTCCACTGTGGAACCAAGCTGACCCGAACCTGTAAGAGACACCTTTCCGTTATGGTATCTTGAAATACTAATAAGAGTAGCCGAATTCCCATTCCACCTGCCGATTGTCGCTGAGAACTTCGCTGCTTTCGCATGGCCATATTATAGAACCCATGAAACCAAGAAGAGGTTGCTAGAGGAGTTGGACTTGGAGGAGGACCATCATGGCCTCGTTCATCGACGCGGCTATAACCTCCAAATTCCTCAAGTGTTAGGGCTAGGTGGAACTTCCTATCACAGTGGCTTCAGTCCTGTATCGCATAACCGATTTGCAGGCATGCCTCCTCCTGGATTACATCATCATGGACGATTCCCAGTTAGGGTTCCTCCGGGACTATATCGTAATGGCCACGGTATGGGTATGATGAACCGAGGCATGAGACCATTTGGATTCCGTACCGGATTCGAAAATCAGTATAGAATGCACCCCGTTGCGAGACCTGTCGAAGAGACTGTGTACTATCTACCAACACAGAGCGTTCGCCCAGGAGGCTATGTATATGTCCGAGAGATTGCACCGGGCAGACACCATCATCCAATCCGGTTTGGAGACATGGTACCTGCTGATCAATTTCATGGCCACATTCCCATTCGATCCCGAGAAATGGTACCTAATGGACAACATCAAAATAATCATCTCAGAGGCGATGGTTTCCACCAAATGAATTCAGGTAGACCTGTCATCGCTCATGCACCCGATGTCGCATCCGTCCGAACTGCTCCTGAACAGGATAGAAATGACCATCATACGGGAATGGATCCAGTGCAAATCACCGAGGCTGTTCAATTTGATGCTCAACCTAGAGCCAATCATCTTGATGACAACCTTCAGACTCCTTCCCAAATGAATGGACAAGAACCCATTGCCATGGAAGGAATCAATGAAGCTCCTGCACTGAAAGAGGAAGGTGTGAAGGAAGATGGTGTGAAGGAAGATGGTGTAAAGGAAGATCATGAAGATGGCTTATCTGAAACCATTACTCCAGTTGGTGGTGATTCGAGCGGACGCCAAACACGCGATTCTTCAGCTGAACCTGGTACGGTCCTGAACTCTACCCGAGTTGAGGAGAACCAGATCAGGTAAATTTGCCGAGCCCCTGATTAAGCGAAGGAGCTAACATTCTTACAGATCCGATCAGACACGCCAACTTTCAGGCCATACAGCTGAACGCTTCGCCCAACTAGCCCACCCTCGTCATCGAATCCACAGAGGTAAACGATACACCCCTAGTGATCAACGCCAAGAAGATCGTGACGACGAGACTGGAGAGGGTTCTAGCGCAGCTACTGCAGCCCCGGCTGTTAGAGCACCTGTCGCTAATCGATCCCTTGGTCCTGCAAGACCTCAAATTCCTCCAGAGCTCTTAGAGTCACTTGAGCAATATCAGGCTGAGCATGGTATCTCCACTGAAGAATTTGATCGAGAAAACCCTGGACCATTCAACGTTTCCAGAATGGTTCGAGAAGAACGCGCCGGCATCGTCCGAAGCCCCACCGAAAATCGTAGGTACCTCAGCAACTCGCATTCTAGAGCTGCTGCCAGAACCATCGAAGACCTGCATCCAAGCCTGAACTGCGTCTTGTTCTGGAAGGATTTGCCAGGAGACATCACGGAGAAAGAGATCATTGACCAGATCGATACCGGTGCCGTCTTCTCCGTCCACATCCGACCTGGAGTTCCTCCTCTACATCCTTTCCCGGCTGCTAACATTGCTTTCATGCGACATGATGGCGCTACGGCTTTTCTGAGCAAGGTCCGTGACAATAGTCTTTGGCTCCGTGGCGCTCAGATCGATAGCGCGAATGTGACCTGGAATCAACATGGCCAGCTCGACTACGAGAATCAAGACCGATCTCGTGTTATCGAAATTAAGGGTCCAAAGAAATTCATGAATTGGCCAGTGTGGGACGATTTCATGAAATCTTGTACAAAATATCAGCTTTGCTACCACCGCTTTCGTCCCTGCCCAGATGATGATTACCAGCGCATCTTGGAAGTTGCCTTTGCCCGGGTCGATGCCCAGGCGGAGGCAATTTATTATGCTATCCGCAAGCAGTAAGTTTCCCTTTCCTTTCAAAAATAATCTCCAAGCTCTACTATTTTGACCATTCATGATCATGAGAACATTCGCTGACAGTGTGCTCTGCGTAATAGACGAAGCTTCCAGGGCATTTTCGAAGTTTCGTTCGTTCGAGACCCATGCGAGCCAGAACTCCGCCGTGTTGAGAAGCAAGCGATCGAGAACTCGCGTTGGTGAAGCAGAGACGAGCTACCTCGGAACGTCGAGGTATGCCGCCTTCTGGAGATCAAGGCAACATGTACTACGGTCAACCGCCTATTCCGACTGGCAACATGACAACCTCGAATGTTGATGCAACTAGCGGCCAACACTACCAACAATCTACCGAGGTCTTTTCGGGGCTGTTGGGCGTTGAGTATTGGGCATTAGACATTGGGTGTTTGGTAATGGTGGTGGCGTCACCTTGATCTTGTTTCTGTTTTGTTGTTTCGAAAGTGTCATTAGACACATACTTGCTTGAGCCTTTCGGGGCACAAGATGTCTTAGAATAAGTCACGAATAGATATTTCGACCTTGTATATCCCATAAGAGTAGCTCGGTGATGCGCAATGATATATGCAACGACCAGACCCATGCGTATAGCAACGATTCTTTGCCAAATTCGAATGTTGATATATATCCTCAGGGAGGATAGCTATAGTTATAACGCCAAATTCGTGTGTGTAGCTACTCGATTCCTAGATATGCCATGATTTGGTTGGGTTCTCTGCCGCTTCATCGGAACTCGAACGTTTAGATCTAAGTGGAGATAAATGGCCAGTAATGCAGGAGTTGTTGGATATTTGTCGAAAGATGCGAGTGGTTTCGAGGAGGATTTGGATGTAGCGCGATCTTTCTCTAGCGAGACTGATTTTGGGAAGCCTCCCTGAGATCCTTGATGCAACAGCAAGGAAGAAGATGCCATTCTGTCACAAATGTTCGCTAATGTCTGGCCTCCATTGAATTTAAGAACAGCCTGCACAAGCATAGAATCTGCTCAGGCTGGACATGGTGTTGGAGTTGAATCGCTCCTCGTAGGAACTGATGAGCCATGCGAGGGCTGCTTGCTTCTTCCTTTCAATCCAACCTCCGGGGATGCAAACTGTCCAGGCGTGCGGACTCTGCAGTGCAAAATGATCGTGTGGTAGTGATAGAGATGCGGGACGTCTTAACACGCATTTATGCGTCTTTCTGGGCAGTTTGACTGATGTTGACAGAGAATACGATCGAGAAGCCCTAGCGAGAACCTCTACAATCGAGGCAGCTCACGGTGCTCGTCTCTTCCATGCTCGTGGGCGAAGTCTTCCTCAGACCTACGCCTCATTTGTTCCTTGCATATAGCTACAGCCATGTTACACTCTCTCGAGCGAATTGTTGGTTTCAATTATCGAGATTGGTTGATGAAGATGAGAAGCCGAAGGTGTTTCCAACATTATCTACTACTCTGCAAGTTGCCACCCTCCCTCCTTTGAGGGTTCAGATCTCTCGTTGTGATTCAATTGTGCTATGGTTGTGCTGAAAGCAGTGAAGTTGTAGATGCTGCGGGTGTGGACTTGCTATCGGATCCATTTTGGATGATTTGGTTGGAAGAAAGTGAGTGGTGATTGTTACGCAGACTTCCGTCTCCGAAATAGGACTAAGGTTTAGGTAGCGGGCTATGAAGGAGAGGGTTTATATCTTATGAAAGAGATTGAATGCTGGTTGAGATTCTATCTGTACGCCCCTCTTTCATCTGTCAGCACTTTCTTTGGCGAGAACAATGGATCACAAACCGCCCAGATTAGAAAGTCAGACTTATGAAGGGTGTACTTATGTAGGAAATGCTCACCGAGGTGATAGATGCTTAGTGGTAGCAAGCATAACGTGTCGGTGTTTTATAACGGCCTGATAATCTTGCTCAACGGTCTGATCATCAGGAGATCAAGATCTTATACCGAGACTAGCCTCGAAGCTCAATCTCCGTCTGAAAATAGCTGCCGGATCTCAGCATAGCTAATGCTTTGATTGGAGTTGCTGATCGTCTGGCTGCGAGTGAAATGAGGACATTGAACGAAGGAAGTCGTTCGTTATATCGGCTTCTGGTACTGTACTCGTGGATCTTGTGTCAATCTTTAGACTAGGGAGATGGTGGAAAGGTACAGCGGGATCGAAAGCTATCAGCGTCTTGATAGCTATCTCGGCGCTGGGAAACGTCCTGACTGTCACGTTTGCTCAGGCGCGTGTGAACCAGGAGTTGGCAAAGGAGGGAGTAATTCCATTTCCCAAGTTTTGGGCATCAACATGGCCTGTGGGAGCCCCATCGGCTGCTCTGTTCCTTCACTGGATCCCGAGTTTCATCGTTATTCTGGCTATTCCATTTGGTGATGCTTACGACTTCATTCTTGACTTTGAGGGTTACCCGGTAGCGTTGTCGACTTTTTTGTTGCTCTGGGATTCTTCTGGCTGCGTTACAGTCAGCCCCAGCTCGCGAGACCGTTCCGATGCTGGTTGCCAGTGGCACTCTTTTACATGGCTGCGCAGGCGTTCCTAATGGTCGCTCCTTTCCTCCGACCGCCAGGAGGTGTTGGTAGCACTCCACCGCTACCTTACTGGCTTTATTCTGTTGTTGGAATTGCTATTTTGGTTGCCGCGGTGATTTACTGGTTGGTATGGGTTAAGGTATTGCCTGCCATTGGACGTTATAGATTGGTACCTGAGCATGAGAAGTTGGCAGATGGGACTGCTGTAATTGTTTATCAAAAGGTCAAGACTACTCAGTCCAAGGATGTGAAAGTATTCAGTGGAACTATATGGCAGAATGGATGCGTCTTTTAGATGACTGAGTATTTGGAGGAATCAAATATACTGTGCATGATAAGACGCTGGACTGATTTCGATAACCTTACATCACACCTGTTGATCTGTATAGCGTTTTCACGCCTAAATGCCAACAGAATTCGGACTCATTTAGCAGTAAGATGTAACCAATGCTGCAAAATTCCAAGGCCCAAAACACGGCCATTGCATAGCCTTTAATGTTGTATCAGGTAGGTATGAATGTAGCCTTCAACGAGTTGAGAAATTGTTTAACATTGTGCAATGGGACACAAACAGCTTTAATAGTGAGAGCCTGTTCTTTTCATGTAAACCTCTCTTGTTCCACCCTTAGAGATTGGTACTGTCATGTGTCTAGGGTGCATACAGGATCTGAGTTGTTGGATAAGGACTCCCTGAGGCTAGAAGGCACCCAAACTCCTCTAATATAGAGCTCTTTGGCTTGGTATCCTCGTCTCTGACACGCTTTTTCCTAGTCCTGGAAATTGATCGTGGCAGATCACACGAATTCGACGAAGGCCAAGTATTAGGGAGAAGCTGTATGTTTTCCAGAGGTCTCAATAGACCGAGACAAACGCGTGTCTCGCTTCCGCTGCGCCTTCCCATGCCGAAAGAATCAAGTGTCGTTGACTAGTGGACTACCATTGCACCTTCCTCGTTGGACATATGACATACTTCCACAACCATCAGCGCTTCGGAAGTCCACAATACCTCGAACAAACAGGGTCGACAAGAACTAAATCCAATAGAAAATCCGAAATTGCGCAATTCTTTGTAGCCGCAATGCCACTGATGTACACTTTCTGGAAGAATGGAGGAGGCGTCAAGCATGTCTCAGGAGAATTGCGAATGTTCAGCGGTAGGTACCTGACCCGAAGACAGCAGACTTCGACTAATTTATTGTTTTAGATGAAGACTCCCCACCAGCACGGCTCTTCTTTGCTCTTTTAAAGACTTTGAAACTGTGTGCTGAGAATGACAAAGGTAAAGTAACATCTCTCCTGAGCGCAATACTCTTCATGCTGACAGTCTTCCGCAGATCAGCATATCGCAATGAACAAGTTGAGAGCGTGTGTACGGGCTGTGTATCCAGACGGTAAAGGCTTTGAGAAGTGGCTGGTTCAAGAAGGTGTGGCTTCCTGTTGGATTTGCGCTTATCATGCTGACATCTGGATAGTCCGCAACTTCAGCAAATCTTGTCCGGACTTGGAAAACAGGGTATGCCTTGGAGAGATCCATCAAAGATTCTGTTACACGACTTTCGAATATCGAGATAAAAATCGTGCCATCTTCGAAACATCGGAAGCGCTTGTCAGAAAGAATCGGGCATACCTCGAACGAGCAAAGTATCTCGCCAGTCGAAGACAAGACTCGATGGAATCAAGCGGCGACTGGACATTGGTATAACGGATTGAAGTGATTAGTGGTATATGACGATAGACCGTGGGAAGTCATGGATTGGACAGTCATGACTCATGAGGGGCATCGATCGTTCTCTTGGTTATGGTGATCATTCGGTGGAAACTTCCGGTGGGCGAGCAGCATTAATTTGACGTTTGTACTGGCGTGATTCTGAAATAATGCAGACTTTTAACAACCTAGGGATCATTGACTAGTTACTTGATGACATTTCATAGCCAACATCTCAAAAATGTAGACAAGCAAAGTTTCTTGTTGAACAATTTTGTGCTTGCTTGTCTATATGTATACACCATTATTGAGCACCACCAACAGAATTAATAGGTTGGTCTTACATTTTCAAGGAAACAAGCTGGTGCGTGAAATATTTGCGTCACTATCGTCGGGTGAGTGTTACCTCTTTTTGTCTAAGCGAAATAGTCACATGTCAAGAGTTTGTGCGACAGCGCATTGGAAGCGCATACTTATACATTTTGCGGTACTAACTTTTGAAACCCGCAGCACATTCTCAACACCTTCATAGAGTCATCTTCTAGAAGTTGAACACTGTAGCAATGTCGCAGGACAAGATGCCGGTGATGCACATCAACACGCTTCGCGGAGGAGAAGCGCAAGTTGTGCAACATGTCGATGCAGAGGGTATGACTTCAACTCAGGCACAGATTGTTCGTTTACTAACGGTTATCAAGAGCAAGATATCAAGTACCAACGCTACTACACCTTGATGAAGGCAATCGTGGCCGCGGATGAGGAGTGGGAGGGTAATGTCTCTTGCGCCTTCATCCTCGTCATCTGCTGACAGCTCCATACAGATGACTACATTTCCCGACATCAGTTGAGAAAGATCGTTTGGGAGATATACCCTGGAGACAAGGAGTTTGAGAAGTGGTTGCTTCTTCGAGGTATGTATAATCCAGCGCGAGACGCAACCTATGTTAACTTGCGATAGTAACACATTTTCCACGCCACTATCCTAATTGGAGAACTCAATTCGTCGAGAGTACCATTAGGATGCACTTCAGCCGGAACGCATTTGAGCACGAAACCAGAAGCTTCCAAGCAGCCAATTCAATGAACAGCCTTGGTCCAGCCCCCCAGAATTATATGGTAGCAACGCTGAGCAATGAAACCGTACGAGGTTCTGCATTTCCAGGGCAATCCATCGATTCAACCAGTGGCATTCAGAAGTGTCTGAGCTTTACATACCCAGGACAAAGCACTGCTCCAACTAGTAGTACTTAGCAACATCCAGCTGTCGCACACTCAGGTCAACCCAACCCTCTCCCATCATCTACCAGCGGTATTCGGCAATGTTCCGTCTTAGTGGGACAGGTATTGCCAGACTCTCGGGGTATGGCCGTCCAGACGGACTATGAAGACTTTTGCCCCTTCTTGGGCTCTTCTCGGAATTCGACCGCCCATTACACAAGAGGTTTTTGACACAGCACAGCAATTTGGGATCCAAATCAACCCAAATTACCAAGGAGAATACGGCGAATTCGCATTCAGTAACTCAGGCTGTTCCCCCAACGAAAACTGCGCCATCTTTATTACAAGAATCCCTCCAAATGCGACTAAGAAGGAGATCCTGGATTCCATTATTGAGGGCAAAATCTTCAACTTCTCAAGAACTTCACCTGATGCTGTGCACGACAATGCGGCGGCTCATGTTACCTTCTTTGAGCGTTCGGCGGTCGATTGGCTCCTTCAGCGCGCTGAATTAGTAGAGGGGTTTCGAATTAAAGGATAGAGAGTCGTTGTGAGAGAGAATAAGAATATGGTGCGACCAAGAGATTACCGGGAGTGGTTTCAAAGTCGTGTGATTCAGATCAAAGGCTCACGGGAGCTCATCTCAACCGAAGAGATCTTGGAGATGCTTCATATGAAGATCAGCTTCGATCTCATCAACTGTTCTGAATGGATCGACGTCGATGGAGAGATGGTTTTGGAACTCACCTTCGACGCAGTCCTGGCGCGCAGCCGATCAGCTATTGCCTGCCTATTGCGTAGCTGGAAGAATACCGTTCGACAAGGCCGTTGCTTCTGTCGTTATGCTCCGGACCCATGTGACCGCTACCACGATGCTCGGTTATATGAGCCAACACAACGAGTATGCATTTGATGGAAACAAGTGATTTTGAACCCTGCGTATTGGCGTTGATTTGGTAGAGTAGATGAAGCAATGATAAAGCATAAAATACAGGACATGATCTTGAAAGTGACTGATCTTGATAATCTATTTCAAGGCCGGTGTCGAGACACAATACCCGTTATTCATCTCAACATCTGAATAGTATTTCATCCAATTCTAACAAAGAACATAACTTGTTCCTGTAGAGCTCTGAAAGTACCAGGATCATGGAAAAACCGAGTATCCTCAGCATCATCGATCCTGCTGACTCTGAATTGTGTTTACATCTAAACCATTACCCGGCTCGAACATCCATCAGATGTGATTCTTCTTAGCCCCGTCCAAGAATAAGCAAACGAGAGTATGCAGTCTTCCCTTGTAAACCCAGGGAACACGACACAAGAGGCCTCGATCGTCAATTGACTATCGACGATACATTGAATGATTTGGGCAGACTTGAAGGTAATATATGACTTCTGTTGACTGACATGCTGCAGGTGTTGACCTTAGGAATCACCCTATCTATAGTGGAGATTCTTGACTTTCTTGGCAGAATTTCGTCTTCGATATAAGCTCACGTACTTTTGGCAAAGCTCTCTGAGTACAGGCGGTGCATCACATACGTACACGTAATCAGATACTTGGACGAACCGCACTGGCGGCTATTGAAAGCAACTGAGTATATTCTGCTAAATCTATGGAGGAGCCTATGGATGCCATCTTGTGAAGTCAATATGCTTATACGTCTCAACCTCCTTCAATGCTAATACAGATAACAATACTAGCACACTTCACGCGTATCTAGTTAAGATGTGAAACAGCTTCCAAACAACCCTTGTGCGATCGTCTTATCTTCCCATCGCCCAAGAAAAATATTACACGAAGAGATACTCGGCTACGTTCCTGTCGTATACACAATAGAATATCGAAGAGAGGTGCGATCAGCTAAGGCCAAGAAGTCTCTTCGCAGTAACAGCAGCGGCCGAGATGGCGCTACTTTCTTGGTCAGGATTTGGGTAGTAGAACGCAGCAACAGCAATGTTGATGTATACAATCACACAAAGCGAGCCTTCGAGGTAGTTGGACTTCTGATCGCGTAGAAAGTTTCCAACCACAAGGATTGCCAGGATCAAGACGATGATGTTAAAGAGGTCAAAATTCAAGTCCATACTCTTGTTCAGGCCCCATCCAACCAGGACAACAAGAGGGCCATTGAATAGAGAGGTTTGAACAGTTGCACCGAGAACATGGGCAAGAGCCATGTTCATCTGGTTGTCCCAAGCTTCGTCGATAGCTGTAAGATGCTCTGCAAATTTTTCAACAAGGGGGACAAGGATCAGGCCCACAAAGCTGTCAGACACACCCCGGTCTCTGACAATGAACTCAATCTCCTCGACCAAGCTGATGGCGATGATGGTGACCAGTGTGATGGAAATAACAAGGGCGAGAATACATTCAGTGAAGGTCAGCTTTGGTTTGACATGCTCCCCCTTGTGGGCATCGTGGTCCTTGTTCTCGTCTTCCTCGAAGATTGCATCGTAGATGCTTTCATGAGTGCGGATTTGGAAGTAGGTATAGACTGCATAGGCAATGATCAGGAGGATAGCCGTGATGCGTGAGATATGGAGAACTCTGCCGGCGACATCTCCAGTGGTGATGGAACTGTTTGCAGTGACTGCAGTGTGGAAAGCAGCAGGTACGATGAGACCGAAACCACTTAAACTCTGTTAGCTGATGTACTGGGAGGACAGATCGTCGCACCTACGCCGTTAAAAGAAGATCACTTCCGACCTCACCCACAGCTTCGTTAAATTCCAGCTCGTTGTGACGAATACCTCCGACAAAGAAACACAATCCCAAGCACAGCAACTGAGTGGCCAAGACCGAGCCAAGAATGGCAGCTTTAATGACCTGAAACTGATCGTTCTTCACCAGAACCATGAACATAACGATTTCAACCACCGAGCCGAGAGTTGTTTCCAGCAAGACTCCAAACACCTTATGCAGCTTTCGACCCATCTCCTGTCCAGCAAAGCCAATTAAATTGGCACAGGGGACCATGGCAATGTAATTCAGGATGAATATGGCGAGATGGAGGTCGTGGCGAGCATACTTGACAGCAATGGCAGCTGGTACGACGGGCCAGAGGATGTTGCAAAGGCGAGAGGCTCGATTGGTGGAACGCCAGCAAATTCTGAAGAAGTAGTATGGGTGTATACCCTTTCTGCCACTCTCTCCTGCTGGTTGAATTCCTGTTGTGGTACGGATCAGCTCTCGAAGTGGTCGTTCTGTATTATGGATATCGTGGGTAGGGAGAATGCTTTGGGTCGAGTTGTCAACGTCTTCAGTACGAGAATGTGTTCGGGATTTTCCTGGCCCCATTTTGACGTTTTCTGTGAGTCGTGCTTCTCTGTCTAGTTGTCTTGTTGTTTTGATTGAGGATGTCCATGATCGAGGAAGTTGAGAGCAAATATAGTAAGATTTTTGTGTCGCTCTTTCCTTGATTGTTGTTCGTATTTGATGGTGTCGACACTACTCAGTTGAAAGTGGTAGTCGCGAAGCTGTAGAAAAGTGAGTGCAGCAAGAGCATTGCTATGATTGACGAGCAGAAGTGAGTAGACGAAATTCACACTACCAAGAGCGATTTGCCATCTGCATTCAAGGGGCAGTTTACCAAAACGCTAACGACCTGACTCACTCATTGACAAACCTGACGGAGATATGTACATCTTTCGAAGTTATCCCTACGTTGCACCCGCTCTCTGCAACCGAAGTATTGCTGCAGGTGGTTATTGAAGAGAGTAAAGGGCCTAAGGGAAGCTACACATGACGCGTTCACTCGCCTCGCGTTTGTTTCTCTCCTCAGGCAGCCATATCACACACTAGGCTAAAACAGGCAACCCTGCTATCGAACATCAAATGCCGAGCGTCTTGTATGCGAAACGACTCGGTATCCCGCTCAGCTTGATAATCAAACTTCTCTTCTCTGCTCATTTGGCCTCCTCGTTCCTGATTTATAAAACTATGGGTCGTTTCTACACTTAATTTCACCGCATCCCGCTGCACTCTAGCAATGCGAACAGCGGGGCGGTCGCTTTGTAATCATGTTTTCGACGCTACTTGAAAGCTTAAAGGCTTGAGATTGCTTGAAACAGCTTAGTAAAGGCTGTAGATCTCATGGAGATTGTACGACATGCTCGCGCCACGCCATTGAGGACCAATCTGCTTCCAGGACTATCGGGTTCAGACCTGACATCAGTGGCATATCACGGACTATCACCGAACGATTCTGATGTTATATTCGGCATGATAGAAAATCAAACGAAGCCTCTTCAAAGTATAAGTTTGTCGTTTCTTCTCTAGTCCTCACATTGTTCAACAACATAGCACATTTCCATTCCGTCATGTCATCAGCAATTCCCAATGGTTCTCTCGTTCTTGTCACTGGAGTCAATGGCTACATTGGTTCTCACATTGCAGACCAATTGCTTGAGGCTGGATATCGTGTACGCGGAACGACTCGAAATCTGGAGAAAGTAAAAGGTCTCCGTGCTTTGTGGGAGGAGAAGCATGGCACAAATAAAGTCGAATTCGTCGTTGTGCCAGACATGTCGACCCCAAGGGCTTTTGACGATGCAATCAAAGGTACTCACAGAACTTTCCAATAAATTAAACTCAAGCTTATTCAAAATTAGGTGTTTCTGGAATCGCTCACGTGGCCTCGGACGTGTCTTTCAACTCGGATCCCCACAAAGTCATCCCAGTTGTCGTAGATGGCATCAACAGCATTCTCAAAGCGGCAGCCAATGAACCCAGCGTCAAGCGCTTCGTCTACACATCCTCTTCGGCCGCCGCCTCAGCCGCCATTCCGAACAAGGAATTCACAATCGACTCAAGTACATGGAACGACGTGCAAGTGAAAGAAGCTTGGGCTCCACCACCATATGAACCCGAGAGAGCTTTCGTCGTGTATTCCGCCAGCAAGACCGAAGGAGAGCAAGCTTTGTGGAAGTTTGTGAAAGACCAGAAGCCTGGATTTGTAACTAACTCGATTCTGCCAAATCTCAATCTTGGCAAGATTCTGGTAAAGGGTCAACCTGCCTCGACATGCGGGTGGCTTGTTGCTCTGTACAATGGCGACATTGGGCCATTGAAGGACTTCCCTCCTCGTTAGTATATTTCAAATAAGCAAAATAGTTTTATATTGATATGCCACAGAATATTTCGTTGATGTCCAAGACTGCGCAAGACTTCATGTCTCAGCACTCACCAACCCCGACGTCAAGAATGAACGTCTATTCGCTTACGCCTCACCTTACACTAACAAGTAAGTATCCCTAACTCACAACTCCTTTGTCTATATTGATGTATTGTTAGTCTACTCTTGAGAATCCTCCGTAAGCTGCGACCCGACCGGAAACTTCCTGAGGAGTGGACAGACGAGAATGTTCGAGATATGTCTACCGTCAAGAACGAGCGCTCAATTGAGCTCCTCAAGAAAGACTGGGGACAAGAAGGCTTCACGAGCATTGAACAGTCGATCAAGAACTGTATTGATAATTTGTGAGGTCTAGTCTTGCAAGGATAATTAATATACTTTATATTTCGACATCAAGGTTTCGACCACGAATTCCATCAAAATTATTCATTTCCTAGTTCTTCAGCGCATATCCTTGTAGAAATACACAGCAGTCTTCAAGCTCCCATCAAGTGGTGAGATATCACAACCAGGTATTTCCCCAACCTACATCCTTGTCAGTCTTTCCGCACATCAACGTCTCCTCCCTGACTATTCAATACTCACCTTGATATATCCTAGCTTAGGATAGACAAACTCAGCTGGATTACCCTTATCAGTATCTAACATCCATTCTTGTTAACCTACATCCACGATATCAACTCGAATCAGACTTACGAGCAACTTCCTTCCTTTCTCCCTCGCGACATTCTCCAACTTGGCCATCATCCTCGATGTAACCCCCATTTTCCTATATTCTGGCGGGACCAGCAGTTTCTGGACCTCCCCTCTGAAGGGTCCCTAAATATTCGCGGTAAATGTTAGTTAAACTCTTCATTACGTTTCCGACAACCATATTCTGAGTTGGGATGTGCCGAACCCCGTCATTTCAGAGCCATGACTCTCCCCCACAACCAAACTGAAAAGTAGCTTACCGTCTCCGTGACCGGCATCTCAAGCATCACCACACCTGCGACTTCTTCCTTACCAGTTGTAGCATTGGAAGCCATCTGCATGATGATAACTCGCTGATCTTTCTCCACTTCCTTCGCACGATCTTGCCACCAAGAAGTCATGACTTCTTCATTGAGAGGAGGGAGGAAGGTAGCAGGAGTGTATGGCGGTTCCATGATGCAGCGCATATGAATTTTGACTAAGGAGGGAAGGAGGTGTGCGTGTTGGGTTGGGATGTACGAGATTGGTTCGTCCATTTTGTGATGCAATAAATGTCACGAATATATATGGAACGAGAAAAATTTGGGAGAGTGAAGAAAATTGTTGCAGCAAGTTTGAGGCCATACTTATAGCTTTGGCAAACTGCAATCAGCCTTCGTGTAAGGGGCTAGACTCTGGGTCGAGTTATACTCAATTCAGAGTTTCGACCAATGAGAAGCTCAGGGACCCGCTAAACGCCCTGATATCGACTTTGATGCATCAGGATGATCAGGATGCAAGCGAGAATTGGAATGACCACATTCTAAACTCGAGTGTATAGCGATTCTCTTCAAAAGCCAATGAAACCTGCAGCGAATAAGAGGGCAAGTCAATCGAGAGGGGGATAAACGAAGAAAAAGCTTTCAACGATCGAGCTGCAGTTCGGAGGGGTGGATGACGTCCGAAGTCGTGATACCTGAAGCTCCATGCTCAATGCATGGTATCAAGATGGAAATGTCACTGAAAGAGAGTCATCTCCCTCTGGCTTGGTAATCTACGAATTTTCGCAGTAAAGGTCCGCAGCTGAATTTGAAACAAGGATTGGACTTGAAGCCCTTCTGAGATCGGGATGTAAAATGGAGTTGAGATGGCCTGCCTAACCAGGCTATGGAGTTCGCTGTGGCACTTTGCCTAATTGAGTTTAAAACTCGGGGTTCCTCACTAAGCCCACATTTCTCCCAAAGCCTTGAACTGAAGTCGGTCCGGTGATCCTCACTTTCAACCTCCCCCCCAAAACACGCTAAGCAGCTCGACCAATCACAGCCTCAACCCTTTCCAACTGTCTATAAAGTTAAATAAGCAGATATTTGCCATATCTACTGAGACAGCGGCTTCCAGGGTATAGATGCTTGCGACAGTGGTCGTGCCTCTCTATATTCTCGTGAATGCTTGAAATACGAATGTCTCAAGAGCCAGCGGCCTCCAGGACTTAGATGCTTGCGATATTATCGTGCCTCTCTACTTTCTCGTGTGTGCTTGAAATACGAATGACTCAAGATTAGCCTCTTTAAACCCCACACTAGCTGTGGTGTTGGACACCCTCCTTCGGGAGGGTGAAGTTTTTGTCTTCTGGCTCTTCTGGATTTTTTTTGGCTTTTGGTTGGCAATCGAGGTTTTTTTTTAAGCGAGATCCGCTTTTTTTTTGGTAAAGTTGATTTTACCTCGGGATTTGTGCTACATTCATTCCATCTATGTCTTTTTCGTTTTCGTCTTTTGAGACGTTCATGCATTGAAATCACTTCTTCACTTTGTTGACTGATTGACACAAGTCTTGTGAGAGGCTCATTATCATTGCTGAGCGTAGTGAGATTGCAGAATTAGGCGCGACCTAGTAGCAGGTGGCAAGTTCCTGGTAAGTTCTTGGATACGACTTCCTCTTTCCGTCAAGCTAGGACTCATAGCGAGATTACCAGTATAATCTGCACCGAATCTAGACCTCTTCAGAGTCCATTTCCATCTTTAGACCTGAGCCGTCGCTACTCTAACCTGAGCCGAGCCCTGAGCCCTGAGCACGTTAATGAGTCAGCTGGATTTTGCTCTAGGGAGTCTTCTTTTATGCATCTGTGATACGGCACCTAGGTCAATCAATGCCCCCGTGACACTTACCGCGGAGGCCAGATTGATATATGTGAATGTAACGCTTGTCTGATACCGGGAGAAGGGAGAATAGAACAGGTAATACCGGAGCTCTTGAATCGCATAAAAATAAGCGAACAGAGAGACGTTCAAACAATAGCAACCCTGACCTCCTTGATATTAATATGTACGTACTGGGATGACCTCACTCCTGATTAAATAGGCTATCTCTTGGCTGGACTTTATGCCTGTACTGGGGATCATATACGGTCGGAGGAAAACCGAGAGTCCATGTAAAAGGACCACAACATAAATGAAGACGCTGACGCGGAAAGGAGATAAGAGGTGAGAGTAGAATATCACCTGTACATTCAAAGTAATTTACCTTTTTCGAGAAACCGTTAGCATAACTCTGCTCCTAGATTAACCAGCCCAACATAGTCCTCAAGTGCCCTCAAGCAGCGACGTACCTATGATGTCGTGGGCCTGTCAATTTGTAAATTTCATTATGGTTATTATCGATACGAATGACCGTTTCTCGCACGTGTTCGCTAATAGTATATCTTCTTGGGACGACCTGGGAAATTATTAGCTAAGTTAAAGGACCAGGACAAATCCGAATAAGACCAGCCTCGCCAGTCATACCAACGGTCTCATACAAGGAGTAGACCTTTTAATATAGCGACATTACGACCCCGAAGAGCGAGTTTCGCAAAGATTACTCGGCAGCAGTAGACCCCAATCTGCAGCGCTGCTTCTATCCTACGGCATCCCTCAAATTTATGCCAACCGTTGATTAATAGGCTGGCAAGTACTAAGGTCGATTCTTTGAGCCTCGTGAGCTGGCGAGTGCCTATATATATATATATTTATATGAGTAAGGTACTACTATATGTGAGATTTTCATAAGGCAATCCTTACCACTTTAAGTCCTCCCAAACTACGTGCCACCAAAATCAACAGTCTATAAGACTACAAAGTATCAACTCAGATCTAACACTATTAACTTGGAGGGCAGGACAAACCTACGTCTTCCTTGTGTACGTGTTGCAGCGCGATCATAAAATTGCGGCCCTATTGTGAAAACTTTTCGTGGGAGATAGCATTAAACATCTCCGTTACATGCGAGTTACATCCCCACGTTAATAGTCGCGCATGTGCGGAGTCTGGTTCCGCAGCAAGAAGACGAATGGCCAGAAAGTAATAGAAAGCGATGAGCCGGACCTAGAGCGCTAACTGGGGCCTAAAGGTTCTCTAAAACGATTGAAAGGATTCTTGAATTTCTCTACTAGTAGGCCGTGGAATTGAGAATACAGCGGTAAACGTAAAATCCTCCATCTTTGATCAATGGCCTTGCTCCCACTTGCATTTGGAGGCCTGATATTACTCCGCTGCGTAGAAATGTGACTCCTTTTATTGTCTCCTTCCCCAAACTTTTCTTACAGGAACGCCAGTTAATCTGCCCTTCCTTGTAGTACAGCACCATTGTGTATCCCTAACGTATACATTTACGCGCTCGCTAGCAACGGTTCATCATGCAGCCTTGCGAAACAAAAGTGCACTGTTGTTATTATGCCTTCGTGTGTGATTATGCTGGACGTGGTCGCAGGCCTATTTTGACACGTAGTTGTGTAAAGAAAGTCGATTTCGCAGCTGCGTTCGGGTTTACACCAGGGTCGTTCATGGCAAGGCTGATACCAATTGCTCTCTTTTGTGGCCCTAACGAAACATAATTTAGCGGTACGAATGTCTGAGCTGGCAGATAGCTTACAAGAAAGGCCACTGAGTGCCGCAGAGTTGACAGGGAAATTCATAACTGGTGCATTTGTTTGTGGGTTGACTAGTGGTGCTAGCTCATCGGTATCGTTCCGGAGGGAGGCATTGACAATACAGGCTGTCATGTTGTGGTTGCTAGTAAAAAGGGATATTAGACTAAACAATTCTTTGAAACTCTTGAAAAGGGAAACTTACAACGCAGTCAATTGTTGCTGGAGCTGCGCAAATGTTGGCTGAAGATCAAGTTGCTCAAGTTCGGACCTCATTGTAGCAAGACTGGATACAACAAGTTACAATGGATCGATCGTTGGAGAGACTGAATGCGGTGCTTTGTCTGTTTGATGCAAATGGCGGAAGGTGGAAGGTGGAAGGGATAGATATAGAGCATCCGGCAAGAAGCTAAAATAAGCGAAGCACCATGTTTGACATAGCAACGTGTAATGCCGATTTAGCGTAGAGACTCCATCACCGAGCGGGACGAGATAACGTTTCTGCGGAGAGGAGAGGCCGAAGTATAGCCGTTACCTCTTTATATCACATCACATATCTTCAGATAGCTATAAGTAAAGGCTAGTGTGCATGGCTGTTGCAGCTTGAAATCGATAATAGTTGTTAACAACAGCATCGAGCAACATATTTAAGCTTTTGTCTTTAGCGCCACAAAGAGATCATCGTCATCATCAGCAAACACCACATCAGCGACGAGTATATTAGCAACAACTGGACTTCGAAACTCTAACTTAGCGTTCGCTATCAACCAGCCTAGCAACGCAACGAAGACCCTAGAAAGAACATAAATTCAGGGTTAATTGATCAGGTCTGCCTGAGAATTGGAAATAAGCAATCTGAAGTGGGAGCTTCTCGGGCTACAGGGCAAGGCTCTGGCGTTGCTTCCGCGCCTAGAAACAACTCAAGAATCGTCAGCAAAGGTATCGGATTCCCTTTCTTTCAGATAAACATTAGGCTATCGAATTTCTAGAAACGTTCGGGATGTTTTATTTCACTGCAAGATTGTCAGACCATCGATCTAGTTACTATCCATGGATTGAACGGACCCTACGACGAAACATGGAGGGACACGAATCAAATAACAATTGGCCACGAGAGTTCCTACCGCAGGAGATCCCACAGCTTCGAATAATGTCCTGGGAATACGATTCTGAGATTTGGGGACTAAGTCTGTGGGAAATATCATAACATTCGCGCAGGGTCTTCGGGCAGATCTGAAAGTCTGCAGATCTGGTAAGGCAATAGAAAAACCTTTTAATATTCGTGTGTCATAGCCTTGGGGCCTTGGTCTTTAAAAGGGTAAGCTTGTACACCTTGTTTTGTCTCGCAGCGGATTTTGGAGCTGACATGAAAACAAATGCTTGCTTTGGCGCATGAGAGATCTATTTTGTATCACTCCACGGTCCAGTGAATTGGAAGTGTTCTATTCTTAGGGACGCCACATAATGGATGAGATCACGCCGCAATGATGTGCTAGCTAGCCAAATTAGCCAAGGTTGCTTTACCAGGGCATACGAACAACCAGCTAGTAAAAGCGCTTAAGCCCCAAGAGAAACAGCTTCTGGGAGATTTCGGAGTGTTTTGTTGAAAGGGGAGCACATCTTGATACATTATACAGCTTCTTTGAGGAAGATAAATTGTATGGTTCCATAGTAACTTTCGCTCACCTCTACCTGAGGAGGGCTAGTCTTTGAAATATCTTCAGCTGGTCAAGAAAGCATCTACATGAATTGCATTACTGAATGAAGAGCTTGTCTCTATGGCCTGCTGTCATTCAACAATCTGCAAATTCTCCTGTCCGGAAAATCGACAGTATGAGCGTGTTCTATCTAAGCTTCGAGAGTTCGTTGAAGTATTGAATGGCTGTGGCAGCTTGTGTATGCTTTAATCCTTTAAATATGTTTTAATGTTGGACATCTTCTGTTTTCGATGGATTACAAGCTACGATCAGCGATGCCGATGTATGATATTCAGTCAGGATCAGCTAATTCCAATCTCCAGTATACAAAATGGAGATTGAACTCAAGATTGCAAAGTTGCTGACTCGGCAATACAATTTCTCACATTCACCTTATTTCTGTAACAGCCGTTGAAGCCTAAATTTCACTCATGCACTCCATCGCCACTCCCGACTCTTTTCTCCTTCCGTCAGACCTTCAGTGTCCACGTCTCCGGGTCCCAGTTTCACACCCTGCTCTTTATTTCTTCTCCTGTTATCTGCTTTCATCCACAGACCAAGAATCAAAGTGCAGCAAATACAGATACCCAATGATATTGCGGTAGCAATTAGTGTTGGCAGGTACTTGGGAGCATATGTCGTGCGAAAGGTTGCTGAGTCTGTTAGCTTTGGAAGAGACAAACATCCGTGGCTTGACGTACCACTTGAGACAATTCCTGAAAGGTTACCGAGACCTACGAATACACCCGTGACTGCAGCGCGTTGATTCTCACCAAGAGAATTAGAATTGTGCCACGTGTGGACGATGCAGGAAGGGATGTAAGCTCCTCCAGCCATCAAGAACATCGCGAAGTATGCCACTGCTTTGTGGGCCAAGACATCGATACTCGCCAAGATAATCAAGCCCACCAATGTCAATGACATGGCGAAGACAAGATGGAATGTGCGTTCTCGGAAGTAATCACTGCTTTTCGTCACACACAGCAGAATCACGACGCCAACACAGTTCGGGGCCACGGTCCACAGATTGGTCTTGACAGTATCAAATCCGAGTCGACCGACAATCTGAGGCAAGAATGTCGAAGTTGTCGTGTAACCCATAGCGTAGGTGAAGGAGATGATGGCGTAGAGACCCATCTTCCATCCCTTGAAGGCTCCCATTGCTTCTCGGAGATTGAACTTCTCGTCAACATTTTTAGATCCGTCTCTGAGCATTCTCACACGGGCAGCCACGTGTTGTTCCTCTGTGAACCAGCGACATTGAGATGGAGTTGCTGGAAGCCAATAGAATGCGAAGAGTCCGACGAGAATGGTGAGATTTCCTTCGACTTGAAGTAGAAATAGGTCAGCGAATCCGAAATGCTAGCATTGAGAGGCATGAACTCACTGATAAATAGATACTGCCAGCCGAATAGCGAGGACTTGATCTGGAAAACACCGAAAGCCAAAAGCCCACTGAAGGCAGCAGCCACGATAGCTGACCCAAAGTACAAGGCAATTCTGAAGGCAAGTTCATTTCTGGTGTAGAAAAGACTGAGATAGAAGACCGTCCCAGCAAAGAACCCCGCTTCGAGTGAGCTGATACCCTACCATGTCAGCCTGTCCTTGATCTTCACGAGCATCCACCACAAACTTACCCAATGATCAATCTTAAGACCAACATCCCAGCAAAGTTCTTCGCCACAGCTTGCAACGTGGCTATCACACCCCAAGCCAAACACAAACTCGACAAGACCCATTTACCAGAGAAGCGCTTCGTGAGTAGATTCAATGGAAGATCCAAGAAACCATTCGGAATATAGAACAGCAACAGAAGCAAGGAGTATTCCTGTCCAACAAAGTGCAGGTCCTTGGACAGTCCATCTGTTTCGGCGTTGCTGATATTTCCGCGATCCAAGGAATTGCAAAAGTACATCAACGACAGGAAGGGGAGCAATCTAAAATCTAGCTTTCGGACTGCTTCGATTAGCTTCGTCTAGAGAACGGAAGTAAGAATGCTCACCATAAGATTTCTCGGCAGCAGGATCAACTGTCACGAATGAAGACTGCTCAACATCTGCGGTGGTGTTGATTTTCCTCTCAGACTTCGACCCCACCTTCTCAAGATCCGCCATTATGACCTGCTCTGATACCAAAGCTTCGCTACAAAAGCACTTTCTCTACAAGATCGACAATACCAAAGCTGGCCACGCCAAGTATCAAGAAATCTGCAGCGACCCAAACTGCTATATATATCTCCCAGAACCACAGACATTTCAAATCCATCACAAGCCCTATCATCTTCTCCAGCCAATGAACCATAAAAGCCACCCCTTTTCGGATTGGTCTTATCGCAATAACCTTGTTTCCCAACAAGTACTTAGTGGTTCAGACACGGAAGTGATTGCCCTTGTAGAAGAGTTGGGGTTGCATCAAGGATGGGGTTCGTTGGTTGATAAGGGCAAAAATGGGGGTTGTCAGTTCAACTTCATGATAAGGTTAGGGGTCTAGCTGTTCCATAGATTCAATTGAGCGGCCCTAATTCCGATGCCCTGGTCTCGGACCTTTGTTTATCGGGTAAGAATGGTTAGTTGGAGAGGGCTTTTTAGTCTTGTGCCATGCCTTCGCAGTGTTTCTACCTCAACCCACTTTCACTTTCTCATCTTGTCCGTCGCGATTGGTTGAAGGATAACTCTCTTGCAGGATGCAGGAACAGACCTAAATACCTGGTGGATAATCAATCCTAGAAGCTTCAACTGCCCAGTCAACACATGCACATCCATATACCACCTTCTCTCATCTGGACTTTCAATCTCTCGAATATTGATATGCACTCATTATTATACAGCACGCTAATTTAATTCTACTCCATGCCTATAGCATCTACCATCTCATTCGTAAAACACCAAGCATCTGACCTCGATACTCTGTCTACCTGGAGCACTTTCCGGGGTTGCCGGATCGAAGAATGCGGTATGAGGTGTCCTGACCGCCAGCCCCTTTTTGCCCAACGGCTCTCCTTCACCTGCACTATCATAACACTTCAACAGCATAACCTCTTCAGGTCGCATATCCTTCACATAATAGAACTTGTGTCCCTCCTTCGGCGCAACAGCGAAAGTCTCTCCCTTAGCCTGATATCCCTCCAAGCTCTGTAATGTCTTCTCATCCGGCAACTTCTCCTTTCCTCGATCATCATCATCTGCATCTGTCCGAGTAGGATACATCAGGTCCACAGCAATGAAGTCCGAGGCAGAGGTAGAACGCCAATCAATAACCGCGAGTGGAAAATCCGTAGCAGCGTTCTCGATGGGTCGCCATACATTGATGATTGCATATCTGCCCTTCAACAGCTCCTCGGCTTCTTCTGCAGGCAAATGTCGTCTTACTCTCGCAGCAGCAGCGCCTGGTGTTTGGTCGACATGTACTTGCTGGACTGGCTGTCGGGGAGAGTTCTTGTCTCGTCGTCTGATCGTGTGGTCGAATATCACCACCTTCTTCACTTTGCCGGGTAGGCGGGCTCGTAGCATTGCTTCCACTTCCGCATAGTAGCCATTTCGGATCGCAGACTCGTTTGTGAAGAGCTCCTCTTCAGCAGGGTGGTTGTATACTGCGAAGCCGCTGTTCTCGGTGGAGTACTGGGACTCGGCGCCTCGGAGAGAGGTAACATCTCGTTGATAATCTTTCAGGGTGAAGGACGTGCCCGGTCCATCGACTTTGCCCCATGGCTTTCCTTCATAGGAAGACTGGTCAATGTACTTGAACGTAGCGGTAGTCATTGTTGGTTGTTGCGAATGTATGAATCGTTGTGAGGTGCGGGGCAGCTGTGTGCGGGATATTTTGGTAGTCGCTCTTGATAATCTGCTGGCAAGTTGTCTGGAAACTGTGTTCATGCTCTATGTAACAAGATTTATGTAGACAGAAGGACTTGCTCTTTCTTCGGTTCTTTAATGGTCTGGCTCTTAAATATGGAAGTGGCATGTGGTCGGCAATAACCCTTTTCGGCTTTAACGATGACGTGCGCGGGGTCCCGAGGATTAGTAACACGCCTTTGACAAATGTTCCTTTCCAATTGAAGTTCTGGATGCTTTCCTTGTGAAGTCATAGAGATTGGTTACAAATACAGAAAAATTTCAGTCGCTCAGCAACAACATATCATGCTGCTTTGCTATTTCTGTCTCTGATTGATTGGCCAATTCCTTAATCTCTTGGCATATATCTTCAAGGCCTGAAAACGTTATTTATTTTCTTCTTTTGGCCTACTTCACTCATCTCGCATTATAAAGCTAAGTGATTTGAGTCGAGAGATTTCGAACACAATCCACTGCTGTTTCGAACTTTCGACTGTCGCACGAGCACGATTCACAGTGCATTCGTCTTTTACCAGGTCACTTCTTCTCAATTATCACTGCAATCTCCTACGAGTTTGGATTTTTCCATGGTCTTAATTGTGTTTGTCTCTGGAAAAGCAAAAGCTCCAGACAAATACCTACCTAGTAGGTACATGGTATCTTCATAGTCACGTGGAGTGCCTCAGCTATGGAATTGAAAGTCGAGCTTGTCTTTTCCTCTGCCATCAGAAGGCACATTGCACTTAAATTATCCAATCGATGGAGTACGGTAAGAAAACATCATTCAACTCTCCATCAGATAAGTTGAACTGTGCAGGTCACATGATGTGCGCTTCAAATGCATCTGCTTTTGAGGCTTGGATTGTGGATCTGCATACGGACTTCTTGTTGCATATCGCATGTGTTTGACAGCTTGTCAAAAGTTATAATCGATTGATAACTGGTTTGGTACCGGTTTTCGATTACTCCGTACAGATAGCGTACATTCACTTTACAACCGCATCGAGAATTGTCTTGGACCTAATTATAGTTTCTTTTTCTTGAACAATCATGCCAAACTCTGAGGAGAATGCTTATTAATCACCTCAGCTATGTCGGATGCACTAAGTAGTTGGACTGTGGAGTACGAGGTACAAATCTTACTCTTAAGCGAGCCCCTGGCAGCTTAGCGAGCTTCACCCCTCCAGTCTCACTACTCCTAGTAATATCGCTGCAATTTAAGAGCATTACACGTTGGCGGCCATAAAATTGACAAACCTCGTATGACTATATTAAAAGTTGGTAAAATACTGTTGAAAGCTGATGATGGTTTAGGCTTAAATGCGTTGGTTCTCGCTGGTGACCGGATTGGGATGCGAGACTTCGGAAAAGCAGCGCGATTTCGCTTGGATTTGTGATGTTGGTAAGAAACTTGAATGACACGCATAATGCACTGCTTCGAATTATTAGTCTCTATCAGACGTATGGGAATATAGTTGTTTCATCTCGCACAAACCCATCGGGTGTCTTGCTGGGAAAGCAATATCTGCAACTTTCAGCCTGAAACTTGTATGTCTCTCTTCAGCATCGGCTGCGAATCTTTCATGTACGTTGAGCAAGCAGATGTCAATGTACTCCTTACAGGTCGTACATTAAATTAGTTATTTGAAAAAAGAAGAATCGTCATCTCACCATACTTTTGCCCAAGTTCACATAACGACCAAGTGGGTGGAGGAAGATGTTCGAGCCGCCAGACAAAATGGTTTCAGGTCAGCCTCATATAAATGATGAAGCGAAGTTGAGCAATGTTGGAGATAGTCTAGGTGTTGTGATTGTTGCATATGCTTGAAATTATTTGTGCCTCACTTGTGTTCTCAACGTTGTCGTCTCACCACACCTCACAAGCAAGACCTGTCGATTGAATTAGAGCCTACTCATGCATTGTAGATGAAGCTTTCCACAATGGAGTCGAGGCTTTCGTGTTCGTTGGTAGCTTTTTGATGGATGGTACAAGCCAACATGTGGTATTGGGGTTGTAGGAAGACCATAAATAAGCCAGCTAGCCGTGTCTAAAGATATACTGAAAAAGACCTCTCAGCAACTTCCACTCATCTAATATTCAACCCTCAAGTGTCGATGCACTCGCCCTTCAGCTTAGAGTCCTAGAACTGCTGAATTTCAAAAATATTGAATCTTACGATGAAGCTTTCAGTAAGTCAAGAATTTCTCAGTATGTGGTAGCTCATTAATTTAACCTTCAAAGTTTGCCATTATCTGCCTCGCTCTCCTCCCATCAGCCTTCACAGCACCGACCAACCTTGATGCATCTCGTCGCGATGTCGACGAGATCAACGATGATAAATCACGGACATGGTATCTGGATTGCGGGAGTCCAACCATGACCTCGAGATGTTACAATACATTCGGGCTGAGATGTACCCTGATTTCGGAGGCAAGTCAGGATCTTGGACCAACCTCGAATGCGTGGCTTCTTGCACTTGTTTGCAGTCAGCATGGGTCTACTGCGTCAGCAGCCCGCTCTGTCGCCTACAGGTGGGAGATTTTAGTGTTGAGGAGCGTGCAATTTGGGAGGGCATCGATGCCGAGGAAGATGTCTTGTAGGTGTCTTTGGTATCGAGGATTATTTGGGAGTGTCGTGGGTGTGCTGCAAGGGCATCCAGGAGGAAGCCCCTTTTTGGTTCTTCAGATATCATATTGTTGATTACATTTCAATTCGTACTGCCCCGCAGAACAATTGTGCTCTACCAGTCGACGAATGGCTTGTATGGTGGCGGACTGCTACATTAGCTGAGGATTATCTTTATAGCCCCCCCAGTTCACACATAGCTTTGAATTCGAAGAAGACATCCCACTTTGGAAATACTCGAAATAATCTCATGCCACTTTTGTGATGCCGAGAGCCCGAAGCCTTATCTTTTGCCACCAAGACAATATCACTTCCCCCACTCTTCTTTATCAGCACACTTCTGGACCGGGACAGACTTGTGCAAGGAGATCGATACAGTGATTCGTGTGAGATACCGGAAATCTATAGTTTGTCGAGGATGCATCTATAGTTTATTTGATATGAAGTATTGCTGGCCACCTCGGAAACATTCGCCTGAGCATACCACTTACAATAACTTGAACACGATATTCTGGACGAAATTCAAAGAACAGCAGTTAATCCACCGTCCATTTTTCTGATAGAAATCAAAGCAAGAAAGATATGTCGGCGCCTCCAATCCTTGACTTCTCACGTGAGCCTCTACCTTTCTTGCTGTTCACATCACACCTTCAGCTAACACCACTCCCAGCTTTTTACAGCAACGACGTAGCTGCAAAAGCAGAATTGGTCAGGAAGGTAAAAGACTGCTGTCTCCACAATGGCTTCTTCCAGATAGTAGGGCACCAAGTCCCGGCCGAGCTTCAAACCAAAATCTTCGACTGTTCGAAAGCGTTTTTCGACTTATCTCTCGAAGAGAAGAGCAAAGTGAATAAAGGTAATTAGATTTACTGTCACTCAGCAGCCAAAACTGACAGGAGATCAGATCTGAACACTTGGAATCGAGGCTATGAACTCCTCCGCTCTCAAATGCTGGAAGTCGGGACCTCGCCTGAACTGAAGGAGGGATTCTACATTGGCGAAGACCTTCCAACCACGCATCCATATTTCATCGAGAAGAAATTAAACTCGGGACCTAACGTGTGGCCATCCACGTTATCACCATCCCCGCTGTCCCTGGAAGAGTTCAGAGACACAACAACAGCGTATTACAACCATGTCGTTTCTCTTGCCAAGGATATCTTGAAAGTCCTGGCCTTGACTTTGGATCTGGAAGAGGACTGGTTTAACGAATTTACAGATGGAGCAGTAGCGACTATGCGGCTGCTGCATTATCCACCCCAAGAAAAGGATAGTGATGAGAAGTTGTCGAGAGGGATTGGGGCTCATACTGATTTTGGTGCTGTGACCTTGCTATTGCAGGAGGAAGTTGATGGTTTGCAAGTGTGGGAGAAGGAAACGAAGAGTTGGCTTGATGTAAGTTCTGCACTAGGATGACAGTGAAGAGAAAATAAGGAGCACAGAAGAAGCCGCTAACAATTGATATAGGTGGTCCCAACGAAGGGGGCTTACGTCGTGAATTTGGGGAATATGTTTATGCGATGGTAAGAAACTTCTCTAATTCTGCAATTGCTGTTCATCGCTCATGGGGGCACAGGTCGAATGATCGATACATCTCCAACCTACATCGTGTGATCAATAAATCTGGAAAGGAACGCTACTCAATCCCAGTCTTTTTCTCTGGAAATCCGGATTATGTCATCAATTGCCTGCCAAATTGCTGCGCGGAAGGCCAAAATCCCAAATACCCTCCCGTCACAGTAGCAGATTGTGTGGGAGGTAGCTACAAAGAAAGCTATGGGCGTGCAGCAGCGCATAAAGCTGAGCAAGCACAGAAAGGGACGATGACCGCGGTGGGGAACAGTGTGCCGATAGCTGTTTAAATTTAGACTTCCGAACCAATTGTCTTTAAGAACGTGGATGAGGATGATTGAAATGATAATGACAATCCAAGAAGGAAAAATTGATATATTGAAATAGTGATGGGTATCTTCGCTCAAAATCAGATGAAAAGAAAACTTATTCTTCGACATCGAGCATTCGCTCCTTGTCTTCCCCCAGTGCCAGATATTTGATGTCCTTGAGAGACCCACCACCTTTTTCAATTCTGGAGAAGAGTCTTTGAGCATTCGCCTGTTCCTCTGCTTGTCTCTTCTTGCCACGTTCATGGTCGTTCATTCTCTGTCGGAAGGAGTACCTAGCAGTATTACCTCCTTGGGAAAGCCGTTGACTTCTAAGACTCGATTTGTCCTCGGCCTCATCGCCCTCGTCATCAATCGGCTGGTCTGGCACGCTGAGGTCTCCAATATAAAGTCCCAGCATGCCTCTCAGTCTCAATAGATTTTGGCTATCCGAGAAAGGTGGTGTCTCCATGAGATCGTCGAGTCGAGCAGCAATCCTCTCTGCGGCAGCCAAGGCTGTCTGTCGAATCTCTTCCCTCTGGGCCCATCTTCTGTAGGCCCTTCTTTTCAGTCTTCGGTCCTTTCTTCGCTGATCCGCGGCAAATCCACTGTCAGTCGGATCGAAAAGGTCCTCGTCCTCTTCACTGCCATCACTTTGGCTGTCACTCCTTTCTCCGCCATCATCATTCTCTTCCTCTTTCTCGAGCTTCCAAGAACTGTCCTTCTGCTCTGCTTGTATGCCATAAATTTCGCAGCCGATCATAGCCGGCCAGAAATCCAACGCATTCACACTTCCATGAAAATGCCTCTTGTATGGATGCTGCAAAATCAGCCTCTCATAGTAGTCTTTCATCTTCTCCAACCCCTCCTTTGAGCCCCATCTCCATCCATCTCGTGTTCCGTTCCTCTCCGCCTGGTCCTCCTCTTCGCTGTCAGAATCGTAACTTGGACGGCTGCTAGGCTTGACCATACTCCTCATGAGTAGCTCAGCTCCAATACCCCAATATCCACTTTGTCGCAGATCGACAGGCTTCCCACCAAACTGTCCCCGGATAAGCATAGCCCATGCGCGTTTCGCTCGCTCGATATCGCCTTCCATCAGACATCTTTGAAGCATTGTTGTCAAAACTCCAAGATGCCGTACCCTAAGCTGAGAGCCCCGACTAACTCCTTGCCTTGGATCCTCTTCCTCGCTCTTTTGGATCTCCACATTGTGGTCCGTATCCTCTTCCACAGCTTTTCCCTTTCCCTTCCTATCTTTCAAAGGTTTGGAACCACTATCTAGCTTCAAATCATACCTCTTGGGCAGCCCTCTATGTGGGAATGATTTCACTGAAGGTATTTCTTCGTCCAACCGTAGCCCCGCCAATCTATATTGTGCGATTTCTGCGGGCGTCAAACTCAGCGGATTTGTGCTCGCAGGTAGTAGTCCGATGTTTTCGCTATCGTCTTCATCTTGCGATACTTCCGGAGAGGAGTTCTCCGGCGATGTAGGTACGGGGCGTTTGCGTTTTCGTGTGGGGAGGTTAGAGAATCGGACGCGGGAGGAGTGCGATTGTGCGTGTGTGGTTCTGGTTGAGGATGCGAGAGGGAGGGCGAAGGTCGGCATGTTGAAGTGAGATTTGGGTGAAATCGCAAGTCGTGGCTGTACACATCGTGTTATAGGTTGGATGGTGGGGAAGGAGAGGGAAGGAAATTTATTTTGAGGTTCGCGAGGCTGCAGAAGGGCAAGGCTGACATCCCAAGGCTAGAACCACGTGTTATATTCCAGAAAGATATAGGTACAGCTCCATAAATCACTTGTTGATACAAAACACGTTCGGGCGGATACTATGCTTTTTTCTGTTAGTATTATCCAGGCCCATGGTTTTGCGACCTTGGGAGAGTGTGATGATCGGTTCTTTCAAACCACGTGACTATTCTAGCCTTTTCTGATCTAGATGCAATTTCAACTTCTCTTTTCCCTTCTTCTGACTTGACACACCTTGGGACAACATAAGCAATACTACCGGACTCACAAGTGTGAGGTATGATTGCATTCATTTTCCACAACCTCAATTACAGGTTTTGCCAGGGAAGCAGTGAAGACGCTGTTGCAAGGCATCCTCTGAAATCATTCTTCACATGCGCTGATTTCTGCAATGCCTTATAAGTCCACCTGTTACTGCTTGTCTATTCTGATTAAGAAGTGCGTTGGACTTTTGGTGAGAGATTAATGGGATGGCCTCATGACACATTTCTCCAATGATCGGAGCAACATTCACCTCAGCTTAAGTGTAGGATAGGGTCTCGTCAGTTCAGCGATTTGCTCGCGGTACGGTTTTGCGTATATCCTTGCACGTTTTGTTTTCACCTCAATAGATGGGACGAGACATCCGAATGTGCATGTGGCTAGGCCCTTGGCAGTCTCCAAAAGTATTCCTTGGGTCCCATATTCAATACGGCCGCCTCCACAACCTCTTCTCCAAGCCTTATCAACCTTGAATGAAAAGATGACCCACCGGTCAGGTCACAGGCGCTTGGCGCGCTTGGCATTTGGCGCGCTTGGCATTTGTTGTTTTGTTTCACGACGGATCATCTTTCTGTCTTGGTATCTTGGCGATTCCCTCTCATGTTTCTACTAAATAATTCTTCATTACTGTTAAACTAAACTATGGGGAAGGCGACGACGACAACGTTCTGCAGAGATTGAAAAGGGGAATGAGACTTGTCTACAAATATGGTCTTCAACCACAACAAGCTGGCTTCTTCTTCAATCGCTTCGGATTCTCGATCTCTTCATACCACGCCTGGCTTTGCGAAGATAAAATCACATTGCTGGCAATTGTGTTCTTTTCAACCACATCACTTACTTGGCTTTCTTTACTTTTGACCGATTTCGAGATGAAGACTTCCATAGTTCAAATCGCCATTTTGGCACTTGCTCTCGGAGTGAACGCTGCTCCAACCAACACGGAACGAGATTGCGACCTCGCTCCTGGCTTCGAACACAATTCCACCTTATCTGACTTTGGAAACTTCCAAGGAGGTGGTAAAGCGGCCACATCCAAGACAACCAACACCAAAAAGTCCTCAAAGACAACCACCACGAAAGAAATCGAAGCTACAGCCACAGACAGCTCCGGTAGCAAAGCCAAGGTCACGGGTGATTCCACTAGCAGCCCGACCGCGACTGAATCTGCGTCTTCTAAGATCAATTCTGCTGAAGCTGCGGCTACCACAACCAAAGCATCCTCAACTGGTAGCTCAGGCTCCTCCAATGGATCTTTACCTGCTTCATCCGGGACCTCCGCTCTCAGTGCCGTCCAGACTATCGCTGCTGGTGACTCGTTCGATGGGGGAATGGTTATGTACGATCGTGGAGTTTCTTGCACCGGCCAATCCGAAGGTGGTGATTCTGATGCAGTCTTCCAAATTGAGAATGGCGGCTCACTCTCCAACGTCATCATCGGACCCAACCAAATCGAAGGGGTCCATTGTCAAGGGGCTTGTACACTCACGAATGTTTGGTGGTCTGCTGTCTGCGAAGATGCCTTCACGATCAAAAACCAGGATGCGGGAGAGACTACGAAAATCGTTGGAGGTGGTGCTTTTGGGGCTGAAGATAAGGTTATGCAGCACAACGGTGGAGGAACACTGTCCATTTCCGACTTCACTGTGGAGACTTTCGGAAAGCTGTACAGATCTTGTGGAAACTGTGACACGATGTACGAACGTCATGTCATCATGGACGGTATCACTGTAAGTGCACAAGATCCTCATGTAGGCCCGTGCTAAATCATTCCAGGCGACCGATGGAAGTGAACTTGCTGGTATTAACAGCAACTATGGCGATAGCGCTACCATCACGAATTCAGCCTTGACTGATGTCAGCGATGTCTGTGTTACTTACACTGGCACAGATGACAATGACGAAGAGCCTGTTGAGAATGGTTCTGGCAACGATGGAACATATTGTATCTATGGTTCTGATGTTACTGAGTCATGATTGCTTTGACTCATTTAGAGCAAAAAGCACTTCTTCATGTTCTATAGTGTTCTCGGGAGGAAAGTGTGGTTTCAGTGTACATATACATTACCTTCTCATCAAGACTACAACTTCTTCTCGGTCTTTCAGCTGTGGATTTGTAGATACTTCTTTTTCATATTTATATACATGTTTCAAACACTCCTGTGCGTTTTGAAGACATATATGTGACCATGGATTAATTAATCAATAAGTGTTTCAATCTATTACAACCGGCTATTTGCAATAATGAGGAGATAGGACAAAGGAAACTCGTTAGTGGAGCACTTGACGCTAGTATCACATATTAACCACCCCCACCGCAGCCTCCTCCGCCTCCTCCACATCCACCACCACCGCCTCCACAGCCTCCTCCCGAACTACTAGTTCCCGCTGGCCGACGATAGAGTATAGCCGCACAATTCCCTCCATCAAACTTTCCCCCACACATCCCTCCATCAGCCCCAAGACCACCTCCCACAATCCCATTCTCAGCATCTCTGGCCAAATTTGGATAGTCATGATATCCCAATGGCTTATTATCATACCAAGTAGCACCATAAATAGCGAAAGGTAGATCTCTCGTCCCTTGAGAAGGCCGTGAATATGCACCAGACGTCAAGTTAGGATCACCCCAACCGCGAGCAGCCACAAGAAGAGGCCAACGAGTGTGACGCCACTTTTTGCGCAGCTCGGCGTACCAAGCTATTTCATCGTTCATTTTCTTCACCAGTTTCAGTCGGTGTGCTTTGGCAGATTCACTGTGTGTGACACCATCGATGGCAACACGAAAGACGCTGCGAACGATGCGACTGGGACCGATAGGTTGGGCACGGCGATTCGCTATGTCTCGATTGACAGCGGCGAGCTCGGCTTGAAGGCGGTGATGTTTGAGAGTGTACGTCTCGTGCTCGCGTTGCCGCTCTACATCGTATGTCCAGAGATTGAGCTGTGCTTCGTTGAGTGACGCGCGAGAAAACTGGCCCCCGATGTTAGGGCTAGTCGCTGGAGTCAGAAAAGGGTCGACTTGTTGAGGGTATGGAGGTGGTGCTTCTTCGGATCTGGGCTGAGGTGGAGGGGACAAGTAGTCCTCGTTGTAATGGGCCTTCCAAGCCGCGGACGTCTCATCTAAGCTAGGAGATAATTCGACGTCGTCTATACTGTCGTCATGATTCAGGTACTGTCCCAAGTGCTGCACACACCATGGTAAGTAGCGCGATGCAGAGAGTTGATGAGTATGCCAGAATAAGTCGATATTCATCGTTGGCACTAATTGTTGTAGTGTATTCAACCGAAACAAATTTAGGAATCGACCGTATCGAAATTGAGAGTCGAGTAGGACCTCTTCTGGAACTGGATCCCAAGGGAAGACTGATGTGATCTTCTGCGCAAATACCATCTGGCGTTTCACAGCTTGTGGCAAGTCGAAGCTGAATATGGAAGTTGATGATGCTGGAAATGAGAAAGTGCTAGGATCGTAATTGCGTGAAAGACTCAGGTGAGGAGGAAAGATTGGGCCAGAGCTTCCCACAGTAATGAGATCATATGGAAAGTGAGGGAATTTTCGGTGCCATTGTCCCACGTTCAATCTGACTTGTTTATCGCGATCCAGACGTCGAATTTTGTCCAATAGTCGCATGAGAGGGAAATCGATAAGGCTAGCAAGAGTACTGTATCTTGGATTCGAAGTAATGTCATCAGAGAACTTCTTTGGTGCAAGAAGATGGGTATGCATCACAATGGCAACGTCCCTTAGCAATTAGCTTCTGCCCTGTTGTCGTGTTGATCTGGAGACTTACCATGGTGGCAGAGGCCAAGTTTCTTTGGCCTTTTCTGTCACAGACACCAACAAATCAAGGTACAATGTATATCTGTAGGTCGCAATTCTGAGAAATGTGTCGATCCTGGCATCCGCGTCCTGAGAAGTCCAACTTGTTGCTACCGCGGGGGAACTCCCGAGCTTCTCATAAACAGCGCAGAACATACGTAATATCGTGAGATGAGCCTGTGTAGCAGATAATCAGTACCAGCCTCGAACCAGTGATGCTTGACTTGCCTGAGCATTTTGAACTGAAAAGGCCGCATTATCGTTCAGAATATCATCAAGTGAAGACATTTTGAGCAACCCCAATGCTTTCACTGATTCTAGCTTGGTATTGCCAAGAATATATACTTGAAGGGCACTTTTGGTGGTTATGCTCGAAGATGACCGGGTTCGGACGTGGCTGGGGCTGAGGCCAATATTGAAAATGGTCGGCTGAGTCCACTGAGACATCGCAAGCCCACTGGTGTGAACATGAATATCGACTATTTGGATCAGCTCTAACTGCTCATAGCCCTTAAATTGGCTGTCGGAATACAATTATATGTCTCGGGACAGAAGACATGATGCTCGGCAAGGAGCAATATTTACACGTGACCAGCTCATGTATAAAAATATTCATGGTATTTAAATACTCTTTTAGATAATAAAATTCTTTGACTGAATGAGCAAAGACATCAAGACCTCTTCTCGCAATTGGATTCTTGTGCAAGGCTCTTTCTCGCCCATCCACTCCCGAATACCAAATCTTACACGGCTCGAACAGAAAGCACGCAAACATCGAAGGACGAGCCGTTGAACTGTCAACATGGCATTGAATTTGAGCCAACTACTTGTAAAGCCAGGGCATACTTTCCCATGGCCGCGAGTCGTTTTTCCATTATGAATGCTGAGAGAGGTACCGCAAGGTTGACTCGTGGCAGTATTTCAACGCCACTATGCTGCGCCACAGCCTAGTTGCCTTGACCTGACCCAATTCAGCGCAGCTGTCAAAACGATGTCCTGAAAGTTCTTTTTGCACAAAGCGCTCCAATATGACCCCACAGTCGATAGATTATCATGGTGTGGACTCTCTATGTCAGGTATGCCAGAAAATATCATTGGATGAGCTTGATTCCGCACAAGGCTTTCGTCACCACCAAGTCGGCGCACTTCAGAACGAGGCTAAAAATCCTAATGGTTACCCTCTGCAAAAATCTCTACAGCATCTTAGCCCAAAATTACAATTACCAAATTCCTACCCTCGAAGGATTTGATCCTAGCCCAGAATGGGACGGGAAACAATTGAGGCTCTTTTTAGAACCCAATGGAATTTTGCAGAAGCTGGCACAGGGGACAAATGATCTTATGAGAAGTATCGTTGTTAGACTTGGGACAGTTGATGATTGCGCTTTGGACGGGTATACAAGGAAGCCGGAATATTTAATTTTTCTCCGTATCTGCACTTTCAATGGTCAGTCTCAACTATGTGCGCGGTGGTTGCTCTTGCGAAGCTACAATTTGCTAACTGCTTCATGACTGATAGATGACCCTGCATCAAAGTTCTTCGGCCACAGACAGCCTTGGAAATCAGCCAGCAGCGATGTTGCTTTTGCCCTCATCAAGGAATGGCTACGAGACTGTGACTCAAACCATACACTTTGCAAGACCCCAGCGAGGGATTTCTTCCCTAGAAGACTGATTGATGTTGGTCCTATCGATGGATCTGCTGAGCCCTTTCTGATTGAGCTGGACAACGGTGCGCTGGCTTCGTCACCAAATCGAGCTTCAGAGTCTGCACTCGAATACTTTGCATTAAGCTATTGTTGGGGATCATCTCAACAACTGGTTACGACTCCTTCGAACATAGCACGATATAAAACCTCATTGCCGCTAAGCCAATTTCCTGCAACAATCAAAGACGCAGTCACCGTGACGCGCCAATTGGGTGTCCGCTATCTTTGGGTTGATGCTTTATGTATTCTCCAAGGTTCGAGTCTCGAGGCTCAACAGGATTGGCGAAGGGAATCCTCTCGAATGTCCAGTATTTATGGCAGTGCGTCACTGGTCATAGCAGCAGCGTCGGCTTCTGATGTATCTCAGGGGTTTCTTGCAGACCGAAGATCCTATGATGCACACACCGCACCACTCAAATTGCCTTTCAAATCAAGTATACTTCCTGATGATTCGGGGTCTTTTTTCATTCATCCATTTCTAGAAGAACCAGCAGGCTTTGGGTACTGGAGTCCCTTTCCCAACGACCCACTATCAAGACGTGGGTGGGCTCTTCAGGAAAGACTTCTATCTACCCGCTTGCTCACGTATAAAGCTGACGATATAACCTGGGAATGCCAGACCTGTCGAAGGAGGGAGAAAGTTGCCGAACAAGTTGATTATTGCAAAGCACCAAATGGGTCTGATGAAAGATTCTGGAGACTTTCTAAAATTAGAGCGATCACTTCCCTCGAGTGGTGTGATATCGTGCGAGACTATTCGTCTAGATCTATAACTGTCGCGAGCGACAAGCTGCCTGCAGTCTCTGGTTTGGCGAGATTGTGTAGCAAAACAACCAGCGATGAATATGTTGCCGGGTTGTGGAAATCAGATTTACTTGCCAGTCTTCTCTGGTACACTATAACATGGAGTGGAAGCCAATTCTCGGCATCCAGCGTCTATCGTGCGCCATCCTGGTCATGGGCATCTCTTGATGCCGAAGTTAATATGCGACCCACAAGAAAACCTGCTGCAAATAAAGTCAAGCTCAGCGACCAAACATCGAAAGGTGATTTGACCGAGATACTAGAGTGTGTGGCAGTCCCAAGTGGTGAAAGCGAATTTGGGGGTATCAAAGATGGCTGGATCTTGGCTAGAGGTCCACTCAGACAAGTTCGTCTATCATTGACTCCCGCGTCTGATCACGGGAGACCGTATTCAGAGTTCAGCTTGACAGATATGGCAACTAAGGAATGGGCAAAGGATCCCAAAATCGATCTGATGCATAAGGAGAGTGCCTCGAGCAGTAATGTTTCAGAACTGTCAAAAGATCTGTGGTGCTTAGCTCTCACAAATTTGCACGACGACGAGGGGGAGCGAGGACTCCTCTTGACGCATGCTCGGGATGGCTCTTCAGACTACAAAAGAGTTGGCGTTTTTACCAATCGACGTCGTCACGGGGATGACCTTAATTTCAAGGTCGGACAGTGGGAGAGACAGACAATCAAGATCATTTGATACTGTTCTCTTTCAAAGCCTCGAAAGTGTGAGGCATCGATTTCCTGTCCCTGATACCATTTCGCTGGTAGAGACCGTCTGCCGTGGACCACATTTACAGCAATCGACCAAGATCTGTACTTCAATGCGGTAATGATTATCGGGCCTGTGTTGCGAAAGGCGTGGAAAACAGTGATGATGTATCTCAAGTTGAGCATGTGGTCGTTGAAATGAAGTAGGGGTTGACGCTGGTTCTTTGTGTCAACTGAGATATATCGTTCGCAGTTTGTACGGCTACAAGACCGCCCTACGAAAGTTGTTTCATTATATCAAGTCGATCAGCGATATATCAGCAGCTCGTGCCATTTGAACTGCCACTTGTCAAGGACTTCAGGGTGGTTGTGTCAGATGCCATGCCTTCCGTATACCAGTACCAACAAAATAGATTCGATAAGCCTTCATTTAATGTGAGGGTAATACACAAAACAACATCTGCGCCTTTCGTGGAACGGCAATTAAGTCACAGTGAGGCGGTTTGACGTTCTGCTGTACGTGATATCAGTTACGGCGCAGACATTGGTTGCCGCAACCTCGGTATTAGTGGCTCGCTACAGGCATTGGTGCCTAACGAACATGGGGACAAAAGTCCGTGCGTTCAGGCTGTAGAACCTCGAAATTAAAACTCTTCACATTAGGACTAAACTATCAACAACTCCACCATTATGGATCCTTTTACCACTCCACCTATGTCTCCACGTCTCCTAGGTGCAGAGATCAGAGCTAAGCACAAAGAGGGCATACGCCGGCTCTTTAAATTCGCTAAAATAGGCCTGCAACAGCTCCAGGGCTACTACCACCTAGGAGACAGCACAGTTAGGAAGATCCTACTATACGATGTGCCTGAAAGAGCGCGCCCTACACGCACAGGGAGACCCAGAGAATCCCTCAAGGAACAGGAGGTTAGAGATATTATTGAGTATATTTGCACC